GGGGGTGTAATCAGCTACTTAGGCGTATGGAGACTCTGACTCTTCACTGGAATAAAGCCATGCTTGATTGGTCATGAGTAATCGGTTAATGCTCCACTCATCAGGACTCAAATGCCTACCCAATTTATAAGTGCCACCTGTGAGCCCGCGCACTCTGTGATCTCTACTTACCCATCTATTCTTTTTTTTTTTGAATCTTTCATCAAGCTCGGCCACCATGTCTGATCCTCTCCCCAAGAGTGAATCACTCTATCACAAATATCGCCGAGATCCAACTGAGATTGATGCCGATGGACACCAAGAAAACTGGCAAGCGTCGCCATTGAAGATTATTGACCGAGATGGTTTTGTTCTTTTTGAAAGGACGCAATTGAGTCTCCGAACCGACATTATCTTGGCAAATGATGTTGAGATGCTTCGCCAGTATCTTGATGCTGCCCCTTGGGCCATTGAGAAGCCGGACCGTGAAGACGATAGCATGGATCCATTCTTCGTCGCAGCGCAGAGTGGCAGGGTCCAAGCACTGCAACTCCTTCTAGCCCACCACTCCAAAGTCAACGGTCCCTCTACAAGGGTTAGGTTTCCGGATCGCAGAGTCGATCTGTTGTCTACCGCCGCCAAATGGGGTCGTGTGGAGATGGTCAAATTCCTCCTCGACAACCAGCCATTGTACGCTGATATCCACGAGCGAGGGAGTGACAGGGAAAGTGCGATATTCGCTGCAGCTGATACTAGTGGAACAAGACACAGAGACTATCTTAGCCACCAAGAAGTTTGCCTTGAAAATAACGAGGCCGTGATGCACCTGCTACTTGATCGAGGTGCATGTGCTTCTGATTCCCTCACCTGCTATGACGACCGTCCAGAATGTCAGACTTCTGAGACTGTCCTTACTTCGGCTGTACAGTGGGCGGGCCCTGGGTTAATTCAGCGACTCATCGACAATGGTGCCGATGTGCATGCCAAAATCGTTCGCAGGGTTACCTTCATTCCACGCGTGGGGTTCTTCGATGAGTTCCTGCACGTTACTGCCCTTTATATCGCAACTTTTCATGCAAACTTCAGAGCAGTCGAAGTGCTGATCAATAATCGAGGTAATGGAGTCGACATGACAGACATGACATCCCGCCGCGATAATCAGGGAAGACTTCCTATTCATTGGGCCTGTCGATACCAATTGTCGCCATACCCTAGTGCAATGCCTGTCTCAAGGATTACAGAGAATGCTGAAAGCATTGTGGAAACCATTAGGATTTTGCTGAAGAAGGATCCCAAAACAGTCAATATCCAAGACAATGGTGGGAATACACCCTTACACTATGCTGCCATGTTCTATGGTGGCTTAGGCAAACAGCACACCTCAGTTCTAAAACTTCTATGTGACACGGGTGCGGATGCAAGTGTCTGTAATGCCTATGGAGAAACGCCTCTGCACGTGTTGTTCAGCCGCTGGGGGGGTGATATTCCGGTCGATACAATGGCTATCGAGACCTTGCTAGGCCATGGAGCCAAGCCTACAGACATCGATGTCTACGGAAATACGCCCCTTCATTACGCAGCCTGGTTTCTACTTCATTCAGATGCTGCATTATATTTGATGAAGCAAGGCGCTGATGTCAACATAAAAAATCTGCATCAAGAAACACCGCTTCACAGCGTTGCTGATTCTCCCCACTGGGCTGACAGCGCTCATGACACTCGGTCTCTAACAAAGGAGGAGACAGCAGAGGAGCTCTTCAAAGACCAAGAAACAATGGCAGCACGAGTTTTGGAAGCTGGAGGGGTTGAGATGATGGACCAGCCGAATCTTGCAGGGAAGACCCCACGACAGATTATCCAAGAGTGGAAGGAGCACGCAAAAGAGGCGCAGGCAAAACAGACAGCGATCGACAATGATGTACCTTGGGAAGATTGGCCGAAAGTGAATTCTTGTTGGGATAGCGTTGGTCGTGGAATACGCAAGAACGCCATGGGCTTAGGCCTGGTTGGAGGCGCGCGGCCAAGAAAAGATCTCTACTAGGTAGCAGTCAAAGCGCACCTTACACTGTGACTCTTCGCCGGAGGGTCCACTGTATCTAGTTGGCTATAAACAGTCCTGTGGAACTCCACTTGCTGAGGTCGTCAGACCGAACCAGTTTTATAAATATCATCCATGGACCCACGCACCGTGCTTCATAACCCTTGTCGAACACATTTCCAACTTTTCAAACGACTCATCCATTTACCAGCATGGAGCCTTCTCTCCTCCAGCAATCCGAGTCACCATATCAGGAATTCAGAAACAAGCCCGTCAACAGATATAACGTATATGGACCTCCTTTCGACGTGCCCATCACTCTATCTGATCGCGATGGAACTCTTATCCATGAACAAGAGGGCCAGTGCCTTTTTACAACCATAATTGAGCACGACGACGTTAGGCTTTTGGAGAAATACTTCGCCATTGATCCTCGAGCTATCCCATATTATTTTGATCTTCCTGATAACGATGAGGCTGCATTCGAATACGCCAGTCCGTTCATTTGGGCAGCCCAATCTGGTAGTCTCGCCGTACTCCAAATGCTTTTCGACTATACCACAAAGAATCTTGATCCGATGACGCCGAGACGGTTTTCTGAGACTGAGCTTTTGAATCACGCTGCAAGATTCGGTCGCGTAAAGGTTGTACAATGGCTCCTCGACAACCAACCATTATACGCTGATATTCTTGATCGAAATTTTCAAGGCTATACTGCGCTTATAGCAGCTGCGAATCTTTTTGAGTTCGGCCATGGCGATAACCCGAACTGGGATGACATTTGCTTCGACAACAGCGAGGTGACAATGAATCTACTGCTTGACTATGGTGCCTGCGCCTCCGATGTTGCTCATCCGACGAATGATAAGGATCGAAAGGAGCACTCTGTTCTCACGTTGGCTGCCCAGTGGGCAAGCAGTGACTTACTTGCAAGGCTTATTGATGGTGGTGCTGATGTGCATCACACGGTAGCAATAGGGGACTGGGAGTTACCATTTCTGAACCGACGCGACTTACCACCCCGTGTAGCTGTCGAAGTAGATGTGAATGCACTGTTTCTTGCATCTTTGTACGCCAACCTCGGTGGCCTTAGGATTTTGGTTGACCGCAGAGGCGACGAATTTACCATCGAAGACGTGGTCTGCTCCCCCGACTGTGCTGGCAGCCTCCCTCTTCACTGGGCGGCCCGAAGCCCTTTGGAACACATCCCAACATCGATGCGATATGAAAAGGCTGGATATATCCGTCAGACTATTGAACAGCTACTGGATTACGCTCCAACAACAGTCAACGTCCAGGACAAGGACGGGAATACAGCCTTGCATTACGCCACCACACATTTTGGCAAGAATGGTAGAGCCTTCACGCCCATTTTTGAACTTCTGTGCAGCCGGGGCTCCGACGCAAGCCTCCGCAACTACAAGGACGAAACGCCTCTACATACGCTGTTCCAGCCCGAGGGTGATGATGGACCCATAGACATAACAGCTGTATCACTTTTAGTCTCTCACGGTGCGAAGGCTACAGACGTTGATGAAGCCGGCAATACGCCGTTGCACATCGCAACCAGGGACTGGCATTTCATCGATGCGGTCGCTCTTTTGCTGGAGTATGGTGCTGACCCTGCTCAAAAGAATCTTAAACAGGAAAAGGCTCTTCCTCAAAAGATGGAATATCTGCTCGGCAGTCAATAGATCTACAACTGTGGAACACAGGGTGGAATTGTAGATAGCATAAGGGGATTACTAAGAGCAGCGTAAAGAACAACAGCTGCGTAGATAATAATAATTTCGCCCAGTACACCAAATGTCTACATATGTGATTGATTTGAAGATCTAGAACAATCTTGAAGATATTGGCACCATCACCTTGGTCAGTGTAGCCGATACATGCCTGGGAGATTCTTCGGTGATGGTCTACCTGTGAGGCTCCTCTGATTAACTAGGCTAGAGGCTCAGCCCATAGGTAATATCCACATACTCCTTCTAATTAAGTAATAAAACAGGGTACTACTAGCTTAGTAACTAAATTATAGGATACCTAAATTACTATCAATTGACTTACCTGTACCTAGAGCTATAACCCTTGTTAGCCTTATAGAGTCGCTGGTGAATACGATGGCCGTCCTCCTCCTCGCCCAGGCCGTCCTCCTCCTCGTCCGGGCCGACTCCTCTTAGAACTAAATCGCAGTTGTTGAGAGGGTTTACAGGTTAACTCTGCAATTCTCCATTCCTCTCTTTTCCTTTGACATATTTGCCGCGGAGTTTCATTATGCACATCTGGTACATCCATCAATTCTTCTCCTCCAGCTTTTACCAGTCTTGCCAGCATGTCCTCTTGCAATCTTGTTCTTGCCTCAGCCTTGTCAACCTCGCTTGGCCAGGAACGACCAGAAGCAGCTCTATGGAGAGCCGTCGCTTGTGACAAATCTTTTGCTGTGGGGTCTGCACCGTGGTCAAGCAAGCACGATACGGCATCGACAAAATGTAGGTTTCCGGCTGCAATATGCAAGGGTGTGTTACCAGCAACAGTGTCTGTAACCCTTGCTCCATGGGCGAGTAAAACAGATATAGCAGCCGGGTCGATAGGCACATTCGTTATGCACGTGTCGAATAAGGTATGCAGAGGCGTCTGGCCCTTGTTGTTACGTATGCTGGCATCACCACCCCTCTTGCATAATAGTTCAAAGACGGGGGTATATAATTTGCTGTTTCGACCGAAAGATTCTGTAGCGTGGTGCAAAGGCGTATATCCATCTTGGTCCTGTACGTTGATTGCCGCGGGGTGTAAGTTGAGGAGGAGTTCAATAAGGCTCGTGATATTCTGTACTCTTTCTCGTAATATTGATTTTGGGATATATTCCAAATTATCTGGTAATTGATTCTGAGTCGCCCAGTGGAGAGGAAGGCCCCCCAGACTGTCTCGGGAGCATGCCATACTCGCGGCAGTAACGACACCTCGACAATCAATCAGAGTTTTAGCAGCCTTGATATTTGCATGATAACACGCAACAGCTAGTGCATTGACTCCAGAAGCAGAAGGACCCATGAACTTTGTCCATTTTGTTATAGTAGTATGGACGTTAGCGCCGCAATCAATGAGTCTCTTGATTAATTCAGGGCCTGCCCACTTAACAACCAGAGTCAGAACCGTGTCTAGGGTCTCGCCATTATAAGTAGCGAGGACAGTATCCGAAGCATAAGCACCCCGATCTAGCAGTAAGTTAATCACCGCTTCGTTGTTCTTAAGGCAGACTTCGTTCCATTTGGGTTGGAAGCAATATCTCTCTGAAAAGACATCTGCAGCTGATAATATGGCGGTGCAGCCCTTGTTATCTCGATCTTGGATGTTGGCATATAGTGGCTGATGGTCGAGTAAGAATTTTACTATCTCCATATGACCGTATCTAGCAGCTTCATTCAATAGCTGAAACCCGCGCATTTTGAATCTTATCGGTTGAGTGGAAGCGGTATCCCTCGAGGCGTTGTCCAGAAGCCATTGAAGTACATCTAGGCTTCCGCTTTCGACAGCCAGGCAGAAGTAATCAGTTGTTTCAATAATCTCTTCTTCACCATTCGGAAGCTTCGGAACGAAACATGGCGCAAAAGTGAAGTATTGCTGAAGTGCCCCGAGGTCATTTTGCTGAATGATTCCACGTAGAAGGGGCAGACCTTCCATTTCATAGAGAACGGAACCATCTCGATCAGTCATGGTCATGAACACTCGGTCTGGTTCATCTTCTTCACCAATAAATTCATCATTGGGGTTAACCCTGAATTTTTGATAGGGCGATTCGGTTTCGGAGATATCCGGCGGAGCCATGCTGTGAGCGGTAGAGGGAAGCTAAAAGATAAAGAATTGGTTGGGTGTTGTTTATAAATTGCAAGGGTTCATGGCTGGTTTTTATAAAATTGGATAACATTCTAGCTCCAATAAGTGGAGTTATCGTAAAATATTTATAACCAATCAAATAAAGGTAAAGAAAGCTCAGCTAAGAGTCAGAGCTCAAGCTCACTTATCTAATCACACGCCCCCTGCAAACTCATATTTATAAGCGACCATAAGTTACGAAAACCCCAGTATCGCTAACCAAGGATTAAACCCCAACACAGACGTAGTAATATAGCCAGAGACCGGAATAGCCATCACTAACCCTAGGATTCTAGCTGTAAAAATCAGATAGCTTAATCTTATATTTCTCTGCAATAGCATAGTACCCATTGCTATTATTAACGTAGTACTACTTATTACAATCATTAACAATACCAGGCTACTCAGGGCTGTGGGATAGCTTAATTAGAGAGCTTCCTGTGGCTAAATTGGTAGCTGCAGCTGTCTTGGTCCCTATCGCAGACCTGGTCATCATTGCTCCAGCAGTAATTATCCCGGTTAAAGCTGGCCAATCCTAACCAGCGACTAGCTCAAGATAGTAAGCATTGCTAATAACTAAATCTATATTATAAGTTATTTTGTTTAGAGATAGGTTAATCTCGGTAAAGAGATTAATAGGAACTTTATTTGTAAGGCAAATCTACGTATAAGTAAGGCTTCCTTTGTAAGTAAACCAGTAGCTATAATCCTTAGTTGTGCTATTAGCAATAGGCACGCTATGTGGCGGATTAATAGGCTTAAGGTTAGTAGGCCTAGCGTTAACTAGCTATCTAGAGTATGTTCCTCCGGGTGGCAATATATATAACGTACTACCCCAGTAGGGATCTGTATTGTACAGATTAGTATAGTTCTAATTAAGTTAAGAGTTATAAGATAGAAGCCTATCTATTATAATACCGGTATCTAAGGCAATATTAAGATAAGTATTACTATTTTGCACCTTGTAGATCTTATTATAACTAAGAGGAAGATAGAGGTTTATACTAGTAGCTATCTTAAAGCAATTAAAGATATTAGAGTTAATATAGTACATAGTAGCTACAGATATACCCTAGGATAAAGCAATTAAATCGCAGCTATTACTAACCTTAGTTATATATATATTACCAGATATACAGATATTACTGCCTATACCGGGGCTAGTAACATTAAATATACTATTAGTACTATTAAAGTTATCTATATTAAGGTTGCAAATTTCTACAAGGTATTTATACAAAGACTACACATCCCTATTATAGGCTCTAGTGTAAGCATTAGCTTGTATTATTCTATACTATTTAACGTTATAGTAAGAGTATAAGTCTAACTTTAGAAGCTTAGAAAGATTATTAACTTTGGGAAATAAGGTAATTACATCTAGTAGAATTAATATAGACTAATAAAAATTTTAATTAAAAGCCTGACTTACTATTACAGAATTTTCTAGTCTTTAGGTTACTAAAGCAAGACTAGTTCTAGCTACTCTAGAACTTATTAACAAGGTTAATGTATAATAATCCTGGGATTATTTCCTTAGAGCTATAGGCTAAAGTAACCTTTGTATACATATACCTAATAGAACTTCCGCAAGCTTTACTGCAAACGGTCTTTATTACAGCAGGATTATTACTATTAATATAGCCTTCTATTATTAGATCTAAAGCCTTATTTAGATAGCTAACCTTCTAGTACAGAGTGGCCTCGCAGGTAGATAATAGTCCACTATTAGCTAGATAGCCTTAAGGGAATATAGTAAGCCTAGCTGCATTAACTAATCTAGCAGCAACTATAAGGCTAGTAAGAAGGCTATGGTTTTATTTAAGGGGAGCCCTTATTGTATAGCGTAAGGAGATATAAAAGAGTAACAAATAGAGTTATTAAATTAGGGACTAAAACGATAATTCTTTTAGCTTCTAAACGTAAAAGAAGAATGAATAACCTTTATAAGATACTAGTAATATAAATTAAGGAATTAACTTAGCATCTTCTGTAAGTTCTAGCCTAGGTTAGTATATGTATAATACTAGCTGCAATACCCCTGATTATAAGTAATGTAGTAAACCTGTTAGTTTAGAAATAGAAATTAAGTTATTAAAGCTCCTTCCTAGAAGATATTACTAGCTTAGTATTACATAGGGTATTAATTAACTAGCAAGGTAACCTCAGTACCTAGCATAAGTTCTACTATATCTACTAATATAACTATCTAAGACTGTAATATAATTTAACTATACACACTTAGTAATACCTGCATAACAATTACTGGTTATCTTTGGAACAGGTATATCCACCACCATTTATAGATCTTAGGAGCGCAAGAAATTTTGCCCCCTACCGTGTTCAGGCATGTAAATACAGGGACTGCATAGACCCCTAATACCTACCCACTCTAACTCCATCAACAATATCTTACACAACCAACACTCTTAAATAATACAAACCCATCTCAGCTCTTTTATAAGGGGGATTGTATATTCCGTGGTCCTACTAAAGATTATTAGGTATAATAATTTAATAGGTCTTTACATTAAAACTCAGAACCAACGGAACCAACAGATATCCACAATAATAACAAGTTATTACCAAGACATATAAGGACCAACAAAAGACACACGCAATATCTACATCTAGATAGATACTAATTTAGGTAAACAATATAGCAATACTATAGGCCAAGATATTTTGCTATTTTAGGGCCAATAGTAGTACTAGTAAATGCTATTTTACTAAAATTTCTACTAAGGATATTTACCTTAAAACATAAGACCTTGTAAGTCTAATAACCAAAATAGAGTACTTCTTTAGAGATCTTTAGTTTTAATCTAAGGTTATTTTATTAAAGATAATTAAATATTATCTAACTTTAATAAGTTTTTTAATAATTAAAAGCAATATCTAAACTATATCTAGTTCCTTATTATATTATTCTTTACTTTTACTCTCTTTAGCTACTACTTACTTACTTATTACTAATCCCTTTATTTCATTTTTATTTTTATTTTTTAAATCAAACGTTAGTCTTTATCTTAGTTCCCTTAACTAGACTAGCACTTATTTATTAGCATCCCTTATAATCAACATAAGGTTAACGTAGGTAACCACTTTAGTTACTCTGTTACTTACCTTAGTACCTTTAATTATCGCAGATAATATTTACTGCAATAAGTCTACTTTCTGCAAAGTAAGTTACTATAGTTCTAATAATATCTATAGCATAGGTCTAGACTACTACAGTAAGGTAAAGTATATTAATAACTGTAATTATAAAGCAGAATATAACCTAGGCAACTAGCCCTTGTAATACTTTAACTCTACTAAGTATCCTCTTAATATATACTACAGCAAGTATAGCTTTTGCAGTACTACCAAGGAGTTCTATAGTAAAGAGATAGTTAAAAGACCCTCTTATAACATTAGCTCTTAGTTAGTTAAGTATATTATTAGCTACTATAGCTTAGGTAGTATATTATGCAGATATAACGCTATAATTCCTTACACCTTTCCCTAAGGTATCTACACTTACATTTACTTTGCATTTAGTAGTATTAACCCTAAGTTATTCCAAGTTATACCTATTAACAGAGAAGATAAGAAATTATACCCCCAGCTTACAGCACTTAAGTTATAAGATACAGGCTAGGAGCTCTGGCTATCTATTAAAGGCTAGACATTCTCTAATAATAGCTTACTAACTGCTACTACCTTCTCTAACTTAGTTAATACTAACACAATACATTAGAAAGCTTTCTTCACCTCTTTAACACTCTTTATACAAACCTAGGGCTTTAGTAGTATTAATATTAACTAGGAATACCTAGTTAACTATAATAGAAATAGTTGTAAGTCTAATTTCAAAGCCTATCCAGTCTTCTTAAAACAACTTAAGGCCGCTCTTTATAATTATAAGTATAGTCTCTCTATTACTTTCCCAACCAGTTACTAGTATCTTTAGCACTTTAATCTAGAGAATATCAAGCTATCTATAAACTAGTTCAATATTATAAGCTATAATCTTTATAGAGCTTAGGATATTAGCAATAAGTAAACTAGTACCTTTGTTAGAGCCTATATAAATCTTACTAAGATCAAGAGCTTATTAAATCTTCTTTAGTATAATAAAGTCTCTCTATCTAAGGTTATCCTAGGCCTTTTATTCTATAGTTAAGCTATTACACTAGCAAAGCCCTCCTATTTAAAGCCTGGTTACCTATACCTATTAGCTAAAGATGCTAAAGAGTATAGCAGCAAGTCTAGGATTCTCTTTAATAGTAAGATCACAGATCTTATTTGCAATAAGAAACTCTAGCCAAAGCTCTACAAGGATGCTACTATTAAGACAATCCAGTAAAATAATAACCAGTAGGTTTCTTATAATAATAGAGATACCTAGAAACTTAAGGCTAACTTTCTTAAGTCTTAATATCTTAGTAGAGTCCTAGTATAGGCTATTAACTATAATAATAATAAGTATTCCTACTCTAAGGGCCTGGCTATAGTAATAGGTATTAAAGTTAACGATGGCTCTGGTAATAGATTAGTAATCAAGCTTCCCTTTAAGAAGGAAAATTCCAAAGACTTTTATTACTTTACTAACTACAGCTAGACCTATCCCTGCGGTTATACTAAGATTATTTATAGTAATAAGACCTTGCAGCTTATGCTTAATTCAATGTAATATCCACTAGGCTTAGGATAGATATAGATACTATACTACCCTAAGTCTTCTAAAGTGCTAAAATATTAATAGAGAGGTTTTTCTAATTTGCATTATTGCACTATTGGCTATAAAGCTGGCGAGGTTAAGGTTAGTATGACCGCTAAGGGCTGCGGTTGCTTAGGCTGGCAATCCGCTTGCTGTAAGGCTACAGAGTCTACTGAACCTTGGTTAAAGTGTAAGTGGATAGACCTATGTTTTGAAGATAATATATATCCTACTGGCTACTCTTCCTTGGTTGCTGAGTCTAGGGAGGGTTAGAGCGGTCAACGGTTATGCAAGAACGGCTCTAAGTATAACTATTACTATACCAAGACCCCCAAAGCATTTAAGAACTGCAAATGGGTTGGTCACGAAGTGTTATTCACTAATGGAAAATTTTGCAGCGATGCTTATCCGCACGGATCCACTCGCATTACTGAGCAACAAGTCAACATGATGTGGGACTCCAATAAGCCAGCCAATTCCAAAGACTGTAGCATGGGCGCCGAGGCCTATTGTTGCGCTGGCGAGAAGGAGTCGCAAGAGGACGAGCAACCAGAAATCGATTACCGCGATGACACTACTGCGAAACAGTTTGACAGTCTTCTGCAAAGCTTTCTCGAGGACCCCGTGTGCCCGCCCGGATTTGAGACCGAGTATACAATGAGAACTGGAGTTTATTCACGAGACTTACTCCAACGTGAGAAGACGGACAAGGGAATAGTTCTGGTTTCACTTGTTCGCCTCATGGCAATGTGGTACACGTCTCAGAATCCAGACAAGAAGATAACAGAGTTATACCAGTTGCGTCTCGAACAGCATGGGTACGCTGAAACAGCTGCCAATGTGACCACTTATCACGATGTCATGTTTCCAGGCTCTTTGTCTTCGAACGGAATGCCCAGCTACGATCCCGAAGCTATGGCCGCAAGCTCGATCTGCAATCTTCGTCACTCAAGAGAGGCCCTGGACAACCTTTCTGTTGCCTCAGAAGCTCTATGTCAGATCCCAGGTAGTAGTGAGTCAGTATCGTCGAAGCGAGACGTTCTCAAACCTCGCATCTTCGACGCATCTACCATGGAAGATCGGAGTCAAAATCGTCAGCTACCAAGTGTTGCAGTTGCCTTACAAGGCATTCTAGACCGAGAGCTAACATTGCACTATCTGAGATGGCTTAGGACTCGTGATGAAGAAGAAGTCATTCTCGAGATAGCTTTCTGGATTGGGGACCAGATCGGTGTGACTCCATCCCAGGAGATCCTCGACCGCTATTCCGATAGCGGTCATACCATATATCGTGACCGATGGGTTGTCTTTCATTTTCATATCCCAATTGATCGGCGCACCTTCTTGGGCCAGCAACCGGAATTCCTCGTTGGTGTTTCTAGCTTCAACATGTACCACTCTCAGACTGTCGTTGTTCCATACGTGGTGGATAGAGGGTCACATCAGGACTATCGAGCTGAGTTCAGGTACTTGCAGCTTCTGACTTGGAAAGATGGCAACGCTAATATCTTTCTTTTCCAGTTTCGCCGCCTCGGTTAGGCCTCGCGACGGTCGGACCCCCCTCAACAGCCAAGGCGAGAATGGCCGGTGGGGTATGAGGGGATACAACGAGCGTGTACAGCCTCTGAACTGCCGAGATATAGCGGCCGAGAGGTGGTACCCAGGCTTCAATTATCAGGCAGCAGGTACGATCTCAAGGATAACACAGGGGAACCGACCAGATCAGTACTCTATATTGGTGGATGAGTTTGTATGTATCCGCTGTTCCTATCTTTAACGTCCATAGCTTACTGACATCTCAAAGGGTCGCTTCCTTCTACAGGAGGGTGTTTTCAGCCGCAGGAACTTAGCGTATCTCTGGCCTGCGGTGGGCGATGAGGCGGCGAACCTCGATCCTATGGCCAATCTCAACGACGGTCGTAGATTGTATAACCCTCAGCTAGGAGCCTTTGACTATAACTTTTCGGGCCTATCAGACTCTGTGGGCGATCTAAGTCGTTTCGCTCCTAATCCGTATCGAAACCCGCCGTCATAACTAAAAACATCTAGAGCTTGCAGCAGTTCTTGCCAATAGTCACATTTGAGAGACAATAGACCGTACTACTGTATGCAGTCATAGTGGTATTTCAACGAAATACAACAAATCTAGCCCGTGCACGTTGCCGAGTCGTCTGTGTATACATTATATCTGTGTATTTCGTTAAAATCTCTTTTTTATTTACCATTTCGAGTTATACGGTATGTGATAACCGTAAGGAATAATAAGAAAGCTAGTATTTAATTAGAACTACCCCTGTGAGGCTTCTCTGGTTGACCTAGCTAGAGACTTGGCCCGCAGGTGATGTCTGTATATTCCTTCCAAATGAGTGATATGAAAGGACATTGCCGGCTCAGTAACCGAAGCACGGGACACCTAAATTACTGTATGTAATTACATCCACATGCCCCTGTCCAAACCCGCAACCCTTGCTAGCCTTATGGAGTCTCAAGTGGACGCGACTAACAACCAACACATGAAGCTAACGACCAACACGTTAAGCTAACGACCAACACGTTAAGCTAACGACCAACACAGCGTTGCAATTGTCTCGGAAAGAGAAGTCCTAAAGGGCTAGTAAGCAAATGTGAAAATCTTTTCATTCAGGACGGGAAGCCGAGAACAGGAGCCTCGGCTCGTCGGCATCATACTGAAAGGTGTCGTGCGACAAGGATCACTTGATCACTTACTGGGTGTCTAAAAATGGAGCTTTGCCTGCAGATGTGATATTCGAAATTGAAAGGAAGTTCCGGCAGGTACCTTCCCACTAGCTGACCTGGACTTGGATTTGGGGGAAATATCGAGTTCGTAAAAGAATGAGTAATTGTAAAGAAGGACGTCTAGTTATTCCTGTACTTTTATTTTGAAATATAATTTCTTGACATCTGCCAGAGTCTAGCATTTATTTACTATTTTACTCAATGAGACATTAGGTAACCAAAATCTTAATCCAGTGAATATGTATGTGTATTGCCGCTGAAAATTCGGATTTGGAGAGTCGATGGAACATAAAGATAAATCATTGGTCTCTCTGGGCACGCACTCAGTTCCTGCGTAACGTCGGGGTTAAACGGTAGCAATGAAACCCTAGGGTAGTGATTCAGGCCAATCACCGTTATTAGAACATCTTGTCTTGGCTGTTGGTTCATGCGATAAATGACATCAAGAGTCACGACCACTGGCCCTCGGTTGCCTGAACCGAGACTAGGATCATTACTAAGTGGCGATGATACTGGTCAAGAACTCTGGATGTTTCCCGTTCACGGCAGAATAACCGCCGAGTGAAATTCTTGGCTCGGCTCTGGCCTTGCCGAGATTCACAGGGTCCGTGACTTTGCAGGGATGATGACGCCGCCCGGGAACGATCTTTCGCCGAGACCTCACCTCATCCCGCTGGACTTTCTCGGCATTATTCCGGGGTGTTGTATGCTAGGTATGGCTGTTGGTTCTCCAGTTGCAGAGCTGGAAAGCAGATCGGGCTTGTTCAGCCATCCGACTGCAGAACCGGTGGAAACTAACACGATGGATGCTCTTTGTAATAATGTATTTCCGGGAGGAAAGGTCGTGAATATTTGGTAGCATAAGATTGTACTTAATCAGCATAAGGGTACTGCGAGAGTGAACATTCCATCACCAACTCAAACCTTTTACTGCTTGTGAACTTTTTCAGACCATTATGCATTGTACCGCTCTTTTACTCCAGGGTCTCTTGGCTGTTGGAGCAACGGCTTTGCGCGGCCAAAGGATCCGACGCCAGGACGGCACTATCGATCCAGGCCAGCCCTCGGACTGCACTTGGTGGATAATAAGAGAGGAGGAATATCAAGATTGTGCATATCTTGAAGATTACTGGAATCTGAAGCATTCACAGTTTGTTGAATACGTAAGTGGTAGTCATTTACTCACACATTATATCGTACTCATCAGTTCTAGAATCCTACGGTCAAAGATGACTGCAGTGGCATGCAGTTTGGACACTCTTACTGCGTTGAGGTGAACAATGGGCTCCCCCGCAAGGAAGAGTCTGCATCCTCCAAGACAACCACTCCAGTCAGCATGGCTGAACCGACTAAGACGCATCAGGCAAGCCAGGCAAGTCAGACACAGGACGGTCTCATCGACACATGTGTGTCCTTCTACCAGGCTAAGAAGGGAGATACATGCCCTAAGATTATCGCTGAACACAACAACACATTTGACAAGGATGATCTGGTCAAATGGAACCCCGCCATCCAAGAGGATTGCAGTGGTATCTGGGCCAACTACTACTATTGTGTTGGAGTGCCTGGAACTCCCACGTCACCCCCGACAAGAACACAGGAGGCTACCATCAAGCCCACCAGCCCAAGTAAGCCTAGTCCTACGCAGGATGGTCTAATCAGTAGCTGTACCAGATTCCATCAGGCTAAGAAGGGCGAAACCTGCACGAACATCATCTCTACGTTTGGCACATTTGACTTTGATACCTTCTATGAATGGAACCCAGCTGTTGGCGAGGAGTGCAGTGGTATCTGGGCAAACTACTACTACTGCGTCGGCATCCCAGGAACCCCCAACACCAAGCCTTCTGTGACAACTGTAAAGCCCACAGCAACTGGCTTCCCAACCCCTTCACCTATCCTTGATCGCACCGTCAAAGGTTGCACCAAGTTTCACCTTGTTTCCAAGACAACTACCTGCCCATCGATTGAGAAGTACTATAACCTACCATTCCCACAGTTTCTGGCTTGGAATCCAGAAGTTAAGTCGGATTGTAGTGGACTTTGGGCCAACTACTATGTCTGCGTCATGGTGGAAGGATACAAGCCTGTGACTACCACCGCAACAACACCGGCAAACGGAATTCAGACCCCTTCACCTATCCAGACCAACATGGTTAAGAACTGTGAGAAGTTCCACCAGATCAAGCCTACGACTACTTGCTCATCCATTGAGAAGTATTACAACCTTGCCATCAAGACCTTCCTTTCGTGGAACCCAGCTGTTGGTCAAGTTTGTGAATACCTTCAGACCAGGTACTATGTCTGCGTTGCAACTGTGGGTTGGAAACCTCCTACAAAGACCACTACAAAACCTTCAAATGGAGTTTCAACTCCTACGCCTATCCAATCTGGGATGGTGGGTAATTGCAAGAAGTTTCACCCTGTAGCTTCCACAACGACATGCACATCTATTCAAGCGTACTATAAGATCACCATGGCCCAGCTGGTCAAATGGAACCCGGCCATTGGCTCGAAATGCACTGGTCTTTGGGCCAACTACTATGTGTGTGTTGGTGTTTAGGTAAACTGGACAAGGACGGGAGAAGGAGTGTAGTTCATATTGCGGTAGTTATATATAGCACCAATCTACCGTGGAACATTTTATTATGTGTATAGTATGTGAAGTTTGTAATGCTTCTGAGCGAAACTCGGCTGGTTGAAGAGCTAAGTCCATATCATGCTACGATGGGTATTGCCTAACTGTCCGAATACTGGTAACATCCTGTGCTTAAAGATTGAGAACAGTATTATGTCAAGCGAATCACTCCAATGAAATAGCCAGGTTCAGTGATATGATCTGTTGACAGGGTCGTAATATGTAAGATTATTAGTTCTTCAAGTTCTGCCGGGTCTTTTCTGTTATCACAAAGATTATCCCCAAACATTATAAGAGATAGGATGATTTATTTATTTGATGTCAGCTTAGACTAGCTCTTAGAGTGGTTCATTTTGGTGGCCGGCCTCTCTGCTTGTCGTCACCTAAATTTGCTTAAACCCAAAGCATCCATTTTGCCGCGGAGGCAATGTCGATCACTGCTTCGCCCGATATCTGGATATCTCACTCTATACCAGGGAAGCTAGTATCTGATAGTGCTGACATTCAGATCGGCATCGAGCAGTGCTTACCTTACTTGTCGATCCTTGCGGCTACTCGGCACGTTATATGTTAAATCGTCGATGGTCTACTTGATAACTGAGGATCCATATTATTCTGTGAAATGATGATGTAACCTCACCAGATTCACCTAGCTGGGACTACTAAGAGGGATGATTGCAGTGTTCGAGTACACCTTCTAACGTACCTTAAGAATATATTATTCCCAATCTAAAGTATATGAAAAGGCTGTGACGGCTATTATCTTGGATGGGATAAGTTAGCAATTGCTGCTATTCTTGAGGATACCATCTTGCAGAACGTGACAGTCGCACCACGTATTTGCCATAACGGACAATACGAATAGTCAGACATATGCTAACGTGCACGGAAGCATGTGTCTAGCTTACTATATACGAGTCGATCCTGCCTAGCGAAGGATTCCGCCCAGTGTGATCATCGCTAAGTCACGTCCAAGCGCGTCTTACACCTTAACTGTTCAGAGCACAGGCGTGCCAAGGCACTACAAAGGTTCTAAGAACTAACACCGCATGTTCAAAGACAGATCGGCTGTAGTTGCTTATGGCTTGCACTGTAGTAGGAGTCAGTACCTGGTTCTTTGCCTTGTACTGATTGAATCAGATGTTCTAGGTAAGCATAACATGTTGTTATGTCAGACTTTTGCATCTATCTACAACGAAAGCTCCTACGCCAGGACGATGAGATCTTCGTAGCTCAAGTATAAAAGGACACCGTCGGAAAAGCATTCTCATTACTCTTCTCTTCATCCTCAGCTCTCAATAATAATTCCCATTCATCTGCATAACAATCATCTCATACCAATACTACACGTTCAATACCTCTACCAAATACAGCAAAATGCTCGCCATAAGCGCTTACGCCATTGTACTATTCTGCTCTTCCGTCCAAGCTGGAGTCGGTCCAGTGCTGAAACGTGATGATTTCCATGGCTTCCCTGTCGGCGATGTCTGCCTGTTTCAGGGCGGTGGACCTGTAGGTGTCGCAAACGCCGTATGTGCAGGCAGCGACGGAAATGCACACACAGATAAGATCACCTGTCCCGACCAAGGGGTTGCGGAACGAATTTGCGGTCGGGATGATGAGAATGAATACGTACGAGACAACTGCAAAGTCATTGATGGATCGGGGACCTACTGCACCACGAACAAAGTGCATACCGATGAATACGAATACTACAACCGATGCTACTGTGTCAATGGCAATTTCTGTTGCGACCAGAATGCTGAGGTCCCAGGCGGTGAAAGCCCCGTCGACTACTTCAAAGGAGCTGGATGCAGCTGTGGTGATCCTATCTAGGGGACTGAACAGGGCAGGATGCTTCAAGTCGATAGAATGTTCACTCCTCAATTCAACATGAATGAGTATAGCACCTGCGACCAACCCGATTTCTTAACCAATACACTAGACACAACACACCTTCATTACAATACATTGTGAGCCACTAAGGTTGGCGGCTCGTCAGCTCCCGTGGCTTGTCTTTCGCATACCAAATCATGGCGGCTGACACAAAGCTTCCACCTACTTTCACTGTACATACATTCACTTAGGACTAGATAGAAGTCAAGTTAGTTCACTGACTGTCAATGAAACTTGTTTATCGAACTATGTTTAACTCGCTTTCTATAAAGGTTACGCCATCCATCATTGTTGGCTACCCCACAGCTGTTACGTCAGCACAGGCATCACCTTTGTTCACAGATCGTATCCCTGAGCTTACCCTCTTTTAAACCAAACATCAACCAAGAAAGAAAGATGTCATCAAAAGAGGAAGAGCTTTCGCCTGGAGAACGACAAAAACGATTGCAGGAAGAGCATTATGCCAAACAAGTGGCGGTCCGAGACGCGCAACTAGCCAAGTTACAACAACAAGCCGAGCAAGCCGCACAGCGCAGTTATGGCATTCCCCATACCGCCGGCTTATTAGCTTACCCTCCTCTTCTCGACCCGACGAACCTCCAGCACCACGGACAGATGTCACCAGAGGGGAATAAGAGCAATGAGCTCTCGCTGGAAGAACAACAAAGAAGGCGGCAGCTGGTCCGTGCGATACGTCCTGAGTCGTTGTCGCCAGAGCAATTAGAACAAGCCAAGATGCGACAACTGGCAGCACAACGGGGGCGGCAGATAGCTGGGATGGGATACCAGCAGATGGGCGACGGCATTACCAACACGTGTCCCAGTGACGTGGAGATTCGCGTGGGACTAGAGGCCGATGTACCAGATTTTGTCAATTTTCGGTCTGCCTGCCGAGAGGGTGACTTATCTACCGTCAAGTCCATCGTTTCTTCTCAAGCTCGTTCGCAACTCTATCTTTATAAAGGATTAGACGGCGCCCTTAGAAATGGCAAAGTCGACGTTTCACGTTTTCTTCTACAGTCTGGAGCACCGATAACGCGAGCAACGCCAGCAGTCGTTCTCAAAGCCCCAGCGGACAAACAGGTTGCCTTATTCCAGGTCCTCATGGATCATGGCTGGACAGTCAATAATCCAGAGAGTCTCCTCCCAGAAATCTTTCGGAGTAATAACGAGTCATTATTTGATTGGTTTCTGAAACAAGGCGCAGATCCCAACGTTGCCGGCCCCCAGAATGATACAGGACAGACTCTCAGGCTGGCAGCCACACAAGGTACTGTTCAGGCGGTGCAGAAGCTTCTGGATGCTGGAGCGAATATGGCCAGTTCGGGGCTATATTGGGCTGCAGGCGCCTGTCCTGAAGGCTCAGTTCCCAACATCAGACGTATTGAACCAAGCGTGGACTTCGACAAGTCAAGGATTCCCGTCATGGAACTGTTACTGGAGAAAGGGGGTGATATCAATCACCGACTGGAAACGCGCCATATGGAAGAGCTGTATCCAATTGTAAATGCGGTCAAGGCGGGCGCTGTTGGGAGGGTCAAGTGGCTGTTGAGCAAGGGGGCGGATCCTGACTTCAAGGGTTCGTGGGGTAGTGCCAGAGACTGTGCTAAGCGTGACTCGAGCGATGAGATGAAACGGGTGTTGGGAGTCGAGTAGTAATTAGACTTATCTACTGTAAACTTGTCAACGTTACTAGCCTCCTGGAGGCGATCGCTCAAATGCAGAATACGCGTATAGCTAAATTTCCGCGTATTATATAAGTTATTGCAGCGGCCCGAGAGTCCACAATGCGCATATAGCGTCAAACCTCTATGTATTATACTTGTACCCAACTTCAAGTAAACTAATAATATGGTAATAACGTTAAGATAAGTGATATATCCAAGGGATATCTATTTATAAATACGTCTTATTGCTAATTCTTCTATTACTATTACATAGCTGGGTTGTCCTAGATACTATTATCAACAATGTACTGCCGCCAAGCCCTTATATTGAAGTCAAAGCCTAGCTAAGAATTGCGTATTAAGTACTAATCTATTTAAATGAGCCAAATATCTTCAATCAAGCATATCTATATGTATATTTAAGTCAAGTTAGCCACGTCCGTGTGGATGTCAGTGCACATAGATGGCTGAATGATTTCCCCAAACATGCCATTTAGCCTCTCCTGGCTGACTATTTCATAATACGCGTATAGAAAACTCACCCTTGCGGCCTTCTTGGCAAGCCGGTATTAGCAGCCCAGGAAGTACTCCAAAATGGATCCTTTCTTAACATAAAATGATCTGCTGTTCCTTACCTCCTGCGCTACGGTGTGATATTGATTCCATAACCAACCAGTTCTACTATCACCCTTTGATTAGCGACTTCAACATTTGACTCAAGAATTGACTATCCCTCTCGGTGCCAGTTGACTATCAACCACGATCTACGTGAAGTAGAAGACTACAGCTTTCTTGCCATAATCATGGAGCAGCCCAAGCGAGCAAGTTCTTCTTCGGAGATTATCGTCCGCAGTCAACTCGAACTCGTTCCAGATACCCCAAACTCCTGGAAATCCACTGCGATAATTTGGCTTCAGCAAATGACCATTTTCAAGGCCCTTCTTATTCTATACTGCCTCAATGTAGTAGCATGGGGAGGGATGATCTTCTTGTTAATGTGCAACGCTGCACCCACTATGTGTCACCCCTCCTGCGACGACATCAACTCTCCACGCCAGATATGGATCGAGATAGACTCGCAAATTCTTAATGCTCTTTTCTGTATGCCAGCATTTTGGCTTGCTCCCCAACGATGCATCGAGTTCTGGAAAGTACTTAAGTGCACCACGAAACAAGACATGACCGCCCTGCGCCAGCTCGCCGCGACTCACTGGGAATGGTTTAGGCTTCCTGGATCGGACGCCATCCCTGCTCATGTGGGCCCAGTCGAAGTGGAGGCTTGGCTTAGTGAGACCCCATGTCAAGAGGGCATACTGCCTTGTCCAACGAGAAGCATTCCCGAGCCACCGCCTTCCGGCCGACGAGCGATGCCGAGTCGAGTGTGGAAGCTCCAGGCAGTCATTGTTCTGAGCCTGTTAAACACGATATTCCAGATCGTCCTGTCTCTGTTTATGTGGTGCTACAATCGTCACAATCGACCAGCTTGGTCTGTTGGACTGTTTCTCTGCCTAGCTTTTGTGTCATCAATAGGTGCTGGTGTACTCCAGTTCTTGGAGAAAAGGAGGGTGCAAAGAGTTGAACGAGCACTCTGTCGAAGCGAATCAAGAATCGAGGATGAGGAACTTGCGTTGGTTTATCGTTGAAAGTTAATACGAAAGCGATAGTGAATTGTTACTGATAAATTTGAATATCCTCGTAACTGGAAGTCCCTTTTGTTGAGAATTGGTTACTGAGTTTACCTGACACTTGTACTAATATAAGTAATGTGGAAGTGTTTTTCTTTTCAACTAGCCCTTACAAGAGTGTGGTGTCCGGCATCTGTTCTGAGAAGTCGGTAAGTCTACCCTGTATCTATATGAGCAGGTGAGTCGAAGAAAAAGCGAGACTTGGCTAAGGGTATCATAAAAGTTAGGATACTCTACTCTAAGCTTATTACCCAAACAAGCCTAAGTTATTTTGTCACCACAATTCTGTGTCCTGGCTATTTTTCGGACCACCTGATGACCAAAAAGCCATCCCAAGCCTCTACACATACTTCGTTCGTTGCCTATGTCTGTACATCCTCCCAGTGCAATAATGATACGGGCTTCAATAGTAAAATAATAATGCTTTCATATACATGACTACTTCTTCGAATATTGTAGCGATGTCGAAGGCTGTGAACTTATCGAAGTCAGACGGTTTGGTCAAGATCTTGTTTGGCAAGGGAGAGAGGCCCACTGTTAGTAGAAAGACCGCAAACGTCAAGCTTTCTCTCTATCCTGTCCCCACTAGCTCTCCACTTGTCCATTGTTCTCTACATCCCCAGTCTTGGTCTCATCATTACAACACCCCCGTCTCCCCGTTCCTTTGAACCTCATTGCCCCAGCCCACTCATCTCAGAAGTCGTAAGTACCTACTACTTAGCCGTTCTGAAGATGGAAAATGTGTGATTTTCCCGTCGGCGTTGACGTACGTGCTTTGTTCATCGAGATGGGTCAGTCGGGCTTTCACACATCGTTGGTTGCGGGCTGAGACCTCTATACTGTCCACTTGAGTGATGGTTCCTACAGGAGAAATTTCTTCCGCCATTCACAGACAAGATTCTGATCACGAGGTGTCCAGCTACTTCAGAAACACTAGCCCATTCCTAAACGCGGCGTCTTACGTATGGATCAGTCAACTAGTGTTTCCCGAACAAGACACGATGTATCAAGAAGTAAGACTTGAAAGAGATACAGAGTACTTGTTCTGTAGCCTTTTCGAGAGTGAAGTCTCCCCACGTAGCACAGCCCATGTCTGACCATGTTGCGGTCAAACCATGCATCTGCACAATGATGGCAGGGGCATCGCCTGGCCAATTGAACCTTAGCTCGTCGGAGCTTTTACGGGGTTTGGCCCTAGACCAGCCGTTCTGCTGTCACAGTCGCAGCTGTCACATTCTTTGGCTACAATCTGCAGGTATGATCAAACGCCACAGTTCGTAGTGAAGGCTGAGGGTGAACGCGCAGCGTCCCATGATTCGTCAATGGGGTCTGTCTCAACAAAATAAGGTGGACCAACAGACAATATTTCCCAGTCAACAAGAATTACAGGTCAAGGCACAAGCTTATTGGCTCCTCGCATGACTTCTATACTCGTATTCCTACCTCTATCCAAGGCTGATTATTCCCAGCCTGAGCTTTACGTATTTTAGGGCTGCGAAAGTGTGTTGGTTCAATAGACACCCAGGCTGGTGATTCCTTCTCAGCAGTCGAGTATGGCGAGGTTTGGTGCTTTGATTGGCACAGTAGAAGACAGACTTTTCAAGCTAAGTAAAGGTCCGGCACATAACGTCACAATGACCAGAGAAGGTTTCACTCGCAACGGGCCGCTCATTCTAGATCCCGAAGGTGAAGCTCGATTAACTTTCTTGTGACAGCTGCCAAGCTGCGAGGTCGGAACGCCATCCAGGGAGCGACATCCGGGCCAGTCACCACAGGAGCTCTGAGACACGAGACTTTAGTCGCTCATCTGAACTTGTTTTTGCCAGACAGATAACGGCCAACGGTGTCTTGGCAGATCCCGCCTCATCTTCTTTTGATGTTCTGCAGGAAATGATCGGAGATCAATCATCGACTGTGGAGCTATCTGGGTTGAATTGTTGTCGAGAATTTCGTGCTGTCAGAAAGGGATACATCTTGATCACATCCCTTGGCAAGGGAGAAATGCCCCTCTCTGTGACAAACTGAGCTGTCAGAAGGAAGAGGATCTACACCTGCATGGGGCTTTTGAGGATCACGGATGCACCTGCATAGGGATCAGCACATGGGTCGATTGACAAGGCTCTTTCCCACGTAAACGACAGAACATTTGTCCTCTAAAGCTTCAGCTGCCAAAATGAAAAGGCCCAGCTACTGGCATAAGCTGGCAGACGTTAGCTAAATTACCATGTCTCTTATGCTCTTGGTCGCCAGTTCTTGCAACACCCAGACAGCTCCGGCATTTAACAATCATATTCGTATTTTAAGGACGAGGGTTTTGATCTGCAGCAGCGAGTTTTGTGATATATCATATTCGACATATGGCGTAGCATTGATCTCACCAATAACACTTTTCAAGTGTGGGGACTTCTTGGCAGCGTGCGGCTGAAGCAAACAGAGACAATCTGATCCTTCACCTGCTCAGTGTCTCAGTTGTCGAAAAACCAAACGCTGGCTTGCCATTGGCAGATCTGTCTTGGACAAATAAGGTATGCTTTAGGCAGGTTACGGTCAAGTGGTCCGCTTCCGCGATGCGAAGACCTACATTACACGAAAAAGGAAAGACATTATCAACTACAGACATTCAGTCATAGATAGTCTCGGACATCCCACCGCGCTGAGATCAACGTCATGCTTCACCAACCACGTCTGACCTTACGGAGCGGTAATAAAGAGTGATCCCAGATACATTGTACTGGAAGCAAGACAAACTTTGACTCGTACACTTCCTTCAGGTTGCGCTGGAGTGTGTACTTATCGCATTGAAACTCCACTGTGAATAAACTCCAGTCATCCCTAGAGACCCACGTTTAGTGTTAGCACCTCGAGTAGCCTACGGGAAATTAAGGGATATGGAATCTTCTTGATCTACAATAGATCAACCGTTGTAATTTCACCAATAAGCGCCACCAACGTCAGAGTCAAAAGAGGTCTTAGAATCTTAGTGACTGCCGTGATAGTTGCCTTGTAGAGATATCACATACCAGACGCGTTATGCACCCGCTCCAAAACGGAGAAACAGGCCCACTTGTCAACTGTCAGGCGTCACACTCCTTCTCGATCACCGGCCGAAGGGATGCGATAGTCTCAGAAACCAGGTCATGCTTGACATCCAGTAGCATAGCTATCGTGAGTTCTTACAGTCTTTGGTGACGCCCCATCAATGCAATCAGCTCGATTGAGATGCCAGGAAGGTTGGGTTGACACAGGCGTGCACAATCTGTTCCGCCAAAGATACAACTCACGTCCTGCCTGTTTGGAGGTCGATCCATGAAGTCCAAAGATCTATAAAAGCCGTCGTCTGTCCTGCTTCAATTATCTATCATCAGCACTCACAATCACACACTTCTCTCACAACACCACTATCAAACAATCATCACTTTACACTTCTGTTCTTTCAGATCCCCTCAAATCATCAACATGAAGGCCTCCATCATCCTCACTCTTCCCGTCCTTGCCCTTGCCGCTGCCACTCCTGCCAGGGTTGAGGAGAGACAGGTTGATCCCCTTGAATGCCTGGAGGGCATCGAAGGCCTCCGCAACTGCATTGACCCTGGCAGACTTGTCACCAACCCCCTTCTTGTCTTCACCATCGCCCGATGGTAAGTCACTCTCCTACAACTTGATTTTTAATACTGTATATACTAATATGTAGTAGTCTTCCGCCTAGACTTCTCGGGGCAGTCACTGGGTGTCTTAGTGGTCTGCCTATTCCTGTCAAGGAATAGAATTCAGAAACGATAACGACCATCCACTTCTTGGAGGATCGAGTTAAGATATTAGTCATAACATACCACCGTCGCCTTATCCTGCTAGCGGATACCTAAATTTACATTCATTTGAGGCGAAAACACTGAACCTGTTATGCTGCACTGGTGAGATAATCTGGATGGAAATGCTCTGAGCATTATGTGACACCATAATTTACGAACTGTAGTTTCATTTTCAGGTTCAGATCGTAGCTAACTATCTCTACCTATATTTAACTGAAAGCACTACTGGACAAGTAACAGATAGCTAAGACTTTGGACAACCTCATGTAATAACTCGGCATTTGTCAGTTGAATATTAACACTCGACCTCGTTTCAGTGGGACCTATTCGATTCAGTCCGCCGGTTGTATTGTACAACTACAGCAAAAGTGTCACGCCGGGAAGTCGCGCGCAATAATTAAATCCCGACAAAGACTATCCAAGGTTACTTCGGGAAGCAATTAGTCCCACCTTGGTGCAAATCGCCAAAATGTGCTTAGCTCCCCTTCGACACTGCTGTTGAAGAAGGGCGGGATATGCTGGACATTGTTCTCTGGAAACTTCTCTACGCATTCCAGTTCATCAAAAAGGAATGGTTCTCGGAGAGTCCGTCCAGTAAAATAGTCCTGCCACTGAACATATCGCCGTATGTGATGCTCGTCCTCTCCGTGTATGATAATCTGGCGCGTGGCCTCGACGTCGTAGCGTTGAAGAGCCTTTCTATCAGGGAAGTGCAAGTCGATTGGTGGATATGATCTTGCAGAATCGCAAAACATCCACGCCCGCTGTCGGTACATCTTGATTTGAACTGTACGGCTTGATAACTCCTCTGCGAAAAAGTCAGATAGTCGGCGCATCCCACGCCGAGCGCATGAGAAACGGTTGTTACCTCTGATTGAATATGTTGCTGCACCCTCCAGTTCATCAACTGGATCTTCATCTTCGTAAATCCTACTGACCAATAGCAATGATAGACCACCCAGGGGGTCAGTTAGTCTCGGTGAGAGACCGCCATGTCTGTTGAGAAACCCGCCCCAGTAGGGTGGATCATGAGGGGGTCTTGTGACCCTTGGCTCTTCTGCACATTCCTCAAAAAGACAGCAGAACCAGTGTAGTAGAGTCGGATTGCCGTGAGAACCCTTACTCATATGACTCAGTAAATGGACTAAGAGGTCAAATCCCTGATATTCTGACCACCACGATACATTTTGGAATGCCCATGTCCGAAGAAGATCTTGAAAATAGCCATGGGGGTCGATTCTGACATTGTCGGGATACAGAAGGCCCTTCGTGTCGCTCCTTACAAAGAAACAATCAGGGTGACGTTCCTGTGCCCAAGCTAATCTCGCAAACAGGCCACCAAAGGAAGCTCCGACGTACTCGTAAACACAATGAATAGACTCATATAGGCTGGAATCCATGTGTTCCCATGACGGGGAAGCCAATTCACTCCACTCAAGCATATGCATCCCCACCCGAGGGTCATAGACCTTGCATAAGACCTCAAATTTGAGGAAAGCTCGAAATAGGCGATACCTCTCGATTGGTGCCAAGTCATCCAAAGTGACTCTCTTGTTGGTGTTCGTATAGGTGATCTCAGGAGGATGTTTGAGGTATGCCTCAACTGGAGATGAGGACGTTGCCTTCCCCATATAATCTTCGATTAAGAGTCCAAGACGAGAGAACAGGCGATGGAGATGCGCCATTGTTGCCTGGTTTCTTTGCGGCGGTGGCTGTCGGAAAGGGTCAGCGAGTTTCTTTGACGACCATTGCTCCAAGTGACATTTTGTCGCCTGATCATCGGTCTTGGTCGCGTCAAATCCGATGATACCCAACGCATCTTGGAGCAAATCATCGTTGTTACCTGTTCGTATTAACTTCGATATGAACGTGTTGAGGAGGGTTTGTTTGTGAGCCGAATAATGGCTCAGCATCGTGGGGGAGGCTTGGATGAGTCGCCAGATAGTCGTATGTGAGTAGATGTTTTCCATGATGGAGAGGGTGACTTCTACCGGGAGCTTCTTGAAAGGGTCCATTGCGTCTGTTTGTAGTTCCACGGCTATTCGTGAAGGGCGTATGTGTCGATCGAAGATACAGAGGGAGAAATAGGCTGTGTTGGGTGATAATACGGAAGGGGAAATTGGATTTGTCCACTGGAAATACAGGGGAAGAGTGTGGGCTTATATAGATTTGGGGACTGTTAAGGCTTGTCTTAGATGAGTGTTACTCACCTGCATGTGTTCTCGGCAAAGGAACTTGAACCTTGCGGTAATCGAACATAAGCTTCAAACAACGCATCAAAGTCTGTCTATCCTGAGCCTTCAGTAGTGGTGAAGAATGCAGCCAAGACGACGCATCCGCGGTAGTAGAGGGTTAGTTGAGACTTGCGAACTTATCAGTATGGCCTGAAGATACCAGCCCTTCAGACGATCTGATAGAGGAAGATGGAGAGCGTACGGAGCAAAAGGTGGTCTTGAGTATCTGAGTAATAAGGCTTCGAATGTGGAGATTTGTCGTTAACCTTAACGTTCATTCTACCGAGCGACCACAACACGATAAGGCAAATATAGCCCGTGAACATGTCTGGGAACAAGTTCAGGTAAGAGCCTATCAGCAACCTATAGATTTGAGGGTCACACGAATTTTACCGCCACCACGCCGCCAGCCCCAGCCGTCCCACCTTCAATCAACGTTCTTAGTAGCACTGTATCTGCTGCTCAAGATCGCCTGGCACGACGAGCAGAAGGTCGCAATGAGGCCAAGTTCCGATTGAACAAGTTCTCCAGAGTATACGACCAGGCTATAGCAGACCACAAGGACGAGAAACCTCATGGTTCTCCATAAGCAAAGCGATAGGCCCCCGATCCTGCTTGGCGTCAGTTTGTTCTTTGTAAGCTTTATGTGCCACCACGACCCATAGATGGGGTGGCTGCAGGTATAAGTTTCAGCACGGTCCCTCCCTTCCCACTTGACGTCATCTCATATCGATAACTGATAAGATAGATGGTTAACCTAACCATCGATTTGGCAATCAACATTGGGACAGGGAGAGGGAGGCTTTTGCTCTCGGCGGATGGTTCTTTTAACTATTTGACGCAACGGTTTTTTCTACATGATATAGAATTCGATGGTTGTTGCAAAATACGCACCTCTTGCTTTAGCATGATAATGGACATGTGAGGCAAGATCTCGCAGGCGCCAATGTGACATGCTCAATATCCACGGCTGGTGGTACAGAAATTGCTGGCCTTCCTTTTGAAAGGAATTCACTTTGGTCTATATATAAAACTGAAACCATTCTCAATATCACATATTTTTGGGACCAGGTCAGACGATCGCCTTCCCACGTTCCTTAGAAAACTGGTTTGACATCAAAATTATCCGCGACCTGGAATCGTTCGATAAATCTCTGGGGTAGCGGAAAAAATGTCCTAGAGCCTAGTATGATAGAATAAGGTAACCTAAGTGCCAGTCTAAGGTATCATAAAGCGACAAAGTCATTTCGTCCCTTGTAGAACGCTTTCAATAGTAAAGTCTGACGTTACCCTAGAGACCCCCAACCCCCAGAATACCAAGAAACTAGAGAAGCACTGACAACCCAGATCGACAAGCACAGAAGATCCTCCAGAGTAGCAGCGATGACACATGTCTCCGTAATGGCAAAACACTGGGTCAAAAAGCTCGCCTCGCGTAACATGACAGGTCAGAAAGGCCTCGGCACAACTTGTTCAAATTTCCGGAACGAACCCTAAGATCAACAAAACCCCTGAACATGGTGCTAATCCGTCCAGGGCTAATTTAGCCGCCAATTGTCGATCTGACTAAAGGCCCAGCCACTTGGTGCTTTTTCCATTTTAGCGTCATGAGGAAAAGCTGCGAGTGACTCAAGATCCAATCAATTGGGGGGATAAAGTTCCATGGCTGAGACAAGCCTTTTTCTCAGTAACAATTGTAAGGAATATGGAATCTTTGGTACACCTGTCAGAAGAGGGGTCGGCAATTGACTGGTGATCCTTCATGGTTAGCTCTTTCGCTAAGAATTTAGTCCTGGTCTAACAGACCGTAGGCGATCGCTTCATTTGAATTTCAGGTCTACCGTAAGCTAACGACCGCGGAAGTACAATAACTCCGTTTGCACACGCTAACAAGCGGGGAATTCGTCTCCATACATCGTCCCATATCCCTCGTTTGAATGCAACTTCGCTTCCGACTGATCGGTTCGCTTCTTTTTGGCTCCTTGAACTCTCTTCCATCTTCACAAACTTTCGCGACAAGACAACATGCGCGATTTACCAACTGCTATTCCACGAGGTTCGTGGGTCCTTGTTACCGGAGCGAGCGGCTACACTGGTAGCCACGTGGTAATTGAGTTTCTGAAGCAAGGATACAATGTGCGCGGTACGACGAGGGATCTAAGCTATGGCAATTGGCTTCTTGAGCATCCTTCCGTGAAGCCGTTCGCAGAGCAAGGAAAGGTGGAATTGGTCGAGGCCGACACGACAAAACCTGGAGATTTCGACGACGCAGTCAAGGGAGTTTCTGCAGTGGTTCATCTCGGAAACATCGGAGAACTCACACCAGACCCAAACGTGGCATTTTCATCAGCTGAGGAAGTCGCTTTGTCCGTTTGTCGATCAGCAGCCAAAGAACCATCAATTAAACGCTTTACTCTTGCAGCAGGACTATGGACTTCGGTGTGGTGTAAGCCTGGGGAGACGAAAACGATTAATCAGCAAACCTGGAACGACGATTTAGTCAAGTTGGCAAAATCGCCACCGCCATATGAGTTGAGCCGTATGCTGGCTGTTTACCTGGCTGCTAGAGTTGACGCTGAGAAGGCGGTTTGGAAGTTTGTCAAGGACGAAGGACTATCGTGGGAGGTCAATAGTGTCAGCCCGTGTTGGCTATTGGGTGAGCCGTTGCATCCGAGACATTATATCACTATGCCGTTGCAGCTACTGCAGCAGTTGTATCTCGGTAAGACGGACGCTCTCAAGGAGAACACAACAGGTGAGTCAACGCAAACAGTAATGTGAATAAGAAGCTAAATGAATAGTGTACTACACTCACGTGTCGGACGCAGCCGTCGTCTATGTCGCAGCTACTATCGACCCAGACGTCAAGGGCGACCGAATCCCAGTACTTGCCAAGTCCTTCAACTGGAATAATGCCCTAGCAATATTGCGCGCTTCATACCCCGAGGAAGACTTTGAGGAGGATTTCATTCCTGGAGATCCAGTTTTGTCTTACAACATCGAGAATCAAACTGGGCCTGAATTATTGCAGAAGTGGGCGGGAAGGAAGTGGATAGGTCTCGAGCAGGGGGTTACGGAAACGATTGACTATTCTCGAAAGATTGGCAACTTGGATTGAGGGATCCTGGAAGAAGATGAGAAAAGCGTGACCGAAAGAGTGAGGAATTCTAAGAGAGGAATCTTGGAAGGTTACAAGATGATGAGGGGAGGATGGACATGGCAGGATAGTTGAAGGTGATTACGACTCTACTTTGTGAGTTGCACGAGTACAAGCGGAAACGATAACAATTTTCAAGTAATAAACAACAAAATTTCAATTGGTAGCAACAAAGTCCGAGATAAAAGTGATCAGGCTTCGGCTTGAGCATCCTTCGAAGGAACCTCCACCTCGGGCTTCTTGCCATAGACAACATAACTAAAAAAGTCAGTAACCAAATCTCACCATTCTCATATCACTTACATAGGAATATAAGCATGCACACTGCGATCCCTAAGCTGCTTCCTCATAGCCGAACAAAGCACCATAACCTCATCAGCCGTCCACCCCAAAAACCTCGTAAAAAGCGCCAACAAAAGTCCTTCAAGCCCATTGTTCATATTAGCATACGACCACTTACCAAGCTCCTTATGATGTTTATCCTTAGGCCACTCATTAATAGGCCAACGAAACTTCTTCTCGACAACATCTACAAAACCAGCCTTTTCGAAAAACTCTTTGTACTTGGGCGCAAGGTCGATGGCGCGGCCGGCTTTGGCGCTGGCTTCGATGGAGAGGGCGCCGGATTTTACGAGGGCGCTGTCGGGGAGGAGGGTTGAGTCGTCGCACGCGATTGGGTAGGTTAGATCTTGCATTTCGAGATAGCCGCCAGGTTCGAGGTTCTCGAAGGAGTTCTGGATGAACTTTTCGGTGTCGGCGAAGGAACCGGTCATGGTGCGGGCGAAGATGAAGTCGAAGGGTTCAGTCCAGGTCCATTCTTTCTCGAGGTCATCGATCTCGAAGATGCAGTTGGGTGGAACCCTAGACTGTTAGTCTTGCAAAGTCCCGCGAGATGACTGACAATCTTACATGGTAGGTTGGATTGGGCTCAGATCAACACCAATCACCTTGGCTTCGGGATGAGCATCGGCTACCATCTGTTAGTAGTGTCTTTACGTCTTAAGTGATTCATCTCACCGTATTCGATGGCCCAAAGACCAGTTCCAGTGCCAGCATCGAGAACACGCTTAGCTGTTCCGCTGACCTTGGGACAGAGACCAAGCTCCCCATGGAGAGTTAGAAGCCAAAGGTTGTGCTGTAAGTCAAGGCGATCACTTTCGGACTCATCGTTGGGAAAGTTGTATTCTAGACGTCTGTTAATGAACACTCTTAGTGTCGTGGGGAAACCACTTACTTCCGGAGCTCATGGCATGGTATGTGCGGCCGTTCTCTTCTTGGTACTGGAGAACGCTTGATCGGAGTGACTCCAAGCTCTCGAGGTCCGACTGAAAGTGTTAGCCCACTCATTGTTCAAGCAAGATTGAGAGCCATCGGGCTTGGACTTACGCCAGAGAAGGTAGAGTCGGTATCAGCATCATCGTCAAAGTTATCAGCAGCCTGCCTACGTCAGTACAGTCTCTCCACATATCCGGTCCGACGTACCAACGGCTCTTGCGGGTGCTCAACCTGCACCTGTTCACTCTGCACCTCAGTGGGCGCCTGGGGCTGTTCAACTTGTGCAGCCATAATGTCGTATTGCAAATTGTACCTGCAGCGATTGAATGATCAAAGTCAAGAAAGTCCACGAGAGGGGAAAAGAAGTGTTACATGTAAAGAAATCAGGTGATCTTGTACGGAAGCTGCTTCATGTTAGGAAGGACGCACAAAAAGACCTCACGCAATCTTCATGCGGTACGGACCTGTTGGGGGACATATTTCCGATGCATCTGTCTGGCGCAGCGGGTCATGAACCAACAGTCCCGCTGCCAAGAGTTGTACTGAATGATCCTGGTAGGTATCATCTGATATTCCAAACTTTTCAATAAGACACGAGCAAGAGTCTCTGGATCGGCTAATTTTTATACATTTGTTGCCGATACTAATAGATCCATCTGATAATGGGTGGAAATAGAATGGGAACAAGCTCTTCTAAGCTCAAGTTCGTGCGATGGAGCTAGGTAACGATGTAACATCCTTCGGACGCATTCCCCATCTTTGGCCGTTCCGGAGCACATCCCCTGCAACCTCTTCGTCTACAGACCAATTAGATCAAAATCTCGCAGTAAGCGATCTGTCAACCGAGAAGGATTCTCCCGGATAACCTTCCGCTGCCGCTTTCGAAATGTCCCACACTAGCGTACCGGAAATTGAGGGTTTACTACAGAATAATGCGGAGTACAATCCCAATTTCTGCCTACAAGAATGTTAATATGCAAAATATGATCTTGAGGAAACTGGAATAATTACCGCAAATTTGTCTTTGAGCCAGCAACAGCTTAACGCCCTGCTTCTTGGCAAGCTCTTTCATCTCGTCAATGCCCTCCGTTTCTGGATCATCGACAAAGGTGTCGGTGAAATCCAGAACCGTCAGGTTTGGCAATCGTCCGCCTGGTGTGGCTTGTCTTAATAGCTCGATGAAGCCATCGATGAACGGCTTCCTGGTCGGTCGGTCGCTGTAAAAGTGACGTCGTCGGGGTTTGAGATATTCAATGGACTTGGGCAGCCTATCAAGAACAATGCTCATCTCATAATGACTAGTCTCATTTCCGTTTTCGACGCGTCCATCTGAGAAGAGACCCACCATCGGACAAGCAAGTCGTCGAAGCCGAGTACATCTTCTGTACGCCTTTACGGCCACAGGATCTGGTCTCAGTGGGGGAGTACCTGCGCCGTGGGGAATGAATCTAGGCATACGGTCAAAATTCAAGTCGAGTTCCTCAAGTGATTCATGACATGATATAATATCCTCGGCCAATTCATCACGGCTGGGAAAATTAAAGAATTCGTGGTCGTTGCAAGGCCAGAGAGTCAGCTTTTTCAGCCCGCATGGGGCACAAAGAAGGTCAGAAAGTCCCCTGCTTTCGTCAAAAAAACCCGAGTTCTTCAGGATAAGCTCCTCGACATTCGAGATGCGATCCAGCGAATTAAAGAAGTACCGAATTGAGTAATTGTCGTCATCTTCGTCCGGTGACGTTTTCGTGGTAAGCCAAGTATTCCTTAAAGGTTCTGCATCAGAGAGTCTCCACGCCGCGAGAGACTTGACGCTTGGCAGATGGATGAATGGAGTTACCAGTTCCCAGTAAGTGGCGACTTCGGGATTTCTTGGAATCAGTTCGACGTAATGAAGTTGTGCAAGAGGTAAATTGCTGGTACCCAGCTCGTTTTGGAGAGCAATTTCATTTACAAATCTCAAACACCAGACGTTGAAACTCTGCGGGTCGTTGATATCGAATTCAGGAATGGTCATGTTTAGGTGCGTTATCCGTTTGCACCAGGCCAAAATCACCACAGCAATCGCGTCTTCGCAGCCACCTTTGATATCTTCCAGCAAGGCAGGTTTGTCGTATAAGCTTTCGTAGTCAATATCGGGACGAAGCTCTTCAGCGAGACTGACGAGCTTAGGATCGTAGTTTGAATTTGTACTCGAACCAGATTCTGACTGCGGTGAATATTGCAGTACACCAAAGTCGACGATCTTGACCTTGGTTCGAAGTTCGGGATGTTTTTGGAGATGAAGCGCAAAGCACTTGATGCTTGGCTCTGGACAATGTTTGCTGTTGGACCATCGGTAAACCAAGTAAATACGACATAGTTTGTTGAGATAACTGTTTGTGAGGCAGAAGTTTCGAAGGGATCGGGTGTCTATAAGGGCGAGTAACTCGCAGATAGTACCGAGTGCTGGGGTACACGCCAATAGATCCATGGTGAGGTGCCGCTCAGGTGAAGCTGTCGGTGGAAAGGACGGTGTGAGAAAGATAGAACAGAAGGTGGGGTAACTACTTGTGCGACGTTAGCTAACCAATCGCGTTAGTATTAGTCACCCGTCAGCGCTTTGGTACAGTCCTAGAAGCGAGAGTCTCCCATACATTGGTTGAGTTCTATTTAGTATTAGACATTATCTGCTACCCTCTCAAGCTATCTGCCCATGCCTTCGAATATATCTACCACAGTCCTTCTTTGTTCATCCTTTCCATTCTCAACTTCATAAGCACCCTCCGCCTTCCTTGCCTCCATGACACTCTTCATCGTCTTCCTCTTTACCAAAGCTCTAGCACTCTGATACAAACCCTGCCCAGGCAACGTAACCAGCCCCATAGCTCCAGACGTAACCTTAGTCCCCATATTCAATAGCCCGATACCAACACCCTTAGCAGCACCTGCAGCGCCACCTTCCTTGCCCCCTCTGATGGGCTCCATGACTATTCCTCCGAAACCTTCGACGATGCCGTGCGCAAAGTTCTTCCCAGCTGCCACACCGCCGGACTTCCAATCTGTCACCGCGCCAGGGTTGTAGGCTTTGCCGCCGTAGAGGTTTGGTGCATTTCGCATACCTTCTGTGACGGCGTAGGGAAGATCCAGGAGCATGCCCTTGGAAAAGTGCTTGAAGAAGCCACCGACTCCTGAGGCTGATCCTTTGAATGCTGCCATTGCGCCGTCCTGAGAATTCTTGGACTCATTGCCTGCTGAGCCTTTGGGTAGTTCTAAACCTGCTGGTCTACCAAAGATGCCCTCTTCTGACCCTCGTTTCGAACTAGTGCCACTTTGTGTTTCAGCGTCTTTGCTGCTTGATGCGCGGTTCGGGTCTGGTGTCGCTGGTCGGAACGCTTGTATCGGCTTCACGACGATGTCGGAAGTGGAATTCACCATTCCCATTCCAGTTGCTGCGAGTGTGGATAGGGTTGCAGTCACAGGATCCCATCGTCGGTTTTCGATGTGCACTGGTTGAGATTGGTACCTGCAATCATTAGTACTTGACGCCTCATCGGAGCGGGTGTTCTTACGGTTTCAGATGGTTCCAAGCAACCTTCCCCTCGCTAGCAAGCATCTCAGCTGCCAATTTAGACAACTTCATAGACCTCCCCTTGCGCTCATACAACCATACAGCAGGCAAATTTGACAGGACATCGCACCGCATGTTGTTTAAAGGCAAGTTGGCGTGGAAGGAAGCAACGGCGCGTCGGACTCCTGATTCGCTGGCCATCTTGTCTGCAATCCGTTGAGCAGCTATAGATGCGTCTTCAGTGAGACAAAAGCGAATGGCGACTTCGAGGTTCTGGCTATTGAGTTGTTTGAATGGGATAGGAGCGGGACCCGCACCGCTGGTATGAACCATGTTTCCCCAAAATGGTTGGCTGGACACTGTTAGTAGGGTGTGAGATGTTGGCACTGAGAAACTCACTCTCCAAAGAACGGCACAATCGTCGTAGGTTTCGCATTTACCAGTCCACAAGCCGTAGTCCCTGCTCCACCATGATTAATCACCGCAGTGACATGCTGAAACAGCCACTCATGAGGACAATCGCCGAGAAAGAATACTTTTTCGTCTCCCAACGAATCACCACCAAGGTTGCTCCATCCTCGAGAGACGATTGCGCGTGTACCAGCTGTACGAACAGCCTCCAGGATCGTCGCAGTAAGTTTCTCTGGGTCGTCGATCACGATGCTGCCGAAGCCGATGTAGACTGGTGGTGGACCACTAGAGAGGAATTTGGCGAGGGCGTCTTCGGGTTTGTAATCTGGAGCTTCGCGGAAGAAGAAGCCACAAACATCTGTAGCATGTTAGATTGGGCATTTTAGGATGAGTTTGAGCAACGTACCAATATTCTCGGGCCAGTCTAAGGGTTTTGGCACCAGGGCTGGTGACCAACAATACGTAACCGGAACTCGCAGTGTCTCCGTCAAACAAGGCCCTTCACTGAACGGAATCGGCTCCAAATCTATCGTCCCTCTCCAAGCATTAATGATGTCGCCAAGCCTATAACCAGTTAGCAAGAACCCAGACTTCTGTCGTTATGAGCGTACCCTTGCCAAGTCATCCACTCCACCAAAGAATACGACACATAATTTGCCGCACTCGCCGACATATCACTGCCATTCGCCCTCAAATTCGCAAGAGGATGACAGAACTCCCGCGTACTCGTCCAAGGCATCGTAAACATAAGATGTAGCGGGACACCGAGAGCTTGTGCGCAGTGAATATGAGCAAAGCTTGGCGGATTCGCAATAATCGCATCGGCGACAAAGGGACGTCCAGTCAATTCATCTGGCTCAACGCATGACCTCCAGCACTTGTGGAGCATTTCATCAACCATTTTTCGTTTCCGTTGGATTTCGCCGCCGCGGAGGGTTTTCATGCTGGGGAATAAACCAGGGTTTTTGACCATGTACGCCATCAATCTGTCACTTGTCAACTTTTCTCCGCAAAAACCCGAAGTTGTTTGAACTTACTCAGCTGGATCACCACCAATGGAGAAGAACTCAAGACCAGAGTCCCTCACGAATTTATCGAATTGGCCGTGTGTCGCAAGGCGCACGCGATGACCGTGACGCTGTAATTCTGATCCAAGGGCGATAAACGGCTGTACATCTCCGCGGCTGCCGACGACTTGGATGACGATATTTAGTCGAATGCTGGTTTCGCTGGTTTCTGTGTATTGTGGGGGTTCGATTGTGATGTCTTGGGGTTTTCCGGTGGGGACTAGGCGGGAGAGGCGACGGGCTATGCGGGAGCTGAGGTCGATGTCAATTCGGCCATCGTCTGTCGCAAGGTCAGTTCATTGTTATAGGAATTGAGTTGTTCAATGGCGCACCTCTGCCAGTTGTGGTTGCTTCTAATTCTGCCAATGCTTCATATGGTGGGGGGACGTTGTGCAATTGAGTGTCGTTTTCGCCATTTGCCGTCATCTCGAAGTACCTCGTCTGGCGGTTCTGTTGGGTTTCATTTGGGGAAGCCATGTTGTGTTGTGCGTAAGGATGAATAGGAATGGGAAATCCCAGAGCCAAGAGGTGCCGTCTCTCTATATGAATAAATTTTCAAATGGTCTGTTCCATCCGCTCATTTTTAGCATGATCTAACCGTTGATGAGGCAGTGTCTGGCGTTGCCGAAAGTCTTAGATACGCGTATTTCATGTTTTAGCTTGACACTAACTTAGTCTTAGAGCTGATTGAGCGGCCAAGCTTGACTCGTCACTGGAAGGTCGATTTTATCCGCGGATAGAGAGCCCCACTTGTTCAATGTTTGTTTATACGCGGACAGAACACAGCCGCATTACGACTCGAACATTAACAAACAAATTCATGAACTACTACTTAATCCCCAGATCAGAAAGGGAACATTAAGCTTATTCAATCTCTTCTCTTAATCATTCGGTTTCCACATTCATCGACCTTTCTCGCGATTTTTATCACGACGTGTCCGCACCACAACAACTGCAACAACGATGTTTGACAAAGTAAAAGACTTCTTCCAGAGCCACTTCTTCGATGCTCAATGGAAGGGCAAAGTCTTTGCAGCTCAGGTTGGCGTCACAACCCTTGCCTTCATCTTGGGTATTGCGAAACTTGCGACACGGCCGAGTAACATACCGATGAATAGAATGGACATCATGGCAATTACGATGGTATGTCACCGCAATCTCTCGGAAAGGATATCCACTAACAGGCTGGATACAGAGCATCAAGTCGTTTTTCTTCCTAGCCTATGAATTTTCAACGGAGAAAGTGGATCGTTTCAAACGGTTCGGGAGTCTGAAAGCTTATGCTATTCTCAACACCCTCGACATCTTGTTCTGGATGGTTGTTATGGGCTTGACATTTTCTGGGGTCAGCAGAATATGCGTCGGCGCAAACTGCGGAATCGGAGTTTGTGTCGCACTTGTTGCCTTATTGAACGCGTAAGTCAAGTCATGAAATCTTCGAGGGATTGACCTAATGAATTTTAGGTTCGTTCATTTCTGGGCCGCCGTCATAAGTTGGAAGAACCACAGACATTTCAAGAGTTACGGAGTGAAGCGTGGTCAGGGTGCCCCACAGACAAAGAGCACATACAACATGGGTGGTGGGGTTCAGGGAGTTTGATGACAGCTTTAAGGATGGTTGAACGCAGGAGAACGAACTGATTGAGGCCGTAACGTTTTTGGTCTTGGTATGTGCTACGAAACTAGCTATCTGGCTTATCTGGAAAAAGAATTCATGTTTATGAGCTCTTGGCCTTTGTGCCTCTTGTGTTTTTAAATGTTTTGCTGCTTTTTCATTTCGAGAATTCCATATGATATAACTCATCCAGGATCGACTGCCTTCTAGAAACATCTTATAGCTTTGTTTTTTATCGACCGACCACTTGTTTCAGCGTTAGACATACTGCATTTTTAGGACCAAGAGCCAAACGATGGATTCGCGGCAGCCACTTGCGAAAATAGCTAAGAACGCGAGACGTTACCCTATAGTTGTCAACACTTTAGCCTCCTCTCTTCAACAATAATATGCCTCTCGGGGAAGAAGGGGACCACTCCCCTTCTTAAATATCAATTAGACTATGATCCACTCCATCTCAAACATTTCTCAAAGAAGCTCACGTTGAAACCTTCGGGGACACTAGTGGTGACTTTTGACATGACTAGTGACTTCCAAAAGAAAAAGAAAACATTCTCATCATCTCATTTCATAGGGTAGTATGAACACATACTAGGATAGCCTTCCAAGCCTTGCACAAGCATGTATCATTTGTTAAGGAATATCTCAACTATTGACTTCGAGAGTTCTTATAATTGTACCGCCAAGCCAAAGCCTGAGCCTGTGATTATCAACGCACCAGGCCCCGCAAGATAATTCAGAAACACGAACGCACGAGCCTCATTCTTCCTTGTTAACTTCGGTGGGGCAACCTTGAAGTCCTTTGGTAGCGAGACGCCTGTAACAGTGAGAGTCATATGCGCCAAGAAGCGATCAGCCTGTTCCTTTCGCGCACGCCGAAGCGCCAAAATTTGCAGAATCATAACGATGACTGCAACCCATTGATCTTTCAGCGTTTTTGTAGGAACTCGGATTAATGGGTTGTCGTGTTGCCATGGGGGCGTCAGGCTGTTGAGGCCGGAGCCTGCCAAGCTGATCTTTTCTTCATTGCCTTCGATGTTATTTGACAGTGGCTCGTCATCTTGTGTTTCTTCTGCACCCAGCGTACGATGAGCCCTTTATTAAGGTCAGTAAAAGAATTAGTCTTTCGGGGTGTTTGACTTACCAGCGCAATATCGCAAGCCTGATCATCGTTGGCTGCCTCAATGTTCCAGTTATTGGTGTTCTGGCGACAAAGGCACCGAAGCGGGGAGGCCAGCAATCGTGAACCTGATGTGACCTTTTAACAGCTGAAAAAGCCCCTGGAACTTCCTGACTCAAAGCGCCTGAGCGCTGTGCAGCATTGATTGGCGAGTGGACCACCTTTGCTTTTTCCAAATCCACCACAGCGCTTAGATGCGGTGGCTGTGGTCAGCTCAGCCAGGATACGTATGGAGCTGCATTGCCAACAAAGCAAGATGTACGTCACTTTTAAGGCTGCTCTTTATCTTCAGCATTCGTGCTTGAATCTGGAGCCCTGAATTTCCCAAAAACTATGGCTGAGCCACTTGCGATTATTGGGCTAGTCTCAAGTATTATCACCTTCATCGAATTTAGCAGCAAATTGATCTCTACCGCCAAGAGACTCCGCGATAATCCCGATGAGACTGCCATTGAAACAGAGCGGCTGGAGCAGACTAAGCATCGTGTGCGACACCTGAAAGATGCCTTTGAGAACGAGAACGATGATTTTCTACCACATGATATTCAGGACATCCTTTGGACGGCGGGCCAGTGCGAATTTGTCGCCATGGACCTGATCGCCATCCTCCAAAGATTGAAAGGGAAGGACGGGTCATCCTTCAGTGCCATGGAGTCCCTGACTGTCGCATTTTATGCTATGCGGAAGAAGAAACCCATCGAGGACTTGCAAGATCGCTTGGAAAAGTTAGAGACCAAGCTTCGAGGGGCAGTGAATCAGGTCCTTCAACAGTGGGTTTGGCCTCTATAGAGCATGCCAATTGACTTACATATCATGTAGGCGACAACATACAGCACTTATGGAGGAAATCGGAATGTTGCAACGACTGCATCTCAATATGGCAGTCAATTACGAAAACTCACTAGACAGCTACCAAACCGACATCCTCAATCTCACCTCACCTGGCTCATACAATGTCCTGGACCGAGGTCAACTTGACAAACTCAACGATAGGCTCCAAAACTTCGAGCAGGAATGTAAGAACCGAAGACATACTGCTCGCGTGCTTGGTCGTCTAGACTTCCCTGAGATCAGACGTCGATGGGATAAAATTCACGCGACGGAGAAAAGCACCAATACCTGGATCTTTGATCGTCAAAAGACCAATTTCATGGATTGGCTGGAGTCAGGAAATGACATATTCTGGATCACGGGCAAGGTAAGCATACCCTGTGACTCGTGAGAGACCCTGTACATGGACTAACGTAATTGTAGGCCGGAAGTGGTAAGTCGACACTAATGAAGTTCATCTCCAACCACAGCTTCACAAGGAAAGCTTTGGAGCATTGGGGAAATGGGGATACTCTCCACGTCACAAGCTACTATTTCTGGAACCAAGGATCACCATTGCAAAAGTCCCTGCGAGGACTTCTTCGGACTATCCTCTTCAATATCCTCAAAACGACCCCCGGTATCGTACCTCAAGTCTGCCCCGATATACCAGATGGAGACTGGACAGATGCCGAGTTGAAGGACATGCTGGAAAGATGGACTAAGCTAAACAGCATTCATGCCAAATTCTGCTTCTTCATCGACGGCCTGGACGAATTCAGCGGCGAGGAAACGGAATTAAGGAATGTCATTAAGTTCTTCAATAACTCCCTGCATGTCAAGCTCTGCGTCTCAAGCCGACCACGAATCATCCTGGATGACTCTTTCAAGGATGAGCGACAGTGTATAACAATCAGCGATTTTACAACCGGCGATATGAAGCACTACGTGCGAATGAGGTTCAAGTCAAAAGAATTTGACAAGCTACGAGCGCAGCCCGGCGGAAGAGAAGAGTGCGAAAGTATTATGTCCAAAATTGCCGAAAACTCCAAGGGTGTTTGGCTGTGGGTTTATCTCGTCACTCATGATCTGATGCGTGCAGTCGCAACATATGAGAAGCCTTACAAGCTGCATGAAATCTTGGACCAGTTTCCCAAGGAGTTGGAGGAATACTTCAAGTATATCATTGACCAGGTTGAGCAACATTACCGGGAGGAGATGGCACAGATATTCCTCATTACCATCGACGAAGTACAGCCACTTCCTGTATTCCTATTCTGTCTACTCCACAAAGAGAAGGAGAATGAGAACTATGCCATTGATGGTCCTATCAAAGCTCTGGATTTCGAGGCCGTTGATGCGGACAGACAGAGTATGAGGGCGCTTGTGCATAATCGTTGCAAAGATCTCTTGGTTGTGGAAGATGGGAAGCACCCAGTCGTTTTGAGTCACCCGGTGGACTTTCTTCATCGAACAGTCCGAGACTTCCTCAGGGACTGTTACTACGACCAACTCAAGAGTCAGCTCAAACGCAATTTCGATCCTTTGATCTCACGCTGCAACATGATGTTATTTCTCGTCAAAAGTTTACCACCCATCGATACGAGAAAGTCACAATCGATTACGCAATTATTCCAGATCGTCGACGAACTACTTTACTACGCCAATGAGATTGAGAAACGAGACCCGCCACAGGTGGCTATCAATCGTCTCACAGCAGTTCTTGATGAGCTTGACAACGTCAACACGAAGCATCACGGAAAGAGCGTGAGTTACCATTGGACATCAATTCGCGACCCGCCCAGGACAAGAGGAAACGATGAATATAGAGAAGGTGGCAACTGCAACTTTCTCGCTCTGGCGATCCAAGCGCGATTGACAAGATATGTCACGACTAAGATAACTCAAGACTCAACCCGACTACGAAAGTCTGGACGGCCTTTACTGGACTATGCTCTCCGGCCACGACGAGTAACACCGTTGACAATGCCATATCACTCACAACGTGACGAAGCAGGCATTGATATCGAAATGATAACACTCCTGCTCGACAAGAAGGCGTGCCCAAATGAACCTGTTCATCTAAATGATGGAAGAACAGTCTGGGCGCTATTTCTTGTGTCAATACATGAGTCGTCTCTCAAAGACGAGGTTTCCACTGTTACGAAACAAGTATGGTATAGCGTCTGTGAATTGTTGATCAGACATGGCGCTGAGCCGGATTGTCGGCTGGATACAGCAGGAACTTTGAAAGTCGAGAAGGTGTTGAAGGTAGTCTTTGGTGCGGATAGAGCTGCTGTCCTCTTGAAACTGTTGGCAGAGGAGAAAGCGAGACGAAGGAATAGTTCGTGGGGAGCTTATGGAGCTTATTTATTTAGTAGTCTAGGGTTTTAGATACGAAGAATCTGTAATAATGAAGAAACAAATTGCATTCCAGGCCAGCACTTTCGATGTCTGCCCTGGCGTTGTGTCACCGGGTTAGCACAGCCAATATTGGCTCATGGCTTGCTTAGCTCAAGCTGGCTGTGCCACTAGCATTTTCAGCCGCACGTTGCGCATTCACCATGCACGCCATCGCCACCACCATATTTCCCGGTAATGCCATCGATCGACTCATCTAGATGTCCTTGACTCAGAATGGAACTTCGCCTCCCAAAAGGATCAATTTCTCCGCCCAATTGTCGCTTAAGACGCTGTTTTGAAGTGCATCTCCGTTGAAAGGCGGAGTCTTACATACCAGCTAGCTGAGACTGAATTAAGTTTATTTCCTAGACTCTGGAACTGCCAATGGGAGGGTGGGAAGATGATATGTCAGTCAATGAAAACGAGACGTGGCTTGCGCTAGGGGGTCCAGCCCCAAATCGTTTCCAGCCCTAAACATTCTCGACTCCGGATGGGATTGTTGCCGTGGGTTGAGGGGAGAGTACATAAGGGAATTGGACATTCCTACCATCTCGTGGTGTTCCCCCCCCAGTACTCTCTTTTTGTCTTCTCGGTACATATCTCCAAAAACTCGGACCATGCATACGACAGTGCTCCTCGGCATGATGGCCCTTGCGGTCAACGCCATGGAAACAGGTCATGCTAGACGAATGCCTACGGCAGCAATGCCCATGATCACAGCTGACCCCATGGACTTCCTCGATCAGGTAGAGGAACTCCGAAGACAGGATCTACGCCGACGACAAGAAGTGTCCTCCCCGATTGACCTGACCGTTACACTTGCGCCTGATGCAACTTGTGGATACCTCTCAGCAGAGGTTGGCGTACCGATCACATGCACAAACGGAGATCAGTGCGCATGGGCGCAACTCGGAGGAGCGATCCCAGGTGTCATTAGGTGTGGAACAGAACTTAAGGTCCTTTGTTACGAGTCGTCCAAGGCTGTTGATTCTGCTCTTTGCAATGATGCCTGTCAGAGCGATACGTTGAACTTGCTATGGTATGCTCAATTATCTGGAAGCTCACTCCCCTCAGACTGACATGTTCCTTCTAGTACCAACTCCGATACACCATACTGCCGAACGTACGCCTTCCCGGATGGAGTCATGGACTATAGATGTGCTTCTTCGTCCGTCAAAGATGTTCAAAGCGTCGACCATACCTTTTACGGCCAGAAGAACCCCAAGTTCACCACACGCACTGCCAACCGGCTCGGTGCGGCCAAGAGCACAGAAGCCGAGTCGAAAGCCAGCGAAACATCCAAAGAGACCGCTCAACCCTCTACAGTCACGAGGGACGCGGCATCAGCGACCTCATCCTCCGAATCCAAGGAGGAGAAAAAGAGTTCAACACCCCTGGGAGCCATCATTGGCGGTGCTGTAGGAGGTGTCGCTCTGATCGGTATAATCATGCTGGGCATATTCTTCATGCTCCGACGAAAGAAGAACAAGACTCCACCTACAGAAGGCCCAATTAACCCTCCTACTATGAACTTTGCTCCTCAACACTTTCCTCAAAGCACGGAACCGGGTATGCTCGATTCTAAGGAGGTGGGAACGCATCACGTGGGCTCTGCTGTCTCTCCATTGGGATCGCCCGGTTGGGGTGGGCCGGTCTCGCCGCCGCCCGTTTATGAAGCACCGGCGCAGGAGGCACAGGTTCATGAGATGGGTGATTCTAGTGTTACCAAGTAAAAATGCATTTTGGCATGGCATGTCTTTTGGAGTATGGTATGGGTTTAATTACAGTCAAAACAAGTTATTCGTAACATCGTTTAGGACGGTTCATAGCATTTCGGGAACTTCAATTCTTATATCTGATTCTTCGAGCCAACGCTTGTCCCAGTTAACCAGCTAAATATGCATCTGAATATGTAATAAAACGGGCACTGATATGGGGGACCACTGCAGCCTAGACAACCCCACTTCTTCTCAGCTCAAATCATGATAAAAACATCCGAGCGTCCCCTTCGTATTTAATTCTGTTGTTACTCCCACAAACTTACCTCTTTCACTTCTTTGCTACTTTACTATTGATATCGGGTAAGCTCAGATGTTTACTAGTAGTATTAATCACGCTCTGAGATAGTGTACTAATCTTATAGACAAACATGAGTCTCGGGCATCAGATGGTGGAGCAGCTTTTCCTCGACCTCTCCCCCGACCGAGTTTCTCTTCGTGACGGGATACACGCCGTCGAGCCTTGGGCAACTAAGTACATTGATGCCATCCAAGATGCAAGATACGGGGACGCAATCTGGGCGCGATATCACCTTTCTGGACAGGTGAAGGATGGAAAGATCGAGGGATTGACTGTTATTGAGAGCATTACTGAAGATGCCATGGGTTACAAGAAATACGCACCAGAGCAGTATGCTGAGGCTGTGTCTTTTTACAAAGACAACAATAGCAGTTCGGATGGTCGTACTGATGTGATCGAGGTTATCATGCGCGTCGATGCAGAGGATCTTACTGGGAAACACATCCCCGAGGGCGGTTAGCGAATCTATGGAAGCTGTCGGCATTGTCAATGAAATGTCTTATTTGCGAACTAAACCTTTGTGAATATTTTATTTTCTACTGATCTGTCGTCGGTAAAACGTGAGGAGGCAGTGAAGAGGCATTGTCGATGGTTCCCATATGGCTGCCACATCGAACTCCCGAAATCGAGCATGTACCAGAGAGCTCAACTTCGGATGCCACGGCACTTCGGTTAGTCGGCACTTGGGCAGCGACGCCGCGCTGTGATGTAGCCAGTGGTGATGACAGGGGGCAACCAACTGAACTCAAACTATACGAGCATGTAACCCTCACAACGGAAAAAGATCAGCTCATACTCTGGATGACTCAAAGTCTAGACTTCTTAAAGCCGATACACGGGGTCTGAGCCCTTCATAATTGCGGTGAGGGTAACGTGTAGGACACCCAGTGACGTCCGTAAAAGCAGTCTACAGTCGGACCGAGAGACAACAGGCAAGGATATAAGCAACTGAACCAACGCAACTTTACAACCAACAGCATAACACGGCTGCATCGGAGTAAATGAGAAATGGCTCGTCAGGATATCAAATCAGTATAAAGTTGTTAGAGAAGGCAGTGTTTTGAACTGAGCATCAAGGGATTCCATCACATCAATTAATTATCCTCGTTAATATGACAATCTCTTACCTCCAATTGTTTCTAACACTCTCGACTTTGTGCGGCCTCATTGAAGTGTCTGCCGAGACAAACGAAACAGACCTTGTTGAGCAACTTTTCCTCGATATATCTATATACAGTGTTGTCAATTCCGTGGATGGCATACCAACGATTGAACCATGGGCCAGTCAATACGTTGCTGCTCTACAGGAACGCCGTTTTGGCGACGCCATCTGGGCACGATACCACATGATGGGAGAGGTAGAAAATGGCATTGTTGGTGACACCAACCTGACCGTTCCCCAGAGCATTGAGGAGGACGCCGTCGGATACAAAACCTATGCACCTGAACAATTCGCGCAGGCCTTGTCAATCTATGCGAACACCAGCAGTGAGGATACGAAGCCGGAAATTCTCGAACTCATATCAAACGTCAAAGCTCTTGATTCCACTGGTCTGGAAGATCGAACGACATACAGCATCAGGTGTAGCGGAGATCACCTTGCATACAGATCTAGCTGTTATCAGGTTCTTGACCACATGTCTCAACAAAAGGTCCTCATTGGAAGGAATGTCAGAACCCTCTTTTCCTATCATTCCTGCTCGCTGAGAGTTGGTCCTTATAATCGAGGGGCTGACCTGACCTACAACACGGCCCATGCTGTTGCCCGTCTCATTGAAGAGCAATGTGCACGAGTGCCCGCATGCTGTAATAGCGTGAAGGTTTCGGGTTACTCACCTAAGAATTCGGGACATCGAAAGGTCTGCCTTAGCAGCAAGAGTACTGGATGCTATTGACTGTTCGGAAAAGGTCCTGGGGATGCATAGATATTTCTTGTATTTATTAGCCGGCAAGATATCCCAGTGTCCAATACTTGATGCTTGTATGTTGCCGAAGACGGCTAGAGTGATCGGATGATTATATGTGATGTACACGGCTGTTGTGATCTCTGACCCAGGAATCCGCATTTGTACGATCAGATAGCTAGCCGGAGAAGGTAAATTGTCAATCGACAAGTTTGGTGGTGCAATGGAATATCCAGTACTTGTGGCGGCTTTAATGACAATCTATACCTCCGAAAGCCTTAACATACTCAAGTTTTTCATCCGTCGCAATGCTCGACTTGATGTTACTGATCACTAGGGTCGTCAGGTTGTACATTTCGCCTGACAATCAAGACATCACGATATCTTCAAGACGCTACTACGAGACAGAGAGAACAGCAATGCAGCGGACAAATTTGGTCGAATGCCTATTCATCTCACGGCTGCGAATCACGACACCCGCTTCCTTGATCATCTGCTCGGCACAGGCAAGATCACTGATATTGACGCTAGGGACCTTGATCAATGGACCCCTCTGATGTGGGCATCGCGGTCTGATAACAGGGTCAATGACGAGCGTCTTCTATCAGAGAAGGCTTATATATGGGTACGGAGCCTTTTTTCCGACTCCGGAGATGGTTGGTCACTCTTGAAGCTGGCGCGCTTTCCTGGCTATGATCTGGATTAGAATGACCTCGAACCTGAACCTCAGCAGCGCTCAAGACTTAACCAAGTTGGTCTGGACGAGGTATGGGATGATTCCCTTCACAAGACTAAAGCCGGCGATCACAAATATAATCTATGTGATAGCTGGCTCGTGGCGAGTGACTTATTATACAATTAATTGACAAGGCCTGACGCTTTTCTAAGCTGTCACTGGCCTACTATGGAAGTGTTTGGAATGCAAAGCGACGTACGATCTTTATCACAAATGCTTTCCCAACAGGTCTAGATTCCATAACCTTGATCACAATTTTGAATCGAGTGGACTCCCCTATTATGAGGATGCCGATCGTGATAGTGCTGCGGGCTATGGCACGAAGAAGGAGGTGACAAGTGTTCATGAAGCGGACTTGATCTTAGAACAAGACAATGAAAGTGGCAGGGATGACTTGATTCTGAATTCAGATAGTTAGCATAACCCGTAAAAGAATCCTAACCAAATACTTAGCCTCATTGGAAGGCGATTATGTGGAGAATCCCTGTCAATACGAGGTTACCTGGTCTGCTATCGCCTTAAAGAGATGGGATCTTCAAGTGACCGTGCAACACTGTAGCCGGACCATTTAGAGTGAAGGGTTGACAGAAATGATCCAGATACCACTCGAGACTGGCGTAGAGTGACGGAATCATTTCAGAACCTATCCTGTTGCCGGTTGATCTCTATGATACCTTCCTGCTTTGGCATGCAAAACCAGTTCTGAACCCTGGCAAGACGGACTCCGGTGGGGGATCGGCACGCGGCGGGGAAGTTTCTTTAAGGCTGGGGTCATGAATTGGCAGAGCTGTATTGACTGACATATAAACTTGAGAAGGAAGTTTTTCCTGCTCTGACCAGCTGAACTTCGAAGAAGATAGAAGCCTCTTCACTCAATCAGTGATTTGAAGTTCAATATCTCATTACTGTCTTCAACTATGAACCGTGCCACCCTTACCGCCGCCATCTTCCTGGGGCTAGTCTCCACTGTTGCTTCACAAGCACAAGGCACAGCAACAGTCGACTTATCCAAAGAAATTGGAAAACCTCAAGCCCTCGGCTCAGGCTTCATCTACGGCTGGCCAGACAATGGGACCCATGCCGATAACTCAATCCCAGATGATCTGGTAACTGCCATCAAGTTCAATTCCAACCGTGGAGGCGGTGCACAGATCCCGTCGCTCGGTTGGGCCACAGGAGGCTACGAAGGATACCTCGGTCGGTTCAACTCGACCTTATCCAATTATCTCACCACCCGCAAGTACGATGCTGATTTCATACTGCTGCCTCATGATCTCTGGGGCGCAGATGGTGGGCAGGGTTCTGAGTCGCCTTATCCTGGTGATAATGGCAATTGGACTGAGATGGAGTTGTTCTGGGGTCAGGTTATATCTGACTTGAAGGCGAATGATATGCTTGAAGGACTGGTCATCGATGTGTGGAATGAGCCTGATATCGATATCTTTTGGGCTCGCTCGTGGTCTCAGTTTCTTGAGTATTACAATCGAGCGACACAGCTCTTGAGGTGAGTATTTCTATTGGCATGCTGACTTTCCCAAGCGATGTGAACTGACGAGATCTACAGGAAAGCTCTTCCGGATACTCTTCTTAGTGGTCCAGCCAATGCCCATTCTCCAAGTCTGACAGACGAGAAATGGCAGGCCTGGCTGGAGTCCGTAGCCGGCAACGAGACAATCCCCGACCGCTTCTCGTGGCATCAAATCGGAACAGGATCCCGCGAACCCGACACCACTATCCCAGATTTCACTACCCTACGAGAGCGCTACGAAGTCCCTGAAAAGCCAATCGATATCAACGAGTATGCTGCGCTAGATGAGCAGAACCCAGCCAACTCAGTCTTCTACCTCGCTCAATTGGAAAGACATAATTTGAGAGGTCTGCGTGCCAATTGGGGTAGCAAAGCTGACCTGCACGATTGGATGGCCAATCTGATTTACAGAGATTCGAGTGGATACTATCCCAATGGCGAATGGCAGGTCTATAAGTACTACGCTGCTATGACAGGTGAAAGAGTCGCGACGAAAGCTTCGGAGGATAGGAAGTTTGATGTTTTTGCGACAAAGGGTGCTCAAACCATTAAGATCCTAGCCGGCACCAGGACTATCAAGGCACCTTACAACATCATTGTTACTGGATTGGATGCAGCAAAACTTCCAAAGGAGGGAGAAGTCAAGGTCCAGACCTACCGATTTGACTGGGCTGGGCCGGAAGGAAAGGTTGGCGACCCTATTGATGTCGGGGTGAAGACTTATTCGTCTTCTTCGAACGCGGTAAGAAGTCTCCTGGGCGTGCTCTCTTGATGCTCTATAACTGTTCGGAATGAATTGAGCTAACATCTGATTACAGTTGACGATTTCAGTTGACCCACCTACCAATTCCACTGCTTTTGCTTATGAAATCTCGTTGTGATATCACTCCAGGTTATCATTTTCCATAAGAAGTCTTGATTGGCATTGATATGAGGTGTTGATTATGGCAATGAAGCTAACTATGGATGATTTAGTTTGTCTTATCAACACTTCTCATCCATAATGGAGATGTTAACGCCGAGGCGAAATGTTCCATCAACGAACAAACCTGAGCTTGAAAAAATCCAGAGCTAGTCGTACGCATTACTTTCATATGATTGACGAGAAAGAAAAACAAGTAGTTAAATAAACAATATTTGCCTCAATTCATTGAATATAGTTTCAGCTAGAATCATGTGAAACCTTGGCCAGAGCTGACTTTTCTCCGTGGATCAATGCTTGTGCAGGGTAACCTCAATCTTATCACTGACCTTATCATGACGCCCATCGACAAGGATCACCGACAATGGCTTGCGTTCAGCTTCAGCCCGTCAGCATCCAATACACCGACACATCAATTGGCTCATATTTTGAGGCCTTTTGCGCTTTGATGCTGCATCAATCGTCATTTTGGCTGACACTAGGAACGCAGCATTGCGAATCTCTTCTTGTAGTGATGATCCTGTCTCAAATTTGGAGCCTTAGCCTGACGATTCATGGAACTCAATTGAGCTTTTGGTGGGTCAAAAAAGCAAAGAGATAGGGGTATGATATAATAGGACCCAAAGAGAGGTCAATTGATCTTTTCAGGTCCCCATCGAGCAGTCTAGTATCAATATTCTCCACCATTTGAACACAGTCCAGCGGACACTGAGGACGGGATTGACAAGGGATCACCCGGAACTAGCGAAACACTGCATACACTAACGCAAGCCAAGAGCAGTTCAGCTCGACTCCTGCTGTCTTCGCTATGACAATATTCTCGAAATGGTCAAGAGTCGACTAAAGGGAGTGATAGTGACGTCGCATTGAGTAGTCATAGTGAAACAGCCGAAATGCATTTATACGCAGTTCTTTTCTTCTCTTCACTTCCACTGCTTATCACTCATCAATTCACTTTCAAAATGGTCTACAACGCACTCACAAAACATCCCAAAGGACTCCGCCTCCTGGCCCTAGACGGCGGCGGTGTTCGCGGAATAATGGGTCTCGTCGTCCTCCGCGAACTAATGTCCCGCGTCCAAAAGCGCAAAAACCTCCCAGAAATGCCTCGCCCAGCTGATTATTTCGAGCTTGCAGGCGGTACAAGCACAGGCGGTATCATGGGTATCATGCTCTTCCGTCTTCGCATGAGCGTCGACGATACCATCAAAGAATATGATCGCATTGCCAAGACTATCTTTAGTCCCAAGATCTACGGCCGGGATATCAGCTGGATCCCTGGTGCGTCGTATCTTAATAATAGCAAGGCCCTTTTTCAGGATAGTCGATTTGATGCGGGGAGTATGAGCAAGGCTATTGATGAGGTTGTTGAGAAATTTGGTCTTGATGAGCAGGATAAGAAGTTGAAGGGGAATGCACCTCTCCAGCATGACGCCGGTGCACGAATGTGAGTACCGAACATTGTTACCCCAAATGGTGGAAGCCTACTAACATCGTCAGGTTCTGCTGCACCACTGCTCAAAACAGAGCCGAGTCCTTGTTGATGCGCTCCTACAAGGACAGCACCGTTTACACCTCATCAAAGGCTAACAACGCCATCCTCAATCACGGGGACAAACTCACAATCAGCATTGCCGCCCGCGCAACATCCGCCGCACCCACATTCTTCCCCGAGGTCAAATTCCCCGAAGAAAAGCCCGAATTAGTCTTTTGGGACGGCGGTCTTCTCAACAATAACCCCATCGACCAACTCTGGTACACGCGCTTCGAGCTAGTCAAGCCCTCCGACCCCGCGCCTCCTATCTCATGCGTGATCAGTTTGGGTACAGGCTATGTCAGTCCTGGCAAGGCGGCCAAGTCATGGATCAAGGTCGTTGGTGTCGCGTCAAAGGTTATGGACTTTGCGACCAACACTAATGCCAAAGGTAAGGACTTTTCAAGACACATGACGCATCTGAATGAGAGGGATGAACATAAGGATACCAAGTATATTCGGTTTAATCCTTTCCTGAGGGAGGAGATTGGATTGGATGAGTATGGGAGGATGGAGGATTTGAAGAAGCTTGCGCAGGAAACAATGGACAGTAAGACCGGGCAAAATCAGCATTACATCGACCAAGCTGTTGATGCAATCTGCGCTTAGGGAAACAATTCTCGAATACGAATCACATAGCAAACGATCCTCTTATCACAAGTCCTACGCTTACGTGTAACTCGTATGGTGAAACAGTACCACGCGATAGCTGACATCAGACCAAGAATGTAAGCCTCAGCCCCGAAGACGCGAACCGGCACGGCACGCCGGTTACTAAAGTCCGTTTGGTCAAAGTTAAGTCCTAAACGGCAACGATGAAAGGCTAATCCCTTGCATTAACTGTCGAGCTAAGGAATTTCAGCTCCGAACTAAGGCGTTCGTGGCGCTGACCCCGCGCGTTCTCATACGAGGGCGTTATCTGCATGCAGCTTGTGATGGTTGAAAATGAAAAGTTTGAAATGTGATTTGTGCTTGAGGTTCTACAGGGCTGAATGTGGCGTGTCAGATGGGTAGTCAGACGATAATGAGGATGGGAGACAGGATGGGATAAGAGAGGGATGTCCTCGGGTTCCTGCATTTCTTGGATTTCTGTCTCTGTACCTTCTGCCCCAGCGAGCTCTGTGGGTTGCTTTCACTTGAGCGTTCTACCAAATCAAATTCTGCACTTCTCACGATACTAGTATCGTCTCTGGATCTGCCAAGATGTGGATCACAGACACTTGCAAAGCCATCGTCCTCTCCTTCGTAGCCGTCTTCCATTCCCCAACCCTCCCCTCCGACGGCCCTCACCAAGATGTCCTATCCTTCACCCACAACAAACCTGCTCCCAAATACCCTCACTTCCCTGCTCCAAATGGTCCTGACCAAAAAGGCGTCGAGTTCCACTGCAAATACCCCGGGCTCAAAGGCTGGGAAAACTGTACATCAAAAGATGACCGCTCCTGTTGGCTCAAGGGTCCGTATGGTCAGGTCTTTAATATTGACACCGATTACGAGAATTTCTACCCTGAGGGTATTGTGCGAGAGGTAAGTAATGAGGTTCGTTTGTGGTGAACTCGGCTAACATTTGTAGTACCACCTCAATGTGACGAACCAAGACATCAACGGCGACGGCGTCAACAATCCCTACGGCAAAGTCTTCAACAACCGATACCCAGGTCCCTGGATCCAAGCCTGCTGGGGCGACATCATAAAGGTAACAGTCCACAACAACCTAGCCTACAACGGCACAACAATCCACTGGCACGGTCTCCGCCAACTCGAGTCTTTCGAAATGGACGGCGTGAACGGCGTAACGCAATGCCCCATCGCACCAGGCGACAGCTACACATACACCTTCCGAGCAGTGCAGTACGGCACGAGCTGGTATCATAGCCATTATTCGCTGCAGTATGCAGATGGGTTAGCTGGTCCGATTACGATTTATGGACCATCGAGTGCGCCTTGGGATGAGGGAAGGGATCCGATTCTTATTACAGATTGGAGCCATCGGAGTGCTTTTCAGAGTTGGCAGAGGGAATTGGTACCGAATAGTCCGACTAGACCTATGATGAATGGTGTTCTTATTAATGGTGTTGGTAAGCTTTACCATTTCGTGGGTGGGGAATTTGGAGACTAACGGCGTTGCAGGAAATTTTGCGGGTAGTTTCCCACGTGAACGGTTCAACATGACTGTCACCAAGGTAAAACTCAACTCTCAATCACTTTTAGGTCCATGCTTACACGTTGCAGGGCAAAAAGTACATTCTTCGCGTTATCAATACCTCTGTGGATACAACCTGGATCTTTAGTATCGACAATCACAACTTCACCGTCATGTCCACAGACTTTGTCCCGATCCACCCTTACGAAGTCGACCATATCGTCCTCGGAATCGGTAAGCAAACAAACTTCCCACCTCTTCATCACCCGTTAACCAAAGCGCAGGTCAGCGATATCATATCGTCCTTGAAGCCACTCCCACCAACACAACTGTCCTCCCCGCCTCACCAGATGGCAACTACTGGATCCGTACAGTCGGCGCAGATAGATGCAAGGGCTTTGAGCCCGGTAACGAACCCGATGAGCGACAGGGCATTCTTCGATATAATGCCTCTAGTACATTGGTTCCTACGACGTTTCGGCCAGCCTATTCTACGGCATGTCGCGATGAGAACTATGACTTGCTGAAGCCCATTTTCCCTTGGGCTGTGGAGCCTGTTAAGTTAAACTGTAAGTATCCACGTCGCTCAATGATATACTCTTCTGACTTGTGCAGATAATGACTCCCAGTTCGACATCGGTCTGAAGACCTATAAAGACAGACCCGAGAAGGGCGATGGCTTTCAATGGTGGGCCTTCGGTGAGAATCCTCTCTGGCTGAACTTTTCGAATCCCACGATTCTTAACCTTGAGAATAAGACTTGGGATCCGAATTATGCCGTTGATCTCGTTGTTCCGGACTCGAAGAAGGATAAATGGGTTTACATCGCCATCACTGCGCCACCAGCACCTCTTGTCAACAGACCCGATAGAGTCTTTGCGCCCGTGGCTCATCCGGTAAGTCGATATGTTCTAGCTGAAATGCTGTGTCTAACTGTTCTTAGCTCCACCTTCACGGCCACGACTTCGCCCTCCTAGCTCAAGGCACAAATTTCACCGATCTTGACACCGGAAAAGTCAAACTCAAATGGGACAACCCTCCTCGTCGTGACGTAGCACTCATCCCAGCAGGCGGATACCTCGTCGTCGCGTTCAAAGCAGACAATCCAGGATCTTGGCTGTTCCACTGCCATATCGCATGGCATGCGTCGAGTGGTCTCGCGATCCAGATTCTTGAGCAGCAGGAAAGACTCAAATGGATGATGGATGATGGTAGGATGAAGGAGGTTAAGAGGGTTTGTCAGAGGTGGAATGCGTGGTATGGGAATAGTAGTAATCATTGGAACGCTGAGGTTTTTCAGGATGATTCTGGTATTTGATTAGACAAGTGCGGGAAAGTCTGTTCCAGTTATGGTTGATCTCGCCGACCTCATTCGTTTCCCTTGAAGCTAGTTCTTCTATTCAGACTAGATATCTTTATTCGTCCTTTTCTCGCTCTCCAGGGAGCCGAATAAGTGGGACCATTGCTTCCGCCGTCTTCGCAGCTAAGTTACGTACCGCTGGTGTTAATTCCTCATTCTTTGACTCCTCTTCAAACCGCCGCCTCGTAAATTCCTTCCTTGCAGTTTCCCATCTCGCTCGTCCCTTATACTTCCTCCTCGACCTATTCCAAGGTAAGTCATCATCCCTCAACCCGATGATTCTATCTACAACCTCTATATCCCTCTCATCGCGTGTATCCGCATATTTAGAGAACACTTGCTTCCCAGCAACGATAGTCCATAACGCCGCGTTTGTTACGTCATGACTCAGCACTTCAATGATAGGTGGTTTCGGGAAATGTCTAGATCCCGCAGAGGGTGTGCGCTCCAGCATACTAACGCAACAGATACCTTTGCTGTAAAGGTCGGCTGTTCCGCTGGCTGTGAGCCGAGCCATGAAGTAGAAGAGGTTTTCATTTGCACGTTGTTCAGGCCATAGCCATCCTGCGCCACAACCGCATGAATCATTGAAGACTTCTGATACTGAGATGCCGAGAACAGCCAAGTCCGCCCAAATTGTATCAGATTCCCAGATCCAACTTCTCTTGAGTGGGACTGTCATTGGTACCGGTGGTGGTGGATTCGGGTGATCTTTGAAACCTTGTATTAGATTAACTAGCCTCCCATGCTGCGTCTCATCCGTAAAAGGAATTTTCTTGGCTTCATGGAGAATCGAAAACCATAAATCCCAGAGCAGTTGCTCAGTTGACTTTGACGGATCCCATTCTTCTGTAGGTTCAGGATACTCCTCTTCAGCTCCCCACTCCGCAAGTGCTTTCTCAGGACTATGATACTGCCGCTGCGTCCGCGCAACCCTCTCTTGCTCAAAATACTGTCGCCCAAAATCCGCAGAAGAATATGCTTCGTCGATTGGCTTCGCAAGTATGTCAACCGTCTCAGCTACAGTCAGGTTTCCGCGCAGATACTCATCAAGCGTCGGCGTTTCAGCGGAAAACCAATGTCGAATCTCACCAAGTCGATCAATCTTGGTCGCAAAGGTGAGAGTGTCGTCGTCAGCTACTTCTTTGGCGCGATTGTGCTCTTTGAGTTCTCGCGCTTTCGCTATTTCTGCGTATCTTGCTTCATTGCGCTTTTGCTGGGAGGGTCTGTTCTTTGGCATTGTCCTGTGGTGTTGGCTGTTCTAGCGAAAGAAGAGTAGAAGTGAGATGGAGGTTGTCAGCATTAAGTACTAGACTTGTGGAGCGAAGGATGCGGCTGAGCCTCACGCCGTCGAGTCATCCACCGAGTGGGGCCCGAGGCCCCTGTAGGAACAGATAGAGATAAAATCCGTCATCTTTCCAAAAACACGATATGGAACCCAACAGGTGTCAAATCGTTGCAGGCTATTCAAGTTGAAAAGAACAGACTTATTTGTGTGTCGGAGTTGGAATGCTTGCAAAGTGCAATTCGTTGATAGGCTAGAGACAAAGCATTCTATAAATGACATTCATTTTCCGGAAAACAAGAGCTTCGTTGCACGTTCCCAGGCGGGTAAGAGAAGCTACCTTAAGTCTGGTAATAATACATCCAGTGATAAGACGCCCAGCAATACGTACTTAAGCTAAATCACTTTTAATTACAGATATTATTATTCAACAGTCATCGTTTATGATAACCTTATCCTCATTAAGATTTAAAGCAAGTTCTTGTAAGCCACGGGTAACAGAGGAATTATCCTCCAAGGTTTAGGCTACAATAATAAATTAGCAAAAATGCTAGTCTAAGTTGGTATAAAGCGACTATATTATTTCGTCTCTTATGCCCATGGGTGCCAATCATTCTTACATCACAAGATGATAATATGGGCAAAGCAATGAAAGGCGCAATGTGGGAAGTGAAGGAACATATCCGATAGTTTTCCAATTGAGGAGAGACTCATAACTCTAATGCTTACACAGGGCTCTTCTGTTCGCTCTCATGCAACATGCTAATAAATCAAGCGCTTGAAATCTTCAAAACGACATCCATCTATAACCCTTTTCGATGCCTCCTTCCACCAAGATTCCGACTTGATCATCGCAAACGGGCACTGATGCGGAGGACCGCGAGGATGATTGAAGTACTGCCCAAGATAAGTCGGTTTGACAATGTTGCGAGCGAATTGTCTTAAGCTCACCCAGCTTCTTCCGTCCAGTTCCCCCTCTTCTCTTGGAATCTTCAATCCACTCCGACGAATGTGCTTTGTGACATTTCCAAGCATGAGCGTTGGACATCGCTGTGGGCAGGAATCCACATGCGATATGAGAGACTCGTGAAAAGAATACACATAGTCGAGGATGGTCTTCATTAGATGCTGCCGCCGGGCTTCGATGCGTGTGATGATGAATGGGGGTAGTGATGATGCGTCTTCGAGCAAAGGACTTTTGCAGTTCTTCAAAGCCACTTCCACTAACTCATTGAACAATTGTTCCTTATTGAAAGCCCAAGCAATAAAGATCCACGTCGTGAGGCCCTCTACACCCAGTCCCGGGGATATCGTATTCGGTCTATCCATCTCAAACGGGACAAGCCATTTATCCACAAAGACCTCGACTACTTTCTGACACTTGTAGTAGTCACATACACGACCAAGCTCAACGATAGTGTCGAAGTCAATGTACTCGGCAACGCGTCGATGATGTATGATGTTGAGGAGGATAAACAGCGCTTCGGCGTTCCAGTCTTTCGTTATGATTTCGTATCGATCGTTGTCGTTTTTGCGGCTTTCCGCCCAACTTCCGTTGAGCATGACGGCGAAGACGGGCGATGCGGCGATAAGAAGGGTTGATGAGACGAGCAAGCGTATTTCCGTAGTTGCGCCGTCCGTGTAATGCGGGAGCTCTTGTAGATCGCGGATGCTTTTGATCTCTTTAGTAACGTCGCGAAATATCTCGGTCGATACATGCAGGGTCTGGAGGCCAGAATTCAGACTTTCCTCCTCCGTCGTCGCCGCATCGTCGGTTTTGTTCCGGCGGTTAAGACCTCTGCAGATCAGTTCTGTGTCACTATTTGGGGTGAAAATAGTAGTGAACGCGCTTTTTTCTTCCATGTTGCTGTTTCAGGGCCGAGGTATTTAGTCAAAGCATTTTGTCCTTGACAAAACAGTTTTCAGGTTGTATTTATATAGAGGGAAAAAAATTGCGCTCAGATTAAGTTTTTCCAAGAATTTAAACTTTTTTTGAAGCATCATAAGTCGATTGCTGCATAGACTACGGTTGAGACTATTCAAGATACCTATCCTAAGATCTGATCTAAGCCCGCATGGAGTAACTAAACAAATTTCATCTCTTATGATTGCAGCGACTAAGTGTTCTGACACCCTGACGTACGTCCTGGGAAAAGCTTTTGTGGAGGTGAATAGATGTAGAAGGTTTACTCAATGTCATTTGAGTTGCACATTGGGAACATTAATTTTCGCACAGCACTGGGGAAGCCCAATACCACTCAAGACTGATGACTGACCTTCAAAAGGCTTAAATAGAAAAACGACTGAAAAAGGGCTTAATCAGAACTCTCACCATGACTAGAATACTCAAACAAAACTCTTGCTCTGTGTTGTCCCTGACCTGGAATCCTAGACCTTCCAAAACTTAAACTCTTAGGATGCGCATCTTGTCGGCGAGATATGATTGAAGCATGGCGGGAGATGCCTCGATGAGAGGTAAGATTGACGCTTTGCATTCTAGAGAAAGGAAAATAGGAAGTCGGACTTCCGGGGGTAGTTGCTCGAAGGGATCTGGAATGTAGCGAACCATGTTGTGTTGTCGTTGTTTGTCGCCAAGAGGGAAGACCGAAGGAAGGCAGAGAGATAGATAAGGGTATAAGTAATCCATGCATTCGATGCGGGCGGATGGTGATGGTCAGTCAACTTAGGCTTCGAGTTTCTTTGGGGGCACAGTCCCTCAGTGGCAGAAAGATGCCTTCTGGATAAGAGAGTTTTGCGAAAGTAACAAAAGTCAAGTTCGTCAATCTGGATTGGATGGCTGACCGTATGTTCGAGAGCTTAGAAAAACCTACACATTTTAGCTCACAAATGTTTGGGAATAAACTTCGAAATGTATGAGAAACATAATACATCGTTTCAGCACATGGAACTTCAACCATTAAAGACGCCTACTCTCTGCTCAAACAATCCAACCATGGACGCTCAACAATCCGCACCCAACAGCCTCTTCGCTGGGGGCGCACCCGTTTTACTGCCCGGTCTCCTTTTTTGTAATCTTTTGCACTGCATCTTCTACGACGCAGCCCAACACCTCGTCCCCCGTCTTCTCGTGACCAATATGTTCAATATGGCCTTGATCATTTTCACGCGCTATGCCGGCCTTTGAACCGACGGCACTCGGAATGGCTACGCGATACATGCTTGATGAGTAAGAATGGTCTGGTAGCTAGGACCGTCTACTTCAGAGAAAGTGTTAGTGTACTTACTCTCATGCCTCTTTGCCAATTGTTTTACTAATTGCGGCACTTGTAGATTCGCAACTCTGTCACGTGGTCCCTGATCTCAATCCGGGCAGACTTGTGACTGGGAATAAGCTTTTCTCAACAAACTTACACTTTCATCAAAGCATCAAAGCTCCTCTATTTGTAGGGAGCCTCTTTTGATTATGTGGGAGAACGGCCCTTGGCCATACGGTCCTTGCTCTTTCTTGGTCTCTTGGTCTCTCCGTCCGAATGACTATCTTCGATGACAAAATGGCGGATATTTTTCCAACTGGTAACCACCAACAGTGGGAGCATGGATGACTCGAACCTAGATACTCTGGTAGTGGTCTCGCTTAGTTTCACGAGCTGAAGGGATGCTTAAATACTGTTTGACATGAAAGCAAAGCTGTTTCGCCCTTAATGAATCTTTGCTGACATCTGTTTCCGTTTTCGTTTTCGGAAATCGTGGAAAGAACTGTAACTTTGAACAACTCACTAGTCTAAGAGTCGTCTTGTCCCTCGAAGTAATATATAGTGGGACTGATGAGAAGATTCTGCGCAGCGCTGTTGCAGTTGAACGCAGATCAATGTCAAAGCCGAGGTTGAAATAAGCGGGCATTCTTCAACAAATTTCCTTGATCAACAGAATATCCAGTCTCTATTCTATTAGAATAATTTTCCGCTGACACTGGCCTAGATTAACTGCACAATTGAAATACTCAAAAGAATTTACAAACAAACGGGGGACCTTTAAAACGAAGTCACTGGAGCGTATTTTCATAGAGGCGAGGACATAGAGAGCATACGAAATGTCACAAGGAAACATCTCAAGGTACATTTGAAAGCGACGTCATAGTTTACGAAACAGTTACTAACATCTGTTGGTTGTTAGTTCGCACGGGACTTGAAGTGTCCACCACGGTAAAGTCGGCAGACAAGAGATTTGCACGGCCGTTCCACAATAAGTTCCGCTGCTCGCCTCACCTCACAACCAACAACACTTTCAACTTTTTATACCTTATCGAACGTGAGCACAGCACTCTTTAGCCCGCACTTTGAACACGTATAGAAGGAGAATTTAACCACGACTATTCTCTGTCTCTTCATTCCAGCCATGGTCTCTCAACAACCCGTTCGCAATAACAGCTTCCTCTCCAAAACCACGACATTCGTACCCTTCGCCCTCTTGGCTTTGAACCTTTTCCACTACGTCTACTACGATGAAGCTCTCATCCCTCGTCTTCTTATCACCAACATGCTCAATGCCGTTTGGCTGATATGGAGCCGCTATGCAGGCCTCTGAGCTTGAACTGTATGCGAAACGCAGTGCCTGAACCTTGCTTATCAGGAATCTTTGGGTGGATGTCTTCCAATTGGGCCTGCGGATCGTTTTAATTCCAGTGCCTATTGTGGACAGAAGCTTAACTTTTGTCATTGTACCTCTGGTGGAAAGTATGACTGGGATGGTTAGATGGATGATGGACAGGCGGGATCTGGGCTCAGACGACTTTAAATGGACAATTCAACGTGCAAATCCGCAGTCGACATCTTTCCAACTTTGTGTAAATAATCTATCATTATGTCATCTGGTCCCAATGTCTAATCCAAATCCCCAGCTGGTATCCAAGCCCTCCCACGTTAATACAGTAAATAGTACATAAGAAATTGAACTCCAACCCGTAGGCTGCCTAACCACCAGTCGATATACCCGTTGCTGATATGGATAAGCAGTTCTTCATTCCTCCCCGCGCGTTCTCATTGCTGGTATTGTTCTTGGGCTTGCGCAAGTTCTTCTTCGTGTCTGTAAAGCATTGCTTAGTAAACAGTGCTTAAGTGGGTAGGATGCACATATTCTTACCGTCTAAAATGTCGCTCTAATAAATCTCTTCGATAGAAACGCCTTTCGCAAACTTGACATTGGTATTGTGGTTCTTCGTGTGAAGTTTGATGCCGTCTATCGTGGAATCAGCATCGCAGTCGCGTGCTCTCAGGTATGATGGGACTGACCTTAAATGTTCCGCTCTAGTATACACCTTCTGACATTCCGAACAAACATGTACGGGTTTTCCTTTCTTCGCCTTGGAAACTTTTCCATTCGGCGTCATAGGAGTATCGCTTTGGCTGCCCGTAGAAGTCATTTCGCTCGTCAAAAGTAAAAGCACAGATAAAAAGCAATCAACGCCAGAGTGATCAAACAAGACAAAAATGTATCATATATAGAGACAAAGGATCAATAACACGGTATTTAAACAATCCTTCAACTCCTACATCATCTCGCTTCGTAATTCCTCCTTTGGTTGAGCCACCCGCTTATGAGGCTTTGCTAACAAGTGACGAATCCTAACGTCGATCACAAAAATAGAAACTCGCCAATGGAGACGCGGCCATTGCGGCCGGTCCCGTTTGCGTATTGTCAGCCCCGAAAATGACAGCGCAGGGGTTAACGGTTTTTGGTGGGGGCTTGGGCTTATCTGACGTGTGTGTTTGGTTGAGTCAACTGGCGTTTTACCGTATCTGGAGAATTAGGAGAGTCCGCGGGGGGGGCGCGCGGGGGTCGGAGTTTGTCATCGCCGGTGGGCGTTACTGAGATGGGAATGGTTTTCGAGGGCTGACTGGCTATTATACTGCGTAGTATGAGGTGAGATAGATATCAGCTGGGTACAAATCGCTGCGATTGTATTGAGATCGGAATAGTTGTGATGAACTCATCATCTAGTCTATAATACAATCACGTTGAGATTGATGATCGTGAATACCGAAGTTCTTCAGGTCTGACTCACAAATGTACTGCCAAGCATCCACGTCACTCATGCTGACTTTCTCAGCTTTGCCGGATTTACGCGTTAATCGTATCGGTCGTAAAGTGTATGCTGGAGACGCGGCGAAGCACTATGCATCAATGTCGCGCCTACATATAGGGTATCTAGCCGTACACACAACCCAGCTGTATAAATTGACATCATAACCATTACTTAAGTTACAATAACAAGTAGAAATATGACAAATTCATTTAGTTAAGTCTTATTACATTTTGACAAGCCGAGACATATTTGATAAAAGTCGCGTATCGTTACGTTGTAACTTCCATTCACACCATCTTTTCAATGTCATTGTCACTCGCTAAACATTTTCATTGTCATACAAAATTTCGCGACGAGCCGGATTCGCATTCGCATAGCTACGGATGCGAAGCTCACAGGATTGGTTTGTCAGCGGTGTCTTTTCCCTGTCATGGTGTTGAGCGACAGAATGCCAACCTCGAGTCAGCCTTACTGGATTACCCAAGACTCAGTTGGAGCAGAAATATGGGTCCACCTAAAATCCCGTTAATGACAGGGCTAAATTTAGACTTTCCCCCTGAAAATCAACGACTCAGCCTTGTAGGATTCCAAGGATTAGGATCTTTGGTAGACAGACTTTGCGAATCGGGTAAATATTCACGCAGTCTAGCCTTGACCCTCGTGTCTCCCAGCCGTTAAGGATAGGATTCTGATTGGTAGGATCGCATCGCTTGCCATTATCACGCACTGCTCAAACCTTGAAATTGCGGCACAGGTTTTAAGTCGACTCCTTCAGAACAATCCTAGCGGTGTGTGTGCAGGATTCAAACGAAGATTTAGCTATTGATGGACTCATTGGTGAATGTACGATCAATGAGGCATTGGAGATAGGGTAGCAGGAATGTGGGAATGGTCTGTTTCTGAGTGCTGGGGTTATTAAATAGAAGGATGATATGTTGGGAACGATGATATGTAAGTTATATATGATGTCATAACAGATCAAGCGTCAAGCGTCAGCAGCTCAAACACAAGGCCTAAGCTCAAGCGACCGACTGGCATTGGACACGGAAAACGCATCTATCAATCATACCTTGCAGTGGGGCTTTTCAAATGTTACACCACAATCACTATTGACGGACACAGTCGATTTAAGTATAGATAAAAGACGACAAAGAAGCCGAGCACGATAGCGATGTTGCAACCGGAACCCCAGCGTCAGCAGAGTCGATTGTGCGAACAGGGCATCTTCAGCTGACTAAGAATATTAACTAAACTGATATCCTGTCACACGATAGTAACTATACTATCTTCTACACCTTGAATCAATTCAACTTCCCTGCCTGACCTCAAAGTAAAACTGCCCACTCTCTCAAACGTTGACGTTGACATACATAGCTGCAGCAGGATCAATCCACGGACAGGGCTTCCACCTGCTCCACAAGTGACTTCCCCAATAAAGAGGCAAAACAAGTTCCCTTCTTGGACACCGGGAAAGTCGAACAAGGACAAGACATCTAAGCTATCTTCCATCTTCAATAGAGGTGCAGAAACCCTCAGTAAGCCGCCCGAAACTGCCCCTAAGGGATCATTTCCAGCCGGAATACACTTCCCTTCGATGACCTTGGCATAGACCTTCTTGAGTGTGTTGTTGTGATCGGTAAATCCGCCACTCTCGTCGTACGGACGCACATCTAGGTTGACGGAAGCCCAAGACCACGATGGTGCTCGATATGGGACTACACGAGAACTTCGTTCCCCTCTATACTCCCACAGGAGACCCATCGGCAGATCCTCACGCCAGAGACCTGCGAGGTACTCTCCAGCACCATGATCCTGGAAGTGCTTTGCTATTCCTGATAAGCATGGCAGCACGTCCTGAGACTTTGTAAGGCTCCGCCTCGTGATTGTATTTACCAGCTCATACCACGTCCTAAACCTTTTGGGAAAGGTATATGCACTGTTCATCAGACTTCGGTGGGAGAGTGGCGGATTGACAGCGAATCCTTGCCTGTCAAGTTGCTCACATTCGCAGCGTAACGCTGACTTACACTCCCATACCATCTCTTTGGAGGCAAAATGAACCATCCTGGACGACAACACTTGTTCTTGTAAGGTCCAGGCTCTGTCAGATAGTGGCTCATTATAAAGAGGATGAGCACCGCCGTAGTTGTTGTTGCCGCTATGCTCTGATCGTGCGTATATAATATCGTTATTAACCGTAGCTATTGGCCATCCGTCGCCATTGTATCCACCGCTTTGGACATCAAGAAATCCCCCAAAAGAGTTGGACGACATATCTGCCCCAATAACAAGATATGCATGTTGGTAGATAGCCCCCATGTTTCCAGATTCAATTTCCCAGTCGCTTTGACTGTCTTGTATAATGCATAATGCATCTATCCAAAGATATCTTATGCCAAGTCCCCTCGTAACGGTAGTTGCGTGCTGGAACGACAGAGGGAGGTCGCAATAGCGCAGTCCCTTCTTCTGGGATGCATAGTTACCCTTGGTAGTCCGGATGTCGATCCCGCCACCCCAGCAATGGCTGAGTGCGGTATAACGTCCCCGCTGACCAGATGCTACTTCAATGAGCTGTACCAGGTCTTCGCATCCACTGCCAATGTCGAGGAGGCGAGTAGGCAGTGCTGCATCGGTACTTGGAGAGCAATTAGGGTGGTTCTCATGGCATTCTCTGAGCCATTCAGTAATCACGGGCACATGACTGCTTCTCCGGTGGCCGACGTCTCGACCTGTGCCTATGAAGGAAGCACAAGGTTTCAGCTCGCTTGGGCTTGTGGTGTAGAGTAAAAAGTTGGAATTGCCGATCCAGTACGTTAAGCCTCGAGGGGATCCCCGAGACCACTGCTCCATATTGATAACCGGGCCACGAAACTGGAAGGATAATTTGGGACTGGACTCTTGATGCAATAGACCTTGTACAGATCTATATATAGCCAGATATCGTAAGTGACATACAGAGCAACCCGACGCGACACCCCCCATCACTTCCTCTACCGAAACGTGTTTGGAATTTATAAGCACTTTCCTCAATTGCTCCAGCGAAAACTCATTGGAATTTTTGGGCGGTTTATCCCCTTTGCGGCATACGTCACACGGTGGAATGGATTCCGGAATATGGACGGACGGCAGGTTCTGCATGACTGATTGAAGATGCGTAGAAGCTCAATTTTGATTGCGGTGAGTGCTGCTGATTATTGCGACTCGAATTTGCAAGCTTCCTGACAATTTTACTCTTGATGAGAAGGTGGCGGAGTTCTGTTGGGCAGCAATGCATCTACTCAAGTGCGAGTTCGGATAAACATTGATACCAAGCCTACCATCATAGGCCAAGTAATGACAATACTGAAGTCCTTATTGCAGCCGAAGATCGTATGATCTTAGCCACCTTTCACATCTTACTCGTACTTGAAAAATATGAAAGAAACATAATACTACTATCATAGTTAGTGTGTCATGCGTTTGGGAAAATCATCGAAGAGACAAAGTAGATAGGTCGATACGCCCGACAAAAGAGAATTCGCCCAGCCAATCAGTGGCTTTTCAGTGTTTTAAAAGAGGTGAGGTATCCATATCTTAGACACAAGTCTCATTTATCACCAAAAGGCCAGGGATCTGATATGGCCCATGCCTCCAAAGCCACTTAGTGATACATCAGAGTAGCCATCGAGCAAGGGGTGGTTGTTGCATGACCAACTCGGCGTTGAACCTGATTGCTCCTATGGGCCAAGATGCTACAAGGACATGTTCATCATACTTTGCCAATGACTGTGAGTTACGTGGTTGCTGCAGAGCTACTGCGGTAGTGGAAGTTGGTAACCTTGAAGCTGAGGCACTCGCCCCAAAATTTTGCATCAGCCAATACCGTGCGCTCGTCCATCTGTCCTCAAAGATGGCCAAAGACCTAGAAAGCCCTCGTTTGAGATCAATCCTCGCATCTGCTCCAAGACTCAGGCTATACATGGGTTACGCAATCTCAGCGTACTTGCGGCGCAGGAGGACCAGATTCCAATCTTTGCGGATCTCGACCATGGCTTCCTCTTCTTCAGGGGGGAGGGAACCGACTGGTGGGGGTTTCTGGACATTAGTTCCCTGGAGGAAATGTGGGACCCCGTCCCCTGTTTCCAAGGCTGGTACGATGCTCACGGACTCCCAGTCGACGATGCCGACAAGTTTGTATGTCTTGGGATTCACAAGCACGTTCATCAAAGAAATGTCATCGTGCCGTAGGAACTTGATGTCTTCTGGGTCTTCAGTCGCTGAGTAGATTCGAGGTACGACCTCGACAAGTCTATTGACAATCTCGAGCACCTCGGCGCCATCGTCAGCAAGCATCTCGTCGGCTTCGCAGTAGTACTCGGTTCCAGGGGAGAGTGAGAGATGTTGAATGCGCCGGGCAAGCAGATTGGCCTGGGACGCAGCGAGTTCCCGCGCTGTGGTGAAGGGCCCACGGTTAGGGCGAAGGAGCAGGCGTTCATCCCGAAAGAAGCGTGTAGGGACCATGCGCCCGACAACAAAGGTGTCATCAATGCCGGCACCGGGTCCTAGAGTAAGCATGTAGTCGACCCGGTTCCATACATCTGCGTAGTAGATGCTGCCCAGCATGGGAAATGGACGCTGCCTGAGTTCCTTCATGGAACGGGCCAGCTCGACTGTGAGATGCATCTTGGCTTGGAGGGGCATCGTGTCCCAGACTTGCTCGAGCGGTACGCCCCGAACCCTCTCCATGAGAATCCACTCGAAGGTGAACTCGTTTGAGGCGCTAGACGCGTAGGCAATGACCTCGGGCACGGTATTGAAGAGTTCCGCCGGATATAGTCCATGGTGGCCACTTCGCTTTCGGTCTTGAAGAAGGGATCAACAGGAAGGGCAACGCGCATGAGGTACTCGGCAGTCGTGTCGTTGGAAGACAGGCAATACAGCCGATGAAACGCGGCCTGGGCGAAGGGTGAGATGCGGGCATCAGAAGATAAGTCCTCTGGGAGATTCTCGAGGGTAAGCTTGCGTGCGACTCGGATATCGGGTTTTCGCGGCCACACTGGGACGAGGAACCCCGACGTGTCGTTATTTTTCCAACAAAAGTGATGATCGGCGAGGGTGTTGATATGGTTGTGGCCGTGCGATACGCGACTTCGTTTGGAGTTTGCAGCTGTCTTATCCATCTTTACTAGCCAAAGCAGAGATCAGATGAGTCCGGAGTTCAAGGGGGAGGGGAGGTGTTGATTGATTTGACACGGGACAAAATCAGAGGCTAAGAGGGTGAGCAGATTTCCTGCACTGCGCCAACTGAATACAGTACGTACTAGAGACTGGCGGCGCCCTTACCTTAGGTAAGGTAGAGCCAAGCCACACCAAAGGGAACACAAGGACAATCTTTACAATCACTACAGTGTCATCCATCCACCCAACCCATCACTCACCAATGTTACAGTTTGGCTTTACGAGACGTCATATCTACCCAAAGTCCGGTTTTTATATAATTTCAATGTTTTCGACACAGACGATCCTATTCCCAATGTATGTTGATCTTCATTTGATGGCCTTTGAGTGAACTGTTCCTCGAATGCTAACGAGTACAAAAGGTGGAAACAATTCCGTCCATGAGCTTTCCAGGGGACCTGTGGATTAAGATCATTGATTTTGCCATCTCTTCGCAGATTGCATCTTGCGTCAAGGGCGACACGGACGATGCGAAATGTCGCGCTACTCAGGCAATGCCGGAAGACAACACTTTAGCTCTCAAACTATCATGCCGCCATATTTACCAGTTGATCCGAGCACTACACCGCGTTGATGCTATTGGTTCTAGAAGCCAGGCTATATTCCGTATCAGTCTCCGACAAGACACACTTGGTGGTTTTCATCACACTCTCCCGTCTTTCCATGCCCGCGGTGGTGAGAACGCTCATTTGCCCGTTCAGGAGCTTCCTGTGGTTCCACACCTTATGGCACGCTTCAATCCTTTAGATGACCACCACTGGAATAATCATCCCTTTCGAACCGACCTTACTCTCGGCCGATTTCCTAATGTCGCAAAACTCAGCTTAATCCTTCCAACTGACCAACTGAATTGGATTATTGAAGAACTGAAGCGAGATGGGCCCGAAACCGACATTTATCGCAACTCATGGGCTGACAAGTGGGGTCGCGGTCGTTGGAAACAGCACGATCCAGGCTCAAAGGCTTATGAAGATACAGTGTATTGAACAATAGAACATCTGCTGGCGCTTTACCTGTTGTCGTAGCTTATTATCAACCACTTTAGAAAAGGTCAGTGTAAAGTATATATGTGCTCCAGTTAATAGGATAAAGCTTTCAGTGCAATAAATTAACCTGCTTAGAACTAGAGTTCATTCGGTGGTGAGACTTTCAGAAGAGATTTTGGGTTCTTGCGATAGTAAAATCAGTTCCAAACAAAGCTCAAACCATCGGATTACCAAGCGACTCGGTCAAGAAATATCGGCACCTCCGGCTCTACGGTTGTGCCGAGGTAACTTGACCGCCCCGGGACACGGAGCAGTTATGGGCAAACGCCCGAGTAAAGTGGATAGACTATCGCCCCGAAGTGGGGATAGCTTCACCAAAACGGCCTGTCAGTTGCTCCGTGCAGTGGAGACACCGCGTAATTTCTGTCATGCGAACACTTTTGGCAATGCGATCGTGTCTTAGTAATCTGTTTGAAGGGTCTTTGATCTACATGACGTCTTGGGATTGATAAAAAGGACTCTTTCCCCTCCAGTTTAGTAGTCTTCTATCATTCACGTTATATCTTTCATAACTACGACAATAAACAAAATGGCTACCGTTATCATCCAGTACCCCAGCGGTCACGACTTCGATGTCGACTACTACCTCAAGACTCACATGCCTCTTGCCGAGAAGTAAGATTCTATTACCTCAACTGCCGACCGGTACACTAACATAATTGACAGGACATGGAAGTCCAAGGGTCTGAAGAGCGCCGAGGTTATCCAGCTGGGAGGAGACAGCCCCTACCAAATCTACAGCATCCTTCGATGGGAGAGCATGGCCGCTTTCCAGGCCGCTGCTGGCGCTGAGGATGCCAAGGCTGTTCACGACGATGTCAAGAACTTCACTACTGCCAAGGCCGAGGTTCGCGTTGGCGCCACAGTTGGTGAGGCCAAGCTATAAATTATCTATAATGGAAATATTTAATACGAAATAATCCGACACTTGGAGATATATCTTATGTTTTGCCACACGTGTAGTATCGCGAGCGAATTACCATTTTAGGCTATAATATTACAGTAGTTTCCAGCCAATGGGCGACTTGTGCAGACACCATAAGGCTTTCCCCAATTGGCAATCAGGCAGCAAGGCTTTCTGGGTAATCGAGTCAGCATAACCACAAATTCATCTATCTGTCGCGATCGACTTAAGATTTCTGTACTTCTGTCATACCGCGATAATATCTCCGTCTGGCCAGAAATCATCTTGTCCATACAAGCAAGATGCCGTACGGACGTCTTTTACGTGGCCTATACACGCGCCTCGCTCTGATCCATGAAGGTAAATGGCAGGACCCTATCTCTTGTAGCTTCGAGTATGAGTCCCTTGAGGCCAATAATAATGCCAGCCGCTCTTATTCGGCGCTCTCATACGTTTGGGGAAACTCCAAAGCTAAAGAAACCATTCGGATTGATGGGCATGAACACAAGATCAGCGTGAACCTCGCCTGTGCTATTCGACATCTGAGAGATGAGAGACACCTCTTACTAATTTGGATCGACGCTATAGTAAGCTTTCCCCAGATTCTGTCCGAGATCTAGAGGATTAATGACTTTATCCTAGTGCATTAATCAGGACGACATTGACGAAAGAAGTTCCCAAGTTTCAATGATGCGGGATATCTATGCTCGCGCACAGCGAGTGATCGTGTTCTTAGGCGATGGGTCCTACTTCCGAATCCCTCAAGACTATGCAAAGTCTCCACCACCTGCTCCCATGACATTCTCAACGTTTACCCAGGATGCCCCATTGATAAGCGATTTTCACAACAATTGGGAGACGCTGTGCCGGCGTCCAGAATGGTACTCGTTTTGCGCAATCTGTGTCCTTCGACTTCTGGAAGACGTGGACGGCTACAGCGATACATTGAACTGTATTGCAACCGGGAAGGCCTCTTCAAAATTGAGACTTTTTGAGCTTGTCAGACAGTTCATGAATAGCCAATGGTGGCAGCGTGTCTGGGTCGTTCAAGAGGCCACTGTTACATCTGAAGTTGTGATTCAGTATGGGAACGTCAGGATCCCATGGCCGATGCTTGCTACGGCAGCAGGTGTCTGTGAGAAACTAGGATGGGGTCGACATGATGTGGGATCTGAGTCTTTTCTGGGCATCGAAAGAGAATACGCCAAGGTGCTGCCACCATTCGCAAGACAGGTCTTTGAGGTTGAGAGGTCGAGGAGGGAGTGGAAAACCCGAAAAGGAACCGGGTTATTGTCTCTCCTACAGGAGTTTTCCGGCCGCAAGGCCACCGATGACCGAGATAAGGTCTTTGCGCTACTTGGCCTCGCAAGTGATATCAGATCCATCAAGCCGAACTATTCCCTCAGCACAGTCCAGGTCCATCGACGCACTGTTATTGATCTGATCAAACACAGCGGCACTCTAATAGCACTTTCTGGCGACATGAAACGGAAGAACAGCCGCGATATTCCATCCTGGATTCCCGATTGGAGTGTTGCAATTGAAGAGCCAGATCGTCGCCGCATGCATGTTGAGGCAGCACGCAAGATCTCTCCACGCTGGGAGATTCAACTCGTCGAAAGTGAGGAAGAATACTGGGAACGGGTGGCCATAAATGTGAACATACTTCACGAAGAAATTGAGGCAGGGAAAAGAAGACCGCTACCCGACGACATCGTGGCCAGCCTGATTTCTTACGAGACGATACTCAGGACAAGAACTTATGGATCAGAGTTAATGCTTGAAGAAACTCTCGACTCTTCGCAAGAAGAGGCGATCCAGTTGTGCAAAGTGATGTACACGGAGTTCAAAGAAAACGTTACAAAGTTTTGGCTGTCGACACCAATACGGAGATTTATCAAAGCACATCTTGCCCTGCCACTTACCCCATCATCGGGAGAGTATTACAGAATGGACATCATCAAGTGCTGCGCCAAGATATACTGCTCAAAGATCCTGGACTTGTGGGTTCAAAGGTTACGGGAACGATACAATACCTTACTCGTCTCTTATGAAGAGCAAGAGCGTATTGTGTGGGACCATTACTGGTATTTCCCTGATGGTTGGACTTGGGACGAATACATACGCATGACATTCCCGACACTGGTGAGATCTTATAGAAACAAAGTTTACACCAAAGGCGAGCTGGCCGAGTCGGAGATACTGAGTTTATTATCAACCCCATCAGAAGCGACAGCCTTCCTTGAGAGGGAGCGAGTCTTCATAGATTCTATGACCTTCACCGACCCCCAGACGAACTCAGGTGGTATAGGAACATTTGAGTCACTTCCTGAGCTGGTAAATCTATCCTCGGAAGTCCTGAACCTCCGGACTGGTACAGACATCTTACAGGCCGTACAGAGAGTCAGATATGCTTGTAAGGATCTCATCAACTCAGCTCACAATAACGTGATCGATCCCGAGCTTGACTATACAACGCTATTCTCAACATCCGTTGTCTTCCTTGAATCTTCGTCATGGATGCGCTGTCTGAGGGATAATAGGCCTCAGAAGTTCGATTTCGACGACCAGATGTTCTTGGAGTCGAGGCGGCAAAGGCAACGTGCAGTACTCAGTGAGGGCGCAAACATCCTGCACATAAGTACAAAGCACATTGCGACTGTGGGTGATTGCAGTGAAAGGTTAATTACCTGGGTGGATTCAGCCTCGCGTATATTTACCATCAGCCAGTGGGCAGTGTTGGCACTGAAAAGTAAGACTCGAGATTTCGCTTTGCGTTTCGCTACAACTCTTGTCGGTGGATTGTATGAGGAGTCGCCAGGGAAATTTCGACAACTTCGTCGACCAGAAGAAGACGGGTTGCTGTGGAGCTGGTTTGAGTCCTCCGTACTACCTCGTCTATGCGCTGTTAACACCGCTGTCAACAATCAGCAATTTACGTGGCTTATGGACGGGAAGACCGATGGCAAGATTGAGTCGGATATCAAGAAGTCTTTCGATACGGAGATGAGGCTCGCTACTGAAGGAAGGGTGTTCTTCACTACAAAGGACCACGGTATGGGTCTTGGACCAGCATCTATGATGCCACAAGATCAGGTTGATATACTACCAGGTGGTACCAGACCGTTTGTTTTGCGGCTGCGTCCATGGAACAGAGGTAGCCCAACGGTTGAGTGCGAAGTTGTTGGAGACTGCTTCTTTATGAGAGATGAGGTGGAACATAATGAGGGCGAAGAGGGTTCGCTGCAGGGATGCCTTCCTGTGGAAATCCTAGGTGGGCTTCTTTCCAGCAACGTTGTAAGAAAGGATATCACCTTGGTTTAATACATCAAGAGTGCATCACTCGTTTGAGCTACACTCAGGCCAGGCTTAAATATAGATGTCACTGCGTACCGACCTTGCACGATGGAATTAGAAGGGGAGGATAGAGTGCCTGGTCTAGAAGCTTGTTCTATATGACGTAGCCTGAGTGATCCAACTGGGAAGTGCTCGTCTGACCAGTCTTCAGATGCAGATAACTTCGCCCTACAGGGATTGCCCTGTAAGCATAAAACACCTCACAGCTGATGTTGAAAATGGGGTGTTGAGAGTTCTATGTCTCGGAACAACGGTGCGGTATCCTACAGCTGATGAAGCTATTGGCGATCTTCCGGGGTATCTCTAGAACTCTTCACGGTCAGATAAGCATATAAAGTCGAGTAAATGGAAGCTATCTCAAGACTCATCATCATTCATTTGACCACCTGTATTAAGAGTTTCAATCTTTATTCACAAGTCTCTTGCACCATGGATGTAGCAAGACATCCCGCGGCTAGCCGTCAGCCTACATCGACCCATAAGCCAGTCAGTAAATGGCTCCCATCACAGCGACCCGGTATCCAACAGTGGCTAACCTGCAAACTCTGCGAAGCCAGAGAAAGAACCGATCTGAAACTTGACTCGAGCCTTGTTTCCTTCAAAGAAGTAGTCAACAGCGACCCGACTTGGGAAAGTCTCTCCAACGACATGTTCACCCAATGGTCAAAGAACTACGACACAGGCGCAGAAGCGGCCCTTGAGAGCTTTGATGACTCTATAGAGGTGCTGAATATCATCGTCCAATCACCAGCATCATTCTTCGACAGACATGGACCTCCACCTGCTATGTGGATGATTGGCTTTCCCATCAACGCTGTGTTAGACTGGCCAATGGGCACACTAGCAGGCTATGAATTCTGGCTTATACCCGCAATCAACGCATCTTTTAGGAATGTCCTCAATACATGGACTTGTTTCTTGAGATCGTCCGCCTTGCAATCCGGTCTGAAGAATTGGCCATATCAAGACACTCTTGGGATGATTGCGCAGGTAGAAAATGGGGGTCATACAGGCTCGTCTTTTCACCAGATATTTGTGTGTGATCCTACGGCTCCATATTATGGTTTTGGGACATGGGATGGGTTCTTTAGGAAGGCCGGCAATGGCTTGCATCCAGGCTTATGAGGCCTTGGTCTTGTCTAGGGAAGCGCTTTAGAGATAGAATATGAGGTGGCCATGGTAGAGCCACACGTTGATGATCGCCATGGTGTTGTGGATGATGAAATCAGAGAATAACAACAATACTTATCGTCATCTGGATAGAGTAAGAGAGCATGCATGTAATCAAGTCTGAGACATCCAGATTGAGTAACCGTCTGCATGTCAGCGCTTAACTATTCTCCATCTGGTAGATTTAAAGAAACTCTACAACCTTCCAAATCAGAAAATCAGATCATATCATCTTGTCTTGGTGCTCCATTGTCGGACTAGCGAGTCCTAGCGAGTGTAACCTTTGCCGGGCCGAGGTGGATCTCTGGTCGATTCATATTGGATCAGAATCTCTCCCCGCACAAACTGCCCTTGTTTTTCAATCTTCCTGGAATGCCCACAGACTCTGGCTGCAGGGATGAGAACTGCTTCGGGGTACGTAGTTTTGTCGAGAAGGATTTGAACTAACCAAGCTAGCAAAAACACCAAATTGTTAGGCAAAAATAGCAAATTGTTAGGAACGATCTCTCTCATATCTCACATCTAATGATCCTCTAATTAGATTAAGTGTTCAAGCTGTGGAATGACTTATGTCAGAACATCGATATGCAGAATCCCTGTTATCTGTGACAGGTCAGTTGCATGTTGGTCCGAAAATCATCATGTTATGTTTACTTGTTGGTCGAAATCCATGCAATACTCAGTTGAGATGAGAGAAAACAATGCACCTCCTCACAAACATAATTGGCCATTGAAAGTGCCGCTGCAGTATTTAAGCTTGATCGCCCTGATCGACCGTTCCGTGGCTTCTTGATGCTGCATCATCCAAAAGCAAAAACCACTAGTCGACAAGATGACAACCCAAGGCGAAGACTTTTTCGTGGCGCCTGATGAGGATGTTGGATCACCTATCGCTTGACTAAGAATTTTTGCTGATAACGTTGCAGCTTCAAGATGATCGGGATTCATCGATTGGCGATGAGGCGTCTATTGCTATTTCTTCGACAGCAAGTCTTAGTAGCTCGATTCTCGACTTTCGTCAAGAGAATGGACGGACTTACCATGGCTACAAGGAAGGAAGTGAGTTACACTCAGCTCATGCTAGCTCACTTGACTGATCCACCATAAGAATATTTCCTTCCCAACGACGAGCGAGAAAACGACAGACTGGGTAAGCCAAATCATCCACATTCCAGTCATCATCGATGCTAAGAGCAACCCAGACCTACAGCACAACCTGTTTCTTCTTACCTTTGATAACAAACTTGGACTCTGCCCACCAAACCTCCCCGAGACCAAGGTCAAGCGTGTTCTTGACGTCGGCACTGGTACGGGAATATGGGCCATCGACTTCGGTGATGAGCATCCCGAAGCTGAAGTCATTGGTGTCGACCTATCTCCAATCCAACCGAGCTTGTCAGTCCCAGACGGCAATTAGTACTGGTGTGGACGCTGATTAACGTAGTGTTCCGCCCAACGTTCGTTTCATCATAGACGATATCCACGAAGACTGGGACTTTGCCGAACCCTTTGACTACGTACATAGCAGGATGATGAACTTTAGTATCCCGGATTGGCCTGCATATGTGAAGAAGATCTACCAGTATGTCCGGCAGAATATCCATCATTCCCAAGTACTGACCGTTCTAGGAATCTTGCGCCTGGTGGCTGGGTCGAAATCCAAGAAATCGATGTAATCGCCCGATCCGACGACGGCACCCTGACTTCCGACAGCGCCATCACTAAATGGTGTAAGCTTCTCGACGAGGCATCAGTCAAACTCCAGCAACCCTACAAAGGAGTTCATGAATTTAAACATGTCTTGTCTGAGGCAGGCTTTACCGAGATCGTCGATATGCGTTTTAAGTGGCCGATCAATCACTGGCCAAAGGACAAGAAATACAAAGAGTTGGGAGTTTGGCACCATGAGAATGCTGCTAGCGCATTGGAATCGGTCACTATGGCTCCAATCACAAGGGCTTTTGGCTGGACTGTTGATGAAGTCCAAGTCCTACTTGCCAATGTCAGGAAGGAATTGAATGATACCAAGATCCATGGATACTGGCCAATGTGAGTGCATGCGCAGAGTGGCTATTTGTGTGACTAACCTTTCGGTAGTTGTTCTGTCTATGGGAGGAAACCACTTGCCTAGGTACCAGTAGCGCTGGGACGCCAGACAGGGATTGTTGGAGATCACGTATGTAGGGTAATACTCTTAGCTGAAGGAAACCCGGTGTATTCCCCTTAGGCCGAATTTGCCGATCCCGACTCTAGACAATCAACACAAATCATTGGCCATTGACTCCGAGACATTTCAATTCCGACACCGGACTCGGGCTGAAGTTAAATTCCGCGGAACATCCGCGCGTGCCGCAAGCCATTTAAATTGCAAGATCTGATCTTATCTGATCCTTTTTGTCTCTGCATTTTATGTTTCCAATTCACTTACTCCACCTCTTTTCATTGACCTCAGTTGACCAATATGAATTTGAAGGACCTGGACCTATACTTTGAAATCTTTAAAACTGTTCTTTCGTTCATCACTCGTCTAACGGTTCAGAAAGGACAGGCGATTGTTCACCGTCACACCTACCGCCTTATATCTGATCCGCGCAATGTAATCGTCGTCGGAGGGTCATTCGCAGGTGCCCTTTTAGCCCAACGCTTATGCCACACAGTACCCTCTGGTTATCGCGTAATCCTTATCGAAAAGCATTCCCACTTCAATCATGCCTTCGGCTTTCCTCGTAACGCCGTCTTCTCCGGACGAGAGCACCACGCCTTCATTTCGTATGACAATCTTGCTAAGGGAGCACCTGATGGTATTTTCCAGCAGGTTCGCGACGAAGTTACTGATGTGACTGAGTCACATGTCAACACCGCTGGTGGCGTTTCGCTGCCGTATGAGTACCTCATTATCGCGACAGGTGCAGCCCAGCCACCCCCAGGACGTCTGATTGCCGACACCAAAGAAGACGGGATCAAAGAGCTCAAAGGATATCAACAGCGTATTGAGAAGGCCGACAGAGTCGCAGTCATTGGAGGAGGAGCTGTCGGTGTTGAGCTGGTCACTGAGATCAAAGAGAGATACCCTGACAAACAGGTCACGCTCATCCACTCTAGAGAACACCTGTTGCCCAGGTTTGGCCCCAAGCTCCACGAACGCGTTCTGGAGACGCTCCAGAAGCAGGAAATTGAGGTCCTGTTGGGTGAAAGACCTGCTTATCCCAGTGATGCCGGTCAACTTGTACAAGAAACCAGTCTGAAAGTGGCCACTGGGGAGACAAGAACCTGGGACTTGGTGGTAGGTCAGGATAAGACATTCCTAGAACAAACTGACCCTTCAACAGATTCCTTGCACAGGCCTTCGCCCGCGATCCGAGCTTCTATCTGAATACTCACCCAAGAGTATTGCACCCAACGGAGAGATACTTGTTGGACCGACTCTCCAAGTTCAACATCTACCCTCTGACAAAAAGAACATCTTTGGTCTCGGCGACGTGGCACAATCTGGTGGTCCGAAGCAAGCTCGAGCTGGCCTTATGCAAGCTGAGGTTGTCATCAGTAACCTTCTTCAGTTAATGAAAGGTGGCACAGCCAAGGATAAATACGTTCCCCATTTCTTCGAGAATACACTCAACCTGACCTTGGGAAAGGTAAGTACATTCTTTTCTTTTGTTCTATATACCATTGGGGTTGACCTTTTTGCAGGAACATGCTGTGATGTGGATGCAGAAGGGTGATTACGAGTGGATCAAGGAGACTAAGGGACCTGATGAGGACTTGAATGCCAGGCAAACGAGATGGCAGCTGAATGCCAAGATTGAAGAGGACACAGGAAACAAAGGTTCACATTGATGTAGATTGTCCAGTCGCCACCCACCAAGACTACCAGGATACGGTTATTTACCCAGAGAAGAATATTTATTACCAGCCTAATACAACCATATCATTACAGTCTTCTAGTAGAAGCTCCTCCTCTGCTCCGCCAAAGCCCCTAACTTCAAAGCCAAAAGCTTACTAGCAGACCCCTCCCTCAAATGCCCCTGCTCCTCCGTTCTTCCTCGCGGACTATTCCCATTCACATTTCCACTCATGCTCATGATCCTCGATTGCCTCAAACTCGAAACACTCATACTTCTTCTTTCGGAAGCAGATCCCAAACTCATACTCTGTCTCGAACTCGCAGCAACACTCTGCGCTCGAGACCTCTTATTCAACCCCTCCATCTTGAGTAATGATTCTCCAGCGCTAGTGGCGCTTGATGCACCAAGACTTATGGATGTACGACGGGAAGAACGGGAGGATGTGCGGGATGAGACGCTTGGTGTCGAGGCGTAGCCTGTCATCATCATCATTCGTGCGCTGAGCATCTGGTTGTTCGCTGCGAGCAGAGCGTTCGGATCTAAGGTGAGAGCAGTTTGCAGGTTTTGAAGCTGGTATGCGCTGGGCATATTACTTAAGCGACGAATTGCGGTTTTGTTGTTTTGGATGAAAGTGGACATGCTTGAGACGGCACCCACGTTTAATCGGTCCGCTGCTGACTCGACCGCCGTTGTACTGTTGATGTGACTTCGTTCTTGATGCACCGCGTTGACGCTGACTGGCTCGGGCACTGGTTCATCTTCGATGGTGGTCATGCTGATGCGACGATTGATCTGCGTGACTACCTGATCAAAGTTCGTCTTCTGAGAACCAGTGTAGAAATCAGCTTGCTCCATGACCATCTCACTGCGGATTTCCCGTGTGAGCACGAAGAAAGTCTTGTCGCGGATACACTTCCTGACAAATGCCCAGCGTGTGCGGGCGGGGTTGTGTTCAAGCTCAGGCTGGTACACGGACAGGCGAGCAAGTTGAGCGTAGAAGTTTGCCAACCTGTGAGCCATCTTCTCCAATGTTTGGAGTAGGAAGGTGGATAGTGCAGCAACAGGTGTGGCGTCAGGGTCATCGTGATCAAGCATGGAAGCGACGTTGTCAAAGGCGTCCATACCATTACACGCTTCCTGTCGGAGATCTTCGAGGAGTTCGATGTCAAGCTGGACGCATTTAGCAGTGTAGCTAAACACACCTCGCTCCTGGAATCGAAGTTGAGAATTGGGATCGCAGATAAGATCACCAAGGGCGCTGATCTCCTTAGTAACCTTGGCCGCGTCCAGGCCTGTCTTAGCACGAGCGATGACACCGAGAATGTCGGGTAGCTTGTAGGCAGCGCCAGGTCCACCAGCGCTGGCAAAGACGAATGAGAGCCGAAGAACGAGTTCTTCTAGCTTGGGTCCGAATAGTGCTGCGAAGCCACCTTGGAGAAGACGGCTTTGGTAGCCGTAGAATGTGCGGATGGCGATGGTGTTGGGAAGATCTTCGCGTTGCCAGATGTTGGTGATACCATTAGGATCATCCTTCGATGGCGCGTCGAGTGTGTCGCCCATGATGTCGTTCATCTCGAATTGATGAGCGACAAGTGTCTCGACATTGGTTCGGAGGTACGCTGACCAGAGATCATGCATCGTCGAAAGATCCTTGTCGCGATAGTCTGGCTTGGGCGACAAGTGGCCGATGAAGTACCGCGTAAGAAGACTCGATACTTCGGGATTGTTCGTGTGAGCGAGGTTGTCGAAAGACTTGGTGCAGTCCACTCCAGCGTTGGATTTGATGATCAGGGTACCGCCGGGATGCATTGGGCAGAAGTCAGTGACATCGTAGACACTGCCATGAACAGAAATCCACATACGTCCGCCCTTGCGATGACCAGTATGCAAAGCCAGACTGGATTGAGAGATGGTGGGAAGATTGACGGGTAGTGCTCGTGGAGACATGAAGACATCCAACATGAATCGTCGCTCAGCGAAAGCCTTGTTGATGATCTTGTCAACCGTCTCCATAGTCGCAGTGCGATATGTGTAGATCGCCTTGCGAATACCACTCATAACAGAGTCAAACACAGCGACAGACCCACAAACATACATATACCCACCCAAACCACCTTGCTTCTTGGACATGACCATATCACAAACAGTACTACCCTGCTCAACGATAAGCGTATCAATGTACCTTGGTGAAATCTCCTTGTCGACAAGATCACGGAGTACATCATCATAGACCAAACCATTCGAGTCACGCGATAAAGCGAGGTGGACTTCCATGAAACCAATGTTGACGAGCTTGCGGAGTTCGGACTCGTAGGAGAATTTGTCGCGGGATTGAACGCCGAGGTAGAGAAGGTTGCGACCGCCTGAGAGACCGGATGTGGCGAGACGGTGTTGCCAGAAACTGCGGAAGGGAGCGATGCCGCTTCCTCCTGCGAAGAAGGCGCATGGGGCCATGTCGTCGATGGGGAGGGTGAAGGATACAGGTCGTGAGACGCCGACGAGGACATCGTCTGCTAGGATTGCGCTATCGGCTCCTGTTGATGGGTCGGGGTTGAAGAAGCCACTGGAGACACCAGCACGGACTATGTTCTCGCCTTCGGAGAACATGGAGCAAAGATCATACTCCGATCGAGAAATGGTGAGATCAACAGTACTCGGCAAAAGCTCATTGCTGTAGCTTGAGATGGAGTACGTCCTGGGAACTTCCAACGCGACAAGATCCGTCAACCAATCCAGATCATCAAGACTAAAAGCCTTGTCCCAGATATGACTGGGCGTATCCATAACAGCTCGCTGTAGAAGATCACCCAAGGAGCCGCGAACAGGCCATTCATCGGTAGCGAGGACTTGAAGAACAGTGTTGGAAGAAGCGTGAAGAAGTTCGTGCACCTTGACGGTGAGATCTTTGGTGATAGGCGCAAGATGACCGCGACGAAGAATGTCGAGGACTGTAAGCCCGTGAGGTGTTCGAGTAACGGAGGATAAATGCTGGGAGAAACGAGACCATGTTCCGTTGGTGTCGACGGGAAGACGAAGATGATGATCCAAACCCAAAGAGGCAACCATCTTGGCTACTTCCTCCCAGGAATTGAGAGGCATGACGGCCATTCGATCACCAGGTTGAAAGGTGATACCCGTATCGCGGATATCGATCGTAACCATGGCAGTCCCTCTCTTAACATCCTTATCAACAGGACTAACACCAGCAACCCGTCCAAGATAGCGACACTCCTCAAAACTGCCCCTCATAGAGTGCGGTTCCAAATCAAGCTTCCCTCTAAACGGCTCCAAACGTTCCTTCATCGCATCCGAGAATTGCCGATGGGTCTCCTCCCAAGGGCGGGTAGCATCTGCAGCGCCTGAAAGACCGTTTGTAGCAGTACGGCCTGTCTTGGCAGCGACTTCAAGAATGCCAAAGACTTTGTACCGGTGGACACCCATGAAGCCGCGTTCGCCGGTGTAGGCTTCGACAATGCCTTCGAGAACACCTTTGAGGCGGGGGTCGTTGGACTGTTGGACGAAGGCGGGGATGGAGTAGTGGTATTGGACGGCTGCGATGAAGGCGCGGTGGTTGGAGGGGAGCCAAGCTCGGAGGTGGAGAGCTTCTTGGCCGAGGAAGGAAGAGTGGCTGTCACTATTAGCATAATCCCCATACTCAAGGATATGACTTACGTCTTTCGACCGAGGAATGCATCCATCATCAGATATGGTGGGAATTGCAGACCGGACGCAGCAGGACATCGCTTGGATAATGGTGTAGAGAATAATCCCCAGCGAACCCACTTATCAGCAGAGACATAGTTATCGCCTGCGTTGGGATTGGCTGAGATGCTGTGGAAGGCATTGGGCATTCGTTCGAGGATTTCCTTGAGGCGGATGAGTTCGTGGAGAAGACCTTCGACGTTGTTGGTCATGACGTGTTCTTGACAGGCGGCGATGGCGTCGGGGCCGTGCTGGAAGGACGCTGTATAGATGTTAGTAAAGAGTGAATGGGGTTTGGGTGGGAGACTTACCGGATGTATCAGCGCAGCCTTTGAGAAAGGCGACTTCAGCGCGTTCCCCAAACATCGGCCATCGAAGGTCGGTGTTGTCGAAGCGTGCAAGATAAGGGTACGTCGACTTGGTATCGCGAATCTTGAGGTTGTACGACGCCTGATCCGGGAACGACAAGTGAGGCAGCGTACGTCCCATGCGTCTTGAAATCTGATAGTAAGGCAACGCAATGCACATAGGAATACCCTCCAACTCCTCACACAACTCATCGCCCATCTCACACGTGGGTTTCGTCGAAGTGCCATTCGTAACAGCAACACCATCCTTCCCATCATGACGATCCTCAAAACGATAGATGGAGCAGAGCATTCCCAATGCGACGACAGCGCCCCAGAGTGCTTGATCGGGAATGATATCCTTCGTCCCCTCGACAAGTGGTAACTTGGCAACAGCTTCCCTCACGCGACCACGTGCACAACACCCAGGCATACGTTCACAAAGATCAGACCAGATCCTCCCCGGAGATCTTGCAAGTGCAGCGATAGGCTCTTCATAATCTGGTGGACAGAAGCCGTGTTCGACAGAGAGATAACCGTCGCGCCATCCTGTAACGGGACCGATTTCTTCGGCGCGACGGAGGACTTGACGCGCTGGTGCGCCGAGAGCGGTCGCAAGGATGGAATGGTCGGATGCGTTGAGGGCGTCGAGTTCAGATTGGGAGCGGGCGTTGTCGAGGGTTTGACGGGTTGGGTAGGAAGTATACAAAAGTTCGTTGATGGATTTTCGCTCTCGTGTACGTAGCCAGTCATCTGGATCGATGCCACGAGGAATGTCAAAAGCAGCGTGGATATCACCAGGTTGACTCGCGCCAGAAAAAGCACAACCTCGTCGCTGACCACCAGATCCACCACGAGATGAGCGAGTCACAGGACATGAAGTCCCAGCCGAACCAGAAACAGGACAAGAAGCGCGCGACATTTTATTAATGCGGTAATGACAAAAAGGTATAATAGATAAAATCAGGCCACCAGGGCAATAAGAAGCGAAATAACTAAACAAAAAGGTAACAAAGAAACAATATCACGCCACCAGGGCGATCTGAAAGAGTGAATGGAGATGGAAGAGAAACAAAGCTCGAGAAAAAACATCCGAGGCCGGCCTAGGTAAATAATAAAATTCTGGAGATAGTGTTTCAGATTCGTTGCAGATGGAAACGTGCCAAGAGCTGGAGTATGAGATTGCGTTACATCGTTGAGGAGATTTTAAGCATATTTAGTGGAGGTTGAGACGATGGTGTGTCCGGCTGTGAAAATTGCCGTTTTCTGTCAGATTTTGGGGGTTTTGATTGGTGTAGGCGTGATGTGAAACGTTGATAGGGATGAAAACGAGATCTTGGCTGGAAGTGGACCTCGTCGTAATGTAACCTCCCACATCACGTACCCTACAGTCATAATGCTCAGAAGTATTCTGATGAACAATAACTATGAGATGGAAGTATTCCAAGTTGTTTCTTAATGAATGAATAATGTATGCTTGGGTATTTCACTCAAGAATTTTGCTAGGTTTAGCAAAAAGTTGCATTCCAATTAAGTGAGCCGCACAGCCAGTTTCGTGACGTGACAAATGTTTTGCAGTCGGGCGTGAACGACCCTGGACCGCCGAAAATTGAAGTCTGTTCAGAGGATGTCAACAATATCCCAGCGCACAATAATGTTATTGAGCCTGTTAGATCACGAAAGCGCCTTTATGACTCAAGTCTAACCATCCCGCCTGCCATCATTCTTTTGTCGGCTATCGTGCTGGTACGTACTTAATCAGGCTCGGGATAACCTGGAGAAGCTGAAAGACGACTGACGTCTGTGAAGCCTTTAGCGCTCGTGGCTGTCCAATCATTTTTACTGTCTCCTGCGGTGTGACCAACTTATAAAATCAGGCTACCAGTAATAACATGAGCATATTGCGGCGTCGAATTCTCAGCGCCTACAACCCGTATCGACGTGCGTGACCGCAGAGCCTAAGGTATTTAAGCAGTCCCGTCAAGTAGAGCTTTAATCGTATTCTCGTCTGCTTCATACTGCAAACTACCATCGACAAGAAATTTGAACTGAAAATGAGCGACGATGTATCCCTTCTTGACAGTGACCTTCGACAAGCCCCAAGGGGACCAGTCCAGCGCAACACCGTAGCAGGTGTCCCCGCCCGACTCAAACCATGGCGCATAATCTTTCAAATGGTAATTTTCAATCTTGTGTGTAGGTATAAATTGGGTCTACAACCAGGCTACAACTCACTTATACTTTATAGCTTTATTTGTCATGGTCCTCCACTGGGTATTCTTCGACCAGCTGAACAATAGACCAGTCGACGAAACAATCCCCCAGAATCTCTCATCCGCCCTAGCCAATTTCCTAGCCATTTTAGCAGAGATTGCCCTTCTCGGAGGTCTCGGTATCGCCTACGAACAAATTCTGCGCAACGTTTGGAAGAAACGACCAGTATTTGGATTAGAGGAAGTACTCGGAACCCTCAACTCCAGCCCGTGGAATCTCTTTCGACGTAAAGTCTTCCGTTGGATCAGCAAGGTTAGAGAGCTTTGGATAGTCAGCCTACTCTGCGCCGGGATTCCGTTTGCGATTGTGTTCCCGCCTGGTGCTCTGACTGTCGAGTTCGAGAATTCTGTCATTACGACGCTGCGCAATGTGCCGACTATGAACATCAGCGACTATGGAAATGGGACGTATGGATCGTTTGTTGAGAAGTCTTTGTTTGAGATGAATGGCGACTTCAGCTACATGTGAGTATTCGACTCCAGAATGAATCTTTGCTAACATCGTGCAGGAATGAAGTACGACCTAGTCTCAGAGCGTTGGCTAGTCAAGTTCTCTCTTCAGGTAAACATGTCAGACTCAATTCGCCATGCGGTAGCTCTTGCGAGTACAATATCTCCATAGACGGCCCGCGATTCAATTGCCGACACATCGGCCCCGAAGAAGCACTGATTAGCAATTGTCCAACTATCTACGCGGCCAAAGACCACATCAACCGCAGTTCAGATGCTCTATACAGCCGCGCCAGCAATTCCTTCAAAATAAGCTGGTTCGCAGAATTGTGCAATAATCAGACCCTGAAGACACTGGATTGCCATACAACGCTAGCAACATATAATCTCCAGATAAACAACTCACGCGATGCATCTCAGTCCATCACCGTGAAGGTTGAGAATGAAAGAGAATTCTGGAATGACACAGCTTGGATCCAAACGCAATTCTTCTATTATTTCTTCTACGGGGATGATCCTTTCGAAGTATTGAAAGCCAACGACACCCTGCGCGCCAACTTTACAAATGCACAGGCTTTTGCGATTAGCCGAGGGGCGGTGGATGCTCTGCAAGGTGCAGCGACGAGGAGTGAGTGCTGCTTTCAACGCAAATACATGACATGCTAACATTCTCAGATTTGGATGGTTTTAGCCGATTTTTCCAAGGAAACGCTACAGAAGTTTTAGGTAGTCCCTACGTCGGCATGAAAGATAGGTTCAGTACTGAGCTTGATATCACGCCGGAAAAGATTGAGCGTTATCTACAAGATGTGGTGGTATCGACAATCTCGCTGGGTGTATCGACACACGATGGGGATGTGCAGGCTAAAACAGGGGCAGAGATTTACAAGTTTAGCGACAAGGTTCAATTCTTTGCGGGTTATGGGTCCTCTGTTGCTGTTGCTGTCTGCATTTGTGTTTTTAGTTGCATTTCCATCATCCGGAACCGGGGAGCAAGTGGTCCTACGCTCGTTAGAGCCATACCGCTGCAGAGATTTGAGGCTCTAGGATAAGTTGTCGAGGCCGAGGTGTCTGTTTTCATAGACTTGATTTCTATTTCCAAGTCATGGCTGATGCAACAATTAAGTCTTTTTTTTGAGGAGCGAGTGCTGCAAAGTATACGGAAATCTGGATGGAAGCAAGGAAGTAGGGCATTTTATACCCTGCCTGAACCTTATGTGACGGCGAGGCAAGAAAGGGTCATGTGTGGGTAAAGGTGTCATAATGCCTTGTGAAAAGTATGAATGTCTTCACAAAGCTCAACTGATCCAATTGCCCCTATGATCAACAACTTTACTAGACGATGCCATTTTGCTTCATGAACAGACTAGTGGTGAATTCCAATCGACATGATAGCTACATTCTGTTCTGGGAAGGATTATAAGAAGGCATGTGAGGATGTTGAGAGCAACAAGGTTATTAAAGGTGTTCTCAGATGGCTTAATCAAGCCCTGAAGATGTTAACTAAGGCCTCAATCGCGATGTTATTATAAGTAAATAAAGGCAACAATACATGTCGATGCATTGTTGCAGACGCCCTGTGTTGTAAGAGCCTTGATTGTTGATTACCAGGAGTCACGGGGGTTTGATTTACACAAGCATAGCGATTAATTGTGGACAGACCCGCTCGTCGAACTTGATCTAGATGACTCGGAGATATGTCCAAGTCAGGGACACTACGGAATGAACTCTTATGCTTGGACTTGCTAGTACTGATACTTTCGACTACCAGGATCTGTGCCCCAAGCGCACAGCCCTGCCAAGAACACCGTGTCGATCTTCTGAGGGGTTACAGACCACTCATAGCATTCAGTTACAAGACCGGGTTCCCGTCAACCCAAAAACCCCTCACGAATGATAACAGGGATAAACGATGCCCGCACTCCATGATTATCATTCGCCGTGTTTGTCGGCGTCAGCGGACCGCTCACACGGCTGGTCGCTGGTTTTGGACTGCGTCAGCGAGTACAAGACTGACCAGCCTGCCGCTTTAGTAACTTCTTAAAATCCGCACCCTTTCACTGTATCGAAAAAACAACCAATTCGATATCCAAAGTTGATAAAGACTATGTCCGACATGTGTTCCAAAATCGATACAACGGTGAGTCCCTCCCATGCTCCCTCGTTGTGCAGAGCAATGTGCTTACGCGTCTGACCAAAGGTCTATCCGGGCAACATCATCAACAATGAGTTTGTCCCAACGGCCAAAACACTTCATTGCATCAACCCGTCCACAGGAGAGACCCTATGGGAGGTTCCCTGCGCCACCAGAAGTGATGTCGACAAGGCTGTCCAACATGCCCGAACGGTCTTCAAGAGCTGGTCTAGAGTTCCATTCGACAGCCGAGCAAAGATGCTTTTCGCCTACACGGATGCCATCGAAGCTGAACGCGAAGAGCTCGAGAAGCTGCTCGTCAAAGAGTCGGGTAAGCCTCTCGAGCTCGCCAAGACCGAGTTCGACATGAGCTTGAGATGGCTGCGAGAATTTGCCACCATGGAGGTCAAGGATGAGGTACTTGATGATAACGAAGACCGGACCATAACCCAGACCTTCCCTCCTCTGGGCGTGTGTTGCGGAATTGTTCCATGGAATTGGCCTGTTCTCCTTGGACTTGGTAAAATTGGCCCGGCGCTCATTACTGGAAACGTCATAATAGTCAAACCATCACCTTTTACACCATATTGCGACTTGAAGCTCGGTGAGATTGGAAGCAAGATTTTCCCGCCGGGTGTCCTCCAGGTTATCAGCGGCGACGATAGTCTTGGGCCAATGCTTACAGAGCACCCAGATATCGATAAGATCACCTTTACCGGATCAATCGAGACAGGTAAGCGAGTTATGCAAAGCTGCGCAAAGACCCTGAAGAGTGTGACGCTCGAGCTCGGAGGTAATGACCCAGCTATTATCTGCGATGATGTTGATATCGACGCCATCGTGCCCAAGATAGCAACACTTGTCTTCCTCAACTCGGGCCAAATCTGCATGTTAATCAAGCGCATTTACGTTCATGAGAACATCTACGACAAGTTCCGCGATGCGTTTGTTACTTATGCAAAGACCATCAAAGTTGGCGATGGGTTTGAGCCCGATGTGCTTATCGGCCCTCTCCAGAACTCGATGCAGTAAGTCCCATAGATGAAAGTCACATCAGACAGCGATGTTAACTAAAGAACAGATACGAAAAACTCAAAGACTTGTACATGTCGGTCGTCACAAACAACTGGAAGCTGGCATTGGAGGGACGCATCGTATCAGAGTCAAAGGGATACTTTGTTACCCCTTCCATTATTGACAACCCCCCTGAAGATTCAAAGATCGTTGTCGAAGAGCCTTTCGGGCCCATCGTCCCACTTCTCAAGTGGTCCAGCGAGGATGAAGTGCTTGACCGCGCGAATGCTAGTAAATGCGGGCTGGGCGCTTCAGTCTGGAGTAAGGATTTTGACCGTGCTGAGAGAATGGCTCGTTGTCTATCGGCTGGTAGTGTGTGGATTAACTCACATTTTGATGTTGCTCCTAACGTTCCTTTTGGTGGCCATAAATGGAGCGGAATTGGCAGTGAGTGGGGAATGACTGGGTTGAAGGCGTATTGTAACTCTCGATCGCTGTGGAAGTGGAAGAAATAGGTAAGGTAGACCAGCGAAATCTATAGTTATTTCAGTTAATAGTCAAGATCCTTTATAAGTTCACGTCTAGTCTAAACTTCTTAGAGCTACACCTTTATAGAGATTTGAGAATATGTGATAGGCTGTCAAAGATAGGCTTCTTAATTTTGTACACTTGATTGCTGGAATATTCTGTTCCAGGGCATGGTTAATGCAACAGGTCGACCGCTACAAAGCAATTACCTGTGCTTGGTAAGACATGCTAAATCCTTAGCGCCATCACCCGAAAATAACTGAACACTAGTGGTGTACATCTGCAGCCAAGATATGAGACGAGATACTTCTCCTATGTCGGAAACTAATGCAATGTCCGTATAGCCAGCGATACGACTTCGCGATGAGTCACTGCCGAAACATTGCCCCGTAGAACCAACAACTGATCTCACCGAGACTCTATATCAACACCATTGTGTCTTGATTCTTCAAAACTCCCCCGTTTCCTAATTCATCTGAAATACGCCGGCTGGTCAATTCTAAACAAAATGGATCCAGTAACAGAGGAAACACCAAAGCCGAGGACTAGAGTTGCTTACATCCGCACTCTTCCAGACAAGAGAGCTGGCACAGAGATTACAGAGTGTCAACTCGCTAATCTGAGAACATGGCTGTGGTTCTGGGTCGGTCAAAAAGTCCCTTACGACCCTTGCGGCGCTGGTCGTAAAAATCGCACATCATCTCCCCCGGGTCTTCGTCACCATTACATTATTGGCTATACTACCGCTACGGATGCTGTCATATTGGACTGGCTATTGGAAGCTTCACCACCTGGAAGTGATAAGCTATCCAGGTCAGACTTTGAGGTTTATCTTTCTGAAGGGCAGATGAAAGATGTGAGGAATAAGGATCTTCTTCAACGGCTGGAAGCGGAGAATGTGATTATCACAAAAGTTACAGCGCCATCGGAAGAATATGCATCGGATGATATCTGCGATTCAGTCATGCTCTCAAAAAGCGACTATGTTCTCGACACAAATCTTAAGTACGGCCCTAGCGATTGGATTTCCACAGATGCACTCTATCGCGACTCCCTGCGCTACGGACACCCACAGTATTACAAAACCGAAGAGCGGAACAACTTCTACTTCGCGAATAGACTAAAGAGCAAGATGGGACACACACAACGATCATGTTCCTACGCACACGGTAAATCTGACGCATGGTTACGTGATCATTACGTTGAATGGCAAGCTTATGCATGTCCAAGCTGTGGCCAAAGATGTAAGAGAAACAAAGGTTGTAGGAATACGGGTGAGGATTGGGCGAAGAACCAGCGGAGGGAAGAGTGGATGGAAGGTGTAAATCTGGATGCCCCAAGACCGCCTGAGTTTGAGAGGGATTGGAGGATGTTGAGTGTAGAGAATGTTGTCAATTGTTACAGCAAGGACAGATTGGCTTGGGAGAGATTTCGGAAGTGGAAGTGGAGATCTGTTGATACGTTCTCTGGGGATTGGAAGAAAGAGTAGCATCACAAATTCTTATTTACTACATAAACTATTCTCATCATCATTCGTCATCATCATCATCTCCATACTCTACAACCATTCTCACAGCATTTTAGATCTCATGCTGACCACAGCCCAAGTGTCGAAGACCCATAGCCTCAAGCTCCTCCATCTTACCCAGATCAGGTCCGACGCTTCGCTGCTGGAGACTTTGAAGCTTGGCCTCGCTGATCTTGGTCTTGGGGATCAACTTGGTGCCTCGTTCGTCGAGAACAGCAAGGATGTGTGCGGCAGCCTTGGCGTTGATGGTGAGAGTCTCGGGATCGGGGTTATCGATGGTATCACAAGCTTGGTGGTAGCAAGGATCCTGGGCAACAGCGGTACCCTGAAAACATGTTAGCAATGACTCCATGCGGATCGTTTTATGTAACTTACAGTGTGGAGGAAACCAAAAGGCTTGTTCAAGTTCTGCCAGAAAGAAGCATAATCACTTCCATTCGTCAAAACAGCAGGCGTAACCTCAAGACCCTTACTAGTAAAGTACTCAGTAAAGATCTTCTCAGTAACCTCGGAGCCCTTAGGCGCCTTGGATCCATGCTCGCTACCGTCAGTGTCAGCGACACCGAAGAAGCCCTTGGCGACCATGTCGAAGTTGAGGTAGACCAAAAGGTTGTTGACGTCCTTGGTGGCCAGGTTGGAGGTGTAGAACTTGCTGCCGAGAAGACCGTTTTCTTCGGCGCCCCACCATGCGAAGCGGATCTTGTTCTTGGTCTTGTACTTTGAGAGCGCGGTGAAGAGCTCGAGGAGGAGGGATGTGCCGGAGCCGTCGTCGTTGATTCCGGGACCGGCTTGGACTGAGTCCAAGTGTGCACCGAGCTGTAACAGTTAGCGAGAAACGTCATCAGTAGGAAGGTGACATACCATGATGACATTGCGAGGATCACCACCAGTACTCTCAGCAATAACATTCTGAGTAATCCTCTCCTCAATAGTTTGAGTCTGCTGAAAGAAAGCCTCAACCTTCTCGCCACCCTCAATCTTGGCCTTGATCTTCTCTCCGTCCGCAAGGTTGATGAAACCAGCAGGGACATGCTTCTCGGGGTTGGGAGCACTGAGCGAACCAGCAGTAACATTGGTCGCCAGATCATGGTAAATAATCACACCAGCGGCACCGGCCTCGGCAGCAGGAATGACTCTGCCAGCGAGGGTACCACCGGTAGGACACCTGAATCGTTGAACAAGAACGATCTTGCCCTTCACATCAAGATCGGCGTAGTTGGCTGCGTCACAACCTGCTGCACCTTCGGGACCGAGCGCGATTTCAGCAGTGATGCCGTCCGCGCTAGTACTGGGGGAGTAAGTCAATCCGTACACGTAGACATCGCTGTCGTCCACTTTCAGAGAGATGGAGTCGACGTAAGCGAAGAGCGCGGGGAAGTTCTGCTTGTAGACCTTTGCGCCCTTCACTTTGGAGGTCTTTTTGAAGACGTAGTCTACTGAAGCGTCGTAGCCGGGAAGACCGAAAGCTCTGTTGCCGCCGTTGGCGAAAGCGAGATCGTTGAGCTTCTCAAGGTTTGACATAAGACTGAAATTGTCAGTTTGGGGGTGGGTGAATTGGAATGGTGGGATTTACTTCTTGGTCTTGATGTCATTTTGGAATTTCTTGGAGTCGAGCTTCTTGCCCTTTGCCAAGGCATTGGGGGTGAGCGACAGGAGAGTCGCGAGGGTAGTGGTGAGCTTCATTTCGGATGGCCCTTGAATTGACTTGAGAGGGATAACCCTCCAATTGATGGATGGGAGACATCGCTTCAATTTATAGTAGACGTATGATGTATGTCGCCATCGGTTTCTTGCCCAGAAAATACAAGGCCCGGGTTTAGTATTGTTTACGGAAGGTCATTGGGAGCCAAGAAGTGGGCTTTGGTGATCGGTATGTAGGTACTTTTTTAGTCAGGGCTCGGCATGGGCCTTATCGCGGGCGGTGACGATAGTCCCGTGCTCTCTAGGCGGCGATTCATTCCCCCAAGGGTGAGATACTGGATATGACAGTATGAGGCACGAGCAATGACTTACTTCTGCAGAATTTTCCTGATCAATTGACTCTCTATGGTTTCGAGAGATCACAATAAAGGCTTTTCATCATCACAAATGGAGGCAAAATTCTCTACCGATAAAGCTCACGACCTCCGATCGAGGTTACATTACCGACGGGTCTCTACATCAATTGGAGATAACCCCGCAAAGACCAAGCCTACCGAGACGATATCATTGATAAACATTTGCTGAACCAATCCGGCAGGTCTGAAATCCTGGTATGATTTGCAAGGATCAAGAACCATACGAATAAGCTTAACATCCAAAAGTTCCTCTGAGGCGCTAGAACAGGACAGGAAAGAGATAAGAAAAGTTCCCCGCGGAGTCTTGGCATGAGCATGATGATCTAAGCATTTTAATAACCTCAAGCATCATAAATCGTTTTGCGTATTTAACTGTGGCATGGTCAATTATCACGTAGCTCAAAATGCAGCATGTTGTGCTCAACCGGTCGAAGGTGGCTTACGCTACTTGAGAGGAGAGTAAAAGATGTTTTCGGAGGACTGGATTGATATTATTCTAGGGACTGAGAGTTCCGTCAGTGAAATTAATTAAGCAAGCGGAGAGATGAATGATTTGAAAAGAAGCCATGATAGTTTACTTAGATTTGTCCATGATGTTTGTTTTGTTGAACAAACAGCTGGCGGGCAATGATGCCTCTGTTGCCTAAAGTGGGGTTAGTCAGCGACCAAAACATCAGCAGCCAAAATACTACGCAGAACACCAAAAAAACAACAAATCTTTCATCATCCAAAACCGTCAAAATGAGACCAAACGCGACTTACGAACAGCTCTCGATGCTCTGTCCAGGCGACAAATTCCCAACCCAGCAACGCATTCTCGACGATGCCCACATTCCAGGGATTGGTAAGTGGTTTCTCGACCACGAGAAGACGCAGAAGTGGTTGACTGGGGACGGCAAACAGGTATTGTGGCTCCATGGACCAAGTAGGTGATTAATATCAAGGAAAAAGTCATTGCTAATGTTCTTAGGCGCAAGTGGAAAGACATTCCTGAGGTATGTCGCTTCATAATAAGCACTAAACTGACACTAACCATCCCAAAGTTCAAGTCTCGTCAACCACATCCATGAGAACAACTCCATGGGAGTCGGTATCTTTTACTTCGGCCAACGTGACGTGCAGAATAACCTCGCCGATTACGATCTCGCATTCCGCTCTATAACCCGACAACTCGTCTCCCAAACGCCCGGCTCGCTCGGTCTCTACCAAGGCATCTTGGACAACGACGAGATCGGCGTCCAAGACATAGACGGGTCATCGGACATTCTCGAGACGATTCAGAGTGTTTTCGGCAGGATGGTTGTTGTCCTGGATGGTGTGGATGCAACTAATGAGAGAGGCCTGGCGCAATTGTTACATCTTCTCTTGGAATTCAGCAGGATTCCTTCGTTAAGGGTATTGATGACAAGCCGATCTGGAGCACCCGACCGTCTCAAAGACTATGGACTATCAGAAGTCGAAGCGCGCTCACCCGACTCGGATATCGCTCTCTACTTTGCCAAGTATATCGACGAGTCGCACGTTGACCACGAAGTACTGCATGAGTCGCACACCAGATTACTACCGTACCAGAAGTTCATCGACATTTCCAACGGATTGTGAGTATATAACTTACCACAAGCGCCAATGCTGACAGATCTCAGGTTTCTTCCTCTCAGGCCCAATTGGTTCAGTAACATTGCCTCGCAGCCAAACAAGACCTTTCTTGATCTGGTCGAAGCCGGGTCACCAGATGTTCCAAAGGCATTTTGCCAGGCCTTGGTAAGAGATCTTCAGCTTTCTGAAGAATCTGATACAATTCTTTATCTGCTGTATCATGTTGTCAAGTGCGATGAAATGGGCTATTTCTTTACTGCACGAATGGTACACGAAGCGATTGATGCTTGGGGCATCCGGAACCAAGATGTGACCCAGTGCACGACTGATGAGATCATTGGGCCCTTTCAGCGCTTGGTATTCATAGACAGCAAAACTCAGGCCATGGTAATTCGATCACCGCTGCTGATGAATCATCTTCGCAACACCGTCTTCGGAGACGAGTATCATAAAAGGCATGCAACAGCCTCCATTCAATACCTCTCAAACCCAGATTTCGCAACCGGGGCATGCAAATCATCAAAAGAACTAAAAGAGCGCTTCCAAGCCCATCCGTACCTCTGGTTCGCCGCCAAATGCAATCTTCCCAGATCTCTCCCGCCATCTTTCGAATCTGACTTTTTCATCTTTGTTGCTTCTCAAGGAAATCTCGATTCGTACCTACAAGCAAGAGAAGCATGGCCCTACCTCGATGACGAAACATACGACGAGTGTGAGAGGGATACCGAGCGATGGAATTGTTATACCCGCGGCACTACGGCGCTTGGTCTTGCCGTGACGCTTGGTAATGAAGGTATACTTCGCAAATTCATTGAAAAAGGTGCAGACCTCGAGGCTCGTGATGGGGATTTGAATACGGCGCTTCATATCGCAGCGTTCGACGAGGATGAGTCTGATATGCTTAAGGTCCTTTTGCAGGCTGGCAGTAATGTGGCTGTGGTTAATGAAGAGGGTCTGACGCCATTGGCTATTGCTATTGTTCATGGAAGCTTGGACTCTGTTAAGTTGTTGATTGAGTTTGGTGTTGATGTACGGAGGCTTGATGAGGAGGATCTGAGGCTGTGTGTGGATGAGAAGCCGGACATTGCGGAATATCTGGCTGGACTAGGTGTTGAGATGCCAGTGCGGGATGATGGGGACGATGATGAAGACGATTAGACTGAGAACACGCCCCTGCAGTCGGGTTGAAGCAACGACCACCAGGTTTGTATGTATCGTCTCTCGTCTGTTGGATCATAATGGTGGGTTCTGGGTCTGGTCTATCTAGTCGTTATTTATGGTGGAGACGGGGAAAAAGAACGACCACCAAAAATGTGGATTGGTGGGATCTAACCACCTTAGTTGGACGAACAGGGAATCGAACCCTGGACCACTCCCAGAAGGAAGAATCTTGTAGATAGAAGCTTGCTAAGGGAGTATTATACCACTAAACCATTCGCCCCTAGCTCTTGAATGAGATCACCATGTGACGGAGAGTTTATGGTGTCGTTGCGATCCACTGAATTCATCTTACCAAATGAAGCGACTTTGATTATGAACCTCCTGAACATAATGGGCCAGTGTAGCGGATAAAGTACATTACATATGTGGGTTGTTTATCGTCACAGTACGCATGTGTGCCCTCATGGTATGCACGAACAACACACTCGAGCTCCGCGACAGATTTAACATTAGCTATAGTCACGTACTGTTGCGCAGTAATATTGGAAGAAAACAATAACTCAAATTTATATGATAGGGAACTTTTTCCCCTCCCAGCTGTTGTTCATTGGAATGGTTAGGAACAACAAGACCCGCAGTGTATTTGGCTTATCGCGAAAATATCAAGAAAAGGCTTATTTACTACGAATGTGCTGCACGAAGGGTTTAGTCGATATATCCTGTTTCTACGAGACTATTTAAAGTGAAGCATCGGATCGTATATTACCTATAGCTAATTAAGTAATCAGAAGCTTAGGGCAATAAGATGCTACCTGTTCCCATCCTGGAGGTAATTGGCAACTGAATCCTCGTTTTCGACGCATTATGTCATTTTCGATGCGCCCTATCACTCCCACTGCAAATAAGTCCTGCTTCAATGGTAACAGAACTAGATCCTGACCTACAAGATCATCCCTTATACTTTTCACATCTTTGTAAGCATTGCTGGGAACAGCATTAAGGAGAAGCACTTGCTGTATCCCCTGACTCACCACACACTCAACCGCTCCGCCCTTCTGTAACGTAATGGCCTTGATTACCCCCGCGGCGATAGGGTGATCTAACTCCACTCCGGAATCCTTGACCTTCAGACTTTTTTGGTCCGATTCCTCGTGAAACACATTTGCTGATCCCCTTTTTTCCAGCTCTGCGAGGCTTCTCGGCATCCACGAGAACCCCTCGCATGGCGATCCGGACTCAGAACCCCCAAGTAGCCAGATCGGACTTATCCCAACGGCTTTGGCGACCTTTAGTAGAGCGCCCTGCCACCCAATACCGTATTCCCACTCGACATTAGTGCCCTTGATCCCCAAAAGGCCTAAGACACCGTAGATCCTGTCCTCTTCTCTCGCGCATTGTCGACCCGTAGTGGCTGTGACAGCTTCTGCGAGGCTCCAGACTCGTCCCCTGGACCCTTGAAGTCCCCCACCAGCCAGAACAGTGTTAGTAAAGGCGAGGGGCCCTGTGAAATGTGTCTGGGCTGAGACAACAGTGCAAGAATCGTTAGACGCAAGCCCAACTTGAGTCACACTTCCCCATCCCATCACATCATTTGCCAATAGTGCTTCCAGATAACTGATCCAAGTAACACCGTCGGTAGTGACAGCTATAGCTTTGCGGCTCAAAAAGCTCTCTTGGGCGGTCCAAACCCTCGTACGCCACCCCCTCTCGCGATATTCTTGCAGGAAGCTCGCATTCGCTCGTCTATCCTCTTCCCAATCGAAGACCTGATGCTCATCGCGGATGGAGGCAGAGAGCTTGGAGCGCATTTTTGTCAGCATGACCACGACAAGCGTAGCCTCGCGGTAGATTGCCCCCATGGCGCTCAGTACTCTTTGCCTCTCAGGTTCTTGTTTTGGTACGCACAGTTTGTCCATCCATATGGCTGTGGCTCCTGTGGTCCTCTCTACTGTTTCTATGACACTTTGGTTTTCTCCGGCACTGTACTCTGCCCATGTGTAACTGACTGCAACATACTTTTCTGCTTTGTGCAGGTTTCTCAACTGGCGAGTAGCTGAATCAATCACAAGCAACGGGTTTCCATGAGAGTTGTCTTGCCGAGTCGTATTGCCTGGATTCCCAGGCGAAGGCTGAATATCCAGATCCACTGCTGCAGGCTTAAGGCTAAACTCAAAGAGTTCTCTAGCCTTTTGTAGCTGAAGAGGTCTTCTTTGATCGGATATCGTCTGGCAGGCTGATAATGAGATGTCTTGTGGCGGATGATGAGCGATGGTGCTGGTAGAAGACGATGACATAGGCTTTGTGCTTTCTTTCGTATCTGTTCGGAACCTCCACATTGTCGGGGATTCTGCTGCCTCCATCGTTCCGATGATAGGTTCACTGTATAAGACCGGATGTTTTTCATTCGCTTTGCAACCACCCACCAGCCCACCCTCGGCTACCAAGCTTCTTAGCCATTTTGAAGTCCCTGGTTCTGTTGAAAGGCCCTTCGTGTCTCCTCGATTCAACACATAAGCGCTGCCCTTCTGCGGTAATTCTTGTGCGCTTCTGGGAACGTTCAAGGTTCCTCTCCGTTCACAGAACGGTGCTCCGCAGCGTAAGTCTTCGTTCTGGGTATTGGAAACCACAACTTTGATAGGCCCTAATGAACCCCGGCCACATGAACCCAGGATATCGCTCACTGCAGAGGCAAGAGAATTGTCGCAAGGGGGGACAATTAACATCCTTGTTTGTGCGTCTTCCACCTGTGAGTGGAGCGACCATGCCACTTGATGTACACGGAACCCAGACTGAATGTTGACAATTAAAGCATCATCGAGCTCAACTACATGAAGCTTGGTGATTCCCACCAATGCTCCACCATTGACACAGGCCGATGAAAGGAAAAGTCGTGGCACAAGAAGTCTCATTCCAGTGAAGCCCATAACCAGCCACATAAAATCTGTACGCCAATTCTCCTCGACGTCAGATAGTCGCCCCATCTGCTTCGAGCTCCCATTTGCATGAACACGTAGCATGTTCTTCCCGAGCCTGAGGCACTCGCCAAGATTTACCAGACCCAGCCCTTTCTTCTGTGAATGTTGAGAGCCGTCGGCAAGCAGGGGATCGTGGACAACGAAAAAAGCTTCCTCACTCCCAGGCAGATTCTCACCGTGTATAGAGCCCCCAAAATCCACGTTCTTCACCTGTTCCGCTGGTATTCTGTAGCTCCTGGACACAATACTTCGCCCGGAATCATCGTCCAAGCGTATAGGTACTGGAGCATCAGGTACAGGGTCCTCGGGAGCTTTGCGCATAGCGAAGCAGACCGCATCAGTCCATTTCGTAACTTTGATAACCCCACTAGCAGAGCCTAGCAACCTCATATAACTTTCGTGCGACAAATACGGTGGAGCGGCAAAGTCGTTCATCGTGATTTTAGCCTCCACCTCGGCTTTTTGGAGGCCAGAGGCTGCCCAAGATTCGGTGTCGAAATTGAGGATTTGATCTGCTTCTTCTTCGCCTGGTGAGTTGCGAGTTTCTTGTTCAGTTGGCAAGGTAGCCATATCCCCCTGCTGGGGGGTACTTCCAGTAGCTGCCGAGGAAGAAGGCGTGTCAGGAGTATTCTGTATCCCGCTCATGACTGAGGAGCGTAGCGATCAATCTGGACAAGTTATCGTGAGTAGGAACTGAATTTTGCAGGTCAGTACCGCACAACAGATCACGAGTTGATCAGTAGCACTTCTTTTGGTATGAAAGGCAGCCTAGAAATACCACAGTTGGGGGATGTCTCACGCCTGCGAACCACACATCCACAACTCCAACAAATGGCGCATTAGGCATCAATGCGTTTGGTGACCAGCACTCACCATAACACTATAACACGAGAGTCATCGCGGCTGCAGGCCGCGCCTCATTATTGTTTCGTTATTGCTACAATTAGAAGATCTACCTTTTCAACCCCAAAAGGCAAAGCCAGGCTGACCGGTATATGCGCGACCCCCCTATGGATTACAAGCATAGACCAATCACTGCGTGTCTTTCAAGCCATGTAGGCATACTTGGCCACCCCTGCTTTTGAGGCCTCCCAAGTGCGAATAAGGCAACCAAGGGAATGAGGGGCAACTCTTACACTTGCCTGCATATTTCAGCCACATATCGTCCCAGATGCGTTATCCTTGCCAAGTCGAAAGAAGGTGTGAATAGAGATGAGAAGAGCTTCTATTTCATGATATGAATAAGGTTACTGAACATGGACGCACTGACCCAGTGATGATTCACACGCCTTAGGGTGGGCAGAATGTCGGGGAAATACGTTGGGCGGGAAGAAGACTCACAGAAGGGAATCGATATCTAGGATTGTAGTATGTTATTCGTTAGTCGATAGCGCAAGATATGAAAGTTCGTGGCGTTGAAAATGAAAAGAAATCAATTCTAATCGCTAGTCTATGATATGTCTATGATGTCTATATGCCAATTCCTTCACAGAAACTTAATACCCTCCGCCTTCTCATGAGCATAAGGCACACTAGGCGTCTTCCACTCAGGCGAACTCTCACCACTCAACCGACAAACAGGCTTAAGAATACTCAACTTCTTACCATCAAAAGCACTCTGCTCAAAGTGCTGGTAAAAGCCACTATCCTCAGCAACAACATCACCCAGAACCTTCTTCCAGCCATTCCAGACAGTAAGAAGGAGATCAAGAACGTGGTGTGAGCCGCGCATCTCGCCCCATTGGAAACGTTCCTGGCATTCGGCGACGGTCTCGGGAGAGTACAGACCAACATCGGGGCGCAGGGCGTAGGTGTTTACGGCCACGAGGGAGGCGTGGACGGCGTAGCTTCCACCCTTGGTTGCGCGGTCGCGGAGGGCGAGGAGTGTGCCTACTGCGCCGAGAGCACCGGTTGTCATGTCACTGACGGGCAGGGAGGGGAGAACAGCTTCGTTGTTGGGCAAGTTGAGGGACTTGCCAGTAACGTACGCCGAACCAGCAGCCGCATCAGCGATTTGTTGCCAACCGGGTCTTTCAGCGTAGTAACCATCAGGACCGTAGCAGTTCTCCGAAACATGAACGATACCACATCCACGCTCACCAGCCTTCTTGAGAATGTCGTTAAGACCAAGACCGTACTTGGGCATCTTGTTCATACGGAAGCCCTGGATGAAAACATCGGCTTCGCTGATGAGGGACTTGATGATGGCGGCTTCTTCGGGCTTGCGTAGATCAATGGCGATGGTGCGCTTGCCGGCGTTGAGAGTGAGTTGCATGATGTTGATGTCGGGAAGATGAGGGGGGTTAACGCGGATGACATCGGCGCCGAAAGAAGAGAGAATAGCACCGATTTGAGGACCGGCGATGACGCGGGTCATTTCGACGACCTTGATACCAGCGAGAGGACGCTTGTCGGAGGCGTTGAAAGGAGGGAATGCAACGGGTGGTGTGGGGATAGCCTGGGGTTGAGGCTTGACGTTGATGAGAGGGTGAGCAGCGAGGGACTTGCCCATCTCACTCTCGTTCCATTGCTTAGGAGTGAAGACGACACTACCGCAGTTGCCGTTCATGAGGTTGGTGAACTCGAGCTTCTCGGGGGAGAGCTTGCTGGTGTACTTGGCGATGTGGGCGGCGGCTTCTTCATTAGAAGAAATAGCCTCGGCGGGATTAACGCCAATGGACTTGAGGACAGGTTCCGCATTCATAGATCCGTGAAGAGAGTACCAAACTTCAGGATCAGAAGTAGGATAAAGCCCAGTAGTGCGATACTTCAGCGGCGTATCAACCCATCCCTGCTCCCAATTCGGCAAAAGCTTCTTGATCTCACCATTTTTGGTCAAACTAACAACATCCTCACCACCAACATAAGCGGTAGCAATATTTCCAAACCACAGACCAGCCTGTGTGGTGTTGACAGTGATTTTGCGGTTCTTATCCTCCTGGCCGCGGATAGTGAGGATTTCATCAGCGACGACACCGGCCATGGCGTGCAGAGCTGCTGCGACGGAGACAGCTTTGATGGGGCCGGGAATTACGGGGAAGGGGTCGCCTTCGAAGTGGACTTTTGAGAGGATGGATTCATCTTGCGTGAAGGAGGGTGTTTGGGAGGCTATGAGGCGGAAGATGCGGGATGTGTCTTGGGGTACGGGGGTGAAGGTACGGTCGGTGTGTGTACCGGGGCCGTAGACGTCCGGGATTCTTTCCTCAGCCATGATGTGTGAAGTAGAAGTAGTAGTGGATAGTATTATTGAAGTGATGATATTAAGATGAGATGATGACTTGAACAGAGAATGTGTTGAACGATGATGCGATATTGAAGTATGGGATGTTGGTGATTATATGTATTCTTCTCCTCCACCGCCATTCAACACATTTATGCATCTCAACCCTCCATGCAACCCCTTACGCCCCATCTACCGACACATCCTCAACCAAGCGGATCGCCCCGAAAAAACAAGAAGTCGGCAATCTTCAAACGCGAGCGCGAGCGGATCTCCCGAGCTTCCAAACATGAAAATTAATGGAGAAAAGTGGATGTAGTAACACGCGGCCTAAATGTAACATGAGGCTCAAACGCGGAATGAATTCCTCTGATCGAAACATCAGAGTGGAGAATAAGCTTTTTCGACCCTGATCATAAGTCTTCTAGAAATATTCTGTAGGATGAGGGGGATTGATTTGTCGAGATACGAAAGTTTCGACCACGTGGATTGATTATGAGTTCATCGGAGTCGGATCCGACGCTGGGGCGATTTTATGTCATTGCAGAATCCACTTTGTCCCTGAACTACCGACGCATGACGCAGGGCACGCTAAAGTAAATGCCGAAGACGCGATTATGCGGAATTGAAGCGAAAAGACAATGCTATTTTGGATGCTCATGTTAGAGATGATAAGATAAATACCATTGCATTCCAGGTCCAAGTTAACTTACAACAAATCTTGGCTGTAATAAGCATTTTACCTACTATTATCACAATGTCAATCAACACTGTCGCAATCATAGGCTGCGGCGCAATCGGCGCCTCATGGTCAGCCCTCTTCTTGGCTCAAGGTCTCAAAGTGCAAGCCTTCGACATCAATCCCGCATCAGAAACCTATCTTCGCAACTTCATCCGCGATGCCCTCCCCGTTCTGTCGTCTATCGGCCTAGTCCAGAACACTGCCGCCAAACCAGAAGATGTAATCTTCACAACAACAATGTCTGAAGCGCTACGAAATGTAGACTTCGTTCAAGAAAATGGTCCTGAGCGAATTGATTTTAAGCGCAAGCTTTTCCAAGAGATGGGAGAGATCTTGGGCGAGGATGTCATTATTGCTACTAGCTCTTCTGGTTTGACTTGTTCTTCTATCCAAGAGGGTTTGACGGCTGAGGCTAGGCCGGAACGATGTGTTGTTGGACACCCGTTTAATCCGCCTCATCTCATTCCTCTGGTCGAAGTCGTCGGCGGCGCACAAACATTCCCCGAAACCATCACCCGCACAATGAATTTCTACACAGCCATGGGCAAACAACCAATCCATCTCAAAAAGGAAGTCCCCGGCCACGTCGCAAACAGAATCCAAGCAGCAGTCATGCGCGAAGTCTTCCACATTCTCCAACAACAAGTCTGTGACGTCCAAGACATCGACGACGCAATATCCTACGGTCCTGGCCTCCGCTGGGGTGTTATGGGACCGAATACACTGTTTCATCTAGGTGGTGGGGAGGGTGGTATTGAGCATTTTGCTGATCATTTGCTTGGACCGCTTCAGACGTGGTATGCGCCTGAGAATCCGGTTGTTGATGAGGGATTGAGGGAGCAGTGGATTGAGGGCACGAGAAAGGCTGTTGATGAGAGGGGGTATGGAGATTTGGTTAAGCAGAGGGATGAGGAGCTTGTTAGGTTGTTGAATGTTAGGAAGGAGTGGGATGATTATGCTAAGAGCAAGTCATCATAAATGGATGTGAATAGGATGCTAGACAATTAGACATAGACACTTAGACTAATATTGCTGAATTATACCATTATTCGATTACTCTCAATATCCCGTCGCCGAATTATTTTTATCAGATGTGAGACATTGAAGCTGATAAGAAGCAAGGTACAAGGCATAAGTACCGAGTGTTCTATTTAGTGGAGTACTTCTGATCGCATACGATACTGCAGAGGTGGCGAGTCTCTTATCGATACGTGGACTGATAAGATAACAACGCGCAAGTCGTGAGATCTTGTCATGCAGACCATGCAACTCCATTGGCAATCGCGGCGTAAAATTACGATAGATAAACGCGAAACAATCGTACCAGATATCTCTCTCTCTTTTTGTAACCCTTTGTTTCTCTGATTTCGAGTCCTAACTTGGAATGCTGACTCTGGTAAGCGCATTGCTGGACGTGAACATAACTGTTTGGTTAGTGTTCAATCCTAAATTTGTTCTACACTCACTTCTACTCAACCATTATTCTCAATCTACAGATAAAAATAGCTCAAACACTAGATACCATCAATTGAAAGATTACAGCAAAAACCCTCATCTCCAACCCTATCACCATGCCCCGAATTCTCTTCTCAAAATCTTCACCGATAAAGCTACCCTAAATCGCGATCGAATCGACGATCCCTACGTCACAATTCCGCAGTGGAGCTCAACCTCGGTACCCACTCCTCCGATCGATCCACTTATCACGGTAGCTCCGGCAATGCAGCGGTGTCCAAGGAAAAGTCGGTCTCTTCGGGACGCGACGCACGGCCTGGAAGTATCCACTTGTTCGCCGACGTTCGGCGCTATGATGAAACATTCTCGAATTTTGCCTTGTTGGGTTATACTAAATACTGCATGTCCGCTGTACCTGAACACCTGCACTGGTCTGATAATATCCTGTCTTCTATTGAACATTCACTTGACAATTTGCACTACCACATACACATAATTGTTCAATCTTCTCACAGCTTCACATTCATCATGGGCTCACTAAGTCTCCCTCGTCTATACATCCTAGACACCGGTCTCATCAACTTCCCCAACCAACAAGGCCGCATCGTCTCCTGCAACACAGATGGCTCCGACCTCCGCACAATCTTCGACAACATGTCCACCATGCCCGACGGCATCGCAATCCACAACAACTACATGTACTGGACAAACATGGGCCCAACCTTTAAATCAAACGACGGTTCTATAGAACGTTCCCGTCTTGATGGCTCTGAACGCACCACCATTATTGAGTCAGGCATCATTGGCGTTCATACACCCAAGCAACTTACTATCGCGCCAAAGAGTGGGAAGCTTTATTGGTGTGATAGGGAGGGTATGAAGGTTATGCGTGCTAATCTTGATGGATCTGATGTTGAAGTCCTTGTTTCTACGGGCAGCACGGCGCAGGATAGGGAGGATATGTGCCGTTGGTGTGTAGGTATCACCGTCGACGAAACAAACGGGTACTTCTACTGGTCCCAAAAAGGTCCGTCAAAAGGAAAACAAGGCCGTATCTTCCGCGCCCAAATCACCAACCCCTCCGCAATCGAAGTTGTGATGATCAACCTCCCCGAACCAATCGATTTGGAAATCGACGAAGAGACGCAAACTCTGTACTGGACAGATCGCGGCGATCCACCCAAGGGAAACTCTCTGAATAGGGCTTACGTGGGTGGCAGTGAACCCTCGGAACGGGAAATTCTGGCAAAGAGGTTACATGAAACTATTGGGCTGGCGGTGGATGAAAAGGCTGGTGTCGCGTATGTTACGGATTTGTCGGGAGGTGTTTATGAGGTTGGGTTGAAGACGAGGGAGAAGAAGGTTTTGTTTGCGGAGTTGGGAGATCTTACTGGTATTGCTTTGGCTTAGATTTGATAGCGCGGATTAGATTTAGACTTGATATCCTCATGAAATAGACTTGACTTCATGCTGCATGATCCTTATTACATTTGGGCGCATTTTCCAGCGTGTCATTACTTTCGCCAATATTCACGATACAATCTTAGTTTGGTGGATGCAATAGGCACCGATATGTGAATGCCAACGTGACTGAAAACTCGAATGAGGGCTTTTAATAAACTCTATGCCATAGCCTGGCCAATAGCCTCGCCCAACATTCATTTACTTTACCACACGCGCTCAGTGTCCAATCAAGCCGACTACTGGCACCCATCAAATTGTGTGCATCCTCTCAACCTTAATATCGTGAACACGAAAGTGTACGAAAAGATGAAATTTACGAAATTGTATAAAAAGAATCCATCCCCCATTCCCATCCCACTCCATCCATCTTTGATCTACAAAGTCTTCATCCCAAATTCAATCGCCTTCACCCATCTCCATCCCATTCTATCCATCTTCAATCTACAAGATATTCATCACAAAACCCATTGCCTTCACCCATACCACAACCATGAACGACAAGAATAACAACACCAAGACTCCAGAGTACAGCCGTGGGGCACCAACCTCTGCAACCTTCTTCGCTGCTTTCCCTTCCTCCCCCTCAGATCTCCCTCGTCCCTCGACAATGCCACCAAGAACATTACGGGATACCCCTTTCTACCGCACCGTGGACAACCCCTACAGTTTCCATTCCTTTGAAGACAGTTCACGAGAACAGACCCCTTACTACCGCACCGCGGACAACCCCTACAGTTTCCATTCCTTTGAAGACAGTTCACGAGAACAGACCCCTTACTACCGCACCGCGGACAACTCCTACAGTTTCCATTCCTTTGAAGACAATTCACGAGAACAGACCCCTTCTTACCGTACCGCAGACAACCCTTACAATCCTTTCCGTGAGGAAGTGTCACGAGAACAAGCCCCTGTATACAATACCTCCTCAACTCGCGGGTCATTTCTGGATCTCGCATTGAGTTCAGGTGTCCGAATGAACGACTCGACTCTGCCTTCTTCTATTACACCTTATACGGAAGCATCACGAGCCGCGCGACCGACGACACCGGCGGAGTCTAAGAAGCACAAATCCATGATTGTCCACGAGGACGAGGAGCGCGCCGCAGAGCTTCGTGAACTTCGCGATCTATACAACCTTGATCTTATGTCTCGCGAAGAGCCGGAAAAGAAGCGTTCACCGAATCTAATGAGTACGGACGAGTCTGATAGTGATTACCTTTATCCCGATACTGAATCGGAACCTGAATCGGAATTCTTCGAAGAGCAAGAAAGGAATTCCTCTCCAATTCCAGACTGCACGGACGACGAGTCTGATGACGATTATACTGCTCCCGATTCTGATTCTGATTCGGAGTCTGAGTCTGGAACCGAAGCTGAAGCTGAACCCTCCCAAGAGCAAGGAAACGAGATGTCGCTTAGTATAGGCCAAGAGCTTCGCTCTGTGTCTCCCCCAGGTTTTGCATGGTTTCGCCCCCATATTCCAAGCTGGAACGACTTGGGTCCACGGGATGATGACATGTTATACAACGATCTCTTCGACCTTGTTCCAGCCCCTCCCCTTTCCCCCTACATGCCCCCGACTGCCCCTTGTACTCCTACACCCCCTCAAGAGCAAGAACAGATCCGGTCGTCTAGTCCGATTGACGACGACTCACTCACCACCCTCGGCAAAGCACTTGGCAAAGCATCTCGTTCCCTCGACGTCGGCTCACTCGACACAATGAGTCAAGCATTTGAGAAAGCCCTCGGGAAGCATCAGCCTGAAGATCTCGAAGATCTTTCTTCTGCTAAGCCTAGTCTCTCTCAAGACCTGGAAAAGAAGATGGTTACTAGGATTGGCGCTTATGACTTGAACATCGAGAAGCTTGGAAAAGAAGTTCGTGATCACTGCGATCGTATTCGCGAACGTTGTGATCGTCTCGAGAGAGAGAAGCGGGATCGCGATAATGCTGGTCCTCCAACCTTTCAGGAACTGGTAGATGCTGTGTTTCCCGGTCCAGGCATTCCTCTTCACGAACGTGAAAAAGTTAAGCTTGAACGTTGTAGTCGTCTTGCAGAAAGGTATCAGGAACGTTTTGGTATCTCCGGCAATGCTACTGCTGGACCCTCCCAGGAGCAGGAAAAGAAGACTTCTTTGAATTCAAAGCTTGACGAAATGATTCGCCAGGAACGGGAGAAGCTTCACGAACTTAAGGCGGACCGGGAAGTCAATCGTGCTCGTTGTCTTGCTGATGTTAGTGCCTGGCTATTTTCTCCAGGTGCTAGGCCGAGGTTGCCTAGTCCAAAGCCCAACAACGCAGTCGGTATGTCGTTAAAAGAAGCTGGCAGGGAAATTGATGCCCTTCTTACTGAGCATCGGGCAGAGGAGGAAAAGGACGCATTGCCCGACTACGAAACGGACATGGAACTGGGAGACGACCTTCTCGAAGGCCAAGAGTCCCTTCCTGCTAGCCCTTCATCTTCCCAAGGACAGAAGAGGAAGAGATCTGCCTCCTTCCACGAAAGGTCGTTCTTCGAGAATCTCGAGAAGATGAGGAAACATGTTCGAGAATCCGTTGAGCACGAGAGAAAGCGTCGGAAGGCGAGGGACCAAAGCTTTCAGGGATGCATGAATAAGCTTTACCCAGCGGATTCTGAGATCTGGAAGATTGGCGATGAGCCAATTCAAGTTCGATCGCCGAAGCCTAAGGAATCACGATCAGACGAAGATCTTGGTAACGGTGATCGTACTTCATCCCGAGAGTACCTTTGGGATGAGAAGGAATTACGAGGATCGGAAGATTCTATCGATGGTCTTTCAACCAGAGGACTGCCCGACATGCCTGCCTTTGTCGGCATGTCTCCCTTTGCTGGCATGCCCCCTATGCCGACCTTGCCTCCCTTCCCCACCATGCCCGCCCTGCCCAACGATTCGCTGTCCAACATCGGGCTTAAGAAGTATCCCATCACCCGCCCAGCCTCCCTAACCCTGCCCCAGTCCATGCAATTCTACCACGCCGTTTCCCTCACAGCTTCCTGCGACCATAGGCCCTGGAGACCCGAGACCGAGATCCTGGAAGCCGTCAGCGACAAGCCATTCAGCGAGTGGGCCGATATCACCGGTGTGCGTGAATTTATTCACGACGAGTTATCCCGTTTTGGATGCTCCAAGGTCACAGTCGAGGCGTGTCGGGTCACGGGGGAGGAGAATTTTAGGTTGATGGTTTTCATGCCAAAGAGAGTTCACCAATGGAATCTTTCTCTCTCTCGTTACAGGATTTCGAATAGGCTTTCGTTGTGGGGGATTACTGATGTTAAGGTTGAGATCTGGGAGACGGACTTTCATCTGCAGGTCATTTGATAGGCAATTTCTCTCAAGTAATTTCTGTGTTCGAGGCATGGGTATTACAGTTTCTCTATACCTTCAAGTTTGTAGTTCTTCATGTTAGACTGTTGTAATAATAGAATGAAACTATTCCACATCCGGCTTCACTGATCGTGTGAGCTTGAACATCATTGGTTGGTGATCATGTCAAAGGGCTGAAGATGACAAGAAAACAGTGGGTCTGCTCCTCAACATCAACGCCTGTTCATTCTTCTGTCCTTCTTCATACAATCATCGCATCATTATATGGCCCTCAAACGCTAGAATGAGCGGTGAAAATTCCTTATTCCCGGAGATCGACTTCGCTGATCTAGATGATATCCTTAATCAGCCAGTAGATGCAGCGACGGTTGACCTGCCTTTCTCGTGGGATATTGATGACACCATCGACCCTCAGCATTTGAACAGTACCCCAGACTTTGGCCATACCAGTCCCGTCGTTGATTCCTTAGACCACAACGTTACTCAATCAGGCACGCCGTCTGGTAACCCAAGAACCCCAGAACCGAAACCCCTCACCTATCAACCCAAGCCCGGAAAACGCCTCTCCCTGATCTCTGTCCGCGTCTTGAACAAATGGCTCTCAGCTCACACTCACCACCCCTACCCCACCATCGCAGAAGTCGAATCCATTATCCGACAAACTGGCCTCAGTAAACAGCAGGTTCTGAACTGGTTCGCCAACGCTCGTCGAAGGAAGAAGTTTGAGCGCGTGGAAACAGATCAGAGTTCGGTATCATCAGAAGCGAGCCCGAGAGATATTCCACAGAGGCCGCCAACGCCATTTGTTCAGCAGAGTCCTTTTGAGCGGTGGAGGAATTCGCCGCCCGAGGATGAGCCGTCTAGTATGGCTGCCATCGCAAGGGCTGTATCTGGCGCTGAAGGACATTCGGCCGAGGGTGGGGGTATGAGAACGAGACATGCGCCTTCTGTGACGGGAAGTTGGGCTACGAGTGCTGAAACATCTGACTCAAGTCGGAGTTCGCACGCCTCAGCTTACTCACACGGCTCAGATGGGTCACTAGAATCGTTACGAAAAGTGGTCAAAAAGCGACGACGGGCTGGGCCACGCGGTAAGCGGTACGGTACTAGACAGCTTGCACAAGTGTGTCACCGGTTTCAGTGTACGTTCTGTACGGAAACATTCAAGTTGAAGCACACATGGACGAGACATGAAAGAACACAACATCTTTCGCTGGAACAGTGGGAATGCTCACCTCTCGGACCGACAGTTCTCAACGAACAATCTGAATCGACATGCGTGTATTGTGGTATCGTCAATCCAGAGCCGGCTCATTTCGAGACGCACAATCATGACCTATGCCAGAAAAGGGAAAGAGGCGAACGGACCTTCTATAGAAAAGACCATTTGCGACAACATCTTCGTCTTGTTCATGGGTCCGAGTTCAGAAAATTCCCAATGGAAGATTGGAAGTTCAAGCACAAAGATGTGCTGTCACGCTGTGGCTTTTGCGATATCAGCATGACGACTTGGTCTGAACGAACGGGCCATCTAGCTGAGCACTTTAAAGAGGGCATGACGATGGCTGATTGGAAGGGAAACTGGGGCTTTGATGCTTCTACACTTGACATGGTCGAGAACCACATGCCTCCATGTATGTAACCCCTCCCTTCCTACGGGTATCATACTGACTCAATTACAGACCTTATTGATTACGAACGTAACTCCCCTCTCCCATTCACAACCTCCCAAGGAGCCCCATACAGCTCAACAAACGCCTTTGAACTCCTCCAACTAGAGCTCGACTACTTCTACTCCAACTATCTCGACACACACCACACGATTCCCAGCCCAGAAACTCTCCATCTCGAAGCATGCTGCATAATTTTCGGAGCCGAAACTTCTTCTACTTCAACAAGCCCAGCCTGCTCCTGGTTACGGGACCTAATAATGGGTACCGAACATATAACTGCAAAAGCAAGGATGACACCGATGAAAAGCGCTGCAAAGTCACGCTTTACAGAGTTGAGGATTCATAGTAAAAAGGATATTTTTGAACATTGTAAGCTTGAGAGTGGGTTGAGGGAGTATGTTGATATGCTGGGGTTGTTGAGCTTGGAGGTTGGCGATGAGGAGCTGCAGAGGGAGGCATGTGAGATTATAAAGAATATGGGAGGTGCTTCGCCGATGTTTACGGGGTTGCTTGTGGGCCTGGTTGATGCTTCGACGAGATGGCTAGTGCCGTTTCGGTTGCGCGCTGGTCTGTCTGTTCAAGACAATGGACAGACTGCGAGTCAGAATAATCCGCCGCAGCTGAATACCCCGTCATTCTTCGGAAATAACGCACACGACAACCTCGCTCTTGCGCCAAGTCCCATTGCGCTAGACCGAAAGTTTGTTTCTCTCAATGATGGAAACATGTACAGAGGTCTCACGCGAGATTTAACCCGTTACGTTGCGCGCACCATTTCGCCGTTGAACCCAACGAGTCATGTACCGACCGATGAGGAACTTCAGTACCAAGCGCGATGGATCGAGTACGACAGGTTTGCATTGCCCGTCCATCTTTCACCCGCAATTGCTGATCTATGATGGTAGCCATGACGTGTGGAATCAGACGCCAGCTGATAATGCAGATTGGCTTGCAGAGTTCAAGAAGGAATCAGGTCTTTTTAAGTAGTGTTCGGCAATTGTTTTGGGTAGTATTTGTAGAACTCTGATAGCCAAGATACCGAGCGACAGCCGTCAAGAACTATTTTTACCTGTTGCGTTCATCAGGTACTCCGATTAGGGAGAGCCAAGGAATCTAGACTTTATAAACGCATGATGTCTTGCTTATGCGCCAACCTGTCATCTCGGACTTATCTGATCTAAGTAATCCCTTCATCTGATAACAATTCGGCCCTCACGCGAATTCCTCAACGTCAATTAATCCCTCAGACCTAACACGGCAAAGTACGGACTCTCTAACCGGATGCCCCCGTCGCTGGGAACCGAGCGTCTGGACGAACCACTAAAATCCCCTCCTAAATCGGCATCCCACAACATCCCACGGACAAAGTCGGCCGCTCTTACGGCATAGAAATCTTATTTGAAGCTTAATCCCCACATCGATGCAACGCTTAACAGTCTCGGTTTAACGTTGTGGTCCAAGGGTCCACCAACTACCCTTCTTCTGGCAATGCGCCGTGACTAGCCCCGGTAGTTCGGTCCTAACGAATTGAGTTTAACAGGGAAAAGGTTTTCCAAGTAATCTGATCATCTTATCTTGAAGCGAGGGGTTTGATTGATAAACTTTCCTTTTCCCTGATTGATAACCTGTGCGTCCTTTTGTATCTTGGCTCTCGTAACGTATTCACTCACGACACGATTATCTGTCACTATGGAGTCAAAGGGTGGTTTCGTCGCCAGTGCGCGTAGTAAGTTTGCATGTATTGAATCATGGATTGGGACTAACCAATTTTAGATTTCTTTCTTGGCAGCTCTGCCACGTCCAAGGAGGAGAGAAAACTTGTTAGAAAGTTGGATTTCTTCATCTTGGTATGAGTTTTGAGTAATCTGGTGGATTATGGACTGACAGGTCGTAGACATACTGCTGTTTTAGCTACTTCTTCAACTTCCTCGGTAAGCTACTTTCTGCCCATCAAATGAACACAACTAACGAGGGTACTCAGATCGTGCTGCCTTTGCCAATGCCTATGTATGTCCGCATGAATCCGAGACGTGTCCCGACTAACAAATTAGGTCGCTGGTCTTCGTGAGTCGCTCAATATGAGCGGTCATGACTACAACAATGTTCTTTCTGTCACCACTGCTGGAATGGCAATTGGTCAACTCCCCAACGGTATCATCATCCAAAGAGTCAAGCCTCGCATCTGGCTACCCTCCATGGTCGTGTTCTGGGCCGTTATGACAATGCTTAGCGCCGCTGTCACAAACGTCACCCAACTCTGCGTCATCCGCTTCTTCCTCGGCTTGGCAGAAGCAAGCACATACTCTGGTGCAATGTACATCATCGGCGCCTGGTATAAGCCTGAAGAAATCCAGAAGCGAACTGCCCTGTTTGGTGTGTCTGGTCAGATCGGTACCATGTTTGCTGGTGTCATGATGACTGCTATCCATAAGGGTATGAGAGGTATGGCTGGTCTGCAGGGATGGCAGTGGGTGTTCATCATTGGTATGTACAAAATCTTGTCCTTGAGAATTGGACTGACTTGAGAAGATGGTATCATCACTCTGCCGATCGCTGTCTTTGGCTTCCTTTACTTTCCTGATACGCCTGAGAACACCAAGGCTAGTTACTTGAGTGAATCAGAGAAGAAGCTCGCGCTCAGCAGAGTTCCTCGCATTGCGGAGGGTGGCCATAACATCATGCCCATGTCCCTCATCAAGCGAGTCTTCCTCACTCCTATGTTGTAAGTCCTCCAAGCCCTGTCGCAAAGTCAAGCTAACGCTGCTTTCAGCTGGATCCTGTTCTTCTGGTCCCCCGTTTGCGCCAGCACCGAAGGCTTCCCCTTCCAAAACAGCTTCCTCCTCTGGCTCAAGTACTATAACGACAAATTCTCCCAAGTCCAGATCAACACCTATCCCCTCGGCGTGCAAGCTGTCGGTATCTTGGCCAACATGCTTGCGGCATGGCACATGGATGCCACCGGTCAGCGCGTCCCTATGGCTGTTGTCTGTGTTATTCTTCAGATCGTAGTAGGATCAATGTTGCTTGTCAAGAATCTCTCAATGGGCGCTACCATGTTTGCCTTTTACTTGGCCGGTTCGGCTTACATGGTCAACCCTCTGATCTTTGGCTGGGCGAATATCATTCTCCAACGAACAGGTGATGATGCTTTGCGAAGTATTACCTTGTACTGCATGAACATTGGATCTATGTCTATGTGGACTTTCTGGGGTATCATTTTCTATAGTGCTGCTGATGCGCCTTACTGGAAGAAGGGAGCTATTGCCCTTTTGGGTGGATGTGCTGTTATGTTCTGCTACATGTGGCTTGTTGTATACGTAAGTGCAGCATTTGATAGATTTGTGATTTTTACTGACACTCTGTAGGTTGACAGGAAAACGATGAAGAAGTACGGGGACGGAACGGGCGAAAACACGGAGGAGCCTATCGAGGTCAGCGAAAATGAGAAGGAGACCAATCCTACCGTGGTTACAGAGAAGAAGTCCGCCAGTACATGAGATTTGACCAAGGGACTGGATCTAAAGCCTGCGTGGGGAAAAACGGTGGTCGGATTGATTTTGAGTCAGTAGTGTATGAGTCGTTTAATGGATGTGCTTTCCTTGAATCCTACACAAATCAATGTTTGATATTATTCTTTTCGTAACCAAGAGCAACTGCAGAGACGTACTGCCCGAGACAGCATCAAGCTCTGCTAGTTCAATCTAAACAATGCTCCAAAAACTCTTACCGATGGCCTTGCTCCTTACTGAGCAGCTAAACAAAACCACGATGTTGAAGGACAGGCGTAACGCTCGCCGATCACCTAGCGAGAATAAGTCTATCAGTATATCTGTCTTATGTGACAGGCTCACTGGTCATTTGCACACAGTTGATGCCTGCTGAAGGGAGCTACTGTCTAACTGAACGTCAGCTTCGACCACAACCCATGCTATCTGTTTGCCGTAACACCAAGAAGAATAGAACTATAGTAACAGATAGCTTGATTCCAAAACAATCTTTGGTGTTCTGATAAGCTTATGTTCAAAAATAGTATAAGGTCTTCCATTTTTCGCTAGGTCCAAGCTTTTTCGTCTTCTCCATCCATCACCAGCTTACAGCTTTTGACACTTGCTACCACTCTACAACACACACAATCTCATAATCTCACAAGTTCTTACACAACTTTCTTACACACCAAAATCAACACAATGGATTCCCCGTTGAACTCCGCCAAGCGCCTTGTGGCCAAGGTCTTCGCCAAGAAGAGCCCCCAGAAGGTCGCCAAAGACCAAGAGTGGAAGGCTTACAAGGCCAAGCGGCGTGAGTCTGAGCGCGCTCTGAAGCGTCACCGACGCAACGCTCGCATGGATGGATACAAGAACCACTGATCTGGTCATTGACCGGTCAGGGGAGTAGGGGGAGTTGCCCCAGTTGAGTTTAGCGCAACTGAAGGGGAGACACAATGGTGGGATATTAGAGTGACTGACTGACCTGGCAATTGACCAGGACAGAGGAGTGGAAGAGGAGGATTTAGCAGTCCCAGGTGACTGAGTAGATAAAAAGATAGAAAGCAGAAAGAGAATTGACGTTTGATATTTTCTGGCCAAAGAAAATGTTTTCCATATGATGTGACCCGATATAACTGGTGAGCCAAAACTCTTGTTATGATGATACCATAATCAGACCCAAGATCATCTAATAAACCGATCCAACCTGAATTGTTCAATAGCAGTATCCGTCTTTCCAGTTAGAATCTGTTGACTGACCAACTCCCCAACAATAGCCGCATTCGTCACCCCGGAGTGCATGACCGCCACGCTCACATTATCTAGACCTGTTTGCCCAATAATCGGAAGACCATCTTCAGGCGTCGGTTTATTGCCAACAGTAAAATAGTCGAACTCGAGTTTGTCGCCCCCAACCAGAGTGTTTTGAAGTATTTTGAACACCTCTTGTGCTGTTTTCTCCGGATCATCGCCAGGGTCGTCACCTGGGTTTTCGCAGCCCGCTCGGATGACGCCGTCCTTGGTCTGCCGCATGTACAGATACTTTGAGTTGACGAGACTGTTAAGTACTTGATTATCAACGGGTTTGGAGTTGACGATCAAGGCTGGCACGGAGCGGATCGGGATGGCGATGCCTTCTGTCGCAAGCAGAGGGATTGTGCCGAGACCTGCTGCAACGACGACATGACCGCCGTGAACTTCCTCCCCGGAATCAAGGATTACTCCAGTGATACGGCCATCAGTCTTGACAAGTGCTTTTGCGCTAGCCTTGACCACTTTCGCGTTGCCCTTATCTTTTGCGTCGGCGACCATCTGCTGGGCCGCGACATGAGCTTCAATAGCACCCTCATCAGTATAGTAAAATCCCCATTCCGGGAGACTTTCACCCTTGATCCCAGGCTCTTTGGAACCAATTTCATCCCCCGTCATACGCATGACACGATAGCCCCAGCCTGTTAAAGTAGTCTCTTTATCCATCAAAACTCCAAACGGCTTATGCCAATTAACGGACCCATTCCACGTAACAGGCAGACCAGGAAGTTCACTCTCAATTTCCTTCCATCGCTTCAAGGACCGGACACGGAAGTCGTGATAGGACTTATCGGTGGCTGAACTCGCGTTTAACCAAGCGAAGGAAGCTGCGCTGGCTGGCCCACCGATATCTTCGGCGATAATGGTGACCTTCGTGACCTTCGATAAGTGCCATGCGATTGAGGCGCCGACTATGCCTGCGCCGATGACAAGGACATGGGGTCGAGAGGATTCTGTCATTTTTGTTCTCGACCTCGGAGTCGGCATGAAAGAAATTCGAGGAAAAAGATAATAATGCGGTAATAAGAATACGGTGAGTGTTCAAGGTACAACGACCCCGCCTTTGATGGATCGTCAAGGTGGCACAAATAGTCAGAACATATGATCAAGAATGACGTCGTGTTTAACAAGAATAAAAAGATAAATTCGTTGAACGGGGAGATGTTCAGTAAAAAGGATATGAATGGCAAAAGAAACTCCCCCGGGAAGGCTCGAACTTCCGATCTCCCGATTGTCTATTAATAACAGTCGGACGCTTTAGCCAACTAAGCCACAGGGGATAGCTGATTGGATGATGAGAGAGCTTACTATTTGACAAAATATTGTCAATATCATGCTTTCCATTTAATCGCTTGCATTTCTTCAATCCGTCCAATACCGCCAGAGCACAGTTTTTATCAGGGCGGTTAAGGGTCACACGAGAAGCCAGAGCATCGCAGAACTTCCAGTAGATGTTGATATAAACTGCAAAAACAAACGATTCCTAAAGTACAACCAAGCTCAATGCAAAATGACTCCTAACCACCAACAAGACTCCTCCCTACTGCTGCCAGTTGTCATTGTTCGCAATCAAATTCGCCGCACCCTTCAAATTACCGGAAATCTTCTTTGCAGTGCCAACCTCCTTTAACCACCCCGTAACAGCACTGACACCCTCAACCGCATCCACGCTCATAGCATAAAGCACCAATCCCGCAACATAAGGCGCAGCCATCGAAGTTCCATCTTCAGAGAAAGTGTGCGTATTGGACTTATGACCACTTGACAAAATGCCGACTCCCGGAGCCATGATCTTGACTACCTTGCCATAATTGGAAAAGTCAGCTACCTTCCAGTTCTTGTCGATGGCGCCGACTGTGATGGCGGTGGCTGCTGAGCCGGGCGATTCTTTGCTTGCGTCTCTGGCGTCGTTTCCGGACGCTGTGACTGTGACCACGCCCTTTTTGGATGCGTTGTCGACGGCTTTGTTGAAGGCGGTGGACTTTTCGCCGCCAAGGGACATGTTAATTACAGCTCTCCATGTACGATCTCTCTTGATGATGTCGTTGACCGCCCAGTTGAAAGCATCAAGAACAATGGAAGTATCACTTTCTTCACCCTTGAAGACTTTAAGGGCCAGGATGTTCGCCTTTTTGGCAACGCCGTATGTCTTTCCGGCGATAACTCCAGCGACGTGAGTACCGTGACCATCAGTGTCGGCGTTGTTGCCCTTCCAGTTTGTCCAGGCGGCTTTAGCCCGGCCACCGAATTCATTGTGGGTGGTCCTGACGCCGGTGTCGATGACATAGGCGTACATGTCTGTGCCAGCGTCGCTTTCGTAGATGTACTCCTTGAAGCCCTTTTTTCTGTGAGAGATCGTACCAAGGCCCCATGTTGACTTCTTCTGGGTGACTTCGGCTCGCTTCTCGAGATTGTTATCTCTCTTGACGCGAGAGATCTTCCAGACGCGGTTGGGTTCGACAGCAAGAACCTAGCAAGTCAGCTTCATTCTTTACACCACAAGCACGTGTCTCTTACCTCGGGACTTTTCTTGATTTCCTTGATAGTAACACTGTCAAACGTTCCCGCGTACCCTTGGAAGCCAGACTTGCTGTCATAAGTCTTCTCAACACCAAGCTCCTCGCGCTTTGTCAAGCTTCGCTTATGCACATCCTTGACCCACTTGAGATGGATCTTGGCCTTGACAGCGTCAATCTCAGGTTTGAGAGTGATGATGTAACTGCCTGGGATGATGGCGCCAGGTTCGGCGAGGGGCGCAGTAGGAGCAGGAGAGGCGAGACCGCATCCTAAAAAGAGGGTCACTGCCAGGGCGATATTCTTGATGTTGACCATGATGAAAGATGAAGCTAAAGAGCTATAGAATAACGAATAATTCGGAGCGTCGACATGGTAGTATTTATAATATTTCGCTTAATATGCATATCGCACAACGATCGTAATACGGCGCTCGGATAATGGCGTTTATCACAATTGTGATCTTCATTAGCTCTCCGCACCGATGCATTGTACCTGGCTGTACCTGAAAATTCAGCCACTGCATAAACCTTCAACTAAAATAAAAGGGTTGTTCCTAAACCGACCGTGGCTGAATCTAGATGTGGCTGGACTTGCCATAAAAGGACACCAATTCCAGCGCAAAGGGGCGCTATCGCTTTTTGAGAGGGAGGATGAGACCAGGTTCGGCCTTCTGGGAGGGGAAAAGGACGTGGTATTGAACTTTAAAAACGATAGTGGTGATACGATTGAGCCATGGTCCAGTGATTCCTGGTCCCTGGAGAAGGGATGCGATAGGAGGAACACGTGAAGCAGACCACGTTCATAGGAACAATAAGGGAATATTTGGCATATCTCGCGGGTGTCAATCGCAATCAATCGTAACGTAGTTCCAAGACAATCAGTGTCCGCAATTGTCCAACCATCACACTGTTTACGGTGTCAAAGTCCTATGTTTCGCGCATTCCATCATCGACTTCAGCTCTTCAACAAGCATTATCTCAGGCAGCCTCTTCTCGTCGAATCACACGATTACTCCGCCGTTGTCTGCAAACAGACAGTTCTTCAGATCACTAGGCAGCCGAACAAGCTACTGGTCCGTGGAGGGCTGGTCTCAGATCAGCTGAAGCCATTCCAGGGACGTATCTTAATTGCCACAAAGTTTCGGTCTAACAGCCACGATAGCTCCCCTGCGTTAGTTTCAGGCACTTATCAGATCCGCCATACCGCTCGCTTCGCACGTGGTGCAAGGAAGACCGAAGACGGTTACTTTCTCACAATAGCTCCATCAATGGCTTCTGCCGTCAAACATATCGATTCTGAATTATCGATGATGGCTGTTGACTTTCACTTTCTGTTTATCTATATCGCGCATTCCGTACCCTCGGAGGAGGCTGGCTGAAAGGTCTGGATCCGGCGGTTGGGTAAACGTTAACCGTTTGGCAACATACTTGCGAGCTACAAACAAGCTTAATGATGCAGAGACCCTGGAGGCGTTTAGCTATCGGATGGTTTATGGCCGGACATCTCGTCCGATGTAGGAACCTGAGCTGCGGTGTGAGACTTCACTGTCGGTCAGAAGAGTCTTGTGGGCTTTAGCTGTAGGGGTTTTCCGGTCACAAGACTACAACTACGTCTAAGGGCTTCCACTTCGGCCTCGAGCTAAGATTTACCGGACCTGAAACAACGATCCAGATCATTAGCGGCGGTATGCTTGATGCTGCCACAACTCATTCGTCTAAAGAATTGAGGGTCGGGATTTGAACCGACCAGGAAGAGTGGAACCAGGGACGAACCCAGATCTTACCGTAGAAAGAAAAAATGACTTTCTTATGCTGTTGTTGAAGCCAACGGGTTCTCAGAAAGTGAAGCAAAAAATGGAGAAGTTCCCCGAAACCTGGATCGAACAAGTGACCTTTCGATGACATATAACAATTACAGTCGAACGCTCTTCCAGCTGAGCTATTCGGGGACAAGATCATGTGATTTACTGACTGCATCGCAAATACAACTCAACAGGACCTGGCTACACGCAGAAACTCAAATTCCCACCATTTCCCATTGATCGGTGGTGAAGTTAGCTGGGTGAGTGGAAAGGTTCTGGTTTCCAAGTAGAACGAGCCGCGAGTGGTAGCAGGTCAAATTGCATAACAAGCCTTATTGAGCGGTCGGCTTTCTTGGCTGATCTTCTACCTATTCCATTGAACATGTGTTTATTTTATGAGGCGACGACTTGAGAAATACTCTTGGAGAATTGCATGATCACTTAAGATCATATCATATACAGAATTAAGAAATTAAAGCTAGTGACAGTGAAGCTACATATTATAAAAAACGTAAACGACTGACTTCATCCTTCTAGCCCTGCAACTCAGCTCTAAACTCATACTCGCCAGGCCTTTCCTCCGTAGGATAACATCTAATCCTAGTAGCCCTCTTCTCAGCATCACTCACGCTAACCTTCTTCGTCGCACCAGCAATAGCAGAGAAAGTCATGACACGCTGTGCATCCGTGCCATCACTCGTCATAGCCTGTATACCATAATACACACCGATACTAGCAATAGTAAATGATACAGCGTACACAGCTACAAGGATCGACCAGCCATAGTCGAAGAAGTTGGCTTTGCGACGGCGTTCGCACTTGTAGTTTGTGTCTTCGCCACCGATACCTGTGCCTGAGAGTTTAGAGGGGTCTGCTGCCCAAGCGACGGCGAGGAGCTGGGGGTCCGAGAGGAGGGAGATGAGGAGATCTTCGTACACGCGGCCGACTTCGCCTTGAAAATCGTGCACAGGAAGACTTTCATGTCTATCGAGGAGATTTGTTGTTGTGATTTCTCCGTCTGCCAGGACGACACCTTGGACTTTGACGTTGCCGAAGAGCTTCTCGCGAAGTCGCAGGCCCAGACTGTGGAAGGCAGCGATACGGCGATATCGCGCGTAGTCGTTTCGAGGACTGACGTAGTTCTTCTCTGGCTTTGCGACGTTGCCATCGGCTGTTCCGTCGGTTGACTCATTTGTCCAACTGCTCCATTCCGTATCGATGATCTTTCGCTTGTAGTCGCGTTCGGTGATTTCGTATTTCTGGAAGCCAGCGGTGTAGTTGAATGTGACAGTATAGTTGACCTCCCAGTGGTCACATGCGAAGATAATGGGAGTGTAATCGTCGTTCCATCCGTCGGTGTCCTTGTCTTTGGCATGTTCCTTGGTATGATCCTGAACCTCTGCATAACCGATCCAGATACTAGGCTCGGTTCTGAAAACACCAAGGTTCTTGGGGAAATCGGGGCCATCTTCCTCAGAGGGGATACCACCGATACTGACATTGTCGATTTGCGGTCGCTGGTATTCTCCGAGGTCGGTGTTGGCGAAATACGTGTAGTTGCCAGCAGGCACAAGCGTGCTGAGGTTGAAGGGTGCATCCATGTTACCAAATTTCTTCATCTCGGACCCTACCCCATTGGCAAGCTCCTCGCACTTATATCCAGGTCCGACGAAAGAGACGGTAGTCGAGCAGTCCCAACCGTCTCCACAGATCTCCTTGGAAATGTTGAGCTTGTAGACAGGCTGACCGCTTGAGAATACACCAGCAGCGATGCGGTCTAGGGAAGATGAGGGAACATTGTAGTACTCGAAGACGTTGTCGTTGGTCTTGGCATCCTCGGCAAGGTTTCCATCAACTGCCGTCCAGTTGTAACCAGAAAGCGATCGTCCGTTCATGATCTCTCCATCAGCCTTCTTGGGTGTCTGGAAGCTCTCTTTGGCCTCGTTGCTAAAGTTCAAAGTGCGAACAGAAGGACAGAAGGAGTCTTCAACCCTCTCGCCGGGGATAACATAGAGTTGCGCAGATGTCAAGATAACAACAGCGGGACTGAACCACATGTACAAAGCGAGAAACATAACAAACCATGACTTGGCCCAAGCTTCGCGGTTGAACAGTTCGACAAGGTTGTGAGTGGCGCCGAACAATGAGTCGACGGCGTGGATAGAGAAGCCTTTCTGGCCAACGGCTCGCCATGCAACCTGTTGATGAGCCATGACTGCGGCGAGGATAAAGTTGGCGTTGGCGATGAAGGAGATCAATTGACCAGCTCGGAGCATCCATTGTTGGTTCACTGCTTCCCGACCGTCGAGCCAATTGTAGAAGAAATGATGTCCAATAGCCCCGGCCACTCCAATGATTAAGCAGGCAATCATAGACCACCTGCTCTTCATCACTCTGAATAAGAAAGGCCCCTCAGGATTGACCGCATGGGTAGGTTGATGGACAACGTGGATATCGGGGGCGTTCTTATCGTAGGCAGCGACAGCAGGATCATGACCCATAAGACCTCTATGACTGTCAAAAGCACGATCATAGCCAGGACTGTCACGAAGGCTAGGGCTCTGCGGATCAAGCCATGGCGAAGTGTTGTGAGGAAACGTCGCTTGGTTAAGTTCCGGCGAGACAGCATGCGTAGGCTGGAATTGGCCTATGGAAGGCTGCGGCGACACAACATACTGCTGCTGCTGCTGCTGCTGCTGCTGTTGAGGATAGCTGGGAGGCTGTTGGTCTGCGACAATCTTGTCATCCATTCCGGCGGTATTGTCGACGGGAACCGTAGCGTACGCAGGACCAGAACCCAAGATTCTGGAGAATCCTTCCATGACGACCGTTCAGAATTATATGTGTACCGTGGCAAGAAAATCTCGCTGTATTGTCTAGACCCCGTACTTGCGTTCAAGTAAAAGCAAAAAGTAAGCTGCATGTGCATGCATATATGGTTTGGCCCCCAATGTGTCGGCGACACTTCCCGGTTTGGAGTTACTAACCGACGACGACATCCACTCTGACATTCTTATTTGGTGAGACAAGCCCGGGTATCGTCCGATGACCAAGCCTGATAAGGCTGGGAGAACCAATTTCAAGGAGTCAGATCAGGAAGTTACCTTGAGTACGGTAATTTGAGTTCAAGACATGGATCGATGTAATTTGAACGGCCTGAAACGAGGCTTTGAGGAGATTCTCACAGTGGATGCCACGAGGGCTAGAATCGATAATCCTGGCTATATAGTCTTGGCTTTCAGGCTGCCAAGAATTCGAGGTGAAGCTAGTCCTGCCTGATTCTATACGTATTCTCTTTTGGACCCCAATCTTCAATGATTTGAAATATCCTCATAAACAATTACTTAAAGCATGGAGATGCAGGTGGCAATAGCTTACACTCCATCCCTTCAGGGTAAAAAATATTCTTCTTGTTCGCATTCTTGATGATAAGGTTAGTTACGATGCCAATGTTGTTCTGACTTTGCTTTTTCTTCGGGCTAACAGGAAGAGACCTGCATTCAGCACTGAGACAGGGATTGAGGGAAATTAGAGCTAACATCCATGCATTGACCACCGTTTTTTCAGACACACCTTGCAGCGGTATCACGTATAAACAGCCGTATGTAGCAACTATCCAAGCGACAGGAAATTCTGTCCTACGCTTAAGAGTAGGCTGGAACTCTGTAGTGTAGGGTTGATTCAGCTACACTATCTGACTCGTGCTCAAGATGCAAGACAACTCAGTTGAACACAAAGTGCATCCTTCAGACTGTGCCGCAATGCCAATGCTATGGTCAAAGCTTCTAAGGTCTGTCTTCGCAATCGACCCACTGTTGAAGGATGGACTATTGGCTCGGTTCGTGCAAATTCAGTCTTGACGACAGGCATTGGGTACGTGACCCGTGGAATTCCAGCCCAGACTGCTGGTACGATTTACGAGAGTTGACCCCAGTCTTATCCGTTGCTGTTCGTTACGGCCCGCTGGGCTGGATGCTAGACTCATTTTCCTGCCATGGTTAGTGATGGACGGAGCGGAGGGTTCGTGGTTCCGAGTGTCCGGTTCCGACCAGGGATGGTTCAACGTGTAGGGTAGAGAGCGTCTAATTTCGACAACATTAGCTGGTAGAACAGAATAACCTCTAATCCACTGACCTGCGTGGCAGCATCTATTCTTATGATCAGTCAATAGTGTTTGTTTTTCGAGATCTATTCGGGCCGTTCTGTTGATGCTTCGAGGGTGAAAGTTGCAATAGATCAAAAATGTGGTAATATTCTGGCTTCATCGACACCAGAATAGTTAAGAGCTTGTTCGTCAAATTATTGTCTAATCGATATAAATTGAGTCAATGGAGTGAGAAGTATCCCTCATAACATGTCACTGCTCGAGAGAAGCCATGAACATTACTCAGGTTGAACTGCTGAGACTTCTCGTGATGGTGATGTAATCACGTGATGTTGCCATCGTCTGCTTACGCTTGCAGAACGATCTACAACCCCTCTATCTTCACAGTCAATCTTTTTACGATCTTTCCTGATGCAAAAATGGCAGAATTGACCAACTTGGAACCCATCTCGGGACATCATGTTCGCAGGTCAGCGGACGAGCAAGAAGCAGCGACACCAACTCCCGAGCCTGAGATCAACTATCCAACAGGCCTCAGCCTCTGGCTGATCATGCTCTCGGTATCAGCCGTCCTCATCCTAAGCAGCATAGAGATGAACATCATAGCAACAGCGATCCCCAGCATAACAGACCACTTCCACACGGTAGCCCACATAGGCTGGTACTCATCGGCTTTCAGACTATGTGTCTGCGCATTCCAATTCATCTTCGGCAAAGCATACACGTTATTTTCCGTCAAGCGAATTTTTCTTCTCGCGAACGCGATATCTATCGTTGGATCGATAGTATCTGGTGCCGCGACAAGTTCGACTATGCTTGTTATTGGAAGAGCGGTTGCTGGGCTGGGCTCTGCGGGGTTGTTTGCTGGATGTTTTGTTATTGTCGTTCAGTCAACACCTTTGAGGCGAAGACCTGTATTTTTGGGGGTCATGGGTGCCGTGGAGGGGTTGGCGACTATTGCTGCGCCTGTGCTTGGTGGTGCGCTGCAGAGGTGGAGTTGGCGATGGTGTTTTTATATCAATGCACCGACCGGTTTTGTCACTTTCCTACTCACCATGTTCTGCCTTTCAGATGTTCAGAAGCCTGCTCACATTGCTCGGTTGACACTCAAGCAGAAAGTGCTGCAGCTGGATTTGGTGAGCAATATGCTTCTCCTACCAGCGCTCACAAGCCTCTTCCTTGCTTTCTCATGGGCTGGTACAAAGTACTCATGGTCAAGCGGAGAGGTGATTGGCCCTCTGGTCACTTTCGCCATTTTTCTAATTGCGTTCGTCATGAACCAGACGCGTAGAGGCGAGACCGCCGCTCTTCCACCGCGTTTGATGAAATATCGCAGTGTGATAGCCGGCTTCATCTTCATATTCTGCGTCAACAGCACCGGTGTCGTTCTGGAATACTATCTTCCAACTTACTATCAGCTCGTGCGTGGTTACTCACCCGTGAAGAGCGGATACATGATCCTTCCCATTATCATAGCGGCGACTATAGGGTCGCTGATTCATGGAGCAGGAACAACCGCATTTGGATATTATACTCCGTTCATGATTCTGGCTTCAGTGATCATGCCAATCGCCGCGGGTCTTATCACCACTTTCGAAATAGACACAAGCTTCGCGCGACTTATTTCGTATACAGGGCTTTCGGGGTTGGCATACGGTATAGGCTTTATTGGCCCTCAGACAGCTGTACAGACAGTCCTGCCCGCCGAGGACGTACCGCTTGGGTTATCAATCATGCTATTCGCACAATCCTTTGGTCCTGCAGTAGCTGTTCCGATAGCCCAAGTCTTGTTCACCAACCAATTATCGACCAACTTAGAAAATCTTGTCCCGAGTTTGAGCCAAGGCAACATCACCAATATTGGACTTACTGAGATGGTAGCGAGTGTGACGCCTTCAGAGACGGGAGCTGTTCTCGTTGCGATTAACAAGAGTCTTGGCCAAACGTGGTATTTTGTTGTTGGGCTGGCTTCAACGGCGATAGTGGGAAGTTTGATGACTGAGTGGAAATCTGTCAAATGAACGTGACTTGGTGGCTGTTTCTCATGTTGCCCTCGTCGATGATATTAAAGGCTTTCGATGTGTCACCTGTCTTTCGTCATTGGCCCGTCACCATTACAGGTGTGTAATTGTAATGGCTTGCCGATACGCCACCACTTTAAATGGCAGTGGATGCGCGCGTTGCCGTCACTTAAACACTGTTTGAAATCCATCGAGCAGTCTCGATTTCGGGACCGGCGTCATCGTAATCATCCTTATTGCCACCATAAGTCCGTGAAGCTTAATTTGCACTCTATTGTCTTGTTGATCGAGCCTAGCCGACCAACTGGAATCCTATAAGCGGGTGTCCCGGAAGTTTTGACTTTGACGCGAAACCGGAGGTTCTGGAGAATTGGCGTCTCACTAAAATATTTGAATCTAAACTAACAAGCCCTTTGACTGGTGGGATCTGCCAGGAACCCGTCCTAGCACTCTTAACGTTCCGCTATAAGGCTAGTGTCGACGCCACAATATCAAAGCCAGCATTCCATCCATGCACGATCGGTGTGATAAAGCCAGTCCATTTCCATTCACCCGGTCTACAAATTTCTGGACCTTTTGTTACTCGCTATGTGGACGTCGCGCACATCATGGCGATGTCGAAACTCGCAGCCATCTGTGCCATACTGGCTCTTGGCAGATACGCGACGGCTCAATCAACACGAGTGAACCTACCAGCATGCGGGGTGAGTAAGGCCTTGAAATAACACGGTGACTGAGCTGACAGAGTCGCGTAGTTGGAGTGTCTCAGCAGAGTTTTATCGATATCAGAATTTGCCAAACAGTCGAGCGCCCAGCTTTGCGAAAACTTCGAGTTTGTGCAAGCAATAAACACATGCGTCGCTACAGAGTGCAATGATGAGGAAAGACAAGGTGAATACAATCAGTACATGAGCGAAGGATATTCTGACTCGGTTTGTCGCAGTGGTCAAAGATGCTGCCATTAAGCAATGCGATATTCCCCTACGAGACTCGCGGTCAGCTTTACGCGGAACAACCTTAATTATATTCGTTATTGCATTGCTATGCTTTTGCTTGAGGCTGCTATCCAAAATCCTCCATAGGTCAAACTGGGGCGCTGATGACACGTTTATGTCACTTGCGGCTGTGAGTTTTGTCCGCCCAGGACCTGATGAATCCTGCTGATCGAGAAAAGTTTCTTATTGTGCCGCTCCTTGTCCTGATGCAACTCAGTGAGTGTTCTATTCAACCTGTTGCTTTGATGAAATGAAAACTGAACCTTGACCTTTTAGTGATCTCACAAGGCCTCGGTCTCGACATACGAATGCTCGACCGCGAGCAAATCGTCCTCATTTTCAAGGTATGGCCTTCGAGAAGAATCTTCCACAAGTACTTATACTGCTAGATGTTCTTCTTTCAACAAGTAACATATTTCATTACTCTCGGCTTTGTCAAAGGGTCCGTTCTAGCATTCTATCTTCGAATCTTTCCCGATCACAAATTCCGACGGGCCGTCTGGATTACGCAATTCATCAACCTCACCACCGCTTTCATATACGTCATCCTCATTCTAGTCCAGAAGAATCCTATAGCGCTGAATTGGAACGGTGCATCAAAGTTCAGCGGAAAGAGCAATGTGTTAGATGACAAGCTTTTGTATTTGACGCACGGGTCTATCAGTCTGGCACTGGATGTATGGATGCTTATACTGCCTATCACACAAGTGTACCACTTGGGTCTGAAGTTGAGGAAGAAGATTGGCGTTATAGCGATGTTCAGCTGTGGAGTTCTGTGAGTCTGGCAATGAACCTACCTGAAGATTCTTTCACTAACAGAAACAGACTCACATGCGCGGGCGTTATACGATTTTACTATTTGATAAGATCTCAAGTCGCAAGAAGCGCTCAAGGTAAGTTAGTGCGAAAAACCATTACTTCCGGCCATCAAACTGACTAGTCCCTCAGAAGCTGTTAAAGCCGTACTGTGGGCCTACATAGAACTTTGCATGGGCGTCGTCGTCGGCTGTATGCCGAACATCCGTCAGCTGACACGGCGAGCGCACACATTCATAGTATCCCGTGGCGGCAACAGTAGCTCAGATAGAGGGGTGAATACTGGAGACTTCAGGGAAAGGTCACTGGAGCTTATATCTCATGCAACTACTGCTGTTGGATCGGAACAGGGGAAAGGCGGGACGGTGTCTAGCATTCCTAAATAGTGATTGTTCTAGCGTAGAGAAAGAATATGACATTGTTTACATCGACAGCGTGCCAAGCGGGGCTATGATAGGCTGCTGTTTGTGCGCTTGAACATCACTAAATCATCGGTGAGATGGCCGAGTTGGTTATGGCGCCAGGTTAAGGTTAACCTTAACACCAATTCCTGGTGGAGCAATCCTCCTGGGTTCGAGTCCCAGTCTCATCAGAATTATCTTTTTGCATTTTCTAGCACTTGAGTCAATTGTTTATCTCTTTTGCAAATTGGGATAGTTTTTTTCCGTCCTTGTGTTGCACTATAATGGCCCTGTCGGGATCAAAAGGAATTGTATTCGAAAAGTGATGTCACTCAATTGGGTTTTGAAACACCGAACACATTCGAACTGAAATTCTATATTTCAGTGGCAGACAGAGCGATAGAGGTGTATCCATCATCGATACCGGAATTTCCAATAAACCAGACGTTAGTACCGGCAGGCCTGTATTGATAGTAGAACTGATCATCAATTCCAGGTGCGGCAGTGCAAACCATATCCCCAATGTCCATGTCAAACTGGCAGATACCTCGAGGAGCTGTACAAGAGAGCAGACCATTGACAATCCCACAGGTCATGTAATGGTAATATTTGTCATCGCCAGTTTGGTCATCAGGCCCGCAGTTAGCTACAACAGCAGGGGTAGAGGATGTATCGGTGCCTATGTAGTTGGCGCAGATGTATGTGCCTGAGTCTGTGTCCTTGAGACGGCCCGTGGAGGGCTCAATGACGTATGTACGATCACCGATGTTGACGAAGGGGTTTGGGGTGAAGGTGAGTGTTGATCCTATTTCATCATTTCCTTGGGGAGATGCTCCTTCGATTGGACCGCCATTGACGTGAAATGAATATGTGGGGAGGGAACTGGGAGCGGTGGTAGTAGTCTCTGCGACAGTGGTGGTATCGGCGACAGTGGTAGTATCCGCAACAGTAGTCGTGTCAGCAACCGTAGTAGTATCAGCAGCTATGGTGCTATCAATAGCAGTAGATGTCTCGGCTTCCCATGTGGTGACAGTAGTTTCAACAGCGCCAGTGGTGGCCGAGGTGGCATCGGCAGATGTGGTCGTGGTGATATCAGATAAAACGTCTGTGGAGGTTCCCAAGACAATGGCAGCTGTCTCAGATATCGTAGTAGAAGCAGCAGTTAATTCCTCTGACGCTGTACGCATGGGATGATCAGCCATACTCCGGGCCCCTTTCTCGTGGAGTCTACTTACTGGAAGTCCTAGGCTTGCAAGGCCCTGCAAGTGCTGAATCGGCGACAAACAGGCCAATGCCCAAGAAAAAGACGTTGGAACGCATTGTTGAGCAATTCCAAAAAGACTGACTGAGGTGAGCTGTGGGCAAAATGCTAGAATTGATGGGACGAAGATAGATGGAAAAGAACGTGGAGCGTTTGTATTTAAACCAGCAACATGATTGTGTCTAGAACCTGATGTCTTATTTCCTCATGTCGATAGTTCCAAGAACTATTGAGTGGTTATCGTTGATTATTGGTTAGCTTCTGCGCTACCGCAGGGGTAGCGGCTGCGGTATAGCGTTCAAGCTCCATCTACCCTTGACTTCAGCTTTCGGCTATTGCGATTGAATGAACTCTACTTGAACTTCGAAAGATGACTTTGGACTTTCTTAAAACTTGAGTTTTTGACTATATTCCACTCGCATTGTGCTAGCCTTATTCGTAGAAATCAGTTTCACTAACACGGCGACCTTCAGCGACCATTCCCTAGGCGATATTTCATAGTCTGAGCAACTGTCAAGATCCAAAAAGAGACAATCTTTCAGATCAGTATAACTATTCTCATAAAACGGCGTAAGATGTTTTCAAGGCACCATGCAATTATTGGAGGACCGTGAACACAGCCCGTAATGGCCGTTTTTGTTACGTCCAATGCTGTGATATTGAAGATTGATCTACGTCCCAAGCAAGTTTGCCAGGACCATATGTCTAGATAGCAAACCTCGAACTCAATCAAAAAGCGGATCCTTGATTCGCTTGCTCGGTCTGGTGGTCTAGTGGTATGATTCTCGCTTAGGGTACACCCTATAGCACAGCTTGCGAGAGGTCCCGGGTTCAATCCCCGGCCAGACCCTTCCTTTTGCCAATTGTCTCTACTTTGAGACGAAGTTCTTTTCTTACGAATATCTTTTTGCCCTTTCTTTATTACAGAGGCTTAAAAGCTGTATGAGTCTTATGCCGGGTTTAAAGCGGCTCAATACTTTCTTACCTGTTCAGGTTCAAAGATGCTCGCATACCAGCAACCGCAATTCATGAAGAAAGCCTACAAATAAAGCAAAGATCGAAACCTTTACCTTTCATATCTTTACTGTTGTCTGTAGTCAAGAGAGAGTGATTTATTAGTGTCGATATATTATTTTTAGCTTTAGGCTCATACTCGTTATCTCGTTTTCCTCCATCTAAGAGTGTCTTGCCCGTTGATAACCACAGGCATTCTTCTTAATCCAACTCATCCGCAAACCACGGATCACAAAGAATCTCCTCAGCTGAAGGCCTCTTGGAAGGATCGTATTGAAGGATCCGTCGAATGAGTTTCTTCACCTTGTCCCCCTCCTCAACGGATAGTTCCGGCTTGGTCAGGTCAAAAGCAGCCTCCATAGATAATTGTTCCAGCATGAGAGGTTCTTCACCCTCAGCAACACCACCAAGGGCGCAATTGTACAACTTCCTGTCTTTGGTGTAATATTGCGACGAAGTCTCCCAAAGACTGTAAAGCTCATCTGGTAACGGGCCAAGCTTTGCCTCAAGCTCCAGGATATGATTGTCATCTTCGTAGGTCTTGTTACTGTAGCCAGGGATGCAGAAGAGTTGTTCTCCGGTTACTAGTTCAAATACAAGGCAGCCAAGGCTCCAGATGTCGAGAGACTTGTCAACTTCTCCTTTGAGAACAAGCTCTGGGGCGCGGAGTCCACGTGGGGTGAGGGGCTTCTCGGGAGGGCTGTCGAGAAAGTACGCTGCTCTCTATCAGTCATTTTCAATTCATGACATGGAAAGAGAAAATATCTACCTCCTCCCATGTCAGACAACTTGACTTGAAGGTCCTCGGGGAACCTCGCGTAGGCCGCTAAAGGCTGTGCCATGCACAGATATCGTGGAGCCCATTTGTCTTCCTTACCATCCAGTCTCTCCAAAGGAGCTGAGATCGAGTGTGTCTCGACATTCTCTTCCTGGCGAAGTGAAGCTTCATCGTAAGAATCGATGGACTCGGTCGCAAATAGAATGTTGCCAGGCTGAAAGTCTCCGTGTGCGATGCCGTTCTTGTGAAGGAAATCCAGGCCTTGCAAAGCCTGTTTGAGGATGCGTTTCGCCAGCTGGGGAGGATATCGAATCTCCATTCCATACATGCGTGGTTTAAACTGGGGCAGCTCATACACCATTGAATTAGCGGACGGTCCCATGGGCTCGAACACGAGGCATTTGTGGATGCCGTTTGGGCCCTCGTGGTCGAACTCTGCCAAAAGTTGAGTGATGTGCTGAGGCCCATCTTTGGGAGTAACCTTGGTGAGATGGTGCAAGATATCCAGCTCATGACTCAGCTCTTCATTTTTCGAGACAAGAATCTTCAGGGCAATATAGCGCGAGTTACTGCTTGTAATGTAAGCAAATAGCTACCGAGGGACAAAGAAAAAGTCAACTTACATCTGGTCACGCGCAAGCCAGACAGTTGAGTAAGAGCCCTCTCCCAGTTTTCGGATGACCTTGTATTGACCATCATTGAAGGAATCACCGAGGTGTACGGGATGGTAGCCACCTGGGTGATAGTCCTCAACCCATTCGCAGGCCGATATGATATCCTTGAATCGCCGCTCTCCATAATCCGGTGCTCTTGAAGGCGGAGTAGGTGGAGGTGAAGCGCTCATCGCGTTGACAGAAATGTGTTGATGGAATCTTTTGGCTTGCAGGGTGAGAATAAGAGAAGTATTTGCAGAACAGAGAAATGCGACGGAGGGAAGGGGCGTCGAAATGGTTTTCCCGCAGAGATTAAAAGGACGAGTTGGTGAGATGGGAATTCGAGCGAGAACAAAGAATTTTGATCCAGGTTCGGCGTATGACTAAGGCGCGTTGTGGTGTTTGTACGGGTAGCCGTGCAGGTATGGAAAGCCTGCCACGCGATTGGTTTGTTGGTTCTGTGTACAACTCCACGGATCGCGTAGTTGAAAGAAACCAACAACTCTATGACTCTCGGCCTGTTCAAAATTCCTTGTTCTAACGCCGAAAATCACAAACAAGTTCTAAGCCGCTTTTTCTCGACTGTCACACATTAAGAAATAGATGGTTACACTGCCTCTAGTGTCGCAGAGAACCATCGTTCTTTCACAGGAGCATCAGCAACACCCAACAGCATCGACTTTGAGTTGTCCTTTAGCAACAAGGCTTTCAAAATATAAGGACAAAAGAATACCATGAAAGAAGACATACCTATTCGTTATGAACATCCCGTACAATACGCGAAGCTTGCGTTCGACCAGGCTTGTATCTCCAAATAGCCACCTCAACGACTTCCGAGACTGGTGATAGTAGTCTCTTTGAAGGCCGCATGGCACGATATAAGTTAACGTGTCTACTCTCGTAGTATGTCTCTTCAATCCTCATTTTCATCCTCAAATTTCACGTCTGCTTTCTTTTTGGTCATACATTCTTGCTCGCCGGCGATCTATTTCTACGCACCATGCATCCTGCTAACGTCTTCTTCAAACCAGCGAATCAGTATTCCCAGGAACCTGCCAATAGAGCTAACATCATCAACTTAGTCGTTGCAAAGGCCCCTCCCGGAGCTTCACATGCAGTTGTTGTGTAAGGAAAGTATTTCCATCTGTCTATTTATCACTAACCATTGATCCTAGGAACGGCTGGCACACCAGTAGGACTGACCACAGGAACCATTGTACGGTTGACTACTTCGATGCTTACAACAGACCCATGTTCCGAGATCATATTGTTTGATTCCGGTATGTATGCTTTTGACTGTACGATTTGTTTGCTGGACATTCAAGACACCCAAAACCGCGAACTCAATCTTTAGATACACTTTTGTATGGTATGGAGGAGATAACTTAAATTTATATGTGCCTATACTTTGTATTTCTACACATGAGACTGTCGCACTGTTACTAGCTAACTTTATGTATACATCCCTAAACTACCGTAGGTTCTACCTATATTTGAATGCTTTCGCAGTATAGGAACGTTGACAATAAATTAAGCGTTTTCGAGGGACCCTCGTGTCGTGAACACGGAATTCGTAGCGTGAATAGCTTAGACACTTATTTGCGACTACCCAGGATTGGAGTTTATTTGTTGGATCCAAAACATCCGGACATATTATGCCTGTACCTTGGTCCATAGTGACTCGCACATCTCGCTTTTGACAGCCCCAACTGGCCACACCACCTCTCTCAGCACCCGACGCGCATCCGCCCATGTCTCAACCCCCGTCAACTTAGTCCAGCACTTTATCAAAACACAGAGCTCGTCCAATATGGTATCCAGACGCTCGTCAAACACAATTGACTGCGCATAAACCGTACTCAACGCTCCAACAAACGCCTTCCAAAACCATAGGTTCCGTGTTTCGGTGTTCATACTCTCAAACTCCATCACTCCTTTCTGCAGATCCCTTTTCAGGATGTTAATCTTGAGATGATGTAGTCTTCTTTCTGGAGGTAGTGCTCGATTACAAATTCCAGGAACAGTAATCAGATAAAAGCCAACAGCGGCACAGAATCCAGACCATGCTGATACAAACACTGGCTCATCAGGCGTGGGAAGCGGAATCTTGTCCGAGAAGGATTGTATATGGGCCGTGAACATCGTATACAGCAGCCTCGATGGGCCTCCGCTGTTCCAAACATACCAGGGCATCGGAACTGGGGCATCGGCTGAGGATGTTTGCAATACCAGAGCCGTCATTTCTCGAAGTATTAGTATGGCTGGGTACATGTTGATGTCCTTGGGTTTACGGCCGGGTGGAATGGAGCCGAATAAGAAGGGTATCATCCGGAATGCTCGTAGGCGGAGTTCGGGGACGTGGACTTCGTGGAGATGCATTTTGTGGATCATTCGGCTTATTTCTGCGACCTCTGTGTCTAGAGCAGGTTCTTGGTGTATTGTTTCTGGGGGTAGGACGTTGCTTATGCGGCTTTTCGTGCTATGAATCATGTTGCTGGCTCTAATGATAGGATTAGCGAGTGCCGCTTTCAATATAGTATTTTGTAGTTCCTACATAATGAGATACCGATCTGCCAGCTCCAGGTCAACATGATACTGTGAGTCTCGTGGGAGGATGTCTTGTTGCTTGGTAAAGAGGTATGTCGTCAGTCCATTAAGGTGAGATTCAGCAACTGCAAAATTTCCAAGACAGCACTAGACGAATATCAGATAAGCAGCCTACCCCATGCGATGCAAATGTGAGGGCCATACCTCGACTAAACACAGTGTGCTGATATACTTTGCGCATCGCAGCACATCCTTCGCACTGGACGAACTAGCAAGCCAGCTGTTGATCTGTTTTATGCTTTCGATCTTGTGGAAGAGGAACGTCGATTCGAAAAGGGCAAGATCGCCTTTGTTGTTCCATGCATAGTGTAAAGCTGATACCAACATGGTATTCTGGAGGATGTTCGGATCACGAGTAGCCGAGGCGACGCTGTAAGATTGTTAGGGCAATGACTCGGTACATCATACTGCGACTAACCAATCGTTTGGGTTGATTGGCAAGGGTCCAATATTGGTTCCTGCATGCAGGACTAATTCGTGTTAGTTGATGTCATCAGTACATATCTACCCTTGCTTGAGAAAGGGTGGCTGTCTGCACGTACAGTATTGGAGGAGTTCCTTTGACTTCAGCGGCATCTTAATTGGTAGCGTGTCAAATGGATCCAAGTCACAACCTGGCCTCATGATCAGGCTGACTTGCGATTGAGCTGTGGACTTCTGCACAACCCATGGTTTCTGTTCCCCAGGACGCGCCGCAGCCCTTCGTTCACGCAATGGAATAACCGGAACATACGAGCAGGCCAGATGTTTAACCAAACAATTCGAGCTGTGCTATGATGTCAGTCACCATAACCCATGCTTATCAGCTTATCGGGTGGCTTACCAGGATGGTTTCTTCTCATCGCATCTCACACGCTTCGAACGACATTCCACGCAGCCATTGCGGCTCCTTGTGCTTACTCGCTTCTCTGGTGGCGCGCCCATTGCGAAGCTAGCGGGTGAGTGGTGTGAGAGGAAGTGAGGGGCAGAGATAATGAGGTAATGGGTGAGATTTAAGCCAAGTGTCACTGTTGGTGCTAGTCCTGATGGAGTCAGATAGGACGCTGTGGGCGAATGGTGGTGGACTTCCCCGCATGACATACCCTGGTCTTATGCATAATTCTACTCATCGTATTTCGCAATCGGCTATCAGTAAATTGTCAAGACTGCAAGATACCTATGCGCAGCTAAAAGAAGAAGCGAGGTCCTTGTCACCTCCAACATATGTAATCCTCTTAGGCCAAGCACAAAGCTTCACAGCCCTCTTCTTCTCCGACCCAATAGTTTCAGCATACAACCTATCCGGCGCCTCACCCTTCTCAACCCAATTGACAAGCGTATCAAACCCACTCCCAGGATACCACCCCGACCCTCCACTGCAATGCTCAACACCAGGTGCTTCAAAGAAACGATAATAATCCGTCGCGTTAGGATCATTCTCCAGCACACGATTGTAATAATCAACTGATCCTTGGAAAGGAATGAGGTCGTCTGCGGTGCCGTGCCATGCGAGTAATTTTCCTCCTGCCTTTTTAAAGTCGGTGAGATCGGCGTCGCTTGTGCCCATTATGGAAGCAAAGCGGTTGACGGATTGGCGGAATAGTTTGCTGTATTCTGAGTGTGAAATGCCGTGGAGTTTGGCAGTGTCGTTTTGTTGGACGAAAGTGGTGAGCCAATCTTTTGAGATAGCAAAAGGAGCCGAGGTGCAGTTTGTCAAAGAAGTGCAGGTCGTTCCAGCGAGTCTAATGAGAGGAGCAGATTTATCAAGACCGTACCAGAGAAACTTGCCATCCTCTGTCTCGGGGCCACGCCATGTCAAACGTACGACTTTTGCTGCTTTCTCCGAGATCTTGAGAGTACCCGAAGGGTTGTCGCAGGTAATTTCTGTTCCCACTACTGACATGGGATCAAACGCACATTTGGTTGAGTTTGAGACAACACCATCTTCGATTCCATCGTTGGCGTCGCATGCTTCGATAGTTGCGTTGGTGATGGCTTCAAGCTCACATGCAGGAGGATAGTAACCTGCGATAAGTTAGCGTGATGGATGAATAGTGAGATATGTTGAGCTTACCGAGGCTGTACATAACAAGCTGTGGCCAATACTCCGACACGACGAACTTGTCCCAATTGAAAGCAGAGGCCGAAGCCAGAATACCGTTGTACTGAGTGGGATATCGCTGAGCCATCATATGACCTTGTCGTCCACCAGTAGAACAGCCCTTAGAAAGTCAGAACATTTTCATCTCATGCATCTGGGGTCACTCACATTCCAATAAGAATATTTCGGCTTCTTGCCATAGTAAGTTTCAACAACCGTCTTTCCCAATGTAGCAGCATCGTCCAAAGACACAGCAGCAAAATTCTGCAAAGCATGTAAATCCAAGTTACCCGAGCTTGTAAGCGCCCAACCAAGCTCTTGTCTATTCGCCAAAAGATGACCACCATCAGTGGTAACTGCGGCATAACCCCTCGAGGCAGGTGCGGCAAGATCATCGACATCACCCGTTGACCAGCCCCCGCCACCGACGCCTACCATTCTTTCATTCCAGTTTGAGATGGGGAGCCATACGTATGTGTTTATGGTATCATTCCAGCCTGGATGGGTGTGTTGAACGACAACTTTGCATAGTGTCACTGTGTCTTCGGGATTTTCAGGCCATTCGTTTGTTGGGGATGCTGGGAGGTTAACGGATGATATGTTGGCTGTGACCGAGATGATCTCTGCTTTGTCGAGCTTGAGGGAGCTAAAGGCTCCGTCGGTGCATGTTGGGCTAGAGAATACACCTGGAAGACCCTGGAAGAGCAGAGATGCTGCTGAGAGATTTGAGAGAAGCATGGTCTTAAGGTGCCGATGAAGCATGGTGGCTATGTGATCGCTGTGAACCCGACGTCTTATCAAGGTGATATAGGTCCTCAGGCCAAGTTTGAGATTCAAGAGATGAATTCCTTCCAAGAGATTTGGAAGTTCAGACAAGACACAGAGGCTATTTAAGCATCACCACCGCATCCGACGATCAGCATCAGATCCCACAGTCTGGGCACTTCGGTAAGTTCTTGCGGCATTATTTATCCGCTTTCACACCCGAAAACATGACTCTTGCCAATCTTCTCCCCGCATTTTAGGAAACATATCCGTCTTGATCAGGTTCACGATAAAGATACCCCACGTTTTAGCATCAATCTTCCCCATATTCTCAGGAAATGCCGCGGAGACTAGTCAACTTCTGGAACAACCCCACCGCGTCGGTCCCAAAACAAGACCCCGTCTTGATATTAACGAGCTACCTACTCTGGCTTCCGACCAGTAACTACCAAAACATCAAATATCGGATGAACAGAACGTTGTCGCGAAGCCTGTCTGACTCTCGCATTGAAAACCTCAACTTCCTCCTTTGACCAACCCAATACTTCAGTGAACAACACCGCTGTAAACGCAGCGACACCTTCAACCATGTTGATCCCCATAAGTGTACCAATTTCCTTCAAACGCTCATCCTTAGGCCATGGACCAATAGGAAGTTTGTATCGTTCTTCTTTAACTTGTTGAAACCCAGTTTCCTCGACCCATTGTTTGAACATGGGCGCAGGATCCATGGTTCGACCGATCTTTTCGCAAGCAACTTTGAGATGATCCATCATTTCAACTAGTGCATTGTCGGGTTTGAGCGAGTCGTCCTCTGAGTAGAATGTGTTGGCTGATTCGTGGAATTCGATCCAGCCTCCAGGCTTAAGGTTGGCATAAGCTTGTTTCAAGAGTCGTGGCCAGTCTTTGATGGAGCCTGCCATGTATTTGCAGTGAATGTAATCATAAGGTACGGGATCAACCCAATCGGCTTCAACATCGTCGATGATGAACTTGACATTGGGAGGAACCCAGTCTGGTTGAATCGGACTGAGGTCATTTCCAATCACCGTCGCAGAAGGATGGTCATCTCCAAATTGGATAGCCCAGATTCCCGTTCCGGTACCGATATCAAGAACCCGCGCGCCCTCAGTTTTAATAGGTGCCGTGAACAAGCGATCGTTCAGTAAGCGGGTAAAAGCATGATGAACCATATCAAGTCGATCTTGTTCTTGATCATCATTTGGAAAACTGTATTCGCCCGCTCTATCGCTGTGATAACGACGGCCATGCTTCCATTTGTACTTTAGTACGCTGCTAGCGATTGATGTGCTTCCGGCGATGGAGTTGCCTGTGAAGGTGGAGTCTTCGGAGTCGGAGTGAACGTCCTCGTCAACCTGAACTTCGGGAACTAAAGTCATTATTGCTGCTGTGTGACAATAATGAAATAATGTAATGTACAGAATATCAGGTCCAAGATGCGAGTTGATGGAAGCGGGGTTGCAGCCGAGGCATTGTAGAAAAGGCCTCACTCGCTTGGTACATACAGGGATGTCAGATTCCTGGGAATCATATCATTCGAGGTTATCATACTAGCGAGCGAAGTTGACTTTTTGTTGTTTTCGGCCTTGGGATGAGATTCTAAATTGCTAGCTGGGAAAGAACGCCACCCGGCTATTAAGGTCAGCGCACGACGTCAATTCAAGCTGGATTGGCCTCAAGACATAAGAGCAATGCCAAGGATCCCAGGTTGTGGTGTTTATTAAGTGGTTAATTGAGTAAGTGGGTGCCGCTATCAATAGCGAAGCATCATGTCCGGGTGTTTTGTGAGCTGTGCACAAGACACTTTCAAATAGCATCCATCGCAGAATGTTTCACTACATAGTCACTATTTAGCGGCTGAATCATCAACCAATCGTAAGACAACGTGGCCGAGTGGTTAAGGCGATGCCCTGCTATCTCTTCTGAGACATCATAGGCATTGTGTTCGCACGCGTAGGTTCGAATCCTGCCGTTGTCGATTGTTTTTTTGTTTTGCCTCTAGAGCAGATCTCGTCTTTTCTTACTCATACGTGGGCATGCAATTGTCAATTGTGCGTTGGTTCGATCAGCCAGCGTTTTGGACCAGACACCACTGAGCGCGCTTGACAATGCGCCGAAGGAATCTCAGGGTTCTTATCACGTGAATTGTCATGAGAAGTAGACTCGAAAATTTTATCGCTGTCTTATCACACCTTGCGGACATAGACTTGTCGAAGGCTCTGTTACGTGTGGGCTGTGGTGGCAAAGTACCTCGTGCGCGACACAATCTTGGGAAACTGTGTTGCGCTGGCCAACGCGACGCTATTCGTGGTATCAAGCGCGCCACGCGAACGCGTATCTACCACCTATCAACACAACCGCCGTTCAAATTAAATTCCGGTATGGCCAGATCAGGCGCGATTGCTCTCATATCTGTGGCGTTCTGATCGGTGCCACAATGTGTCGTGTCAAATAATTGAATCGGCTTACCAGATTATGTCCTTACAAGGCGAAGGATATCAGTTCATGTGGCTACATCTTCTTCTAACTCTAAGCTAAATATGCACAGACTTGTAAGCATTTTCATTCAATGGTGGCAATGGAGTATTGAATCCAAATGACGTATCTGCGTGGCTGGTTATACCACGGCCTGTTGTAGGGTAACGTTCAGACAAATGTTAAAATCTTGCTTTATGGCTGTCAAGGAAACATTTATCGGTCTTATTCGGTTGAAACCAAATTTAAAATTGATCTCTGTCAATGAACTCATCAGTTGTATCTCTCAAAAATCACGCTGCGCTTTGTTTTCTGTATGTGGTTCAGCTCATCCGTCCTCATTTCCACTCAGGCGCCAACACTTCAATCCAAACCAGAATGAGCCGCAAGACCCATCTACCCGGAGCAAAAAATGAACAAGTGGATCGTCTCCGATTATTCGGCGAAAAAGCAAAAAAGAAGACCCGCGTATCGCAGGTGGCTGGATCTCTCCCGCCGGGAATTGAACCCGGGTCTCAAGCGTGACAAGCTTGCATACTGACCACTATACTACGGAAGATGAACTGGCTGAGCCAATTGTAGTGAGGGATTTGTTGAGAATCGGTTCGCTATTGGTATATAATACCCCAGAGCTGTAAGCGTGACCGCAAATTCACCATCTGGCTCACCAAGAACTTGGTAAAGAATGAAATTGTGAAAATAGCCGTATTATTTCGTGACAGAGATCTGTTCAACTGGGAAAGTCTAACATGTTTTACCGCGAAACTCAGTTTTGGATAAAATCTTCTCCTGCTCGGGGTTATTTCTTGATCGCCGCAGAAGTGGCATTTTGTATTGGAAAACCAATGTGCTGGCGTAAGTTAAATTCAGCCTTATCTCAACAACACAATCACACCAAACAGAGTCAGTCCCGCAACAGGATTGAGTTTGTAGGTAGAGCCCTGAAGGATTGTCTAGAAATAAAGAAGATGAGGAAATATTCAGCGCTTGGCCCAGAGGAAAAGTCTATAAAATACAACACATCCTCGCTAAGTTCATCCCTTTTCACATCTTCCTCCAAAAATTCACCCATTTGTCAAGCCAGTCGCCAATAGCATAAGGACCAAAGACCTTGGTTGATTCATGCTAGCCCAGAGAACAATTCTTCTGTTGCCCTTCCACCTGACTCAAACACCCAGAGTCCTGCACACCATCTACATCCATCTATCTACCCGCCTATACGGCAAAAAAATCACCCGAAATGCCGGCACTCCCCCGGCCCCCACCCTGGAACTCTCTCGCAGAGAAAGTCCGCGCCCTCATAGCAGAACAGCTACCGCCAGCACCCATCTCCATCGCAGAGGAAATCCCCAGCCTCATCGCAAGACAGCTCAGTGACAACGATACAACATTGCACAATAACCCTTTAATTACCACTCTTGCTTCTAAGGGAACCCCATTGTATAAAAGCAGAAAGTTCTGGGCCATTGGTGGTGTCCTCCTTGCAATCATCATCATCGGTGCCGTCTGCGCGGGCGGGGCCAGTGGAAAGGGTGATTCTAGCCAAGAGGCCGATTACTCGGACTCGGGCTCGGAGGGCAAGCTAAGTGCATGGCGCCACAAGAAGAAACAGGAGGCAAGAAAAAGGGAAGTTGATTTGGCTACGTGGGAGGCTTATGAGCGAGCCAGGGAAAACGAAACCGAGGCAAAGCTTGAAGCAGTGCAGGACACAACGCGCAACGAGATTCGTAAGAAAGCTAGGGCAAGGGAGCAGGGGCTTTACAATACTGAGTGGTAATCTTGTTGGGATGATCAAGCTGGACATAATGGAAAATGGCAGGGTGAGGGGATGAAGATTTATAGATTCCGCGAGTAGGGGTTCTAGCACCCGATGTTAGCGATTGGAGAAACTTTGTAAGATAGTCAGTCTGACCGGTATGGCATTTCCTATCTTGCAGTGTATCAATGGGACACAACTGCTATCAATAGCTCTTGAACTTGGCATCCGTACGTAAGATTCCACATGCATAGCGCAGGGCAAAAAAAGGTCATGCGTTGGCAAAGGAGTCGTAATACCCTGTGCGAAGTGTAAATATCATCAACAACCTTATCTGACCGTAAGATTCCACAACAGAATTAAGTTTCCAGTTTGCCACAAAGAACTATCTGGAAGCAACGCAGGGGAAAGTCCGTCCAGCCCCTAACCCAGTAGACAAGTCTATAAAGGGTCACCCGCCCGCCCACAACTCATCCCCTTACTCTACCCCAAAAAACCTCATCAAGTTGCTAGGGTGGCAGAAGACCATCCACCAAGAGCATCACACACCAAGCAACGCAAGATCCCTTCAGCTAGCCTACTGGCACTTGGGCTACTTTACTCTCTTGCTCCAAGTCTTTCTTCATTTACCCATCTACTACTTGACTCTAAACACCCAGAGTCGTACACATCATCTATATCCATCTACCCGCCCATCCAGCAGAGAATCACCCACAATGCTAGCACTCGCTAATTACTCACCGTGGGTCTCCGTTGCGAAGAAAATCCCAGCCCTCGTCGCAAGACAGCTCAGGGATAACGAATCTTCAACGATTAGTCTTCTTTCTTCCGGGAACGCGTGGTACAGAAGCAAGAAGTTCTGGATCATTATCGGCATCATCCTTGGTATCGCCCTTATCGTGGACATCGGCCTCTGCGCGGGGAGTCACAGTGAGAGACGCCAGGCCGAACCGCCAAAACTAATGGCGGCGTGGGAAGCAGAGGAAGCAGAGAGACAGGAGAGCTCTAGGAAGTGGCAGACCGAGAATGACCGCAGAGAGGCTGAAACAGCAGCTAGAATAAAAAAACTGGAGTTGGAACACGAAGAGTACCACAAGCTCAAGAAGAAGAAGGATCTAGAGAAAGAGTTCAAGGAAGACCAGAAGAAGGCAATGAGAAAGGCAAGGGTAAAGAAAATGATGGAAAACAGGGAGAATCTCAGATTCAGCGAGTAGGCGCCCTACCACTTGTTTTCGGCGGTTGAGGGAACCTTGCATTTCATGGTGCCCATCAAAAGGGAGCTTGTAGTCAAAAATCACCTGCCTGACCAGTATTGGATTCCTTCTATTGTGGTTGATCCGTTTTTCTTTTTGTTGTTTTGGAGGATCTGGAGAGGGAACGTTGCAAGGACTGTCTGGATGGAAGACAGGAGAGCGTCAAGCCCTATACTCACGCCATCTTCCAGTGATGTCACCACCAAATGGGGGGAATGAATTCGGATGGATCATGTTTCATGGAGTCAGAAGGGTACAAGACCGAAAGCCTGTACACACAAGTCACCCAACCTTTTTAAAAAATCGTTCTTTTTTTAATCCCATCTACCTTGTTAACTTGGGGTGACGATTAACATCCTTGTAAAGCAAATACCTAAACTTTCCAGGCCCACCCGCATAACAAGCCTGAGGACAGAAAGCACGCAACCACATGAAATCTCCCGCTTCAACCTCGACCCAGTCCTGGTTCAGTCTGTAAACCGCCTTACCCTCCAAAACATAAAGACCGTGCTCCATAACATGTGTTTCAGCGAAAGGAATAATGCCGCCGGGCTGGAACGTGACGATGTTGACGTGCATGTCGTGTCGTACATCAGTAGGGTCGACGAAACGGGTTGTCGCCCATGCACCGTTCGTGTCGGGCATTTCTCTGGGCTCGATCTCCTTTTCGTTGGCGAAGAATGCCTCCGGTGCGTCGAGACCAGGAACAGCCTCGTAGGCTTTACGCACCCAGTGAAAGCGCGCAGGTTGAGCAGAATTGTTGCGCAGCGTCCATCCACACTTAGGCGGCAGAAAAGCATAGCCACCTTCAGGAAGCGTATGCGCCTCACCAGCAAGCGTAACGACGATTTCACCCTCAACGACAAACAAGACACCCTCAGCGGTATCATCCATTTCAGCACGGTCACTTCCACCACCGGGCGCAACCTCCATGATGTACTGAGAAAAAGTCTCGGCGAAGCCAGATAAGGGACGGGCGATGACCCATAGACGAGTCTGTTCCCAGAAGGGTAGGAAGCTGGTGACGATATCGCTGAAGCAGCCCTTTGGAATGACGGCGTATGATTCGGTGAACATTGCTCTGTCGGTGAGGAGTTGAGTTTGAGGGGGAAGACCGCCCTTGGGGGCATAATAGGCCCCGATCTTTTGGTTGTTACTCATGATGAAGTTGATAGTGACTGTTAAGGTACAGAAGTATCTGAGACACCAGAATTGAAATGAAATGTCTGGGATATTTATGATAAGTAGGTAGTTGCAAAACCCCGCAGCCAAACCTCCGAAACGGAGTAGCATTCGGGCGAATTGTCCGAGCATTTGTGGTGCAGAACCAATTAGACTTGGCATAGTTGTCTGTCGCTTGATTCGGGACCACTTGTGCTAGGCCGGATATAGTTAGCGCCGGACCCTGGGTGTATCATGAAGCCGATGTCGTGTGCGACGGACTTGCATGCTTGTGACGTTGTGCAGGAGTCTGCGTCAGCAGTTGAAGTGATCAGTCTAGAGTTCTGTAAGGGTTAGTAGAGATAAATATCTTGGCATGGCTGGAGGGTGCGGTCAGTTGCTCATTTGTGGAGTGGTGGATCGCACGCGACAGTTTCAGTCTTCCAGATATGGGATGAATAAGTATGGCATTGTTGATAATATCTATTCAAGGCAGAAAAATCATGCCTTACTTTGAAAGGTACTAGAGGTGGGGTGTAGTTCCTTTGAACATCACGGCTAGTGGTTACATCACCAACAGCGTACCACGGCAGCGATCTTCCCATTCCACGTTCGAGGTGTGATTCCAGTGATATTAGTCCAGCAATTAGAAATTCTCCATTGTACCCACAGTGGGTATCAAGTCATGTCTGCTGGTTTGCATAGGATTTGGTGAATATCTACCCCCGCCAATGAAGCGGCAGCTCTGAATAGGTAAACTTCCATACACAACCCAAACCAGCACACACTACAAGACATATATACTTTAATAAGCAAACATTTATCTAAATAAGAAATTTCAGCCTCTATAGCTCAGTGGTAGAGCGTCTCACTATTAACGAGAAGGTCCATAGTTCGACTCTATGTTGAGGCCTCCCTTTTTGACCCGATGCCAGACTACACCACCAACTATTTATGTCTAGATACTTCAGGAAAGGGGCCTAAACGCTTCACAGTCAACTATGTACCCCAGAGCTCGATTCTGCAACCCAGAAGCGGTGGGGTTGCTGCCCAGATAAAGAAATGACGTCCTAGGTGAATACACTTTTCATAAACCAGCACACATTGGAAGATATAGACTTCTTTAAGTGAATCTTTTTCTAAATCTTATCAAATAGCCTCTATAGCTCAGTGGTAGAGCGTCTCACTCGTAATGAGAAGGTCCATAGTTCAATCCTGTGTCGAGGCTTTCATTTTTGACCTTTTGTCAGATACACTGAAAACCATGTACGTCCAAGGGGTATTATCGCTGCTGAATATCAACCATGTACGCCAATGATGCTTCGCCTATAGCCTAGCATCGAATTTCCTCACACTCCCAGTAACTAATGTGTCAGTCCCTGACGCTTCCGCTTACTGGCTCCCATTCGTCTCGCCTGTTCCGCCAAAGCAACACCAGGATCCGCCGTCGCGACAGCCGCTCTTTTCGCTTCCTCAAATCCTCTCAAGAATATTCCATGGACGAACTGGATGTCTCTCAGCTTTCTTTTTTCATCTTCGTAGTGCTTGCGGCCGTCTTCATCTGGGGGATTCGTTCCATGCATGTGTTCCAAGAACTCGACGTATTTGGACTTTTCGGACAGAGTTATTCTATTCTCTTGGATATTTGTATGTGTGTTGACGACGCGTGCTGCTTTTTCGTCCCAGTCTGCTATCAATGCATCCCAGTCTGGTAGGTCTTCGTCGGAGCTTTCCTCTGTGGGCTGCTGGGTGTTAGAGGAGTTCCATCACGGTTGGATTAGGTTTCTTACTTCTGTGGTATCGATGTTGGAAGACGTACTTGCTGCTCTCGTATCCGCAATCTTCTGTTTCTTGGCGGGCGGGCTCACAGTTGTTGGAGGAGAGTTCGACTGTGGTGGGTTGGACGACTCGCCGTCTCGTCCCAAAGTCGCTGGCGATGGGGATTCGGAGCCAGCGTTTTCCGAGGGGACTTGGAGTAAGGAAGCGATCGAAATGCGAGAGGTCGTACTTCGTCCGGTTTGCAAGGATGAAAAGGCTGCTGTCGGAATGTGCTGGGCAGAGGATGCAGCAGGGAGGGAGTTGCTGCTGGCGTGGGATCCCATAACTGAAGTTAAATCTGCCTCAATTTCCGGTGTCGACTCAAGCGACATTGGATGCTCGCGCGTGTCAGAAGCAGGCTCTCGAGGTCGCTTGCGAGACTTTTCGACAACAGCCACGGCGCTTTGGGGCTCCGAATGAGCAATTCGGGAAGGTAGCTGAATATTTCGTCGAGGCCGCCCAGTAGCTGATGTGGAATCGATGCTTGTCGAGCTGATGTTTTCGTTCGAAGGTGTGGGAGCGTGGGTTGTTGTTGTGGGGGCAACTGTGGAGGATTCAACGGCAGGCGGCGCTGCAGTGGCAGGAGCTGTCGCGGGTGGATGCTCTTCGCAGTTGCTCGACACTGAAGCAGGCGAGGCAGGAGCGGTATCTCGAGAATTCTCATCGGATCCAGCGTTGGAATCGGGAATCGTGGTGGTAGATTCCCGTCGAAGAGAGCTCTCCAGTTGACCTGGTCGATGGAATGATGAAACGTTTCCAGCGCGCGTACGCAATCTCTTCGGCCAGGGCTCGTCTGGAGACTCGGATAAAGGAGGGCTGCTAGATCCTCTATCGCCACCTTTGTTATCAGGTGGTACTGAATCCCCTGAGGTTGGGGGCGTAAGCAGTGGCTGTGATTTCGGTTGGGGTTGGGATTGACGCTTCTTCGTTATGGCTGCTCTTCGAACGGCTCTTCGATAATGCTCGTCCAGGCCGTCAAAAAGTCGTTTGCGAGCATCTTCGGGAGTCAATGATGGGGTTGGGAAAGGTTGTTTGCTCTGTCTGCTGGTAGATTGGCCGTTTCGAAGTCTGGTCTTGGTAGTAGCTGAAGGAGTCGGCTTATCAATCTCCATTTCGTCGTCATCGCTTGAACTGTCGCTTGTGCTGTCGTCACTGTCATGGACGTTGATCTCGGACAAAGGCTCAGGATCTGACCCTGAATCTTCCTCATCCTCTGCTTCTTCTTCCTCAGACTTTGGTTCCTTCTCAGAGTCTCGTTCCGCCTTGGACTTGGATCCCTTCTCAGACTCATCATCACTCTCCTCTTTCGTGTGCCTGACTCTCTTACACTTCGTCGTAGTAACACCTTTCTCAACAATCAACCACTCCCGAGCCTGGGAGATGTCGAGTCGAGTAAGACAGTTGCGCGGCGCCTTCCGCTCGGCGGCGCTGCTCCTCAATCGTTGCAAAACATCCTTGATCTCAACATTTCTCGCTCCATGAGAAATACCCATAAGTGTCGCAAATTCACGGGTGAACGTCTCGGCCCAAGATGCGGGCTCGAAGCCTTTGACGAGTTCGTGTGGCCATTGCCCGGTGTATTCGTAAACGCGCCTGGCGGATTGGGCTGAAGGGCCGCGGTTGTAGATTTTGTGGTTGATGCGGGGAGGGGTCATTGCGGGGTTGAATATCGCGCTGCCAGCAGCCTTGGAGGGAGAAGTTATGAGAGAAGATGAGATTGCCGATCAAGTGATGAGATGAGTTGAATGGAAGTGAAAGGAAGGAGGTAACAATGATGAGTGTCACGTGTTGCGTGTAACAGGAGGAAACAGAGTGGAGACTAGCCGTCAGCAAAAAAGCAAACAAAGGGAAGGGCGGCTGGTAATCTGCCAAGGAATGTCACTTCTGTTTGCCAGTAATCCCGCGGGCTGTTTGTTTGTGATTTGTTTCGGTGATTGCCTAGGTTGCCCCTGTTCCAAGAGATATATTATTGGGTAATAATTCACCTTTGATCACGGTGCCACAGTAGCCGTCGCACACACTCTACCTACCTACCTTACCTAGTCATGGTGTCTGGCAGAGATGCAAAGGTCTTTTTTCTTAGCTCAACATACGGCTCATTTTTTGTATATACTCTGTCCCTTCCGTCTTTCATAAGCGGCCTTCTTCAGAGCCTCCAACGCTGCCACATCCATCTCATAAGCAGCACCGTGCACCTCCCACGGACCATTCATACAACCCTTCATCCAAACCGTAGACTCCTCATAAGCAAATGGCACAGGAAAATTATCACTTGTAAAGTTGGTATAACGTCTAGACAAGTCTTCTTTGGCGCCGGTAAGGTCTGTCCAGGTTACTTGAAACTCTGTGAGTCGGGGCAGACCATCGCTGATCTGGTCAAAGACGGTGTTCCACCTTAGGTCAAAGGTGTAGTATTCTCTGGTTATCCGACGTACCCATGGATTTTCGTTAGAGAGTTTCCAATCATCGGTTGATATGTCCCATTTTCCTTCTTCTTCGTCGCCGTTGAAGCGGAGATGGGTTACGATTTGGCAATTGTCGAGGTGCAGACTGGTTAAAGACTTTTGAGCAATAACCCAGTCCATTTGATCGTAGTGACCGATAGCATAAAAGTCCAATCTGAGTTTCTCCAGTTTTGGGAACTCAAGGCCTTTTCCTTGGAAGCGTGCTGGTAAAAGACCCCACTCGTACTGAGCACCGATGGAGAGTTGGACCAGTTGATCCGCGATAGGTGCCAATATTTTATTGCGCAAGATTCCATCAAACTTGAATTTCTCAGGTAATATAAAGTCATCATAGTTCAGAAAACTATCCTGTTCTTCCAGGATATTCATATCAAGGCGTTGGATACCTTTTAGTAGACCGTTCATGAGCACGTCTGGCGGATCGATATTTTGAAGATGGTTGAGTCTCAGCTCCCGAATGGGCGATCTGTCGTAACGTCCTTCTCGTTGTTTGACGGCCTTGTATATGGCCTCAAGCGCGGCTTTGCGTTCACCAGGCATTTCGCGATCGTTGGCGGTAGGGCCGGACTGATTCCACTGACTTTCCTCCCCACGACACATGTCAGAGAAATGAATTTCAAGAGCCTGTAAATGATCAAGCTCAATAATCCTGTCAATAGCAGATGTTAATGCAGGCCATTCGCCATCGTATCTCCACTTGTCCCAATCGCAATAAAACGGAGCTTCGTCTTTGCCTACGTCTTCGGGCCACGTGTGTATAATGACGCGCTGCGCAGTGTCTCTGACAGATTTTTGCCCGAGGAGTTTGTGCCAAGATTGGAAGCCTTGCGGTGCGGTGATACTGTTGTTGTAGAGAATTATGGTGTTGAAGACGTGCTTTATTGCGAGTTGGTTCCATCTTTGAGCGACGAGGCGGGCTTGATAGAGGTCGTCATTTTTCCGATGGGCAGTTAGGTGATTCATTATCAAGTCAAGGACTTCATTGGGGACTTTCTCCATCGTTGCTGAGTAGACGAATTGGGATTGGGACTAATCGGTAACAGTGCTGTTGCTTGATAGCGTTGAGACAAAGACAGACAAAGAGGGGAAATGAAGATGGCCTGTTACTTACACATCGGGCTGTTGGCCGGGATTAGGCAGCAGGGGTGCCAAGACAGCCCAGCTCGCCTAGCCATTTGCAATGAACAACTTCGTAGCTGAGCGAATACCGACTCATCACGAACGATAGGTTAACTGCTTTAGTCAGTTTCGCGATCTGGTTGTAATAGCTAGATTTCCAGAGTAATCACAGTCACTGGCTACTCAGTTCCCAAACAGAGCTCGATCAATAACAGCACTAGCTTGGGTGAGATGGCCGAGTTGGTTATGGCGCCAGGTTAAGGTTAACCTTAACAACTAATTTCCTGGTGGAGCAATCCTCCTGGGTTCGAGTCCCAGTCTCATCAATTTCTTTTTCTTTTCTCGGTCATTGACCGAGGCAGATCTCTTTTTGGCGAGGATGGAGATAGACATCTGCGTCTGTGAGAGTTGGCAACGTGCTTTTTGGGTTGCTGGCAGTAAACTCAGTTTATTAATTCCAATTGCTTTCGGTGTTGCAACATGCCCGAGCTACCGCTGAGCCCTGCTGGATTGTATTAGACTACTAGTTTGACCTCTGCAAGCCGGATTTCTCTAAAAAAGATAAGTTGCTCGGAATTGAGAGTAGCAAATGGCAATCAAACACTCTGATTACTGTTCTCTTGGGGAAAAGGAAGTGATTCCCAGGGCCCCATGACTCTTTCGGGTTTCCAAGTGAAGCCGTGCTCTGAACTCTTCAGATGAGCTGTTCCTGCCTCAACACCGCAAAATCGCCTGTCCTACCCTAGGCTCCGCACCACAGCCATCAAAACACCAAGATATCGTAAAGTCAAACAAAAAAAGAATTCAAGACTCGCGTCTCATCCGTTTGTGCGACCGAGGGGAATCGAACCCCTCTCTAACGCTTGGAAGGCGTTAATGCTAACCACTACACCACGGTCGCTTTTGGGTGCTATTCCCATCTCCAAGTAAGCACTATACCCTGCATGGTCGAACGTTAGAGTGGGCTCCTCACACTGGCGAGCCAACAGCTCCGTCAACCTCACTTGCTCCAGACATAACTCTATTTCAAAACTGGACCCGACCTTTGAACCGAGTGTCCCAGTGGGATGCCCGTCCCGCCGGCGTCATAGAGACTATTACCGGCACCGAAAATCACCAAGGTCGTGTGGCCCAATGGCAAGGCGTCTGACTACGAATCAGAAGATTCTGGGTTCGATCCCCAGCATGATCATGACAATCGTTCAAGGCACAGGACACTGTGTCTGCTTTCTTTTTGTCTTCCATTGCCAATAGCTGCTCAATTGTGACATCCTGATATCGAGTCCACAGCAAAGTGTCATGTCAAGTCAACTTTTGACAATGACATATCCATTTTTGAGACACAGATTTTTCGTTGTGTACGGACAGAAAAGCACATCGACAATTGCAAATAGGGAACTTAGGGTCTGTGTTCATGGACAAAATCGCACTTGGTAAAAGGGTATTACAATTAATATTCTATCTAAACAAAAGAACTCTACGCAAATTGATCAAGCCTATTCTGTGATCTCCTCGCCTCATCCTCCGAACTATGCTGCATCAAAATCGTCGTGTTGACAGTAATCCCCGCCGACTTATCCGTACTCGGCGCCACAGAGTGCGTCGTCACAGACTCTTTGAACAATTCATCCTGCGAATCATTGTTCTGTGTGCCCCCCATGACATTCGTAGTGATGCGACTCTGGTTTGTTCGGCGCGTTGCGTTGCGGCCTGTGGAGGAAAGTTCGTAGCGGCCGGCGTAGTTGGAGCCTGTTCGGGCGGAGGACATTTGACCGAGGAAGAGAGTTCGGAGGGGTGGGAGACAGGTTGCTATTATTGCGACGGCGGTTTCGATCATTGAGACGGTGCAGGTCAACATTGTTTCGTTTTTCTTGGAGTAGTAGGCTCGGATGACTGAGGCTGTTAGCATGGTTTGTGGTAGGGGAGTAGGTGGACGTACTGCTTGCGATGACTACCAAGAAACCAAGGGCGAAAATGGCAGCGACACCAATCTTTTGCTTCGTCTTCATTTGGAGTTGAAGAACCATGGAGATGGGCAGACTGATAATTGCGATGTCGGTACCGATGTTTAGTAGAACTGTCAACCAGTAATTTCGCTCAGCTTCAGCGGGATCGCATTGGTCTACTCAATTGTTAGTATAAATGTCGTTGCTCAATGATGGCGGTACCAACAGTTGGGGTCTTGCGACCATCGCTTATCGTGAGGGAAACATTGGAAAATAATGTGGAAGAAGATGGCAGCCCAGAAACACAACAGCAGTCCCAGCGTAACATTGTAGATCGTTTGTAGCTTCGTGCCGGGGGCGGCGAGTCGTTTGTAAAAGAGGACGAGAGCGATCTTGATGGACCAAAGCGACGTAACGTAGAGAATCGATCCAGGCACAATCATCTATCCAAGTCAGCAATTGCCCCAATTGTCAGTATCATCAAAACCTACCTGCATCATTCCCTTGAACTGTTCAGGTGTAGCACCACCAATATTCGCCATACCCAAATTCCACATATGCTGCTGAATGATAAGATCACCAATCAAGCAGCACGCAGAAAGAATAATGAACCCATCATCAATCTGCAACGATCCAAGCTTTCGCACACGGATCCACAATCTCAAAATTAGAAAAAGACAGGCAACGACAGTACTGATGTACCAAGACACCTAAAGAGATCAGTGTGTTAGATAGAGAGCATCACCATCAAGCATTGCACATACCACTTGACCCAGACCCTCAGCCATTGCAACGTCGATCGCAAAAGTAAAGTTTATTTTTGCCAGCCCAGGAACAGGTGGGATGCACGTCAACTTAATATTATTCCCAGCGTCTTGGTAGCGGCCCCTGAAGATGCATGTATTGGGAAAAAGTAACGAACCATCCCCGAATTTCGCTGTCAATCAGCTCATTGTGTACCTCGTTTGCGCTCTCAATCACCAAAAGACGTTAGATGGCCGAGGAAACTAGAGACTAGACCCAAAGTTAAAGTGTATTGCCAAGTGGAACATTTTACGTCGCGGTCTCCAATCGTGTAACTGGATCACGCAGTCATGAAGGGCCTAAGCTAGGGACAGAGCGTCAAGCCTCGGGTTGTGGACCATTAGGCCCGAAGCCAAGTCCTGTAACTCTTTACGTGTGCGGTGTCATCGCATATTTTGTTAGTCATTAGCATCAGTTTCTTCCAATATTATAAGAGAGGACTGTGCTCTCGCATGTCTCGGCACAGTTTTTGAGAGTCTGAGAGTGCGGAATATTCATTCCTGTGGCGAGTCAGTTCCCTAGTTTAGTTGGCAAGTGAAAAGCGTTCCCGAGTATTCCGTATTTACTAGTCTCCCACTAACCTAGTCTATACTCGTACGGTACCTGTTAAGCCATTTTCCACAAAAGTGCCTGACCTTCTTCTTCCAGAAACACACCCTGATGATCGTCGTAAGGTATCCAATCCTAGCAGCCTGATAAGATTGAATCGATAAGGCGTTTTTAGCGAAAGCGACAAGGTTACATTCGCCGAATCTTCGGGACAGTCTTCCATGTACGTGGAGGAGTTCGCCGAAAGAGGTACAGATCGGCAAACTACCCCTGTTGACATCCATTCTGCAGGATTTGAGATCGTGAAACGGAGGAGAATGATGCAACTGATCTGCTACAACAAGGACATGGGGACATGTAGGGAATGACACTATAATCTCATCAGTGTTTAGGATAGATGGTGATGATGATGATGCATTGATCTGGTGGCTTGAAGAGCCGTCCCGTGAAGGCTTGCAAAGTTCCCGACGCCAGACACAGGGGCAATTTTGCAACGCTCGTAAATCTCTTCAATGCCCGGACCTTCGGGCACAGAATTAGGTCCCCTGTTCTCACGTTCGAGAACCACGTCAAACATTTTCCACGCATGACTCGATGTCCCAATGAACGGGCAAACCTTATTACAGTGCATCTACCGAATTGTCATTCCACAACAGGTTAGACCATGAGCACTTGGCAGGACTAACGATAGTTTGCCGGCCCGACGGCCTCGAAGAAATCCGGACGACCCGATGTTACTCTCCCTCAAGAAATAGAACATCTAGATCTACAAATGTTACGATTATTCCCAGTAAATGTTGCATTTGGGGAACAGAGTACCACCTGAAGTGGCACGTGGACTGCGGTTGATCTGACTTCACAAGGTCATGGTTTCTGAAGACCCCGGATATAAAGACTCAATGCTTACCGTCGACTCCACTGCCGTCTTCCCCATCGAGTTAAGAGTTCCGCGACGCCCCCCCTTTCTCGGAGATTCCACTTGCCTTAGCCTCTTAATGCCACCAACCTTTTAAACCATCTGCAGGAAGCTCTTCTTTCGATTCCACAAGCAAGTTTCAGCCTTCTTTTCACTTATCCAAAAACATACAATCACAATGGTCCTTCATCAGAGCCTCTTTACTCTGGCTACGGGTTTGACCCTGGCTGCTGGTTGTGTTGCCCTTCCTCCACCTCCACCTCCACCTGGCGCTTCTGGGGCACCTTGTCCGCCGTTGCCACCTGCTGCTATCGGACAAGGCAAGATTGAGGGTTTTCGTGATGAGCATTGTAACGGTGTTTATCTGGGTGTGCCTTTTGCTGCATCCACTGGTGGACGGAACCGGTAAGTCTACGAGGGTGATATTTTGATTGAGACAAATACTGATGTACTGCAGATGGAAGGCTCCTCAGGATCTTCTCAAGTCTGACCGACCTTTCAAGGCCAAGGCCTATGGAGCTACCTGTCCTCAGGCTGGTGGCGATGCCTTCACTCGTCAGGATGAGGATTGTCTGAACCTCAACATCTGGGCTCCCAAGAATGGAAAAGATCTTCCTGTCTTCGTGTACATGTACGGTGGTGCCATGGTCACTGGATCCTCCAGCAACCCTCAAATCCAAGGCACAAACTTTGCCAAGAACGGCGTTGTCTACGTCAACTTCAACACCCGAGAGAGCATCTACGCTTCTCCCCACTCTTCCGAGTTGAAGGAGTCCAACCCCAACGACACCCAGAACTTTAGCATTCTCGATGTTGAGAAGGCTCTTGACTGGGTCCACAAGAACATCAAGGCCTTCGGTGGTAACCCTAACCACATCGTCTTCGGAGGTCACTCCTCCGGTGGTGTTCAGGTCGACCACTACCTCTGGAACCACCCCGATACCTTCCTCAAGGGTGCTGTCGAGATGAGCGCCAACGCGGTCTCAGGCCCTGCTTACGCTCCCGTTGATGAGGCCCTCAACGCTGTCGCTGAGGAGGTTGGTTGCCCCAAAGCTGGCAACGCTCAGCTCGAGTGTCTTCGTGACGTCAACATCAATGAGATCGCCACCAAGAACTTCAACTCCACCTTCAACACCTGGTTCACCCCCGTCATTGACGACATCACCCGTTTCTCCGACTACCCCACCCGCCTTTCCTCCGGCGGTTACGCTTCTCAGGTTCCTCTTCTCACTGGTACTTCCAACGGCGAGGGCACCATCTTCAGCCTCGTCTACGGCGCTGAGAACAGTGACTTTAGCTCTTGGATCAACACTTTCGATGCTGATAGTGCTCATATTCCTGACGCTGATCTCATTTCTGCTTACGACCCTGCCGATTTCGCCAGCGAGTCTCTCCGCAGCGGAGCTCAGTATGGTGATGCCCGCTTCAACTGCCCTGTCGATTACCTCCTCGATCTCCGCAGCGAGTCCCAAAAGACCTGGGTCTACCGCTTCTTCGGTGCTTACGACAACGTCGTCGGACCTCCCAACACCGCCCCCACCCACGGCACCGAAGTCCCCTTCTTCCACGGCGGCAACGAGTGTTTCTCCGAACTCCAGGGCGTGACCACCGCTCAGCAGAAGCTCGCGGACTCCATCCACAAGTGGTTCGTCGCCTGGATCAAGAACCCCGCCGCCGGTCCTGGCTGGAATACCGTTGAGAAGAGTGGCGAGTTGGTCAAGCTTGGAGTTCCTGGTGATGAGCTTACTCTTGAGAAGGCTACGCGGGGTGACTTTAATGGTGTTTGCCAGGCTGTGTACAAGCCTAATATGGCCAAGTACCCTGTTGTGCAGTCTGTTTCCAAGATTGCTGCTGAGCTTTTGGCTTAAAAGGTGTTGATTATGACATGCCTCCGAGATATGAATAAAATTTATAGAATGATAGATACTGGCGATACATGACCAGATAGAATAATACTTAATAGCTTTGGCTCAAACAAAATGTCTTCCAGAAGCTATTGACGTGACTATTTCCATAACAATACAGGCTTGATTACCTTTCCACTCTCCATATCCTTCATAGCGTTCTCGTAGTCATGAATGTCGTAATACTTAATCAGTTTTTCCAAAGGTAAAGCACCTCGCGAGTGCATGCGTATGAGTTCAGGGATCAACTAATCAGGTCAACAAGGTCATGTTCCCATAACGGCCGAAGAAAGTACTTACAACTGGCGGATTGCTGTCACCCTCAGAACATCCCACATACTCTTTCCCATATGTGAGATGTCCCATAATATCAATCTTAGCCTTCGCTCTCCCCCCAGGCGCACCAACAGTTGCGCCCCTTCCTCTCATACCCAACGCTGCAACCATAGTTTCGATGATGGTCGGAACACCAGTACAATCGACTGCAAAGTTGACGCCAAGCGGGGGACAAATTTCTAAGATTCCCTTGATGATATTCTTCGGATCGGGTCCCAACACCCCATGCGTCGCGCCTAATTCTTTCGCAAGATCAAGCCGACTCTGTTGAAGATCAATAGCAATAATCGTCCCAGCTCCTCGCGCTTTGGCAGCCATGACAGCCGCCAAACCGACGGAACCGACTCCATACACAGCAACCGAACTTCCAGGCTTGACATCAAGCGTATTGAAAATCGCTCCCACACCAGTCTGTATACCACACCCCAGCGGCGCGAAAAGCTCAAGTGGCGTTTCTTGAGGAACCTTGACGAGACTTGTTCTATGAACAATGGTATATTTCGCAAAAGAGCTTTGACCAAAGAAAGTGCTGTGCATGGGTTGCTTTTGGCCATCTTTCATGGTGAACATAGTCGCTGAGCCATCTGGACGCTTTCCGCCGAAATTGTAGAGGTTGAATTTGTAGCAGTATGCTGGGTGGTTTGATGCACAGCCTGGGCATGTTCCGCAGGATGAGAATGATAATAGGACTTTGTCGCCTTTGGAAACGTTGGTGATGTTGGATCCTGTTTCGAGAACTACACCACCGCCTGAAATACACCATGAGCGTCATAGACTCATGATTCAATGGCAAGACTTACCTTCATGGCCAAGGACGGCATTCGGTGCACATGGCAGTTTCCCACTTGCGCAAGTAAGATCTGTGTGACAAATCCCTGACGCATGAATCTCCACGAGTGCCTCGTCTGGTTGGAGAGGATTGAGATGGACTTCTTGGAGTTTAAAGTGACCATCGAGGTTTGGTGCGACGAGAGCTGGTGTTGTTCGTACCATGGTGTTCGATCTCAGGGTGTGTTGTTATGTCAAGTGCACCTAGAATGGATCTCAAAAATGATACCGGAAATAGGTTAAAGATAGTGCGGGGAGATCGATAGGTTCCTCGGTATCAACTGTCTTTAAACAAGTGAGGAGGCTGGCCTGTCTTTATCCGGGGTAAATGCCGGTCGGGGTCCATGTGGGGGTGGAGTCGCCACCGCGCCGCGGACCAGAAGCGGCAGGTGATCAGTGGATATGGACGTTCTGAAACCCTGTGATCAAGTCGTTCACTTGAAGCATGCTTGTTTGGTCGTATCTTGTCAGGATAGGCTCATCTGAAGAGCTCGGCAATGTTATCATTGGACTTGAGAGGCGATCGACGAGGAGCTTGGCGAGCAGCCAGTACTCAGGTGAATGACGCATGAAGCCGACTCTTCGCCAGAGATCATCTGGTGCGACGTTGTGCTTGTCGATCATAACGTGTGGATGTGAGAAGGAAAATTCGTCTGAGTATTTCTCCCAAACAGATTTCCAGTTACTCAATGCGTTGTACACAGCTTGAAGCTGATCATTTCCACCGAAAGAATTTTGATGCTGGAATATCAACGCGTGGAAGGCTGGATATCACAATCAGTATTCAAACAGAGTTCCGATCCTTTGTAAACGTACCTGAAACAACCGCAAAGAGATTAAGCGGCCCAAGATCAGCAAAGCATTGCTGTGTCACACCAGTAATCGAACTCCTGCAAAAACTCTCAACCACCTCTCGAAAAGTAATACTTCGTATCAGGCCCGACCTCGATTGCCATGTATATAATTCTCGATAACACTCGTCACTTGAAGTCGCTTGGAATGCTGACTCTGGGGACGCCAGGTGCATTGTCATTTCTTTGATTACCATCCTCGGTGGCAGGTTGTTGAAGATGACGAAGGCGTGGTCGAGAAGATAGATCCAGAGGAAGATGCTACTGAAGTTAGAAAAGTGATGGTGAGTTGGGATGGGGCTTACCGAATGAGCTGCTCTCTTGCTGCAAAGCCTCTCCAATCAAAATTCTCGTAGAGGCTGTCTGGGTGTCGAGCTGACATGATACCAAAGTCTCTTGCCATCTGGCCGCGTTAGCCTTCCTCTCTGTATAGACAAACAGAGGTATTCCTTACAGAAATCACCGTACTAAACCGAAACCGTCGAATTCTTCTTTTGTTCGTCTCAGTGCCTTCCCATCCTTGGTAGAGACAGACCATATAGGCTGCTTGAAGAGCCTGGATCTTGGACATGTTCGCGCTCGGTTCTAGTCCTGGAGTAGTCTGCCCATCCATTGAATCGTTGCAGAAGTCATCGTCTGTGAAAATCATCTCTTCGACGCAGTTGAACCAGATTTTGGCTTGTTCGTTATCTGCCTCATTCGGCGAAACGCTTGCGCCTACTAGAGTTAGTACAAGGTATTTCCCTGGTCTGATTTGACATACCTATCAGGGCCATCGCAGCCACCAAAATCGACTTGGCCTTCGCCGGGTCAAATGTCGGACGATGAACAAAGTTGACATTAGGATGCCAAATATGCCAGTATAACGCAAGGAATTTGCGAATATTCCGTGGAGAGAAGAATTGCATGTATGTTTGCTCCAGAACAGTGGACCATTCCAATTCAACCACGCTGTTTCGAGGCTTCACGGTGACTACCTCCTTGATGTTGAGCAGAATCTGATGAGTTTGGATGCTGAGGGGATCCGGCAGTAAAGCATCGCAAGGAATGTCGGTCTCTTCGAATCTTTCGACAACCTGGACGCGCTGATCGTAGGTTCCGCAGTCAAAAGAATCGACCAAGCCACTCCGTCGGGTGAAGTTGTCGAGAAAGTGGAATCTATAGTTGTCTAGGTTGTTGTCTGGGTGTATTTGGAAGTTCCCGGCCGCGAGACTGACAAAGTCGAGCCAGTCTTGGTTATTCGTAGAACCCTCGAGCATATCTGATACCGAAGTATAATTGCCCAGATAGTCGAATAAGGGTGTATCCCCAAACACCACAGTCGCAGGTCCATCAGCACCTACCAATGACTGGGTATTCGCTATCGCCATAGGCTGGATGCCAAAGTCAGGAGTTCCAGCGCCTGGTGGCGCATCCGATTCGAAGGAATAGCAACACTCAACTTCCTTTCCCCGGCATCTCTCGCACGGCTGCCCAGCACTACAAGCCTTCTTCTGTTTTGCACAAAGGTCACATGCCCTACGATTGGTCGCTCCACGTTCGACCTTACCCTGGCAAGTCAGCGAATGCCTCCGAAGGACATCGGCTCTCTGATAGGATTGATTGCACAACCCACATCGATGCGGTCGGACAGCGCTGTGGGATGCTGCGTGACGATAAAGGTGTTCGCGTCGCTTGTACTTCTTGGGACATTGGGGACATGCGTAAAAGGTAGCGTCAGACATGTTGTCGGGATCTTGTGGGCTGGACTGGAGTCAAAGACTTGGAGAGGAATACATCATATCGAGGAATTGAAATGAATGCAACGCAGTTCATGCTGGTTTCGTATGCGATCAGATCGCGGGGAAGTGGGGCCGAGTGATGAGCAGTGTCGGGGTGGTGGTGGGAGGCGAATCGGAATGGCTGACATGGTCACTAGAGACGGTACGTACTTGAAGTCAACGAACGTTTGGAGAAGAGCTCTCATGAGATCATCATGTTCCCCAGATCGACAATGTGGGAGAATGATTTTAACTTTGCGCTACCATCCCACATCTTTCCGCCCATCCATACCGACGAGTAGTTGTATAAAATGCATGAACAATATCGCACAACTGACTGTTCGAGATGGGTTCATCAATCTACTCGAGATCCACATCATGTTGACTTTACAACTGTTCTTCGTAGCGCTAGCCGCTATCTTTGTTCGTCTACTGTTCACCGGTAGAAGGCCCAAGAACTATCCTCCTGGGCCTCCCACATTGCCCATTCTAGGGAACATCCATTTGGTGCGTCGGCCAACTCATCGTTTTCTTGAACTCCCATACTGACAGCAACAGATGCCCAAGCGCGATGCTCATTTGCAGTTCCGCAAGTGGGCAGACGAGTATGGACCAGTCTACAGCCTGATCCTTGGCACCAAGCCCTTCATCGTCTTATCCAGCGCTCAAGCCGTCAAGGATCTTCTCGATAAGAAGAGCGCTCTGTACTCTGATCGGCAGGAGATGTATGTTGGGCAGATCCTTGGTAGCGGCGGACTCCGACTCTTGATGATGGTTGGTATTTCCCATCCCAGGGCATGTATGATTTGTTGACTGACATATTTGAACAGGGCTATGGTCAAACTTGGCGATCAGTAAGTACATCCAGGAACTCATCCCAAAATTTATCTAACGTGCATCTCCAGTTCCGCAAGCTCGTCCACTCCCTCCTCAACGTAACAGCAGCCAAAAGCTACGTCCCTTACCAAGACCTCGAAAACAAACAAATGCTCTACGAACTAGTCACCCAACCAGACCAATTCCTCCAGAGCATTCGCCGCTACTCCAACGCGCTTACAACAACCATGGTCTTCGGCTGGCGCTCACCAATCTACCACGATCCCAAACTAGAGCAACTCTTCAACGGCTTTGCCGAATTCGCAGAGATCAATCAAACCGGCATCGCCGCGCTCCTCGATGCTTTCCCTGTTATTAGGAAGCTGCCTGACTTTTTACTGCCGGTGCAGAAGAAGGCTAAGGAGCTTCATAAGAAAGAGAAGGATTTGTATTTGAGTCATTGGCTTAAGGCGAAGAAGGATATCGCTGCGGGGACTATCAAGCCGTGTTTCTGTGTGGGCTTGGCTGAGGCGCAGGAGAAGGGTGGTTTTGATGATGATCAGGCTGCTTATATTTCTGGAACGTTGCTCGAGGCTGGCTCTGATACGACGTCTAGTACTCTCTACGCTTTTGTTCAAGCTATGCTTCTGTATCCGGAAGTGCAGCGCAAGGCCCAAGAGGAGATTGACAAGGTCGTTGGTCGGGACCGGATGCCTACCATGGACGACGAGGTGGATTTGCAGTACATTCGCGCCTGCATGAAGGAGACACTCCGATGGATGCCGACTACCATCCTTGGAGCAGTCCCTCACGCAGTCACACAAGACGATATCTATAACGGCTATCTCATCCCCAAAGGAGCAGGCGTCCTCAACAACGTATGGGGAATCCACATGGATCCCGAGCGCCACCTCAACCCTCGCCAATTCAATCCAGAGCGCTACATCGACGACTTGCAAAGCCTAGCAGACGCCGCAGCGAACCCAGACGCCTCGAAGCGAGATCAGTTCACTTTCGGTGCGGGTCGACGAATTTGTCCCGGGATTCATGTCGCGGAACGAAGTTTGTTCTTGGGCATGTCGCGAATATTATGGGCGTTCAATATCGAGCCTACGCTTGATGAGAAAGGTATGCCTGTGTTGCCTGATGCGGATAGGTTGACGCAGGGTTTTGTGTGTATGCCAGAAGAGTTTCCAGCAAAGATCGTGCCGAGATCGAGCGAGAAGAGGGATTTGGTTGTTAAGAGTTGGAAGCAGGCTGAGAAGGAGGTGCTTGATCCTGAGACAAAGCAGTGGCTGTGAGGGGAGAGCTGATGCGGCTACCGTGTTCATGTAAAACTAGTCAATCACAAATTATCTGCTTCGATATCTCCAAGTCAAACTGTGTCTTGGTCATCATTGAGAGCTACAAGGCTATGCAGGCTGTGCCCTTTTGCGTGCTATGATCTACGATATCTGTATTTAGATTTTCCCGTACAAGACTGATCTCTTTTCTTCTCTCAATGCTGAGAGGCGATCTTGGGTGCATAGATATACTATCTGGACGATTTTGGTCGGCACTGGCAATGCACTGGCAGCTTGCTGCTAAAGTTCTTGCACCTACAGTCTGGAGACAATGATGGGGTCCAAGCCTGTCATTTTATTCATGACATCTAGTGCTATTGTTGTGTTTGCGGCAACCGAAGCGCGCATTTTACATCTTCAACCAGAGAACACCAGCAACCCAAACCACCCTGTAGAAGATCTCTCCGAAACACCCCATTTCTACGGTACAAACCCCGTGTACAGTGTATCTTCAGGTATGCATTTTCCATCAGTTTCCATATCTTCTCTTCATCGATTCTCATCTCTTCCACACAGATCACAGTCAACATGAACAAGCTCGTCGACAACTTCTGGGAGTGGGCGCTCGGGGACGCTCCTCGAACCCCCGTGCCGTACCATGACGACGACGACCTCGAATGGGTCACGGCAGTTATACCTATGGTTGTCACACAGTCCATGATGTATTACTCAGGCGAAGCCGCGATGAAACATATCGGGCCCAGACTTGGACCCGACTGGGACAAGTTCAAAGCCACCGACTTGCGACAATTCTGGTATCTCTTATGAATCCTCCCCCAGCATATCGATACTCTCGACCCCGAAGGAACACACGCAGCCTACAGAATGCTCCAGAACTGGGACCCCGAATTCCGCAAAATCAAAATCTTCGTCAAGGTCTATCACAGCGAGACTGTGGAGTTGGCAAAGGAGCTCTATGATCTCGAGTATCTCGGGAGTTATCTCTTCGTCAATGTCATGGCTCGGTTCAATTACGTGAACGAGGACTTGGCGGAGGAAGCTTTGGAGATTCACAAGACACGTCATAGGCGACATTACAAGATGGTCTTCGAGGAGGGCAAGACTCTGGCCGACGTCAGAGCTGATCGGCTCAAGCACGAGAAGTTGGAAAGAGCGAGAAATGTGCGGGACCCGATGCTGCGCTTGCAATTTGAAATCCCTTTGTTCTGAGACGGGATTCCTGCGTAGTGGATTCATATCTGATCACAGCAGGCGCGCTATTCCCTCCTTCTGAATGATGATGTTTATGTCTTTATTGAAATTCTGAAGCTTGGTCTTTGAGGGGATATGGAGCCGCGCGAGCACGATAGGCCAGATAGGATAAGAGACAAAGTGGCTTTTCCAAGTAAAGGACCCAGGTGACTGCGTGGAAGGTCGAACAAAAGCGATGTGTGTCATTTCAACTTTCTCCCCAAGACTATCGTGCCCATCTTCGAACACCACCAATACTTCTCGCCGCAGTAACGCCTTTCATCTCGCCAAAGCTCCCCATCTTACTCCAAATGATGCACATAGGGCGAATACCAGTGGTGACATGGTTGACCCCCTGGCAACCAGGCGTGTCGTCGCAGTGGTCAAGACACTCGACAAGAGTGTTGAAGTAGGAAAAGCTACCGACGGGGACTGTTGAACTGGCGACGGTATCGCGGTAGACTTCGTATTTACCAGTAATGCCGTATTGGGGGCTCTCGACGGTGCAGGTATCGGGTGCCGCGCTGGTTGTTGCTGCTGCTGCGGTGGATGTTTCTGTGGTTGATAGAGAAGTTGAGGTGACGGCTGTTCTGACTGATGGATGGCACGTGGGGCCAGCGTTGACACTGATGACGAAGAGGGCGAGAGAGCCCGCGAGGATGTTGATCTGGACCATTGTAGCGAGTGACTTGGGTGAGCGACCAAAAAGTGACAGCAAGGACGATGAACGGTGTTTTCATCTCGTGGAATCTCACCGGGTATTTGATCATCCTCAGCTCCGATTTGTTCTGCCAAGACTTTGAGAGGAACAAAGCATTGACTGTCGCGCCGCGCTAGAGCACCTGCAACCAGGCCATCGACCTCAGGCCTATACCCGCCAAGAGTTCATGTCCGGTTCCATCTAAAAGTAGTGATAGCAGCATATTTTCTCCGAGACGACTTTGAGAATAAGATCACCTTGTTCGAATAAAGATAGTGTGTTCTCCATGTGTCCATCACAATGAAAATGGGTAAGTAGGAACAAGCGAGTTCCTTCCTCCGTCCAACGCCCGACCGACTATAGAAAAAGAAAGTGAATGATGGGAGAAAGAATTCTTCTATCGATATAGATGCAGAAAAGCAAAAAAGAATCGCCACGATGTTAGAAATCGCTTTATAGGAACAGCCCGATGCGGGGGTCGAACCCGCAACCTTGAGATCGCGTACTCGTAAGAGTCTCACGCTCTACCGATTGAGCTAACCGGGCGTGGCTCTTATTGTTGACGAGGCATTCGTTTTTCCAGCTCAACAACGCCGTCGGTACGTGATGCCCGGGAGCTTACCATCATCTTCTTGAAGATCAATGGCCCAGTCCATCTGTCTTCCAAAGTTTAAGGTCTTGTGATTCTTCACTCACCGAGACGTAATTGATTAGACATGTATGCAACCTATCCGTATTCTTCATAACAAAGTAATCTGACTCAGTCGGTTCATCACCCCATTCCTTGATCGCGCCTCCTTTGCTGATGAATTCATTGATATCCAGGTCGGAGGAGATGTCTCCTGCTGTGTCAGTATAGCGACCTTTCTTTACCTTGGAGTCGTTTCTGTTTCCGAGAAATGCCCTTGTAGAACGTATAATCTAAAAGAAAAATGGAACTTATGGAGTGAATGAATTTCATACTGAAGGCCGCAACAATTGGAGCTCGACATTTCAAATGATAGTCCATAGCTACTAACATGAACAGCACTCATGTGCAATTCGACCCCAGCACTCGTAACCATGAAAATTGACATCCGTTATCTCAGCAGAATTGACGTAAGAATGAAAAATCCTCCACAGGACAACCTGGACTCGCATATGCACTACGAACGTCACATTATCCCACACGAGTATGAGCGACATCACACATAGAAGGAAGTCTGGGTAAGAACAAGGGCAAAAATGGAGTAAAAGGCCAACAAGTATGACAACGTTTTGCCAAAGTACCTAATGACGACATAGTTCTCTGGGGGCAAAAGTCAAAAAATGAGGTTCTGCCCGGGCTCGAACCGGGGACCTTCTCGGTGTTAACGAGATGTCATGACCAACTAGACCACAGTACCAAGCTGTTTTTGATACTAGACGATATCCACCTTCGGTCTAAGACTTCAATCCAGACGCAGTGGCTCAGAAGTGCCGCGTATGTGAGGTCAGCTGAGTAGCAGAACTGTCTCCGGCGCAAGACTTTATAAGTGATATATGATTATATAGGGAATCACTGCTTATTTGATGTCTTATGAAGATTTTAGTAAACCGATCATTGTCCCAGAGCCTCAAACAGTAAGAAAAGGAGCCTTCCTGTTGTGATATATCAATGCCTGCTCAAGGATACAACCGCTCTACAAAGTGTTTCAAAAATGGTTGAGCATGTGACTATTACCAAGCTGCTAAGGAGTCTGTTAAGCAGTAGTTCGATGGGAAGGATAATAGGGATGGTAGTTACGTTTATCGGCCTGTTTAGTCAATCCTGGCTGCTTCAAGACGCCATTCAGTGGTTGGGACGTAACAACTTTGGCAGAAGCGCTTCGCTGGAATTGTCTATCTGTAAGGGGATGTTGCATCATCTTGTTCAGACTTGTTCTCAATGGCAGTTCCTTGCTTCAGGGCTGGTACGTTGAGCAAGCCTACAAACAACACTCCAGAATGAATATCCGAAGCCAGATGTTCTGTTCCCCAGGGTAGATGTTAGGAGTGGACGATGTTGAACGAGCAACGAAAGAGATAGTTGGGTTTCGAGATTTCGTTGATTTATTGAGGCTTGGACTTTCTGATAACATATCCATAGTAATCCAACATTCCTCCACCACCCAAAACCTCCATCTCCATGTCCCAAATGTTATCCGGGTTAAGCAGCAATTTCATAAAATGAGGCTGTCTAAAGGTGATGTAGAGAAAGACACCATCGTCCTTCATCGCACGATGCACCTAAACAATATTAGCCTCCTTTCACTACCGCACAAGTTGTGACTCGCGTACCTCCTTGAGATATTTGCTGGTGTTTTCCTTGACTTCATCAGGCGGACTCCAAGGACTACCATAGATCATGGCATCCAGTGTACCCTTATCAAAAGCTACGTCAATGGAGCCGGTGGTAACAGATGGCATATCTCGAACGTCGACTCGTTGCCATTCGATTCCGGGAATATCTTTGTGTCGCTCCGTCATGAGATCGACTACCACGGGTGAGAAATCAACGCATAGCTGGTTTTTGTAGCCGCGGCCGGCAAGTTCAGCAGGTACAACCTTGGAATAATCAGTATGAGTCGAGAGAAGCGCTAAAGCCACTCACGCTATCGCCTGAACCTAGATGAAGAATTTTCGGGTTATCCTGCGCTGTGCGACCTGGTTGGTCGAGGAGGTTCTTTGACAGGAATGGAAGGAGATGGTCGAATGAGCGGAACCATTCGTGGGTTGGCTCATCGCTATTCGAGGTGACGTAGCGACTGTCCCAGTACTCAGAGAGACTGAGTTGTTGATCTTCTTCGATTGTCATGGTGACGTTGTGTTTTGGTATTTTGATGAGATCTTTCTGTGCGATATGAAAATTTGACAAGATTGACCAGTGAGAATAAACCCGTCACGTGATTCAGCAGAGACTTGATGGGCGACGGCAATGAAGACACGAAGAGATATGCGCAATCATTCATGGGAGATGTTACATGGCAAAAGAGATTATTAATGAAGGGGTATTGTATTGCTCAAAGTACAGTAAGATTAGATTAGATAAGTAAAATATAGTAACGTAACGTCAATGTGAAATCATGCCATGTCAGACCCTCTCGTTTGCGTAACAGTCTTCTTAACCAAGACGTTCCAGCCCTTCTCTGGTCTTTGTTGACCGTTCTTATCAGCTGTACCAGCAAGGTCCGAGTCACTGGTGTTCCAGTCACGAAGCTCAGCAACAGAGTCAGACTCATCAGATCGGCTGTTTCGCTTGAATCCGCTGTCACTACCCTTGGCGTCGTCACCGTGATCGATGATGGTTGTGACTCCGATGCGCTTGCTGCTGGTGTCGTGGAGATCGAAAGCTTCCTCGCCGTTGGGACCGGTGCTGCGGAGGTAGCCTCCAGTAGGGTGGTTGCTGCCACCAGTTCTTTGCCAGGGGCGAGCAGAGTTTCCACCACCCTCGGCAGAGGATCCTTGGCCAAGGAAGTTGCGGAGAAGGGGTCGGAGGGTAGCGACGGCTGCGGCGGTGATACCGAGACCGGTCTCGACAGTGGACCAGATAGCAACGTCGGAAGTGGAGTATAGGAAGTCGTCGATATCGGTCAGGGTCCACAGGTAGGGGAATCGGATGATGGTAGCACTGGAAGCACTGTAATAATTGTCAGTATGAATCAAGATATTGTCCAAGTTGTGAACTTACATGGCACCAGCTGCGAGAATACCAACAACAGAGATCTTTGTTCGCTTGCTCATCTGCAGCTTCCAGACAAGGAACATGGGAAGGATAGAATATGTCCAATCAGACGCACAGCTGACAGCCGAGTAACCGTAAAAGGCATTAGCGACAACCTGAGCATCCAGACAGCTTCCGGAAGGAGGCTCGGCCTTGTATCGAAGCCAGAACAGAGATGTAGGTCGGCATTGCAGGACGAAGAGTAGGAAGAAGAACAAGCTGTAGATTTCGGTCACGGCGGTGGTGATGTAGATGATCCATCGGTGTGTTCGCGTGACACAGATTCGCAGCAGGAAGATGGCAATACTGGCTTTGACAGCCATGTTGGAGAGAACGTATGTAGGTTCGCAGGTCCACCACATCTAAATGGAGAAATATTAGCGATCGCGTCGGAGAATAAGATCTCATCTACCGCGTACCTGCATGGCCTTGACGAGATGGTCTGGCTCGATATCCTTGAAGTGACGACCGGTACCATAGTGAACACCAGCGATTTCGTGCGAGACGAAAACGATAAACATGAACTTGAACTTGTTAGCGACGCGACGATCACAGAATGAATGGCACATACCTGTGCAATCACAGCAAACCAATCATCCAGCGCAAAAGCCTTGATGACAAAGGCACGACAGTAAACACGCAGACATGTCGCGATCGTCGAAAGAATCACAAAAGTGTATCCGATCGCAGCAATCTGCGTCGCCCGGCTCTCGATCGCCATTGTAGTAGGAAATTGTGGGATGAGAGAAAAAAGGTTTGAACCAGAAACTCGGGACGAAGACAAGGGAGCAAAGTGGAACATTCCTTTTCAGGGAGAACATCAGGTGCAGACTATATACGAGGAAGCATGAAAGTGGCTCCCCGTTTCGCCACGGACTCCGGAAATGCGTCCAGACCTGGGTAGCCTCATCCGTGGGGAGTCGGACGAGGTGCACCAACGGGGATAATCGACTATCAGCGGAGCCCATCTAGAAAGGATGGAGCCTGCAGGGGAAAGGTGGTCCTCGTTAACTAAACCTATCATGGATACAATCGATCTTTGCTTGAGAAAGGATCTAACTGCGTGTTGTTAGTGATGCTACACCAAATGACTGAGAATACCTGGTCCGAGTCAGCATCAACGGGTCATCTGAGTAAATGAACCACTCACAGCGTCTAAATGTGTAACTATTCCAACACTACGGGACGCTAATCTCATACGCCATATCCTAGCCTAGTGCGTGTTTCGTCGCCGAAACGAGTAAGGATTCTCGGTCTGACGGAGACACTGTCGCGGTTTGGCCACATGGGGCAAAGTCTTGTTTCCTAAGAAAATTCTTTCCCACTCTAGCCAAGGCCTGTCACAGCCCAGACTTACCTCGTGGCTGAGAAGGATTTAGACTTTGGTTGTTGACGGGAAGGATTTTTTGACAGTAAGAGTCTAGAAAGAGAAGAGATGAGACGGACATGGCTTGCACTAATTATTGTGATTCGCCGAACAAGTTTTTGTATATCCGGGGACTGATACCTCAATTGAATAGCGCCCGTCGCACATCTACAGCAATAGGGGTCACGGTCAGGGGTTGAATCAGATCCACACATTTCTTCTTATTCTTGCATTAAATTGATCGCGTTCACTAATGATGAGATTCACGTGATGACTATCAAAGCGTATTTGTCGCTGGTGATCTTCGACATGGTCTAGATCTGGACTGCATCGAACGTTTTTGCAAGCCACAATTTGCCAAGGCAGGCTACGCCGGCTTCAATATGGGAATGACTCGATACTCTGAGCTGTCGCCTGAAATATTTCCTTTTTTCCCAATAGCTTGGTTCGATACACTTTATTGGCTTAAAAGCACTTTATTGGTGCAGTACGCTACACTTTATGTCTCACATACGTCACAGGAGAAATGTTTTCGCCTCTGGTTGCTTCTTCTAGAAAAGGGGAAGAGACTTGGCAGAGAAATGCCGGCATGAAGAATACGGATTGAAGATTATGTCTCAGACAAGCGCTGCAGAGTCGGGGACCATTCTTCGCGAAAAAGGGCCCTCAATTAAACATCACAATAAGCTCATAAAATAACTTGCAGCGATTAGACTTTTGACTAAACCCCAGAGAGTTTATCCCAACGCCCAACGACAATCCAATCGAGATGTTTGTCTGTTCGCAAACAAATCTCCAACAAAAAGGAAAGAAATGCGGCTCCGCGGCTCCAAATTTCAGCTACTCATGCAGATTCGACAGGTCATATTCCAATGATTCAAATACCCGGGTTTTTACCAGGGAGCATGCAGGAGCTGAGCTAACGAACCCCTGTGGGTAATGCAACGCTGTCGATCACTCTTCACCGTACAACTCCCAATGCTGTAGGCCTGTTTGTAGATCAGTGGATATTCTGCAGACTTCCGTAAGCCTCAGTCATCACCAGCGAACGGTTGGTCGATCGAATATCTCGCTCTGCCTTATCGCCTACGGGACTATCGTTATAACGCTTTGACAAATGTGGCGATGATTTACTAGGAACTGTGTCTTCCGGTGCCGGGGTCAGCGCTGATCTTGGAAGGAGGAAAGATTGCCTCTTGGCGCGGTGTTTTGTGAAACTTCTAAAATCGCAAATACGGATATACGGATACGGGTAAACGCGACTCATCTAAGTGCGACATTATTTAGCCGCGGCTGACAGATGTCGAAAACTTCTTGATTCCTTCTACGTTACACTAATCCAGTTGCCGGCGGCATGTCAAGGATTTGTAACGTGACAGACACACAGACGAAACACAATTTTAAAGGTGGACTCAATTGATTTTAGTGCACGCGTTGCAGTCCACATTCGCTTAATTGTTTTCCAGAATGGATACCGGGAAAACGGTTACCGTGCAAGTTCATATATGATCTCGCTTGTTGCTGTCTTGCCAAGTGGTACCTGAAACCTGAAATCAGTGCACATCACAATTATAAACTGTGCCGTAGGGCTATGAGGGTAGCTTATCTACGTTTACCGTCCAATTGTCTAGTGTCTGTTGCGCTCGGATGGTTCTAACGATTTACTGTCCACATTTGATCTACCAAGCTGAAAACGCTTGCTTCTTAGCTGAATGACTTAGTTGTTTATTGCCACCGGTAATTCCATCTTCCGCTTGGCAGATCCTCAATCCAGGGAACGAAGATTTGGTTTTTTTTTGTTGGGCGGCTACCCTATATACGTCAGGCTCAACTGCGCGTCATTCAACCCCTAAATTTGATGCTTCCTGTAAAAGAATTATCGCTGAATGACGTACAAGGTGCGAAAGTTGTCAGTCATGATAACATTTTGATGATTGAAGTCATTTTTCGTCGTTTCTGAAATTTCTGTCGATCATGACGACATGGACTGTCGTGTTCCACAAACTCAATTCATGTGCCCCAGTTAGCCAATAGCAATAATCCGGAACCGATTCCAGAACAACTTGAATTTAGATCTCAGTATATACATATCGAAGAGAAAGTAGCATCGTGAATCAATTAAAACATTAAGAAATAAAGTAGAATAAGGTCGTCAGACCAGTCTTAGTGAGCAATCTCAATCTTCTTTCCACAAAGTCTCTCACAAGAAACCTCAACCTTGGGAGCCTCGCATTTCTGTCCAAGAGCAGTAACGGACTTGATTCTGAGCTCAAAGTCGCCCTGCTGCACAGTCTCAAAGCTGCACAAGCAGTCAGTCTTCTATCCCAATTGAGTCGGTGTTGTACATACCTGCGAATCATGATGCTCGCGCCAACAATGTTGGAAAGATCAAGAGCCTTAGCATCCTTCTGAACAGTACCACGAACAGTAGGCACAAGATCCTTGAAATAGATGACAACCTGAGTAAGCTCAATCAATCCCTCAGAGACCTTGGTAGCAGGAATCTGGAAATCGTAAGCCCAGTTAAGAGTACTGCCATCTTTCTGGTCACCCGAGTCTCGGATGTTGATAGTGTAAATCTTCCCATCAGAGTAAGGAATCTCGAGCAAAAGACGGTCGTAGCCAGTGAGGTCAGTGACAGGAATACCGTCGATAGTGCGCTGCGAGGCAAAGCCAGAACCACCTAGGGTTTCATAGTCTAGGTGCCCGTAGAACTTGGCGATGGTGTGGGAGAAGGGGTTTTCGTGGGTGTGGGGTTCGAGAACGTCGAAGTAAGATTGGCTGATGCCGCCGCGGACGGTGTCGTCTGAGGCTGTCCAGATGGATTTATCCCAAGGGCTGAAGAGGGCCAGAGCGGCGACGGCGATGTTTGGGATATACATTCTGGACAAATCTTAGGAGTGAAGGGTAATAAAGTTAGATGATTTTTGGCTAAAGTTTACTGTTCAGAAGAGGGTATTGCATCGCTATATATCCTAATCGACTGTTATTTTGTTCAGCCTTGTAATCTCCATCACAAGACAAAACTCAGATCAATCTCACGTTAACTTCCACAACGGTCCACCACGAAAACTCAATTCACCATGATAATTCATTTTCTCCATCATCAAATAAAACAAAATTCACCTCAGCGACATGTTTGACCAACCTCCCTTGTCATCCAGCATGATGTACGTTATTCCATTGGTTGGACCAGTCAATGTTGTGAGTCTATGGCTTCCAGAAATTTGGAGGTTGGCCAACCGTTGAGTGCGATGTGACACAGTAAGATTAGCGTGTGAAGAACTCTCTTGGCAAGGGTTGGGGATGGAATGCGGATCAAAGACGAGGTAAGCTTAAAACTCAATTCTCCAGCATGGCTGGGACATTATCCTCTGGCAAAGAAACATGCTATTTTATTCTCATTAAACCTGAAAACTTATGGGGTAATACGAATATCCTAAAATTGAATCTACAGGTATTGTTGCGCCTTACTCGGAGAATTGAGTCCCCTTGCATGATGATTTGCTCTGCTTCCACCAACCAGACCGAGTGCCATGTCTGGAATGACGGAGATGACATTCTGTTTCGTGAATCTTAGACGGAAATGGAATGTCTCATAAGAGTGCTTCCCATTGGTATTGGTTAAGCATAACTCTCGCTTACTTGTCACATCTGTTACTGAAGATCCAAAACATGGGGAAATACGCATAAACTCATGAAGGGATACCATATAAACATCCCTTGTTTCACTTCAGCAGAAGCCACTAATATTCCACCCAATCCTAACCCGTGCCATAATTTTCAAGCACATAATCAACATCTTTATCTCCGCGGCCACTCAAATTCACAAGAATCCTCTCCCCCTTCGGTCGCTGCGCCGCCAAGCGCATAGCATAAGCCACAGCATGCGCACTCTCCAGCGCAACAATAATCCCCTCACTCTTCGCCATTTTGAAAAACGTACTAATGACTTCATCGTTTCCAATCGTCGCGACAGAAATTCTTCCAGCTTGGTGGAGCATAGCCATCTCAGGTCCGATGCCAGGATAAACAAGCCCGGAAGCTATAGAGGTTACAGAAGCTGGTAGACCTTCTTTCTGAAGGACAATCGTCTTTGCGCCATGTAATGTTCCTGGTTTGCCGTAGGATAAAGTGGCTGCATGCTCGCCTATCTTCTCAGATCTACCAAGTGGCTCAACAGCGTGTAATTTAACGTCCGTGTCGTCGATGAATGCAGAGTACATCCCCATAGCATTAGAGCCACCAGCGACACAAGCCACAACATGCTCAGGCAGCCCTCCATTCATGGTGAGAAACTGCTCGCGCGCTTCTCGACCAATAACAGATTGGAAGTCCCGAACAATCAATGGGAAGGGATGGGGTCCAATAGCCGATCCAATCGCATACAGCGCATGCGCTCTTTGCTTAACGTAAGCGTTGAAAGCTGAGTCACTGGCCTCTTTGAGAGCGGATTGTCCAGCAGTCGCAGACACAACCTTTGCACCGAGAATCTGCATACGACCAACATTGGACTTTTGCTTTTCTGTATCCACAGCGCCCATATGGATCTCACACTCAAGACCAAAATATGCAGCAGCAGTAGCGAGAGCAACACCATGCTGTCCAGCGCCCGTCTCAGCAATCAATTTCGTCTTGCCCATCGCTTTAGCGAGGAGTGCAAAGCCGACGCAGTGGTTAATCTTATGCGCGCCTGTATGATTGAGGTCTTCTCGCTTGACGAAAATCTGAGCGCCTCCGATTTCTTGTGAGATGTTTTCAAGGTGGTGGATTGGTGTTGGACGGCCTTGAAGACCGACGCGGACCTTTTCAAGACGTTGGAGAAAGGTTGGGGAGTGACGGAGGTCTTTGTATTTGTCTGCTAGTTCTTTGAGGGCTTGGTGAGCTTCGGGGGGATAGTAGTTGCCTCCGAATTGGCCAAAGAAGCCATTTGAGTCTGGCCAGGTTTTGGAATGCGAGTGCTGAGTTACCATGATTGTCTCCGGTTTGTGATAATTTCGATGATTGGTGATGATGGCAAACTGTTGAAAAAAAGAGCTCTATTCTTCTTGAATGTGGTGAGATTTCTTGACTATTTATATGAACGATATAAAGTGGATTATGGTAGGTAGGGTGCGATCTGACAAGTTGACATGAAGGGTGCACGCTAATTAATGGCTCCGCCCCAACAGCCAAGACAACAGACAACACCGTACAGAGATAGAATGACAAAGACCAAGAAGCCAGCCTCGAAATACCTAAGAAATGAAATCGAGAATCGAGCTACAAAAGTAATCCTCATCCTGCAAAAACATGACATGTCCCGAATCCGGCACAGTAACAACCTTGAACTCCCCGTCCTCCTTCATAACAATCTCACTCATCATATCAACAAGCGGATTAATTCTCACATCATTCCCCCCCTTAACAAACATAATCCTCTCACAACTCGCCACCAAATCAGGAACCAAAGGTCTCATATCAAAGTTCACATTTTTCTGCAAAGTCATCACCGCGCGCCATCCATCCAAGCTTAGAGTCGAGCTTGCAAGTACAAGTCGCGCATCTTGATCAGGATTTGCTTCGAGCCATCCTTTGCTTGCCCAGCCGTAGTGCATGTGGCGGATTGCATTAGCTGTTGTTCCGTCGTTTTCGGCTTCGTCGCGCATTGCGTCGATTTGTGAATGGGACATAATACCTAGCGCGGAAAGGGAAGCTGGTGGGCATCCGCAGTAGATTAAGTGTTTGATTAATTTGGGGCGACGACATGCCATGTAAACTCCGCTTGCTGCTCCAAGCGATAAACCGACCCAGGCATGGATGCTTTCAATTTTCAAATGGTGCAGTAAATCATCGATGTCGTCGATCATCTCTTCAAAGTTCACTTTGTTGACATTTGCTAGGGGACTGCTTTGGCCATGACCTGGGTGATCGTAGCTTAGGACTCCAAAGCCCGCGGTGGCGAAGCGTTGGGCGACGGATTCGGAGAGGGAAATATCTGTACCGAAGCTATTGGACAAGATAATCCATGGAGCGTTCGGGGAGTCACCGTGGATGGAGTAGGATATTTTGCGGTTTGACGCCAGTGTTGCGCATTGGGAAGCCATGATGATTTGCGGTGAGTATGTGGTAATTGCCGAACAGAAAGGGAATTTACGGTTGACAAGCCTGGTTCAAGAGACAGTATTTATAGGACAAGGTTACTGTTTACCCTGCCCAAGCGGTATATGTCCGACGGACACAATATGTGTCCGAAGGGTAAGCTTACATAGCATCCATTCGCTTGCATTCTGGTTGGATCGTCGAAGGATTGCTGCGCCCGCAGATTCAGCTTATCTAGCTTCGTATTGAACTCCGTAGGCTTGTTACTTAATCAGACAGATGAAGAGTACAGATGCTATGGTAGACTCAATTCTACAGTAGGGTTATCCTACAGTAAGCTTATACCACAATAGGCTTATACGATAGTAGACTGATATGTGATTTGGCATAAAGTTGATCGCCCACAGCACTTGATTTTCCATCTTTCGCTCAAATTTCTAGCTAATTCTTTAAATAGTAGCCAAGCACCCACGGAGATAATCCTCCACCAAGCCAGCCTTCACCAACGGCGCCAACATTCCAACATAACCATCAGGTCTCACGACAGCGATAACTCCCTCATTCTTCGACACACCAAGTACATCATATGCATCTTCCTTCCTAGCCATACCATACACTCTCATCTCAGCGAGTTTCTTGACACCCGCGGGGAGATTAGTCCACTCGAAGCGTGTGGTCAGTGGGTGAAGGACTACAAGGTTGATCGCTCCCTCTGGGAATTTGCTAATTGTTTCAATGGCGGATTGAAGAGCTGACTGGGATGAGCCAGATTTATCGAGTAAGTCGGTGCTTGTGAAGACGGTCAAGTAGTAGCGACCGGTGGGTGGCATTTCTGTAGTCATGTTAGTCTCCATCTGATATCATGTCGTAGATACATACCATCCTGTAGGTGACGGTGTGTCGCGTCTGCATATCGCTTCACCTCAACGTCAAGAAGTCTTCTTCCCGGCGTCAAAGCACCAGTCAAGGGATCTCCTCTGAACAAACTCTTGTCGTCCGAATCTTGTACCAGACTGCTGGACTTATACTGCAATCCACAGCCACTAGTAAATCCACTTCCCTCACTGAACACGCGAAGGAATTCTTCGTGCGTTAAACCGGATGTTGAAGCATCGTCTGAACCAATGCGACCGGAGAACATGTGCGAGAACTTGGTATCGAACTCAATGAGCTGACGAGCAACGTCCATGCGTTCTGGTGTAAAGGTTTCGAGGACGGGGTCTGATGGACCAGGTGGGGTAAGACCGTGGAGGCTGTGGATGAGCTTCCAGGCTAGGTTGTATGAGTCCATCATTGACACGTTCATTCCCTGACCAGCTTTGGGGCTGTGAGTGTGACACGCTATGAGAGTTAGCATACCATCAGCAAAGACCATATAGTTTACTAACCATCACCAACGATAAAGACCCTTTCCAAACCATCAGACATCCGCTTAGAGAAACTCGGCGCCATTCGCTGCCCAATCTGATAAGCAGCCCACCAATCAGGCTCAGTCCCCTCCTTAATACCAATTTCATAAGGCGCAAACACAGCCCTCGCCTGCTCAAAGATATACTCCAGCGTAACAGCACCTCGTCTCTTCTTATCCGAAGACTTCTTATCAGTACCTGCATCCTGTGTCACTTCAACTTCACCAGGCACTTGGACGTATAATCGCGTGAGATATTCGCCCGTGGCGATCTGTTCGCGGGGGATAATCATCACAGATCCCGCATCTGAATGAACTGCTGAGCGCTTTCGAATATCGGGAAAATTTGTGTCGGCTACAAAGTCGCAGACGCCCCAGATATGATCGCTCGTCTCGCCCTCAAGGCTGAGGCCCATGCATTGTCGCACTTTTGAGCGGGCGCCGTCTGCACCTATGAGATATTTTGTTCGAACAGTTCTCTGGTGAGTCGAACCATCAGGGAGATCGCGCTCGTACTTAACGACGATGGGAAATTCAGAATCGTTCTCGTCGACCGTGTATTCCAAAAAGCGGTGTGATCTCCGAATAGTCTCATCACCCGCGTAAAGACGAAGATTCTCCTCAAGAATACGTTCGATCCGGCCTTGATGGATTGTTACTTCGAATGGAAAGCGAGCAGGGACGTTGACGTCTGGTGTGAAGCTTGTTCGCTCAATGCCACTGTTGCTGGATGGGTTCCAGAATGCGACTTCTTCCATGTGACATCCTTCGCTGATGATTTCGCTTGCTATTCCTAGGCTTTGGAATACTTCGAGGGTTCGTGGTTGGAGGCCGTCTGCTTGACCTGCTTTCAAAGTACCTGGCTTGGAGTCTAGGCAGAGGAGTGAAGAGTCTCTAAGACCATATCTTGCTAGAAGTAAAGTGAGAAACAAGCCACTAGGTCCAGCCTATACACGTCAGCTGTCTGCTATCCCACCCCGTGGAATATACTCACGCCTATCACAACAACTTCCCGTCGTTCCTCATCAGTACTCGCCAAGTCAGGCTTTTGAGAAAGTCTAGGCAAAGGCAGCGCTCGCGAAGGCAAGATCCTAAGATCCCTCGCCGAGCTAGAGGTTTCTTGGAAAACAGGCATGGTGTTACACTGAGGTAGAAAGTGATGGACTTCTACTTTGATCGCCCGGGATATGGCAGGTTTTAACCAGTACGAATTGGGTCTATGCACAGGAAGTGGAGTTGGCGGTTTGACAAACGCTTACCAAAACTTACAAAATCAAGGTGACGACACGACGAGACCCATTTCGGGCGCTATTTCCGAATCTCCGGGCATTTCTTTGGTTCGGCAATTACAGACGAGACTGCCGAATTTGCAGGTGCGGGGTAGCATGATGCCCTAAAAGTCTCGCTTTTACTGGACTTGTCCACTGTAGTCTGAAGATGGGTTGCTGCACGAAGTGAACACAATTATGCTGCATGCAATTGGTTTGATTTTAATTCCGATCATAAATGATTTACGATACTAGATATGTGCTATACAAGCTCACCCTATTCTAATCTACATCAGGAACAGGCAAATCATCAATAAACTTAAAGTTACGACCCAAACCAGCCATCGCCTCCTCAGCCTTCTGTCTTCGCAGCTTAGCAGCAGCCGTATCCGAAACCAAGACAAAGTCATAAGTCATTAAAGCAGTGCCAACTTTCACATCATATTTCTTCGCCATTTCCTCATCCGTGACTTTCTGGATAGAAACAACAAGGGAATTCTTTACGCCAAAGACAGCATCGGTGGATTCGTAAGGGTCGTCTTTGAGGTAGAGTGCGCTGGATTTCTTTAGTATTGTTCCTGGTGGTTTGTGAGGGGGGTCTTACGTGATGAGAGGATCGTAGCCATCTTTCTTGAACATAAAGTGCATATGACTCGGTCTGTACGGATGACGACCGAGCACTTTGAGTAACTTTCCTACCGGTCCATCGTGGGGAATAGGATATGGGACAGGAACGATAGCCTTGAACCAAAAGTTACCCTCGCTGTCGCTCTTCAAAACTGCCCTGCCATCAGGACCGATTCTGTCTGCATGCTGCACGTCATAGAAGCCCTTTGAGTCAGTCTCCCAGACATCAATGCTGGCTCCGTCGATTGGTTTCCCATCGATATCCTTCAAGGTGCAAAGAACAAGAAGAGGCTCGCCGTCTGGGTCTTGAGAGATAAGACTGCCTTCTCCCACATGCTCCGCTTCATGGGTATGGAAAGGTCCTAGGACGGTTCCTTCAGTGCTGCCCTCTGGCTTGGGATGATCGATTGAGTCGACTAGAAGGGAAAGCCCAAGGATATCAGATAACAAGATAAATTCCTTGAAGGTCAGCGAAATCTCATACATTTGAGCTTGTTACGTACCTGTCTCACGTCTGACGAAATCTGACCAACTTGTGTCAAGAATTGAATGGCAGTCATCCACTCATCAGTCGTAAGTCTCGTCTCTCTCGCCAAGTCATGAAGATGAGTAACAACTCTTTCGAGAATATACTTCAAGCGCGGGTTGCCACATTGGGAGTTGATAGCGTGAACATTTTCGGTGATGTTGTCGATCGTGAGATCTTTCAAGCTGACGGGCGCGGCCATTGTTAATTGCTGAGTACACCTTTTGAATAAACAGGTTATTGGATAGTTAACCCCGCAGGAATAAAAGAATCTCCCCGCGTTTTATGAAGAGTCGCGTGGGGAAGTGAGGTCGGATAGAGGGGATTCAAGTGCGGTCTCGGATGGAGGTCCTTTTTGGGGTTCTCATGTTCCGAGTGCGCTACGTCAGTTGATTATACAGATTGAATAAGCAACTTGTAAGCAACGCTGATTGGTTGGGTCCACTACAAGCGGAGAGCGCCAATACATCGTGCATCAAACGCTCGTGAATGACTCGAGTCGAAGCGCAATGAGGATTTTCATGATTAAACACGATTTTGAAATATCCCTCTGAATCTTGCACGTTCATCTATTTGCGTAGAATACCATGATGCCATCTACCTCTCTTTTCCTACGGGCAGGGTAACATCACCACAACGTAAAAGAGGTACAATTATCAAGAAGTTAAGTCTTATTGAGGAGTTCGATTTGTAGAGGATCAATCAATTCACTTCTGCTGCATACAGTACTGTCAAAAAAAGACTTCCTTAACCTGAAACAAGGTTACCATTTCGTTTGCTCCATGTAAACTTCCAAATGAGCGCTCGTTATGAATGGAGTGTGGTCCAACAACACTTCGCAAGACAACAGTTCATCACTTTACTCTGGAAAGGCGCTGACAATGGTTTCAGATGAACCATGGAAAGTCACAAAGAAAAGACGCACTCAAGATCATCCGCTGAAGAGAACATGAGCAACTTTTGCAAACCCATCTTCCATCTCATTAGTCATCAATGAGCGCGGTCGTGTGGCCCAATGGCAAGGCGTCTGACTACGAATCAGAAGATTCTGGGTTCGATCCCCAGCATGATCATTTCTTTTTGCCAATTTTGGGCCTTTTCGTTGGAAACAATGAAGATCCAAGCTAGAACGGTACTCGAATTTCGGAGTGGTGTAACATGGGACCTTATTACCCTTTTGGGGACACAGAGTGCCGATGCATAACTTTGTCAGCGTTTCACCGACCTGCAATTTCGCATAAACTTTAACCTTACTCCCCCCACACAACAGCCTGAGTAGACGATAGCTTCTTTTGAATTTCACAGACTGTCCTTTTGCTTTTTCACAAAAGTCTGTATACAGTTCAATTTACCGTAAACTACCATGCTTCATATATAGTTCCTCAATTAATGCTACCACATCTTAGCCTAAATAAACCTCGGATAACACAGTCGGAAAAGATCTACACGGAAAACCTGGCCCCTGGTTTCATGTCTAATCCGAATAGGAAGACGGGATGTAGCTTACCGAACACCCCAGATGATTGGAGGATATGCCTTTTACCTTGCCAGGGAACCTTGGCAGGATAATTAATACCGGACAACAGTGCGAAGTTAATATATGGTTCGGATATCCTCCACTCAAGTTTAGCGGTCTCTCTTTCTTTCCTTCTCGATTCTTCATTTCTACAGAGACAAAGTTGCAAAAATGCACTCCAAGATCGTGGGAGTCCTTCTCGGCTCAGCAGCCTTAGCCAACGCCGTCAACTTGTTCGTCGCAGACTACAGCGGCAAAGTCACTACGCTGAAACTCACCGAGAAATCGAATGGCCATGATCTCAGCGTTGCTTCAATTGCGCCCGAATGCCAGCCCACTCCATCTTGGTTGACACTGGACAAAGCAAACAATGCGCTTTACTGTCTCGACCGCGGCCCTTGGCAACAACCTGGATCTCTGAACTCTTTCAAGATCGGAACAGATGGTGCTTTGAAGCATGTTTCGCGCGTCAAGGCGCCTTCAGAAGGTGTGGCTGGTGAAATTATCACTGGAAACAAGGGAAAGCGTGGATATTTCGGTGCATCATAGTAAGTGAATAACCAATGTTCTGAGGTTTGGGTACTTATATATCGTAGCATTCCTGGCGTCGCTGCAGCCTATGAGCTTGGTAATGACGGCGCTATTTCAGGAAGTCAACCACTCCAGCAGATTTCCACCAAAATCGACAAAATCGGTCCCATCGCTGATCGACAAGAAGCCAGCCATTTACACCATGTCATTATCGACCCAACAGGAAAATACGTCCTTACTCCTGATCTCGGCGGAGATGTGGTTCGCGTCTGGTCGTTTGACAAGGACAAGATTGCTCCCATTGCGGAAGTAGGCTCTCTCAAGGCGCCCGCTGGAGCTGGCCCGCGCCATGGATTCTTTAAGGTTATGAAGAGCGGCGAGACGTTTTTTATTTTTAATGGAGAACTTGATCAGAAGGTTTATTCTTATCGCGTCAAGTATACTCGTACTGGCCTTTCGTTTACGAAGGTTTTTGAGATTACTTCTTTGAATGAGAAGTTTCCTCCTAACACGGCTCCTATCAGCGAGATCGCCATGAGCGTAAGTCTCCCTACTCCAGTGATTTAAGCAGAGCTAACTTTATCCAGCCTGACGGAAGATTCGTCGTGGTTTCAAACCGCGAAAAGTCCTTCGCCACATCCATCGAAGCGCGCTCCGGCCCTTCAGATACACTGACCACGTTCCTCATCAACGAGGACGGCACTTTGAAGCCCGTGCAGGCAGCTCCTTCGGGTGGTTACCTTCCTCGCCAGTTCTCTTTCAACAAAGCCGGTGATAAAATTGCCGTTGGGCACCAGGTTAACCAGACTGTTGTTATTTGGAAGCGGGATGTTCAGAGTGGAAAGATTGTTACTGAGGCGGAGGGTGGAAAGTTGGGGCAGGTTCAGCTTACCGGACAGGTGGTTGCTACTATTTGGGATGAGTAGACCACTCATCATGGTAGAGTCGTCGGGGTTCCTGTCTTTTTATTCAATTACATTGTTTACTCCTAGATGAGCCGTATTTATTTGAGCAACTTCAACTGCGTTTTTGTTCCATGACAGTATGTAGATATTACTGTGTCTTACTACCATGTGCGCATCATGTACACTACACCAACAGTCGTCGCACACTAAGGCCTCCACAAGAAACCAGGATGCTTCCAATCCATATCCCGAATCTCCTCAACACTATGTCCAGCCAAAGCCTGACTAACATCAATCCTCTCTCTCCTCTTGTTACTCCACTTCATATACACATGTAAAACAATAGTAAGTAGGAAGATGGACGAACAAGACGCAAGGTTGAGACCATTGCCGATGGGGTAGTTGGGTCCATCGAAGGGCAGGAAACACCATGTGGAGATTAGTCCTCCAATGTTACCCAACATGACGTTGAAGCCGATACCAGATGCTCGAGCTGTGTCGGTTACAAGGTTGGCTGAGACTTGAGCGTTGGAGAGAGCGCCGTTGGCGAAGGTGCCGGCGCAGATGAGGAATGTTCCTGCGTAGCGGACGTAGGCTGTTTGGTTAGTAAGTATGCTTCAAGAGATATGGTTGGTACTTACGATTTGTCGTGGCGAGGAACATGATGTAGCCTGTAATGACAGGAAGCTGCGACACATTGATGAAAATATTGCGACGGTCGATGACAGTCGACAAGAAACTCATAGCAACAGTGCAGAAAGTTCCAACGATATAAGGCGGTACAGTTCGCAACTGCTGTTGGACAACCGACGCGTCAGGGTAAATGGTTCTGACGATGGTGGGCGCGAAAAAGGCGAGTCCCTGGACAGTGATGTTTGTGAACAGAAAGATGACCGCAGTGCCGAGTGTAACTGGCGAGAAGATACCCCGACGAGCCAACTTCCACGAGAACTTCTCCAAGACTTCTGTAACACCAACACGCTCTGACTTGATACGAGCAATAGCAAGATCCTTCTCCTCCTCCGTCAACCATCTTGCAGTACTAGGTCGATCAGTCATAGTAAAGAACCCAATAAGCGCAAGCCCAATACTCGCAATACCCTCAATAGCAAAGATCATTCTCCATCTCGTCAACGACCCAAAAGAGTCAAGCTTAAGAATTCCAGAAGCTAACAAGCCTCCGAAGGCTCCGCCGAAGGAACCCATAGCGACGTAGATAGCAAGTCGGAAAGCAAGTTCGCCACGACGGTACCATCGGCTGAGATAGTATGCAATGCCGGGAAGCATACCAGCTTCGAAAATACCGAGGATGAAGCGCACGGCGCATGCTTCGCCCATTGTGTTGACAAATGCTGTTCCGAGGGAGGCGACGCCGAAGCAGACTGCTGTGCCGGGGATGAACCAGCCTGGACCCATCCATTTGCAGAGCATATTCGCGGGGAGTTCGAAGACGATGTAGGACTGTCGGCATATCTGTCAGACAAGTCTATACGGGAAGGGGAAGGGATGCTTACGATGTAAAAGACTGTCAACAAGAGGTTAAAGTCATAACCTTTAAGGCCGAGATCTGCTTCAAGACCGGCCAATCTCGCGTTGCCAATGTTTGCTCTGTCGACGAAACACATCAAGTATAAGATGGTAACTGTCGGCATGACATACCAATCGATCTTACGACGGAGTTTCTTCTCGGCTTCTGCGTCAAAGGTAGCGATGGGATTGCCATGTCTAGAAAGGTCAGTCAACCCCCAACCTTTTCCGCGATTGAGACTTACTCGTCAGTGGCCAAGTGCCCTCTCGCAGCAGCATCATGCGCATCAGCATGCTCAAACTGCTCCCCCTTGCCAATCTCTTTCTCAGTATCAGATCCCTTAATGATGGCCATGATGAACGATGCAAGAATAGGGCTGACCAGAACAACAAACTGCATCCGGGGGTGGTATTTAAGATAAAGAAACCAGCGTCGAATCACAGCGCTGCCCAGATGCCAAGATTGAGGGGGTAGATAGTGCGTCGGGTGACGGGTTAAGGATGTCGGGTACGGGGTTTGTTGGACGAATGTGGTAAGATGGGAGACGCATCAGGGAGACGCACATGGGTCTAGGTCTTGGGAAGCAGCTAATTAGATTGCTTTGATAACAAAGATCCGGGGGAGGATCTGGGGTTGGATCTGGGGAAATGGAGCTTATCTGTTGCGCGGTCTTGGTATTCATGATGTTATTTCCGATACATTGCAGAACAGATCAACGCACTGGGCCATAAATACGAACTGTTACCCATGTAGGAAGCCTTTTCTTCGAGAATATACATTTTCTGGTCGACATGTTTCTTTCCGGATTTCAACCACATATCTCCCCTAGACTCGACAATGGCACCATATTCATATCAGCAATCCGTCGGGACTCCGTCTTGTCGGAACTCCCCAGCTGACAATACCCAGTCTATTGGAAACTAGCTTGAACTGACTTGGCAGCTGAGGTGTCTGAACCTGTTCCGACAGTCTGGACTCTGCGTGTGGCATATTCCTGACTCGCTATTCAGCAACCACTTCCCCGTGTCCAGACTGTCGGGTAACGCTCTGACCTTGAACTGGATTAGAGGCGGCGAACAGACGGGCCCGGGCTATCAATCTTCCGGATTTGTTCTCGACTGGAATCTCAAAACCTCGTCAAGTACATGAATACTTGGATAACGTAATAATTGCCACAATACTCTAATTTGAAAAATCCAATAGAGGCCATGGAATGAATCAAATACTCGCGATACTGATTTTAGGTCTACGAGATGTTATCCGAATCAATCTGAAGCAGTCTTTCGGCCCTTTCCCCAGGTTCTGTACCCCGCATACGACCAACTCCGAACTCCGACGCGACGCCGACTTTGACATCAACCATCTTTTGTCACCATGTTCAGGCTCCGATTCGTAATCCGAGGCCCAACGCGACAAATTGATGCTAATTCTTGGGTTTTTGTTCTCAATATGATGTTTCAGGCGGTTGTCTCTCGGCATGCTTGAATATGTCGATCCATCGCGCTCCAGAGATCGACGCCGACACGTTGGTGCAACTGCTGAGGGTTAATGGACGAACAGAAAAGCTTGCGATTGAAATAATTAGCTTACCTTTGATGATTTTTACCAGAAGGTGAGAGCGTAGAGAAAAAGGAGTCTCATGAAGTTGGAAGACGCGTCTATTGTTTTCGTGCAACGCGATTCTGTACTAGAACCCTTCCTATCATCAAATGGGCGTGAATATCAAACCTGTGTTTCATTTGAGAGCTAAATCTTATTTCAAAGTGCTCTTGCTACATTCATTGCAATTTTCACCACACGTGTACGTAGGTAGATGATTGAAGATATTTTGTTCAGTTATTTACAAAATTCACGCAGCATCTCACGAAGCCAGCCTGTACTGTTTTGAAACACTCTAAGCAGGATATCACTGAAGCGGAATAACAAAAACCATCGCTATAATCGTTTCTATCTATACCAATTGAATCTGGCTTGTGTAGAGCTATATAATCACCGTCTCGTTGCCAAGAAGTCTGCATCTACTGTTGACTCGACAACTCCAGGGTAGCATCCATCTCAGCAGCGCGTCGACCAAAGTCAGATGAAGTCAAATCCCGACAATGAGGCTCAAATATCTTCCAGTCATTCGCCAAACTAGTCTCACCCAATCTCGCATTCTCCCGTTCCAGACCCAGTTCATCGGGACGTTATTTTCGTGAATCCACTGAGCTTGAACACACGACAACTAAAAATTTGCACGCGGGGCCCCAGGTTCGCGGTTAGTTCAGGGCTAACCTGGGCAGCGTCGCCTAAGATCCCCCTTTTCGGGTAAGAGATGACTAACTATGTGACGATAGAATCCACCTTGACCATGCGACGGTCTGAGTTGCCCAGACTTGAAGATGAGAAAGTCATGCAATTGAAGCTATCTCGTGTTTTTTTATTAATGGAGATTTGGGCTTTACGAGTATAACATGCCTGATTTTCGTTACGAGAAGCATGGTTGTTGAGCTCATGGCAAACTAATTGCTGAGGAATTATACTGTGATACTGAAAGCTGTAATGCCGTTCAAGGGTCAGATATCAATGAGATAAGCTGCCGAACAAACTCGGTATCAATCAATTCTTCAACTCGTCATGATATCCATCCTCTCCATCCTCTAGTGAGGCTCTACAGCACCTTGCGGCTAAGCGGGTATTTTAGGGGTGGTCAGACTGCATCCCCACACTAAACCTAACTCGGGGGTCATAGCCTACGCTTCTCTGCCGAACCTGTTCATCGCAACCCCAGAAAAATATCCAAGTCCAACTTTTTGCCATGGGGTAAAAATGTTTAAAAAGACTCGTCTGCTCCATACCCCAGATTTTCATCACCTCTCCACACGCTTCAACATCTTCCTTCTCTTTCATAATGTCGACCTCGGAAGGACATTACACCATGGAGTCTCAGACTGGTGCTCCCAAGAAGACTATCTGGCAGTCGATTCGTGAGAATCCAAAGATCATCTTTATTGCATTCTTTGCATCGTAAGTCCCCGATTCACTATCATGGTTGAAAATAGTTACTGATGAATGCAGTCTCGGTGGTTTTGAATATGGTTACCAACAAGGTGTCCTGGGTCAATCCCTCGTAATGACCCGCTTCACCCAAAACTTCCCCTCAGTAGTCCAATCGTCTTCCGCAACAGGCTGGCTCACATCCATCCTCCAACTCGGCGGTATTCTCGGCTCTCTATCAGCCGGTGTCTCTTCTGAAATCATTTCTCGCAAGTACACCATGTTCATCGCCTGCTGCTGGGTTGTTCTCGGATCTTATCTCTATGTTGGTGCTACCGCTGGAAACCCTTCGCTTCTTTACGCTGGTCGATTTTTGACTGGTGTTGGTGTTGGTCTTTTCTCCGGTGTTGGACCTCTTTACAACGCTGAGCTTTCATCTGCTGAGATGCGAGGATTCCTCGTTTCTTTTTATCAGCTTGCTACTATCCTTGGAATCATGCTTTCGTTCTGGGTTGGTTATGGATGTAACTACATCGGCGGAACAGGCGATGGCCAATCCGACCTCGCTTGGCGACTACCCTCTATCATTCAGGGTATTCCCGCCGCCATTCTCGCCGTCGGAATCTGGTTCATGCCCTTTTCTCCCCGCTGGCTCGTCAAGGTCAGTCGTGACGAAGAGGCCAAGTCCACACTTGCATGGATGCGCAAGCTTCCCGTCGACTCTGACCAAGTGCAAGTCGAATACCTCGAAATCAAGGCCGAAGCCGTTTTCGAACAAAAGGTTTTCGCCCGCGATTTCCCTCATCTTGCTGAGAAGGGCAAGAGCAAATTCCGTCAGGAGATTGCGCAATATGTTACTTGCTTCCGATCAATGGATAACCTTAAGCGTGTTTGCACTGCTTGGTTGATCATGTTTTTCCAGCAGTGGTCCGGTATCGACGCTATTATCTACTACGCTTCCAATGTTTTTATCAGCCTGGGTCTTACTGGTGGAACTATTGCTCTGCTTGCTACTGGTGTTACTGGTGTTGTTTTCCTCGTTAGCACTATCCCTGCTATGTTCATCATCGATCGTGTTGGTCGAAAGCCTATGCTTCAGGTTGGATCTATTGTCATGGGTGCCAGTATGGTTACTGTTGGTATCATCGTCGCCAAGTTCCGCCACGACTGGCCTTCTCACGTCGCCGCTGGTTGGACTGCCGTTGCTCTGATCTGGGTTTACATCGCTGGTTTCGGTGCCACATGGGGTCCCGTCTCTTGGACTCTCATCTCCGAGATCTTCCCCCTCTCCATCCGCGCCAAGGGTGCATCCATCGGAGCCTCTAGCAACTGGGTCAACAACTTCGCCATCGCTTTCTTCGTTCCTCCCATGCTTGAGGCCTGGGAGTGGGGAACCTACATCTTCTTCGCTGTTTTCCTGTTCGTTGGTATTCTCTGGGTCTGGTTCTATCTTCCCGAGACCAAGAATGCTTCTCTTGAGGAGATGGACCGTGTTTTCAAGAGCCGTGCTGGTGAGCAGGATGCTATTCTGCTTCAGGAAGCTCAGGCTGAGGTTGGTTTGATGGCTGCTGCTTCTGGACGAAAGTCTATGGAGAAGGGTGGTGAGAAGCACGTTGAGGAGTTGTAATTGATTGTATGAATGTGTTGGAAGGTGGTCGTTTAGTATACGAATAATGTTAGGACAATGAATCAATACCCTGTTATATTTAAATTTTGAGAAATATGGTGACAATGCTATTAATGGCACTGGCTTTATTCAGCCAGTGGTCTTTTCCTCTAGAGTATATATGTCCTTTTATGGACAAATGAGAAAACTATGCTCTGCGGCTGAGACTATCCAGCCAATGATCGATTCTCATGCAATTGCGAAACTTAATACTGACACAACGTCGCTTTCAAATAGTCACGATCCATTAGTAAACCACAGTACTTAGTATTCCGACTATACGATTTCAATGCGATTCTAGCTTCTGCATATGCTGTCCACGATAATTCACACTTGATTGGCACAACCCTCGATCACTTCGTATCTACATTGAACGGTGCCGTAGTCTTAAAATTCGCGACGCACAAGAAATCCATTTCAATTGAGCGGAAGCTTCGGAATTCAGGGTAAACTTTCTTAACAGACAACCACTCTGCCCATGGTCAATATCGCCACCAAATCCAAACTGGTGATGTTTTCAATGCGGGGTAAATAAAGTGCTGATGTGATGCCCCAGTCTTTCTCGGGCAACGTTACTTACTCCAATTCAGTTAATCAAGGCAAATCCTGCCGGGGTATCGACTACCGAGTCATGATCTTCGACGTTGGTCGCCTAAAGCCCTCACATTAGGTTTAGCGGTTTCCCCCAACCTTCTCCGGAAAATTCTTATGATTGGGTGTTTACCGGGGTCGTCGGGGAAGAATGGGGTCACACGGGGATCACCGGATGCTGCAAATTTGCTCTGTTTCATTTCTCGGGGAAGAAGAGGAGGCTACAGTTCCTCTTTGGGTTCGATACAACCTTCAACTGCAAAACAACCTTGATGCAGCAAAGAGTAGCGTATCAGTCCATCATCCTGACCCACTCAAACAACGGCTGCAATGTCCTTCTTCCCACCCGAAGACTTCTCTCTAGACCCACGCTTCATCGAACTCCAAGAAGAGCTCCGATCAGTCCTCTTCGCGGGCCTCTCCGCCTTATCACCCAGCGCATCAGTAACCCCTGAACCACAAACAACACCCGTACAAACCCTCGACTTTTCCAACGTCAGCATCCAAATTCCTCACGATAGGTTAATATGCTATCTTCAGAATTGGGTTACAGAATGTGCTCCTTACTTGGACAAGTTTGATGAGGATAAGCATTTTCAGATTCATGTGCCTCTTATGGCGCAGAAGAGTCCGGCATTACTGTATGCTATGCTTGCGTTTTCGTCGAGACAGATGGAGAGACGTGGGTTGACGCAGGAGGGGTGTGATAGTCTTGAGTTGTATCAGGAGAGTATTAGGTTGTTGAGCCCTGGGTTACAAGCTAAAGATCCGAACATGTTGGTCACAGCTTGTATTCTGGCTGTGTTCGAATTAATGTCGGGCGGCTCTAAGAACTGGAAGCGGCATGTTGAAGGATGTGCTTCGTTGTTCGAGTTCTTTGGCGTTGATGGTTTCTCTGGTGGTCTACCACAGGCAGTATTCTGGTGCTATGCCAGAATGGAGTTATGCGGTGCCATAATCTCAGATGGAACCGAAACCACAGTCCTACCTCTTTCAAAATGGGCTCCATCACCCCCTGAGTCATTGGTATCTTCTGAGCAGATCGAGAGATATGTACGAGACATGTTTCACGAGAGAAGTCGTGAGTGTCCAGATATGCAAGCCAACTGGGCTATATATCTATGTACCAAAGTCTCTGATCTCAGATTCCGCAGAACACAAAGCTTAGAACTTGGACGAGCGGATGTTCATGACGATAGACCATTCTCAGAACAATGGCAGCAGCTCTGGAATGAGCTGCAATATTGGCATGATGAGCGTCCCCCGACGATGAAGCCAATCAGTATGGTTGAAGCAGGCGACAAACAAATCTTCCCAGCTATGCTCTTCCCCCACTGGGCAGCCATCTCAAGCAATCAGATATATCACACTGCATGTATCCTCATGCTAGAGATGCGGAATCTGGGCCATGAGCTAGACTCCCAGTGTCTGGCATTATGGCATGCACGGCAAGTCTGTGGTATCTCATGTGCTAACCTCCACCCTGGAAGTCTGGTAAATTCCATACAACCTCTTTATATAGCAGGGAAGCTGTTTTCGCATGTAAATGAGAGGAAACAGATTGCGAGACTGCTCAAATCGATTGATCGGACGACTGGGTGGGGTGCGTTGTGGAGGTTGACGGATCTTGAGGCTGAATGGGGATATGATGCTGGGGCGATTCTCAAGACCTTATAGGTTGATATGCAGTTGAAAATAAGCTATGAAGATCCATGCAAGACTTATGCAGTGTTAAATGTCCTCGTGATTTGTCTTGGCAGGTAGGAGGCTCTGCAAAGCGTAGCCGCCGTCGCGTAAGACACCCCTTCGTGGAATAGCGTCCTCAGCCCCGGTGGAGCTCAACCAACTCCCAGCAGGACTTATATACTCTTTCGGTGCAAATTAAAGATCATTGAGTGTAGTCTCTACTGCTATCAACCACTCGCCCACCATGTCTTCACCAAAGCCCGTCATCAGCGTCCTAGGCTCTCTCAACATCGATCTCGTCTCCTACGTCCCCCATCACCCCCTCCCAGGCGAAACCATAACATCCAACCAATTCAATGTCTTTCCCGGAGGTAAAGGCGCCAACCAAGCTGTCGCCTGCGCAAAGCTCTCTCGCACATCTGACCTGAAAGACTCGAGCGTCGATGTAGTCATGATTGGAGCCATCGGAGCAGATGCATACGGCACTACACTACTAGACAGTCTCAAGTCATACGATGTGGGAACTGATTCAATCATCGTGAATAAAGATGGTCAGAGCGGCATTGCTATGATCATCGTTGATGAACCAACTGGCCAGAATCGGATTATCTTATCGCCTGGAGCAAACAATTCTCTGAAGCCGAGCCAGTTTGAGAGAATTCCCGGACCGACACCTGCGTTGCTTATTATGCAGCTTGAAATCCCCCTTGAAACTGTCATTCAAGCTTTTGAAGCGGCAAAGGCTATGGGTACACCGGTGCTTCTAAACCCTGCGCCTGCTCAGACGCTACCTGAGGAGATTTACCAAGGACTTGCGCATCTCATTCTGAACGAGACGGAAGCAGCTCTGTTGTCAAACAAGGATGAGTCTGAGTTTGAGAGCACTGCTGTGGTGGAGCAAGCTGCAGCCGACTTCCTTGCTAAGGGTGTTCGCAACGTCGTTATTACGCTGGGAGGAAGAGGAGCTTACTACGCCAATGACACCGGTGCCAAGGGTTTTATTCCCGCTCAAAAGGTCAATGTCGTCGATACAACAGCCGCTGGCGACACTTTCATTGGTTCATACGCAGTCAAGGTGGCACTATCCGAGACATTCGACATCGAAAAGGCCGTCCGATCAGGCATTCGCGCTTCATCATATACAGTCGCAAGAAGAGGAGCACAAGTATCCATCCCATGGAAGAACGAACTAGAATAATAATTATACAGAAACAATAAAGCTACAATTAATTATGCAAATACCCCACGACGCTCTGGACCGTGTCAGGAATGAAGATTAGTGGGCGCATTGGAATGTCGCGACAAAGACCAAAACTGCTGCAGATCCGCAATTTCCCTTTGCAGAGGAATTTTCGTAGCGTCCCCAATCCGTTGAAAACACGAAAGCAACGCTTCCTGTTGCGAAGGATACGTCATGTCTCTCGCTATCCTCACAACGGTAGCTACAACGACAGGATCCCATTGGTCAGGAAAGTTATTCCAGAGCGCTAGTTTTGCGAGTTTCTGTGCGTGCCAGCTTTTAGATACTAAGCGATGTGGCGTGGATGATAATTTGACGAGACGGGGTTTGTAGGATAGTAAGAGAAGGGCGGAGTAGTGGATTGTGAGATTTGCTTGGACTGCTATTGCGCTCGAGTATACGTCTGCTGTGAAGGGGGTGTTGGTGTGGGTGTCTACTTCGGGACTTTCGAGGAGGGGGACCATGTCTGGGGGACGATCGCGGAACCATTGGACGCATTTTGCCCATAGGTTGGACCAGGTTGCCCATACCAATGAGCTGGATTCGTGGGTTGGTGATTGGATGGTGGATATGCCGTTGAGGAGAGGGATGACTTTGTTGTGGATCAGTTGGCAGCATGCTGTGAGGTGTACCAAACATGTGTCGTAAATCTGGCATGGGGACATGTTGGAGCTTAGGAGTGGCTCGTCTATGAGTGGTAACGAGGACTGTGAGACGGGTGATCTGGACGCTATAATGGAAGCAGCGAGTTCTAGTGACTTCATGTTAGCTCACACCATATACTGTATCCTGAGTAACTTACCAGTTTTGAAGTGAAACCGATCCAGAGTCTTAAGAGGTTCCTCTTGATTCTCAAAAAACTGATATCTCTCCCCACGATCACTCTGAAACCCCAACCACTCCGAAGGCGAAGTATAAAAGAAATTCCCCAACGCAAGCAACGACCGTCCGACATCAGCCGTAAACACATTCTCAAGCGACAACCGATGCTGCAAATGCTGCACAAGATGAAAATCTCCCTCGGAACTCGTTGAGCTTCTGCTTCGCCTCATAGCAACCCAAACGATGACATCCATGATAACACTCTTCTCGGCTGCTAATGTCATGATCTTCGGTCCAAAGGTAGAGCGCGGTGCGTTGGAGTCTAGCCAGGGTGCTATTTGATAGCGGAAGCGGAGCATGGCTGTTTGACGTTCTGAGGAGTTTTGTTCGGAGAGGACTGTTTCGTTCCATCTTGCTGGGGTGGGGATTTGGTTGCCTTCATTGTTAGGTTGAGCGGTTGTTGGAGGTGCTGGCTGAGTGGTATTGGTTGGGGCATTTTGGGTAGACTCGACTCTGTCGCTACGTACTATACTCTGGGTAGATTCAACTCTTTCGCTTCGCACTATGCTAGGCAAGGGCTCATCCAGTACTGGCTCAAGAGTAGAAGGACTATCGTCGATAAAAGATAGTAGACTATCATTCATAGGCTTTGAAGGTTAGTAAACTGCCATCGAATTATGACAATCACTCACCATCAAAGAGTCATCGCCATCAGATGCTGTATCCTCCCTCGCACGCTCATCCCTGCGCAACGACGATCGAACGCCAGGGACAAAGGTCCACTCTTTGAACTCGCATGTTACATTTCTCCCCTGACAGCTTCCGCACTGGGGTCTTTGTTCGTCACCTAAATTCGTTAGACAAGATGAATACGCGAACAATTGATTGAGGTGAAGGACAAGGAGATTGGTTACATTTTCTACGACGCCTTCGACATGGTATGCAGCCTGTGCGGGACCGTCTTTTGTTATCGGGTATTCGTCTGATTACTGGCATTGCGATAAGAGGTATGTCATTTGTGAGGAATGGGTTCGTGAGAAAAGAGGAGTCTAAAGGCGGTGTACAATGGCAGATCAAGTTCAAGACGATCATCCTATAGAGGCAGATTGTTCAATCATTGTGCTCGGAAAGTCACAGTTCGAAGAAAGTGGCCGCCATTGCATGTCTCTCAGGATTGATATATAGATTTCTCGAGATAATTGCACATTTGTGTAAATGACAACTCTCAAAACTTGAATGAATCAAGTGGCGACATCTATCGATAAGACGAGTAGGCTAAGCTAAATGAGGATACATGGGCGTTGACCGTGGTGGCTTATTACCGAGAAGTTAATGTTATGTCCTGCGTCCTACCCTGGACTATTTCAACAAAGATCCAACTCGTGCCTGCAAAAGCCGTGGAGAACTAAGATTCAACTCAATCTGCTATTTCGTCCAGAAATGTTAAACTTATAATTATCTTTATTGAGGTGTAGAGTTGTTATTTATTGATTGGTTAGTTCTTGAACATTGGTGGTTTCCTTTTATCAGCCGAAAGTGGTACGACAGTGCTATGTGGCGTTCGTATCATTTACGATCACAAACCTCTTCATGATATGGCAAACCCAGTTTTAGTATGACCTAGGATTCTAGTTATATCAAGATTGGTCAATTGTTTCTGATCGACGAAAGCATCGTTTGGTAAGCTGAACGGAAGATGAAACTCATGGTCTTTGCCAGCCCATGTCAACGCACCTCAATTTAATGCCGATGCCGCGAGACTCCTGAGGAGACTAAAGAGCCGTCTCATACTCGGCGTTGATTGCCATCTAGGTTTCGACAATATGCAGCCTCCGGCTGACTCGTCCTCCAAGTGACTCTCGTGGCCCTCGTCTCACTGCATCGATCGACAGGGGATCGGAGTCGGCCGCTCAGTCAACCTTTTTCGCAGATCGGAGAGCCGCTTCATAAGGGTGGAGTAACTATTCCGGCTATCGGCGCTTATCACGACGAAATGATTAGACATAAGCATAAGCTTTTTGTATCATCACAGACCAAAGGACTAACACGGTCCCGTTTGTAAGCCCGAAGGCCATGGCTTCATAAGTTCCAGGCTTGAAGATGGCCTGTGCTGTGCAATAATTGTGGAGAGATGAACGTTGGATTCAAATGAAGGTTCAGAAAGTGATCCTCACGGCCAGTCTAGACACCGGTGGGCCGGTTAACCGGGATGAGATGCCATTGCCAAGGATATGCCAAACTCTCCTTGTGGGTGAGTGAAGAGCTACCCCGGAAGATGGGAATCGCCAAGAAAACGACACGGGGAACCCCTGCTTGGCCGGAGCGATCTACATCAGCCTCAAGTAATCCCACGTTTCGTAAATGCATGAAGTTGCCTTACAGGTCTGTTATCGGAGAACTTAGATAACATGCTACTGTAGTCTTCCATGATCCGGATCCAACGGGAAAAACTCAAGTCATTAATCTGACTCAAGCCTCAGTGAGCTCATTTCCCCGAAAACAACAAGCTGTCAACATATGGAGCTATGGTCACATGGCCCATGCTCAAGCCTCCACGGGCAAAACGATTCTTTGGGTAAGTGATACTTTGTTGAGAGTAGGAAGAGAACTGCTAAGTCATCTAGACTTTGCTACTAGCCACAGCGGGAAAGAAAAAGCCAGCCGTGGAGCCAAGAGGGTTTAGACTAAATTGGGCTAAATTCCTAGCAGAACAGGGAAGCGATCGTCCAGGGACTGCGTCAGGAATGCAAAGAAAAGTTAGTTGGCAGGCCGTCGCGCACATGGCAACGGGTAGACCCGTTTTTTTCACTACAGAAAGGGGATAGTATGGGACGGTTTAATAGTTTTGGTTTAGCCACCCGAGCGATTTCGACCAAGCTTGGAGGGAGAGAGCGAGACCACACGAGATTCTTCAAGCCATGAACTCCTTACCTTGAGGGCTTGTTGGTGATGTAATTGAAGGTTTGGAGACGGTTACAACGGCTCGATGAGAATGTGAATAATGTAAATAATGGCGGAAATCTGTCGATTGTTGGATGTGACCTGGATGGTGCAGTGATACCCGGCTCTTCTCTTGCGATTGATGACAATTCCCCGATATAGTAGGTCCTATAGCAGGGTTTGAAGCGTCTAGACTCGACTGACAGGTGTCGCATGTCTAGCATGTGTGTTTTCTCCATCCCCAGTAAGCCCCAAATTGAGTTCTGTAGAAGCAAGCAGTCCCCAGACCCTGACCTTCAGGACCGCGACTAGACCAGACATTGACTTTTTAACCAGTCTCTCGACCTAGTAAACTTTCAAGATGGATGAAAACGGAAACTCATGAGTCGATCGGTCGGCGAACACCAGGAACACTTCAATATATAAATCATAAAGAATTGAACGTCTGAATACTTTTCGAATCACTCTCATCCTCTTCACAAACTACATTCTAGTAGTCTCTCCTTCAAGATGCATTTCATCAAGATTGCACTCCTTGGCGCTTCCATTGCCGCGGTTAACGCCGCTGCTTTGCCAGCTGAGGATTCCGTCTGTCAATATCCTGGCGGTGTTCAAGCGTGTGCAGCTCATGTAAGCAACATTCCCTCTCCAATCAGTTTACAGGTTCTAACCATCCAACAGTGTGTTGAGCGGGGTAGCACTTTCCACTCTTGCGATTCGTAAGTACTTCATGATCAAGTGCTTTGAGCTACTATTCACATTCACTAGTGATTGCAAATGTTCGACTTCATACGCCAACGCCTTGAGGCGTCTTCTCAAGAGAAAGACTACCACCACACCTGCAGCTACGACGGCCGCTGCTCCTAAGAACCCCTCTAACACAAAGACTGGCACAACTACAGGTAACGGCAAGACTGGTACTGGTACAGGCAAAACCGGTACCGGTGCAGCTACTGGCACAGGCAAGACTGCTACTGGCACAGGCAAGACTGCTACTGGTACAGGCAAGACTGCTACTGGCA